ATGCGCTTATTATCTTTATATAAAATGCCCTTAAGTATAACTAAGCGGCTATTATTAAATATTAAAAAGGCCTTAAGTTAATTAAGCTTAAAACGGCAATCTTTTATTTAATAGCCTTACTTATTATAATTAAAGCATATATTATCTTTCTTATTAATTGCATTAATATAAGCAAAGTTGCTGTTTTATTATTTAATTATATAGATTATATATTTATTAATTTAAGGGTTAAAGATAATGATTTATATAGCTATAGCGTTAATAGGTTTAATTTAGGTTATTTTAAGCTTATTAATTATAATTAAGCTAATTTATAATTTATAAAAGGGAGTAAAGTTATTATATAATTAAATAATTATTTATAAGTTAATATAAATGCTTTGCTTTATTATTTTATTAATATATATCTTAACTTATTAAATAATTTTTTTAATTATTATAAAGGTAATTATTATTTAAACTTTATTAAGAATCTTAATAAAGATGCTAAGCTAATTAATAAAGATCTTATTTAGCAATATTAATTAAATTAAGGAGGTATTTTATTAAATCTTTAATAGCTTATAATAAGCATTATAAATTTTTTAAATAAAATTAATATATAACTTATCTTTAAAAAGAAATAAAATAAAAAATATTATTATTATTAAGTAAAAAGCATTATGCTTGCTAAGGATTTAAATAATAGCTTTAATAAAAAGTAATTAAGTTAGCTAATTATTTATAGCTTATTAAGTAATATTAAAAAAGTTACTAAAAAGTTTTATAATTACTTTAAATAGCTATATTTTATAAGGTATTATTATTACTTATAATAAGATTTATATCTTTTTTAATTTATTAAGAATTATAATATTAATTATATTAAAGTAAAGTTTCTTTAAAATAAAGACTTTTCTCTTTGTAAAAGCTTTTAAGTAAAAGTATTTATTAAATAGGATAATTATTAAAAAAACTTCCTTAAGTTAAAAGTTAATTAAAATATAAAGATAATTTACTTAAATATTATTAATAAAGTAAAAATTAAGTTTATTATTATTATAATAATTTATAGGTTTAAGGGTAAAGGTAATATTATTATTATAAAGGTATAAATTTAAGGGCTTAATGCTTTTATTTTATTTTTAAGAATATAATTAGCCTTTAATAATAAAGATAAAAATGCTTTAAAATTAAGCATAAAGAATATTATTGTATTAATTTAATTTATTATTAATAATCTTTAGCTATTTTTAAAGATTTTTTAATTATTTATTAAATTTATTATTAATAGCTTTAAGGTTATTTATAAAAGTAATAAAGGTAATTTATATATTATTTTACTTTATAGCAACTTTCTTTATAAATTAATTAATATAATTATATATAAAAATAATTATAATGCTATAATTGCTTATATAAGCAGCTATAGCGTTAAAAGAAGGAAAAGAAGCTATATTAAGGCAAAGTAAAAATAATAGTAATTAAAGAGAAAAAATTAATAAAAATAATGCTAAATTAATAAATTTCTTATTATTAATGCTTATTTAATAATTATTTATTTTATAGCTTGCTTATTAATTATTAATAAAGAGTATTATAATGCTTATTATTATAACTTTTAATTAACTTTATAAATATTTACTTATAAGTAATAATTTTAGCATAAATATTATTATTGCATAAATTAATTAATAAAGTTGCTTTTTAAAAGTAAATTATTAATAAAGGATAAGGTTAAGAATAATAATTTAATAGGTTTTAATTACTTAAAAGGTTATTGCCTTTAAGGAAGGTTATTAATTAATAGCGTAAAGGTTTATAATTATAATTTTTATTAAATAGGTGCTTTAATAAGGTTTTTTTAATAAAAATAATTATTTTTATACTTTTTTTATATACTTAACCTATTAAATAATATTATAATGATTATAAGGGATATTGTAAATTATATAATATAGGTGTATAGGTTGCTTGGTTGCTAATTACGCTTAAAGGGCAGTGCCTTTAGTGTTTTGGGCTGCAACGCTGCTTATGTAAGCAGCTGCCTGCCCGTTATCTACGGATCTACATGCTTTTAATAGCTAAGCTATATTTTTAAATAATAATGTAAATTCTTTGCAATAAATATAAAAAGAATATTAAAGTATATTACATATGGAAAGTATGCTTAATAAATACTTTATTAATAATAATTAAGCTAAGTTTTATTAATATAGTAAATAGCTTTTATACCCTTATTAATCTTTACTTACTTTTATTAAAATAAGCTTTAAAATTTCTTAAAGTTGCTAATATAAGTAGCATTAATTATAATAAAAAACTTTGCCTTTATTTCTTTAAATATTATATTATTTAAAATATATTAAGCAATATAAATATTGTATTTAAATACTTAAAGAAGGTATTATTAATATATAATAATTTATGCTTATAAAAATATTACTTAAATAGCATTACTTTTAGCAATTTTAGCATTTATTATTTAAAGGTTATAATTAACTCCATAGCTTTTTAATATTTTAAGCATTTAAGTAAAATCCTTAATTATTTAATTACTTATTAAAGCTAATAAGTAAATATATAGGCATTATTAAGGTATTATCTTAATTATATAAATAAGTAATAATTTATATTAATTAATATTATAGGTAGCATTTATAATAAAAAAGAAAGGGTTATTAAGGCTTTTAAATTATATTACCTTTATAAAATAAAATATAATATGCTTAATTTAATATTTTATATTAATTAATAAATTAATTAAATAGCTATTTTTAATTAAACTATTAATAAGGTATTTAATTAATAACTAGCCCTTAATATTTTAATAATTAAGTAGTTTGCATTAATTATTAATATTTTTAAAGATTATTTACTTATATAAGATTATATAAAAAGAATAAATAATAAAGGTATTTAATAAATATTGTTATAGTTAAATATTATATTATTCTTAATAATAAAATAAAAGGGTAGTTTTAATAAAGAAATGTTTTTTAAGGATTTTAAATACTAAATAATTATATAAAAAAAAGTTTTTATAATATAAAAGAAACTTATATATTTTAATAAATATATATAAAATATATAATTAAGTATATTTATTTAAAGTGCTTATATCCTTCTTAATTATAAAGCTAAATAAGCAATTTATTTTATATAAAATTAATAGCTTTTTTAATCTTTTTTACTTAATTATTATTACTTTTTTAACTTATTATTTAAAGTTATTAATAAATTTATTTATAGTTTTATTTGCTTTTTTATTATAATACTTTGCTTTATTATTAAATATATATTTAATAGTAATTTAATAATAAAATAAGTCTTTTTTAATTTATATAATTATAATTATATATTTATATAGCTTAATTTAAATATTAAGTATATTTTAAAAATAAGGATTATGCTTTACCTTATAAGTATTAATATAAGGATTATAATTATTAAATTACATTTTAATAAGTAAATAGCGAAGTTGCTTAAATTTAAATATAATTTTATAAGCTATATTTAAAAGATATTTATAATTACCTTAAAGAATAAAAATAATATATTATAAATATTTTAAATATTTAAATTATTATTTTTAAGTTATTATTTTAATTATTTATAGTTATGTTAAGGTTAAGTTTAAGAATATTAATAATAAAATAATATTTAAAGGTAAAAGTTATAAAATAATTAATTTAAAAAAATAAAAAGAAATAAGTATTATTTTATAAGTAAATTAATTAAATATATAAATAAGTAAGTAAAAAGTAATTTTATAATAAAGTTATAAGGTAAGTTAAATTTTATATAAAGTAGGTAATAATAAAGTAGGTAAGCTAACTTAAAGTTATAAAAATTTTTTTTATGCCTTATATTAATATAATAAATGCAAATTAAATATATTATATAAAGAATGGCGGGGTAAATGCAATAAAGTAATAGGGTAGCTATAGTTTTAAAAAGCTAGCTTTTAAGGTATATTTATATTTTATTAATATATGCAGCTAATTTCTTTATACTAAGTGGGCTAATGCTGGAAGCTGGGTGGGCGTACTATAGAAGCTGGGTGGGCGTACGCTAACTTGGTCGCCGGCTGTCTTTCATAGTGACGGGAATAGCGATTTCTATCAGAGACAACGGATGGTTGTTCTACAGATGGACAAGTGTTCAGAAAGGGCGGGCAAGAGGATTAAGTAGACGTCCAAGCTGATCAAGCCGCCACGTGCCGTTAGAGATGACTGGCTGTAGTGATCACGTCGACTTGATTGCCCTCCTCACCCCCAACCCCTCCACCCGTCTCACATCTCACATCTCACCTCACTCAACCCGCCGGCTCTCGAGAGGCAGGCAGGGGAAGCAAGCCCATTACGGTCACATACGAAACATGCCAACCAGAAACGTTCACAAAGATGACTGGAAGTATCTCTCCATATTCATTACTCCCCAATGCTACAAAATTACTAGACAATTCCTCCCAGAGAGAGAGGGGGACGGGGGTGTTCTACACCGAACCCAGGCAGGAAACCAGTTATTACTCTGTCAGGCCCCAGCTTTTTCAAACCGAAGTCAAGACCCCTTCCCCTCCCTCCAGCATGCGTGCGCTCTCAGCCTGTAGCAGACATTCATTCGTCAACCCACAGCTAGCTGTGTTCCTGCCGGCACACTCGGGCCCTCGTGCGTGTTTCTGCCCTTCGTGCCTTTCCCTGTATCTCTCTCTCTCTCTTTTCTGTTGCCTTCCTTACTTGGCTCCGCTTTCCAGCCAAGCCAAGCCAAATGTGTTACCAAATCCGCGGAAAGAAATGCCCCTTGTCCCAAATTCACCTCTGTGGGTATCCCGTTTTTTCTCTGTTTCGTTCAGTCCAGACCCGTAGACCACCCATATGTATGTTTTGGTTATGTTTGTACATATACGAAACAACACCTTTCAGTCGCACAGGCGCGAGGGCGAAGGTGCCCTCAGCCTCCTCGCTCGCAAGTTTCCGTTTTCTCAGGTAGCTCGGCGGGATGGCGCCTTCCGTTCCTTACTAGTACGACGAGCTGGCGGCAAGAGGTCGCATGGAGTCCGTGATTCGCTGCGTGAGGCTCGTCATGTTGGAGATGTTCCTCAAAGCAGGGTCGCTAGGCATCGTGCTGCTCAGGCGCAGGAATACATGCTCGAGACGGCCCTTCAGCAGCGACATGACCTTGGGGGTGATTTCGCGAACTTGTCCCTCCTGAATTTTGAGAATAGTCAGCTCTGGCCTCGTCCCACACAGTGATGTGATAAAAAAAAAGGGAGGATCATGTTAGGGACGTGCTTACGATTCGGGGGAGAGCCTCAAAGAACGTGACCAGAACAACCTCCGTCCAGCCGAGCTTGGTGTGCAGCAGCTGTGGGTTTTCCAAGTTTGCCGTGACAGTCGCTGCAACCGTCAGGAGAAGCAGCGGGTTCAGGTTCTGAATGAAAGTAGCGTCGTACTTGGCCAGTACCTGGGAGAAGACTTCTTCCTCGTTACGGGTGTCTTGAATCCAGGTCATGACTGCGTCGTCGAACTTGCCCTGTGTCATATAAGTGCGCACCCGCTCGCAAGCCTGCTCGATATCCAGACGCTCACGGTTGTCCTTGGTAGTCGGCTGGAACACGACCTGTGACGTGGAGAGCTGCGATCCAGTAAGTGGCTGTGTTTGCGGGGCCCCCTGCTGCTGAATTTGTTGCTGGCCAGTAAGTTGACTGGACTGCTGGCTGGACGGGCTTCCATACTGCTGAGACTGCTGCAGTGACAGAATGCTGGGATTCACAGGTTGGTTGGGATACTGCTGGTGCTGATGCTGTGGGGAGACAATGGAGCTCGCGGGTGCCCATTGCTGCGGAGAGGTAAGAGCCGCTGCAGCCGCATTTGGGAACTGCTGTGTCCCAGCCTGTGGACTGCTGTAGTGCTGCTGAGGAACGACAGCTTGCGCAACATGCTGCAGAGCCTGAGACTGGCTGTGAGAAGGGCTGTGGTATGCGCCGTTGCCTGGTCCATGACCTTCCTGCCCAATCTGTCGAGAACGAGTTGGATGCGATGGCGACACCTTCCGCTGCTGCTGCTTGACAAGTTCGGTCTGAAGCTTCAAGATCTCCTCCTGGAAGCTCGCCTGGGCAGTGACCATGGTGTTCAGAGTCTCCGACATGTTCGTGTTGAGCGCAACGAGCTGCTCAAACTTTTGCATGTCCTTCATGCGCACCTGCTCGATTGCATTGAACTGGTTGTTGACATTGACCAAAATCTCCTTGCCGCATGCTGTCACTGCCTCGGTAGCCAGCTTGGTGAACCGAGGGATGATTCTATCGTCAAGGACTGCGTAGAGCTGCTCGTCGATTTTGGCAGAGAGTGTGTGAACCATCTTGTCGGTCATGGACTTGACAAGCTCGGGCTTCCGCAGAGCCTGATCCAGGGAGTGAGGCAGGGCGCGCTGCATTTCCTTCTGCACCGACTGCGACACGGAACTGCCGAGCCTGCTTCCAAGCTCCGCAGTCACAGTGCGGGTCACGACCTCGCCGACCCTAGGCGCGATAGACTTCTCCATCTCCTCTTCAATGATCTTGGCGAGTACACCTTGGCAGTTCTCGTTGAGTACCTCCGAGACCATGCCAAGCAGCTTGAGCTGGCTCCCTTCAAATTGGCCATCACGAGCCTTCGCGTCCTTGTCGAGATTCTGGCGGAGACCAGAGAGACCGGATTGAAACGAGCTGGCAATGTTCTCGACGAGGCGCTTCTCCATCGTGTTGATGCGAGTGTCGACTTCCTGCGAGAAGATTGAGGAAGAAGCCGAGGATTTGGAAGCCTTGGCTGGTTCGTGGGTCGTGGTAGCCACGACTTTGGGAGGGTGACCGTTGGTCTGAGCAGCTTCGCGCTCACGCTCAGCCAACGCGGCAGCCTGTGCAGCAGCCTTTTCAGCAGCAGCCTTCTTCTTCCTTCCCTTCTTATCAGGCTTGTCAACGGGAGCTGGCACGGCAGGCTCTTCCTCCTTGGCCTCCTTGTGCTTTGGTGGGGTGGCCACCTTTCGCGTCGATTGCTCTGGTGCAGGTTCTGGGGCCGTTTCCTTTGGCCGCACGGCTAGGCGAATTGAGGGCTGGGCTGCTCCTTCCTCGGGAAGCTGGTTCTGGGGTTGAGGCGGCGGTGGCCTTAGCTTCGTGATGGAGACCACGCCGGCTTGTGTAGCGTCGACGGGGTTGATCACCTTGTTGTCATCGTCCCATCCAAGCTCGGACGCTTTGATGGAAAGACACGCAACCCCCTTAGAGTGCATCGCGTAGAGCTCAAAGAGAGTCGCTTCAACGCCCTCGCTGGAGGAAGCAGGGTTCTGGAGAAGATAAAGGCTTCGCAGAACTCCCTTGTTGGCGAACGAGTACTCCCGCATGCCACTGATGACTGCGGTAGAGTCAGGAGTGGGAATCGAGGGATCTTGCGCCACCAACTTCTGGATGTAATCGACCTGAGACGGGTTGTTCTTCAACGCGTACTTAGGCGCCGAAAGGTGAAGGAAGTAGACGGAGTTCCGCGTCGGGTGACCAACAACAATGATGCCAGAGGGAGGGTGATACATGACACTGCAGACAGCGTCGGATTCCTTGCTGTGAGGAAGGTTGAATTCTTGAACAGGCTTGCCCAGTGCCAGATCCCAGAGCTGCAACGTGTGGTTCTGTTTCATACCCACGATTAAGTAACGCAGCGCTGTGCGCTTCTGGTACGGCCGGAGCTTATCCAACAGCAGCACAGAAGTGGGCCAGGCCTTCTCTCCTTCTGGCGTCGTTGTGAGAGTCATCAGCGGCTCCTTCACCTCGGCGGAGGTGTGTGCTGGCATCGGGTTGCGAGGATCAGATTCCTCGTCTGGGGCCGTCAAGTCACGGACATCCCAGAATTTGACGCGGCCCGACTTGTCAAGCGAGACAACCACAGAGTCATCCTGACTGAAAGTGAAGTCCTTACCAGCCTTTCCAGTGTTGATCTTCAGCGAGCACTCCTTGGCAAGTCTGTCGGTGTCGACGACACGGTCGTGGCCGGGCTTGATGAGATTTCTCTGCAAGACAAACGACGGCCAGATGATATTGATCGATTTGCCGCGGCCAACGGCAAAGTACTCCGGGTGGTTCGTCGAAGTGCGAGCGCGTGTCTTCAAAACACCACCAGGGGCGTCCCCACCCTCCTGTGCACTGCTTGGCGGCAGAGCAAATCCGTATTGCTCAAGATGAGCATCGTCGAGGTGGTCCTTCTCACCGTCCCTGACCTGCACCCAATAGACCGTGCCACTGATGCCAGTGCCAACGATAGCCTCCTTCTGGGTGATGTCCTGGTCTGCCGGGGTGGAAGAAATGGCAAGGTTGAAAATACGATCCTTAGTATCAGCAAACAACTTGGCATCACGGCCATCGTCCTGCCTAATGACTCGGAGACCGCCAGCTTTAGACATCCCGTATGCCAGATATGCTTCAGAAGCAGCCACAAGGTTGCGGTCGATTTGGTCAAATTCCTTCTTGAGCCGCGCAATGTCGAGGATGGCCTCATCGCGGAAGACAGGGCGAGTGTCATTAGCGCCATCCTGGATCGAGATGGAGATCCATGGCTTCATGGGGAAGTTGAAGACCTTGACGGGACTCGTGGTTTCTTCGATGACCACAATCTCGTCTTCGGCCTCAGCGCTCTCCCAGCTGTCGGCGACAGGGCCCTGAGCTGCATCGTCCACGATGTCTCGCACAGCTTTCGCCACCTCGGGACGGAATGCAGCCTCGAGGGCAGCCCTGTTCTCGTCCTTCTCGAGCTCGTCCCTGATGTCTGAAGCAGCAGTGGCGGCCGCCTCATCGAACTCCTTGTCTGTCTGAGCAGCCATCAGCTCCTTGAGATCCTGGGTGATCCTGGCCTGGGCCTGCTCATCTTCAGCACGGTTGATTGCCTCGCGTGCCTGCAGATCCGCAGTGTTGGCGATATCGCTTACAGCCTCAGCCACTGTCTCCTTGGGTCTAGCATCGTGCCCATCGCCTGGATGCGACGGCTCGCCCTTGTGGTCGTGCGAGTTGGGAGCATCCACCTTTCGGCGAACAGTCTCGCGACCTTCCAGGTGGCTGCTGGTGCTTGACAGGCGCTTGTGCTCGGGTCCACCGGCCGATCCAGGCTTCTTCAAGATCTGGACCAGGCCTGGAGCTTGACCCTGGACGCTGGTAGAAGCGGACGCGCCGGGGGTTGTAGACTTTCTACTGGCCCGGTTCTGGGGAGACACTGAAGCAGTGAGCTCATCGAATGGATTGGTATAGTTGAAGATGCCAGACTTTGTAGCAGGTGTGCCATCTCGACTCGACTGTGCGGGGGCTGGGGAAGGCTTGAACTTTTGCTGCGGCGGGGGGACAGGGTCAGGAGAGGCGAATTCGAACGTGCTAGTAGCGGGAACAGGAGGATTGGCGCGACTAGTGGAGTCGGACAGGGCCCGCTCGAGGGTAGCAAAGTCCTGCTTGTTGGATTGCTCGCTTGCGGGGGAGACAATCTTGGTTGAGTGTTCGGCTTCGCTCGGCGCATGAGGCTCGGGGCGGGCGTCGCTCTGGCTAGGCTTGGGCCGGTTCAACAAGTTGAGCAAGTACTGCTGAGTATTCTCGGGCGGAGGCGCGGTGTTCCAGCTGTTGTCAGTCACAGGCTCCTGAGCCTGAGGCTTGGGCGAATGTTCCGACTTGGTCTCGTCGTCCTGGAACTTGCCTCTCATAAGTGCAGCGAGCAGGCCGGTGGGATCGGCGGAAGAGGGCGCAGGAGCATGAATGGTGCTCGGCTGCTGGTTCGAGGTGGCGGATGAGCGAATCGCGGTGAAGCTGGTCAGATGGCTGCGACGGCGGCTGCTGCTGTTGCTGCGACAAGCCCTGCTGTCCACCTGCGCCACTGTTCAACTTGAGGAGGCTCAACAAGCTCGAGGTGCGATCGTCGCCTCCATCAATTGGCCTCGTGGCAAACCCCGGGGGGTGCTGCGATTGGTACATCGCACCAGCGGGCGGGGTCGGCGCGGCCGGAGGGTTGTAGTCGGTGCTGTCTTGAGAAGGGTACGACTCATCCACGTGCTGATGCTGGTGGTGATGATAATGGGAAGCTTGCTGATTGTTGCTGTTGTACGGATTGAATTGAGAACGCAGATCGTAGACGGAGGGGGGCTGCTGCTGCTGCTGCTGATGGTGCTGATGCTGGTACTGCGCTGCAACAGATGGATCGTGGTTCTCATGGCCGCTGGACTGCTGCGAATGGTGCGAGTGCTGGCGCTGGAGCTGGGCGAGGAGTGAATTGAGCGAGCCGTCGCCTCCGGCACCTCCGCCATAGCTAGCCATGATTGAACGCGAGCTCGAGCTTGGGCGGCAGCTGGGAGGTGTGGCTAGCACCCAGGGCGAGGGGAGAGTGATCCGAGATTGGAGTCGGTCAGCCCCGATGTTTTCTTTGCAGCTCTCTCCAGACCGAGTTGGGTGGGGATGCGAAGGGGGAAGGGGGGTTTTGTTGATAGGTGCGAGTGGATGATGCTGTCAGGTTTTCCGTTTGCTCGGAGGATTGGGTTGCGGCTCAAAAGTCGCGGCTGGGCGAAAAAGAAAAAGTGGAAAGTTGGTCGATGATGCTGGGGTATGCAGTCGCATCACTAGACAGACGCCCAGGTTAGCTCTATTGCATCACTTCTCTTCTCCTCAGGCGGGCCTGGCGCAACCAACCTCGACCGGCACCAATGTCGGCAGTCCAAAAATGCAGGACCAGAAGGCTTCTCCTTGAGCACCATCAACCAGAGATGAACCCGGGACGGGCTGCGCGGATGTTGAGCTGGGGGAGGAGGAGGAGAAGGTGATGCAGACAAGTTGGTGCACGCAGGTGAGAGAGGTGAGTGAGGCAAGGCAAGGCAAGGCGAGGCGGGGCGAAGACGGATGGGAGGCGGTCTCTTTTTTTGTTTGTCGGCCCAAGCGTTCAACCCAACCCAACCCAGTCTCGGGCTCAGGTACAGGCTCAGGAGGAAGCTTGCCCAGGTAGGTGGTTTGACCAGAATTATCTACTACCTACCTGGAGATGGTACTCTATCTGGGATATCTAGTGGGTACGTGGCTGGCACATGCCGGCAGCCCTGAAGTTGGTTGACAGCTCGTCTGTCGCCTGCAGTAGGTGCAGGTGCAGCTGCGTCAGGAAAAGCAGAGGCGATGCGGGAAGAGAGGGGGTAAACCGGGAGATATGACGGTGACAGCAGCATGCAAGAGCGAGCAGTTGGGCCCAACAGCCCAGGCCAATGCCAATGCCGAACGCGCTGCGTCAGTTGAGTGGTTGGACACCCAGCCTCCAGCATTGAAGCCCTGTGTTTGCTCTGCTGCCTGCTGTCTGCTCCCTGCTCTCTTTTGTCTGTTTTTTTATTATTATCCATTGACAAAACATATTCTACCACCAGAGAGGAAGGCCGCTTCTTGCTGTCTCCGGATTCCCGGGTCCGCTTCGGCTATAAGCTGCTACAGTACTACGGGTATTGTGTAACGGTATAAACGGCATTGGTACCTGGTCCACCCAACGGCAGACTTACTGTACTCAACAGTCCCCTATCGAGCTAGCGGGCGCATGGGCCAGATCCCCTCGACTATCAGAGGAAAGCGCCGAATCCGAATGCATCGCCATCCTCCGCGACGTCAGACTGTCCCCGTCTTTTCACCAACGTCTGTTCTTCTTCCTCGAACCTAGGAACGTGCCCCAGAGCCTTCCACTATTCTCGCAGCATACAAAGCGCGCATTTAATAGATTCAGCCTCGCGGCCACTTACTGCCCGTCTCAACAAATTCTTTAATCCTCACATCTGTATTTGTACCGTAACTGTACTCTACCTGTGCCTTGACCCTCCGGCCACCAGACGTGTCCTGCTCTGTCTATTTCCGATCCCACCACCTGCCCTTACGCTCGAGACCCGCGATATCCTGGCCACCTACTCAACGCCGGCTTGACTACACGACATACGCCCTGCTCTACCTACCTCCTGCCATGAGCCGGGCCTCGAGTCTGCCACGGTGAACCGAGGACACATACATTACCCAAGCAGAGACTGCGACATCCCACCCCAACTTCTCTCCCCTACAGTACACCATCAGACAGTCGGCACCATGTTTTGCTTACGAAGGTATGGCGTCCTCACCCTACGTCTCCCCACCCTCTTCCTGGCCTCGCTCCGCCCTCCAGGGTCATTCGCGAACCCAAGCTGACCTTCTCCCGCGTCTCCAGCTGGCTCCCGCTCCTCTTCATCCCGACCAACGCCTCCCCGGCCTTCATCTTCCTCTTCTTCGTCTGCACCTACTTCCTCAACAGGCCCTGCATCTACTGCTCCTTCCTGCTGCTCATCCTCTTCATGACCTCGTGCAACTGGTCCGACCGCTGCTTCTTCGACTTCAGCTCCAACTGGTTCCAGCCCCGCCCGGGCGTCTCCTACTTCACCGACGGGACCGCCTCCTTCACCTGCGCCGAGGCCGGGGGCTGCGCCGAGACGGGTGCCGGCGCCGGCGCCGGCGCAGGGGCAGCCGCCCTGTCCGCCGTCGAGAACATGACCGCCACCGCGAACGCCACTTACCTCGTGGCCAAGGACACCGTCAACGCGACGGCCAACGCGATGATGGGCGCCGCCGCCGAGCAGGTCGCCCAGGCGAGGAGCGAGTGGACGGGCATAGGCATGGAGTGGCTGAGGAACCTGCTGGGGAAGAGGGAGTGGAGGATCGAGTGCCTGGACGTCTACATCCGGCTGTAATCACCAATTACATGTTTGTGAAGAAAAGAGTTATTGCTGGTTTTGGAAAAGAAATGCATAGCCTGGTTTTGCGCTTCCTCTACTCTGCGGCCTTTCCTGTGACATCCGGCTGCTCTTTGCTAGGAGCACCGAGATATGAAGTCGCGCCGGCTGGCCTCATCGTCGTCTTTGGGAGGGCCGTCGACGGGGGAGGCCAGTGTCATAATACCCTTTTGTTCATAACATTATCGTATGAGAGCGCACTCAACTGTCACGGCAGAGAAGTGATACACCGGCTACACGAGGAACCAAGTATCTGAACGTGATGTGATATGCATTGTAATCATGTCTACACGGCGTTTGCTCCCCAGCCAATGCCCGAGGGCAAGCGAACCTACCCAGACGCCCTCTAAGGACCACAGCTTCAACGACTTGACGCCCACAGTCTCCGGCAGCACCTACCACGTCTGATGTCACAACTTCGACGCCGTCTTCGCCTTCTCCTTCCCCTCGTTGTCCCACTGCTCGTCCCACGGCACCCTGAACGCCATATGCTCCGCAGGCGTGGGCACGTGGATCTTGTGGTGGTCGCAGACGGCATATGTCGTCCTTCCGTCCTCACTCGTCATCCAGCCCTTGATGTACGCCGTCTGCCTGCCCACCTGGTAGACATAGGCGTGTACTATGATGGTTGTGCCTGCGCAGAGTTAGACCAAGTAGCCTTCGCCGCACCCTCGGGGGAGGTTCAATGCCCATGTCATGGCATGCCAGGGCCGGGACATGCTCCTAGGCGAAGCCAGGAGGGAACGGTGCTTTGTCTTGAGCGGCGCGCGCTGGGCAAGGGGTGGTCCTCCATGACCGGGACGACGCGCTGGGTGAACTCACCAACAGGCACAGCCTTCAGGTAGCTGATATTCAGCGTGCGCGTCACGCCACCCAGGAACCTGTAGGGCCGGAGATATCATCAGCATCGAGCACAATCACCAAGCCGCATCCAATGGCATTCCCACAGGGTGCCCAAATCCCGCCCACGAGCCCCTCGCAACCAAGGTGACACAGCCCAGTCCCGCCCAACAAAGACCAAAAGACAGGAAGAGAGAGAAAAACGGGACAGCCGAGACAGAAATATGTAATCAGCAAGAGTAACAAGAACACTCACGTCCAAAACCCAGGCCGCGCAACCGGCCCCAGAGCGATGGTGGTGAGCATGTCGAAGATGACCCCCGCCGCGCCGCCGTGCATGACGCCGTTGTAGTTGCTCAGCTCGGCGCCGATGAGCAACCTGGTCGTGCACGACGCCCTGATACCCGCGTCTGGCGTCGATCTCCCGCCGACCCGTGGGACATCACCGTCGTGGGGCGGCCCGATGGACGCGTCCAGCACGACGCAGTCGCCCATGGTCGCGTTGTCGAAGGCCGGGCCGGCGCCGGCCTGGACGAGCTTGTAGCTACGACGCCCCCCGGGGGTTGTGTGTTAGTACTAATACATGCGGGTAATGCTGAGGTCTGGAATGGGACAACTGGCGCCGGGGGTGGTGAATAATTTCGAGGAAGGGGGTGAGAGGGGAGGCAGAGCTTTGTGCCGTGCTGACGGGCGGATTGGGACGCGATGCGGTGCGGTGCGACATAACACAATGAACGTAATGAGAGGCCGTCCATACCGGTCAAAGATGGCCTGCACGCCGGCCATGGCCTTCCGCCTGTTCTCCTCCTTCGAGGGTGTAGGCTTCTCCGCCGGTCCGGGAGCCATGGCGGCGGCGGCGGCGGCGGCGGCTTCTGGCCGATCACGAGAAAAAGTAGACAGACGTTCAAACAAGTCAGTCCCTTTTGTCCAATTACTAATCCCTCGTCGGCGCCCTCTTTTGCTTGCTCTTTTCCCCTGTATTACAATCGCGGTCGCCAAAAGCGCTTGGTTCGTGACGAACGTACGTAGGTACACCCCAGATGGAAATGCCGAGGTCCCCCGGTCACGGATTCGGCCCGGGGATGCTTTGCTGATCTTGGACGGACCAGGGAGGTAAAGGGTAGGGAGCGCTCGCTCGTCAGGGTCACGCGGGTACTACCACCTACCCACCCCGGAGCTCACGTCCGTCCCGCCGTCCCGCCGCCGCCCACAGCAGGGTAGCGATCCAACTTTTTGGCCGTGGATTTCTTGAATCTGCCTGGCTGGCCTGACAGCAGCAGCAGCAGGAACAACAACAATAAGACCCCCCCCCCCCGCCCCTCGCTAGATTGTTTCCGTCCGTCGCCGGGGTAGCGAAAAATGACAGAACGAGTCATTCATCCAGAGGGCAACGGAAGACGCGGGACGAAGGGAACCGCGCTCTGTTGGCATTTCCGTTCGCCAACGTTTCAATGCTCAGATATCGCCTGATTCCTGGGATGTTTGAATTCACTTGCGACTATATTTGCCCAAGTCACAGTGGTTTGGTGACGGCATTAAGTAGGTCGCTGTACATGCAGATAATCACCCCCAAATCTCACATCCACGGGAAACGAACGAACCAAGATCGAACCCACGGGTCAGGGGACGAACTGTCTGTCTGTCCCCAGGAACCGAGGCACACACAACAACTCAGGGCCAATATGGTGGGAAAGCAGGCTTATTAACAAGCTAGAACCAGGATCGGGCCAACTTGGTCTCCCCATATCCCGGGTAGGAAATGTAGGTACATTGTGTGCATGTAATTCAGGGGGGGACCAAAAACTTGGCCGGTCCCGCGGGATGGGGTTGCACACAACGGCACGCTGTGTTTCATTATTGCCCGCATGAACACATAGGGAGGCAGGTTCACCTGCTTCGCAGGCAATAGATCCCGCACATTTCTATCTCCGTTCATATCACGCGCGCATGCACGTACGTACGTGGAGCGGCCAGGCCGGCCAATATTGGAGTTTATAATCAGGGCAGCGGCTTGCAGAGTCACCTGTCTGTGATAGACATATATGAGGCGGCTCTGAACCGTGTCCGTCTATTATTAGAGACATCAAAAGGGAGACCCGTGATGGGGTCCCGAGACTGACTGACTGCCTGCCTTTTTCAGGTTTTCCAGTCGCGCTTGAGGAGCGAACTTGTACAGTATGCCGCCCCCGGACTAAGGCACAAAAAAAAGCGGGTGTCAGATTTCCACAGACCCTTCTGGAGGATGCTGCCCTCGTGACAAACCGTCCACATATCTGCTGTGCCTCAGGTAAACTTGGTCAGCCCCCCGGGCGGTGAGAAGCCGTGAGAACCACGAGGGAAGAGATGGTGGCTCTAGGGGCTTTTGTCAAGGACTTCCGAGTCAAGTCGCCTGCTAGTTTTTGCCTGCTTTTGACCGCGGAGTCGGGCTCGCGCAGTGGCACAGAGGACAGGAAAAATTTCGTAGCACATCCACACACACCACCGCCTGTCCACCAGCCCAGATAGCTGCTGGAAGCCGGGCGCAGGATTGCCAAGACGGAACCAGCAGCTCAAGTGTCTCAACCGTCATGGTCTAGACTCCCACTCTGTCGTCACTGAACTCTGAAGGGGTGCGAAGGAGGCGTTCGTCTCCCCCTTCTCCTCTCACCACCTCGCGCAATGTGGCCGGAGTGAGGTCTCCGGAAGGGCTGCTACACAGCCATCTTCTGCAAGTACATTTACTAACCTTCTGCTCGTCCTTACAGGTCTGTGGGCCCCTGGGGAAAGTGATGAGATCAAGACTCCTGTTAGTGAGTGAGGCGGACAGACAAGAACGTGGTCCGCTGGGCTCATTGGTCCCGCGCTGTCCGTCACGAGCCACGCCATCCCGACGAGCGGAACTTTGCTAGACCCTGACTACTGAACTATGGGAAATGCAGAGAATACCATGGTGTGGGAGCGCGAGTCCCGTTCGTTTTCCCAGTTTCTGAGTGCGATCAAACTCTGTACCGGCGCCTGTGAGCCAATGTGTCAGATTTTATTAGTCCCCACTGGCACTCCAGGACCAAGTCAATACTGTCCTAGCCCACGGGCTTGGGAGCGGTGTCTCGTGGCGGACAGGGTGTTTTAGGGGCGCGTCGGGCTGTCCCTGACTATTCGCTGGTACACCCGCTACGGTCCTGCGTACCTTGTAGAGTACAGGGCGACCTGGAAAAGATTATCCATGTCGCTACAACGCCCCATAAAGAACATAATAATAATCTCCAACCAATCACAGCTTATAATTTATCCTTTCCTTAATTAAACTTACACTATTATAGCATATTTGGAATATAATGATATAAATAAGATACCTTTTTCCCTTTTATTTTTACCTCAAAAAGCTGGTATTATTTTTATGGTGACGCATAAACAAGAAAGGAAAGTCAAGGGACCCTTCGCCAACGCCACGGAAGTCACGAATTAGGCTTCTTTGTCAGGTTTCCCTGTAGGTGTCAGGCTTGGGGTGATCGGTGCAGACTTCGATTGACGAGAGTCACAACGTCGCGAGAGTGACACCGGAAGAAGCGCAGGCTCGTAAGTCTAAAGTATTGAACGGCCCTTCAGATGAATGATGAGCACCGCCGGAGTTACCTTGTACGACGGAATGGGCAGTGAGATGTCGTCACAAGCCCCTCCATTCGATTCTTCCAGAACGCCCCTGGTGGAGAGAAGAGTAAGCGGGATGACGATTGCCAACACCTCAGCATGCGCTCTGCTGCGCACTGCTGTGCTGCGCCGTGTCCGCACCGGCAGCAGAAATTCGCGAGCACAGCGCAGAGCATTTTGCTATACACCGATTTGGGCAGGGAGGTGGTCTGTCGGCATACGTGGGTGATGTAGCATCGCATCGGCATCTAAAGCCTCGTGCCGAGCTGTCGAGCCCTCCACAGGCCGAACCTTAAAAGCAAGATCGAGGAGTCGTTGGATTCTTCGCTGGCGTCGTTCCTGGCAGGAACGCAAGCCGGGTCGATCTCGTCGGATTCCCAAAGAGCCCCGAGAAAGCTGGAAATCTGGTTTGCTGTCTGGCTTTTTGGGAAGGCGGGAGAGCAGCAGCCACGTGAATTGCAGCGGTAAGATGACCCCACGGTCAAGTTCCTGGTAGACTGGTGGGACATCTCATCGAACTTGGAAGCGAGTGGAACCTCTCACGCACATCACCCAGCCTGGGGGAAATCAATCCCCACCGCATGGAATAATGGCTGAACCGGCGGAGGGAGCCAGGGTTGGAGGAGTGGACGTGCTTGACATGGTGGTGCGAGCGCATGAGAGAGGTCGACGGCAGAGAGACCAAGTTGGCAATATCTCGGCCTCCCTGCCCGTACTGGAGACTGTATCTTGGCATCTCCGAGAGGCCGTGGGGTTTTCCCAAGGCATTGGGAAGAGACGACTTGAACAGAGTTTGGCAGGGGCTCGGGAGGGTCAGTTTGCTGGGTGCCGGCCGTCCACGGTTGTTATTTTGGAGCGGACGCCGGTGACAGACAGACAGGTGCCATCATTGGTGACGCATCGTCGTACGCACGACGATCAGATTGTTGCGGTCCCTCGAGGGCGGCGCATCATGACCTACGAAAAGAACGCTCGAGACCGTCTCGAAACGGATCCGTACTGCATGCAGGAAATGACTGAGTGGTTGATTGACTCGAGTCGCTCAAATCTCGATGGCTTCAACCGACCTCTCTTTCGCATGCCAGCAGGCGTGCTTGATTGCTTGCTTGCTTGCTCTGACAAACACTCGCTGCATTGCCGCCCAGCACAGTACCACCGTGGTGCAGGTCACTCCCTCTTTAGAAAGCTGAGGTGGTCTGAGTGAAACACGTCTGGCGAGGGCTGGGCTCATGGACTCGGTTCTAGAAGCACCAAAGTCCCATCAATGACGATGATGAGGTTTGAGTGGCAGTGGGGGTGGGTGATAAGGAAGGAACCGCACGGCGCGGGGGGCAGGTGCCCTGTGTAGCTTGTCCCTCCCCAGCGGCGCCGTTAACAGCGGGTTCTGGAAAATAGGGGTCCTGGGCTCGCCTGGGCGTGGCCATTGGCCAGAGCCCCGAATTGAGATGTGACGCTGCTGCGGTTTTGAGTTTTGGCTTGCACAAGGCAGGCCCGACCACGATGGGGCCGAAAGCTGCCATATGTCGTCATTGGTACGCCACCGAGGAGCATGCTTGGGGTACGTACTGTACCCGGGCGACCGCCGCACCGCGTGGAACAGGTACACAGCAGTCCCAGTCTGGTATTGGCAATTCTGGACACGGCCCCGTCTCGATCAGGACCAGACCCCCCCCCAAGATTGCCTCTTCTGTCCCCCTGCCCGCCCCGACGTTGTACAGAGTCTGTTCTGCCTGTGCGACTCCAGTCTGACTGGCTATTTGCGGAGCCCACCGAGACCATGAACTACGGGCCGCTGAAGATACTGTACTCTGTGCGCATCTGACTGTAGTAAAACCATCAGACCGACGGGCTTCCCTCTTTCACGCATGATCGTGGATGGAAAGTGGGACACCAGCGGCACCAGCAAACATGCTCGCAAGAGCAGAGCGCCCGCTTTTTCCGTCACTGTCTTTTCATCATGACGACGGTGACGACAACGATCAGGGGTTCAGGCATTCCGCGAGCAAGAGCGTCGAGTGCTTGGGAGAGGGGCAGTGCTGCCCAAGAGCCTCACAGCAGAGCAGGCCGCCAACAACGTCCAAGGTGGGTGTGGCACGCAGGCTGTTTCAGTGATTTGGGCTGCTGTGGGAAGCAATGGGCCCTATTTGTTCGTATGGGCTGATGGAGACATGCATGCTAGACATCAAACATACTTACACGTGCTGACGTGTAGAGTATCCCGACTACCCGCAACTCTGCGGAAACGCGGTCGCTGAACGGATGCATGGGCCGTCATGTCACAGGTTTGGCCGGATTGGTGACAGCATGCAGGCAAAGATTGATAGGCGGTGATAGTCACTCGCTGAAGCAACGGTTTGATAAGATGCCAATGTACCTAGTCCAGCGCTCGTACCTTGGTGGTTTTCGAGCCGTGTAGATCACTTCCCCCTCAGAACAACTGCTCCGTAATGTCTTCCTTGCAGGCCCCTCTCCCCCCGAGTTGCCGTGCTCGTGTCTCTGCATCCCCCATTTCCACATCCAAGATGTGCCTTTCTCTGCTGTCTGCACATCAAGCTGCGGTCTCTCAAAGGGTGTCGGTCTGTCAGGCCGATATCACAGAGTAGTGGTTGGAAGGGTATTCTTCGGCAGTACATGTAGAAAAACAGTGGCGGGCGATGATCCCAGTGCGTGCACATGCAGCTTACTAGGAGAGCTACAGGTGGGCAGCGAGCTCCCAAGAGGAATGAATGCCTGTGCCGGTCCTGTTCAAGCATGGGCGAGCTGTGTGCTACCGTACCTAGTTCTGCTGATCCTCAACTCACCTCATGTCGACATGAGGCTAGTAGGTAGTACTAGGTAGATAGTCTAAATAATGTATGCACTGGCTCATCACACGACTGACAGGACCCCTCTTTCTCTAGCCCAGGCCAGGGTCGAGGCGATGCCCGAAAGAGACGGCCAAGTCCAGCAAAGGCTTATTCCGCAACCTCACGCTACCGCAGGGTGGTGGTCTCCCCCCATCTCTTTGGACCCCTACTTTTCGGGACTCTCACCTGCTGGAGCCGTAGCCGTGACCAAGTTTGGTCCCTTGTTGTTCCCTGGAGTCGTTTCAATCATCCATTTCCCTCGCCGACCGACTAGCCTCCTCGTCGCTCTTTTTGGTTCTGCACTCTGACTCCCGGATTCTTGGATTTTCTGCAGCACAGCTGCAGGAACCTGGCAATCAATCCAGTTGTGTCTCTGTGTCTCCCGAAGTCGGTTGCGACTCCTGGTCCCAAGGGTAAGGGTCCATCTGCTCGTTCCTTGACCTGAAATTGATAGACCTCGACCCCTCCCTGTCCAAGACCCCCCCTGCCCCTGCCGTCCTCGTTGCAGGGAACTTGCTGATGACATCTATGTACTGTCCCCAGCAGCAGCCTCGACTTGTTGGACAACCTTCCCCACAGGGCACGCAGCAAGGGTCTGGGACCACCAACTATTACTACTATCATATCCAATCCACCCTTGGACCCCCATGAATCCCATTCCGACATCAATTCCCATTTCCCAGCGACCTTCGATTCCCACGTCTCTGCTCCAGTCGTTTCTGTGCTGCTCGACAACATCACCCCCTCCATAGCCGCGCAAGAGCACAAGACTTCCTCGACCGTCGACTACCCGAGACACTGGACCTGCCTTTTTTTTTGGTCACACGCCCGCCCTCCAGCAGAAGGAATTTTGAGACTTCGAGATAGAGGCAAAGACAGAGAGAGACACGAGAGAACGAGCGAGGCGGGTCAAGTCAGCCGGCGCCACCCACACCTCAAACTTGGCCGCCCTCTCCCATCCACCAACCTCGAAATCACCATATGCAGCCGCCCTGCAAACATGACCTTATGAAAGTAACTCGCAGGCAGGACGGCCCTGACACCGCAAGACGTGGACGAAAGCTTCGCTTGAGAACCAACCCACTTTTGCATGTCAGCGGCAACAATTCGCAGAGAGTCCACATAACTCCTAGGAACATGGCGCCCCCAGAGCCGAGAAACAACTTCGAGCGCGCCGCTCCTACCGTCTACTACAACATGAAGACCTCAAGACCACCTCCCATCACCTCAAAATCGCACTCGTCACAACCATATCCCTCGGCCAGCTCCTCCCACGCACGGTCACAATCCAGCAGCCACTCGAGGACCTCGACCAAGTCCTCGTCACCCATGGCTTCGCCTCGCGGTCCTCTGTCGGTCGCCGCCTCACACCCACCAAAGCTTTCTCCGTCAGCCGCTCCTAGAAGCCTCTTATCCACACCCCTGGGACAGGCACATGGTCAAGATGCGAGGACCCCTTCCCCCAACTATTTTGGACAGCAGGCCGAGTCCATCGACGCGATGGAAACAGGCGGGGCTGCTCAAGACAGATGGAGCCCCTCGACGTCATCGGTGAAGAGCTTTGGCGCCGCCTTACCGAAGCAGGTGCCTCTCGATGCCAACCCGGATTTCGAGGCTTTTAGGAAGCAAGCAGATGCAAATAGGGGGAGGTCGTCATTCAGCCTGGGATCTTCTCACTTTGGCGGCACCACACCCCTCACACTTGCATCGGGACCGCCAGCATCAAGGCCGCGTCCTCCACGATGGCACACCCATGGTACCGATACCACCACGACGCCGGGGCTCACACGCTCGTCCAGTCATACCACCGACATACCAAGGTTGAAGGAAGCGATTCCAGAGAAGATGGACGTGGATAATGCAAGCGTCAGCACACACGACTCCGCATATGTTTCTGCTGATTCAAAGCGCAACTCAGAAGCGAGCGTCAACCAGCCGAGCTTCTTCAACCTGCCAAGACACGAGTCGCCAGCGCAGTTTGATTCATCTTTCGATAAGAGGGGCGGGCTGTCAAATGTGGACGATCGTCACCCAAGGTTGTCACTGGCTCATGACAAGGTCGAGCCGCCGTCGCCGAATCCAGTCTCGAACCTGAAGGCTCGATCGGACACCGTGCCTGCTACGTTGGATGCGACCGGGCCGTCTATGATCTCACCGACGCAACTGAAAGAAATGTTGGATTCTCCATCGAAGAATGAAGTACTGCTCCTGGATCTCCGAGTGTCTCCACAATACGCCCAGTCTCGCATCAAAGGCGCGTTGAATTTGTGCATCCCAACGACGCTGCTGAAGCGCGCCACCTTCAATCTTCACAAGCTTCAACAGACCTTTCAAGGCAATTCAGACCAAGAGAAGTTCGCGAAGTGGCGAGACACGAAACATCTGGTGGTGTATGACGCCTTCTCGTCCGAAAAGAAGGATGCCGTCTCCGCCATGAACACGATCAAGAAGTTCACTAACGAGGGCTACACTGGTCAATGCTCGGTCTTGAGGGGCGGCTTCAACGCTTTCGCGGCATCCTATCCGGCCCTCATTGAGAAGGGTAACACCTCAGAGCAGTCCCCTGGCCGGCCGACACTGTCATTACCTGGCGCCAGCGGCTCAAGTAACAGCGGAACAAGACCAAGTATTGCGCCTGTTGTCGGCGGAGTAATGCTTCCCAATACGACTAGCGCGGCGAATCCCTTTTTCGCCAACATTCGACAGAACCAAGACCTGGTTGACGGCGTCGGGCAGATGGATGTGAAGGTGCCGCAGGGGACAGAGATGGACGCACTTCCGGGATGGTTGCGTGAGGCTGCAACTCCATCAGACAAGGGCAAAAAGGTCAGCGACAAGTTTCTGAAGATTGAGCTCGCCGAGCAATCACGTATGAAGGGTGCCTATTCCTACCTCAACCCCGGGACAGCTGTCGGTGCCGGAGGAGAAGCAGAGGAGAAAGTCGTATTGAGCGGTATTGAAAAGGGCGGCAAGAACCGGTACAAAGACATACTACCGTTCGAGCATGCTCGGGTTAAACTGCAGGGCAAGCCAGAAGGCGCCTGCGACTATGTAAACGCCAGTCACATCAAGGCCTCCAGAAGCCACAAGAGGTATATCGCCAGCCAGGGTCCACTGCCGGCAACCTTCGAGGTAAGTTACACTGCCCTATCCCTCAAACATCGTGCTTGAGCTGACCCTCCCCTAGGACTTCTGGTCCGTGATCTGGGACCAAGACGTTCGTGTGATTGTGATGCTCACAGCAGAATCCGAGGGTGGTCAACTCAAATGTCATCCGTACTGGAAAGACCGTGAATTCGGGTCCATCAAGCTACGCGCGTTATCTGAGAAGAAAGTGTCGCTTGACATTGACAAGAACAGCTCACAACCTACCACGTCGACCGATTCTAGCGACTCAAGTTCTTCCTCCAGCACAGCACAGCCAGACGATGCCTTCGGCTTCGGTGCTGCAGCAGCTGAAATGGGCCGGCGAAGAGCGAACACCACGACGACTTTGGATGCCAGCCCACAACAGGGGCAAGCCAAGTCGGCCGCCAACCCTCCAAACCATGGCGAGACTCCATACGTGATCATTCGGAAGTTCGCTCTGTCCCACTCTGCTCATCCCTTTGCCCCCATGCGCGAGATTACCCATCTGCACTACCCTTCCTGGCCCGATTTTGGTGCGCCTGCTCAGCCGAGCCACCTCCTGGCGCTTGTCGACCTCGCAAACGTGATGCAACGGGCGGCACTGCCTGTTGATGTGACCACCACACTAGCCACGGCCAAGAGCCCTCGACAATCTGAATCGTCGACACAAGGGAAACCCGCACGCAGTCCAAAGAAACGAACACGTGCTCAAAGTGGGATGCCTCTCGCCTGGTGGGAAGAGCCCGAGGCGGACCAAAACGCGCGTCCGATGCTTGTACACTGCTCGGCGGGCTGTGGACGCACTGGTACCTTCTGTACTGTCGACAGCGTGATCGACATGCTCAAGCGTCAAAGGATGCGCAACATCAAGAGGGCTAACGCCAATATCGAGAAGAAGGTTCGCGCGCACAAGCTGCAACCTCCCCCGCAGGTTCCGCAAGACCAAGAGGGAGATGTTGCCATGGCTGGTCTCTCTTTCAACTCGCTCCAAACCGCATTCAGCGACCGAACCGAACGGCGGGACCCTTTCGACGACGCCATCAGCCCTGGCACCGCTGCACCGCCGAAGTCGCCTGCGTTCCCTGATGTAACCATGGCCTCGCCCTCTCCCGCTCGGTCCAACTCTCCGTCCGACAGCGAAGACGACTATGGCAATATCGACAGGTCTTGGATTGATGATGACACTATGGATCTTATTGCGGCCACTGTCACTGACTTCCGGGGCCAGCGCCTGTCGATGGTGCAAACGCTGCGCCAGTTTGTCCTCTGTTACGAGACGGTTGTCGAATGGGTTTGGAGACTTCAAGAGCGCGGTGGCCCTGCTGGGTCCGTCGTCGGCGCACCCGGGACGGGGGCCGGTGGGACGGCCGCGATGCGGGCTAGGGGCCGCAGCGGCACCGTGGCCCATGTGGGACATTCGAAATAGGATGTGGTTTTCAAACCACACGGTCACAATGAGTACGCGCCAACGCCCGGGGCGACGTTGGTCATGGGCTTATTTTGGAGGATGGCTAAACTCACCTGAGCCGAGCTTCAGAGTCTCCTGGCCCCCGATTTTCTACTACCAGTAAAGGTTGCATTCAAATTACATCATGCGCACAGGGCGGGACGGGCGACTACCAGCCCTTGTTTTCAGGCGTTCTAGGGCACACACAGGATCGGCGCCGTGGAATTGGCTCGGGATAAAGACCAAGATGGTTCATCTGTTGTTTTCACTCCCCAATTGTTTTTCTCTTTCTCCCTATCCCGGTGTTTGCATGGTCCAGAACGGAAAAACCGGCTCATGGTTGGGTTGGGTTTTCGTTAAAGCATTTGTATACAGCAGAGGGTCGATCACGGGTCCCCAGCCTTACTACTACTTACTCCTCCAATATCAATGCCGTTTGGATACGGGCTTGTTTCTTCTCGTGTGTGTGTGTGTGTGTGTGTGTGTGTGTGTGTGTGTGTGTGTGTGTGTGTGTGTGACATGTGTCTTGAGGGTCTGTGGGCTGGGATTGTGTGATGGTGAGCCGGGTGCTCGGATACAGCCGCTGTAAGATGGAAGTACTTGCTTGCCTCATGGGTGGACTCGGTCCTGGTTCTTTCTTCATCGTTCCTCATCATGTTGACAGTGCTTCTTGTGGACGTCGACTATGTTGGACCAACTTGTCCGAGTGCGTAAGTGTGTGGGCCTAGACAGCCTGTCCTTAGACTTACAGAAGATGCCATCTTACCGTCCACACCCCTTGCTCGCACCACACTTCCCTCCAGTCCGCCACGTCCTCGTCTTATACCCCGTAGAGGCCAACCCCATCATAGACGTCTTCAAACCAATGTCATTTTTTCTGCTCCGTTGAGGTGCTGGTGTACGGTCATGGCTGGGAACATGGGCCGGCGGAGTTCAAGGGGAACGAGCCTGGCGTTAAGGGCGTCTTGGCCGTTACCGACTCAAATGACCGGGGCCAGCTCCTTAGGATTTAGACCGGTACGCTTGTGAGCAAGAATTCGCGTTGGAATTCGAGGCAGGTTGTTGTCGAGGGTGCGAACTATAAGTGGGATTGTTTGAACTGCCGTTTTGTGGGTTGGTTGGTTTAAGGGGAGGAAATCTGGACAGTGTTATTCCTGGACCTATACTTTGTGCCCTTCCAAAACTTTCAAAGGGGTATCCTAGGGGATATTTGACATTTGAAAATTCGAGAATTACAAAAAGCCACCTAAGCGAAAATGAAGACCTGTAGGCAGCTACTAAGATCAGGAAAGGGGTTTGTGCATCAGATGGTGGGTTTTGCCATATTTCTACACTTTACCTACGCCAGGACAACCCTCCAACATATTCATTTTATATGTCAGAATCTCTCGTGCAGTCTTTTTGTGTGTATTTCAAGACACTGCTCTTACTGGAATCGAAAGGGACTGTCCGGTTATCATACTCACAGGTAGATAGCATGCTCTCCGTTCAAGCTACAAGCCCTCAGCTTCGACACATGACCAGGTCTACAAAACCTGTGAGCCCAGAAAATGAAAAGATACTTAGACTCTGAGATCCCCACGCGGGAACAAAGAGACCACATCGGGATAAAAAGGACGCCACGGCTGGGACGTTTTCCCCCAACTGCCATCAGTCTATGACATCACTTCTGGAGGTAAACTTTTTCAATCTTGTCTCCCATTTAGACAACGTCTCCTTCACATCTCAATTATTACCAATTCGTAGTGAACTTAAACAGGAGTCTTATTCATGATCATCACATGCACTATATTTGGCCTCTATACATCATGTCTAACGCCAGTCTCAACGGTGAGTGCGACCTCCAGACCCACCAAACCCACCCATACCTCTCTTGGAGATCTGGCACCAAACGAAGACACTAATTACCATGCAGTGTTCCGCCAGCCTCTCAAGCTCTTCTCAACACAGCCCATGACAGGCTTCCACCGCGACGGCTACTGCCGCACCAGCGCGCTGGACCGCGGGAACCACGCCCTGGCGGGCGTCGTCTCGGAGGACTTCCTCGACTACACCGCCCGCCAGGGCAACGACCTCCGGCCCTTGGGCCTTAGTGAGGGCTGCAAGTGGTGCCTGTGCACAGGCCGGTGGCTCCAGACCCTCCGGGCCTTCGAGAGCGGCAGCATCCCGCGCAGCGCTGTCCCGAAGGTCGACCTCGAGGCCACGGAGGAGAGCGCGCTGAGGAGCGTCGATCTGGAGACACTGAGGGCGTTTGCTGTTGAGGGGCAGGGGCGGCAGGGGCAGCAGGTCAATGGTGTTAACGGCGTGAATGGGTTCAATGGGCACTAGGAGCAGATCACTTGTATTTGATACATGTTGTTTCTTGCCGCGTTCCTCCGAGCCCTGCTCTGCAAGGCTTGTATATTACTTCCATTTCACCCATACTCTCATATCGCCTCGATCTATGCTCTCTTCACTGCCCTAAGAAATACAGTATCAGGCCGTCTCATCTGCAGTGTGATCTGGGTCTCACTGTCCTCGATGACCGCGAGGCACCGCTTCCGCGCCTGTTCCTCCGTCTCCAAACCCTCTGGCACGACTTCTATTTTATAATCCCGCAAGATACTCGAAACAACGGCCAACACCTCGACCTGAGAGAATTTCTTGCCCGGGCAGACGCGACCACCAGATGACCAAGGGAAGAATGTGATGCCTTTGCCATCGGGAGACGTCGTCTTTTCTCTGACCGAGGCGGGCAGGTCGAGAAGCACCTCGGAGGCGGTGTCACCGGGTTGTTCGATCCATCGCCCCGGCCTGAAGACCATGTGATCCTCCCCCCAATGCTCGGGCATCGTGTGAGACGCGATCACGTTCGGCGCTACTGTCGTCCCGGGCGGAAGGAGAACGGACCTGCCGTCTATCAACAACTCCTGGCCATGAGGGCCGACGGTGGCCTTGTTGATACTGAGCACCGGGGCGTAGAATCGGAGTGTCTCGAACTATTGGAGAGCAGTCGGTCAGCTTAAGGGACACACGGCGCGAGTAGACAGCTTGTCTGTATCAAGGGGAAGGCAAAGGACAATGACTTACCAAGAATGCACGGCAGCGTTTCAAGTTGGGGAACACGTCCTCGTAAGCCGTGTTCACCTGTCCGTCCGCAGATACCGTGTACACCGCATCGACCTCCTCGCGCACCCACTCCTGCCACTCCGGGAACGCAGCGAGCAGGTAGATGGCAAAGCTAAGCGTGTTGGCCGTGGTCTCGTGGCCGGCAAGGTTATAAGTAAACAGGTTGCCATACAACTCATCATTGCTCAGGCTCGCCTTGACACCACCGCCGCCGCCAGCCCCCTTCCCGCTCTCCTCCTCCCGCCGGACCTCCTCGGACTTGAGCACCAGCGCGCTGAGGAACGTCGAGTCGTCCGTCCTCAAGTCCCCGCTCGCAATGTCCGCCTTGCGCTGCCGCACCATCTCCTCCATGTGCCTCCCGAACACCCGCCGCGCCTCCACGAACCGCGATAGGTACCCGCTCGGGATGCACCACCCGGGGAGGCGGTACACCCACTTGGGCGTGACCACCAGCGTCCGCACGCTGCTCAGGAGGACGTGCAGGCTCTCGCGGTAGCTGCTCGCGGCCTGGACATCGCCGCCCTGGGCCCCATGCTTCTCGTTCTCCGCATCATGCGCCGGCCGGAAGTCCCACGACTCCCCCAGCGCGGCGGTCGCCAGGATATTCAGCGACACGGCCACCGTGTCCGCGGCGGTGGTGTTGAACCCCTCCGCGCCGCTCCCGCTCCAGCACGCCCCGGCCTGCGCGGCCTGCCGGAGTGCCTCGTCCCAGACGCGGCGGTTGTTGCGCTCGTTAAAGGGCGACGCCGTGACGCGGCGGTGGCGGCGCCACTCTACGCCCGTCACGGACGAGATGTTGGGGCCGTAGATGTCGACGAGGTGCAGCACGTCGGCGGGCTTGTCGAAGTGCCCCCGCCTCCCAAACACCTGCGCGTTGACGGCCGGGTCGGCGCAGTGGAGCTCGAGCTCGCGGGGCGTCACGTGCAGCCAGGACCTGCTGCCCAGGTCGGCGAAGAGGAGGTACTTGTCGTCGAAGAACCAGCTGAGCACGTTGTGGCGCGTCCAGGAGGTGAGCGGGGCGGGCAGGTTCCGCCTCATCCAGGGCGCCAGGCGCCGCTGGAGGACGAGCCACAGCGGGTTGAGCTTGCTGACGGGGCTGATGACCAGCGGGAGGCCCGTCTTGCGGGCGGCGGCGTAGTTGGTCGCGAGGGAGAGGGCGGTGCTGCCGAGGAGGTAGGCGAAGGGTAGAGCGAGGGACCAGATGAACCACATTGTTAATAAGGCTATGTATGTATTTTTGTATACCTAGGTAGTGACTAAGGATGGTAGTCTTGGCTTGCTAGTGCATTAGTGGGAAGTACGTCGCAATGGACATTGATGATGAGGACTTATATAAACCTCACCTTCAAATGTAAGTGTGTTGAGGTGCATTGAGGAGTGTTCATCTCGGCATCGTATTCGTTCAGTTGGCCAATCGCATGGAATCTTGGATCGACATTGCGTTATGTCCATGCCATGAAGCGGACATGGCAATAAAGCAGGAGTCCGACTTAGCGTACATAATTGTGAGGCCAGTGATCGTGTAGAAAGATTACCGACATAGGCAACGATGGCGGGTAGGGACCCTGAAATAACCAGTGCCAAGGAATGACCAGTTCCAAAAACACAATGAGCAGCTTATTCCAGGAGCGGCACGGCCTCGGTGATAGGAATCCGCCAGCGGCCCGAAAATGTTCAGGTAGAGAACAAATGGATGATACAAGGGCATAAACGTGGCAAGTCCCAAGGCACGAACACCTCATATATCAGAGCGGGTAGTAAATGCCCAGGCCAGATGCACAGGCGAGGCGCCCTCGCCTTGTGTCAGCTATACACACGAGAGGAGGCGACTGAGTGGAACAGGCTTGAGTGCTTCTACTCCTTCATAAGGGCGATCGAGGTCTGTGAGTGAAAAGGGGGAGGAAGCGTGGGGGCGAGAGGACACTGGAGAGTTGGTCAAGGTGGCCGCGGTGCCCAAGTGGCAACTCATATACGCTTCTGATTTCTATCTCGTGCCGGTCTAGACAAGATACGGAGTACATGTAACAACCCTAGGAGGCACCTAGATGTGACCGGTACCGTGGCTGCAGTCAACATCTCACTCATGAACTGTGGTCGATGCGTTCTGTTCGAGTTTGCTGCTCATCACTCAATGCTCTGAGATCATAATTACTGCCAACACAGCTCGAGGAATGCAGGCATGAACAGTGTATGAAGTGACCGTGGTTACCTCAGTGAGGCGCCACCAGCCACTCCAGGATCCAGGCGTTCGTGAAGGACGCTTTGCTGCCCAGAGGGTTGACATGGGCTCAGTGCGAGTCTATTCATAATTTCATCAATTAACACCTCTACCCATAGTGTTGTACAAGTCGGACAAGTAAGTGCCCAAGCTGTTTCCTCGGCTTTTCGTTTTGTAGAGCACCGGTCCAACCTTCCCGTTTCCGACCACCACGACCACGCCAGCGCCACACCCGACCCACCAGATCACTTGAACAGGCGCTGCAAGCTGACCTCCTTGCTGCCGTCGTGCTTGTTCAGGATCTTGGCCGTGGCCAGCTCAAAGTCCTCCTGCGTGACGTGGACCCTCCTCTCGCGCAGGGCGTACATGCCCGCCTCGGTGCACACGCCCTTGAGCTCGGCGCCGGAGCAGCCGTTCATCTTCTCCGCGATCTTGGTGAGGTTAAGCCCGCGCGTCAGGTTCATCTTGCGCGAGTGGATTCGCAGGATGTCGGCACGGGCCTCGACGCTTGGCGGGGGGAACTCGATCTTCCTGTCGATTCGCCCGGGCCGCAGCAAGGCAGGGTCGAGGATGTCGAGCCGGTTCGTCGCCATGATGACCTTGATGTTCTTGGTGGGCTCGAAGCCGTCGAGCTGGTTGAGCAGCTCCAGCATCGTGCGCTGCACCTCCGAGTCGCCGCCGCTGGAGCCCTCGACACGCGAGCTGCCGATGCTGTCGATCTCGTCCATGAAGATGATGGACGGGGCGTGCTCCCTCGCCATGACGAACAGCTCGCGCACCATCCGCGAGCCCTCGCCGATGTACTTTTGCACCAGCTCCGACCCGGACACGCGGATGAACTTGCAGTCGGTGTGGTGGGCTACCGCTCTCGCCAGGAGGGTCTTGCCTGTTCCTGGCGGGCCGTAGAGCAGGACGCCCTTTGGTTGTGCGATTCCGAGGGACTCAAACAGCTCGGGGTGCTTGAGGCCGAGCTCGATGACCTCCTTGATTTCTTTGATTTGTTGGTCCAGGCCACCTATCATGTCGTAGGTCGAGTCGGGCACCTTTTCGACCATCATGAGGGAGACGAGGGGGTCCACGGAGGAGGGGAGGATCTTCTCGAGTTTGTATGAGTCGGACAGGAGGGTGACTCGCTTGCCGACTGTGAGCTTGGCGATATCAACGGAATCTGATACATCGACGACTGCAGCGGGTGTCAGCATGCTGATGAGGTCAAGACCATCGGCGCATCAATGGTCTTGTGTCGTCCGATTGCGCCATGATGGACCTAGATTATTAGGAAAACATACCGTATTTTCCCTCTGGGTGGACCTTAACCAGCACCTTCTTGGTGCTCATGACCTTGACGACCTCTCCGACGTAGGAACCCGGTTGCTGCAGCAGGCCCAACTCTTCCCGGAGAAGGCGCACCCTGGAGTTGTAGTCGTTCCTCTGAGCCTCGAGGCGGCGCAGAACAGCTTGACCCTTGAGGATCTCGAGCTTCATCGCCTCGATCTTGTTGTGGTAGTAGTTGTCGAGCGCCATGGTGATGGAGGCTGCTCGGGGAGCTTGCGCTTTGGCTGGGGCTGACGTCGAGGGGGAGGAGCTTGGAGGAGACTCGTCGTCGTCCTCGGTCGGCGAGGGGTTTAGCTCGTCTGTGGGGGGTTCAGAGGCTGAGTGATCGAGCTGCGCTGGTTGTGTGTTGAGTTGCTTGATGGATATGAAGATGTCGGTTGTCACGATGCGGCGCAAGCAGAAGGCGAACAGCTGCCACAGCCGTTGCCGCAGGCAGTCTCGGCCAACGCGTCGTCCATCACCGCTGGTGGCCCGTGCTTCTGGACCCATGTCGATTCTCCTTCTGAGTGCTGCCGTCGAGTGTTGGCGGGAGCTGGGAGATTAGATAATCATGAGAGACGTCATATTGGACCGAGCTTCTACCAGCTCTGGTCAGCAAGACTGCAAGTTACTGCTTTGGTTCATTCTATATCCAGTCTGTATATATCGACATACGGGTCTGTTGTTGTTGGGACAAGAACTCAGGTTTCACGCAGCACATTGGAGACTCATGTTCAGCCAGCCTCAGAGACATGCTATGTCTCGGTCTTTGGGGTGTTAAAGGCCGTAGTGGGAGGATAGCGCAATCGTTTGTGACCTGTGCCTCCCGAGGTCATCCGTATGGACAGACTCACCCTCCTTCACAGGTGAAGCGTCACGCGGCGCTAGATTTCTGATGTTGAGACCCAAGTCTCGAGATCATCTGGCGCTTCCGGTCGAGCCGCACGACGCCGATTGTGAGAAAAAGAAACATCCATAGCCTGCACAGGAACCCTTAGTTCAGGGCCAGTGTTCGTCCGAGATGCTGCCCTGTCCTGGTTGTTTTGTTTTGGTCGTTGAGGGGAGCGAGGCATATCCCAGGTCCTCATGTTTCCGGGAGTACCCAGACTACCTAGGCACTCTCTACTATCAAGCTCACTTACACAGTAGAGTGCTTTGAACTCAATCGGGGGCCCCAATGCAGAGAGCAAGATGGCGGTGAGGCGCCACCAGCTACAATTGCTGGGCTGCACCTCGGCACCCCGGCGATTCCTACCTACCGGATGATGGTCCGGTCTGTATTCACGGCTGCAATCACAACTGCCGTGTCAATTCCAGTGCAGCCAGCCAGTGATTCGGTCATGTAAAACCTGTTGGCCTGGAGCAAGGAAGAGCAGGTGTACTGATTTGACGTTGGTAAAGGGAAAACCCTGTACGTGAGGGTATCTGGGCGTGTTAGGTGCCATACTGTACCGTGCAACAACATGAACGAGTCTCGAGACAGCGGTGACTGGTGGCAAGTTCCCAGTCTCGGAGACTAGATAGCAACGGTCAAACCTGACACACCTAGAATGCGGCAACGCAACCACACCACTGGGGAGCCTCGCATATCATGTCACATGGGTGGCAGAGAATTAGGTGGATGATCTGAGATGTGGACCCTTTGGGTTGCGTCCGACCCAGCCAAGTTTGACCTGCGCAGGGTTGAGGCGGCTGCAAGGAATTTAGGGGAGGGCCCGATGATGATGGGTCCTGGATTCACGATGATGAACACTGCCAATCTGGGGCACCGAATGTGACCAGTGACCAGTGGACTGTGGCCAGTGGTATGATGCAGGCCCGACTCGGCTGAAATACATTCTAGCAGCGTTCTCTACTGTATGCAGCAGAAACGGTTGATCAGATACCTATCGGTTCGCAGCTCCCGCATGTGGCCCCCCGTCTGGTGTGGTGGGCTGAGTCGGGACGGATCTGTACCCCTCAACATGGCACTGCTCCAGGCCAATGCAATGCGACATCATCGGGCATGAGGGACCCTCTTCCCATGCTATGCCGTGCCATGCACCCACGGCTACATCGGGCTGCGATTTACAACACAGACATGTTCACCGTGGTCAGTCCGCAGCAGCAGAAATCGATGTCTATGTCAGAGCAGGCGGGAGGACGAGATGCCTGCATGTCTGGAAATCTGCATGTCAGAGGGCGGGCTGGTGCCGCGGCGGGAAGATTGTAATATCGTCAGCAATCCAGCTGTTGCTACCCACCGTGTTGTGTTGGTGCTGTTGCTATTTGAATCCGACTGATTAGTGTCACAGGCAACTAAAGTACCAAAGTACTCAAGTGGCTGGAGTATGTACTTGGTCTACTGTAGAAAATGTACTTTCAGTAGACAAACACAGAGGTATTAGCCATGGCCGAGGCCTGATCTGCTCGGCTCCGTTTTTCTGGCTTCTTGGGGCTGTCTGGAGTGGGCACAAAACAGTGGGCTGTGAGCAGTGGTAGCCCTGCGTTGCCCTCATCTGGCGGGCCCAGGCTTACAGGTCTGTTCCCGCCTGTGGTGTTGGGGCACCCGTGCGTCTCTCTGCAGCCCTGGACCCGGTACATGTGCCTCCCGCCCGCCTGTCCGCCCGCCTGCCCACCAGCCCGGCCTGCCCATCCAAGCGCCCAAATGGCCTGCTCAGAGCAGAGCAGCACGGACAAGTGCCAGGGTGCCGGGGTGCGTGCTTGCTAATAATACTGGCGAGCTGGTGGAAGGATCAGCTTGCGGTTGGTTGGCTGGGCACTGGGCCCTTCCTCCAAAGTCCCCAAGGCTCTTGTCCGATGTTGATCTTCGCATCTGGTCCGAGTCAAGTCGAAATTCCAAGAAAAGTCCTCACCTATGATGGCAGCTTGCACGCACTGAGTGCGAGTCCATCGACTGACCGAAGTACATGCCAACCTGCTCCTCGGCCGTCGACCCTCGTCCCTCAAACCCGTATCACGCCCACGACGACTTCCTTTCCCCTTCTTCCTTGTTCTCCCCGAGCTTGTTGCCTTGATTCCTCCTCCTCCTTCTCATCTGCCTGGGGTTTCACGCAGGCACTGCCATGACTCCAACCTGCCTCTAGACTGGAGCTCTACCCTCCGTCAGCTTGACCCACACCAGCTCTACACATGATCGGCCCTCTTCGATCTCCCCAGAATCACCACCACATGTAACGCTCCGGGACCCAATTTCGCCCATCTTTGCTTCGCCCCTGTTCCTTGTTTATCTTCTTTCTCGTACGTACTCGTAACTTGATACCCCTCTTATATCGAGCACGCACATCAGCCCAAAGGTTCAGCCGGCCATATCGTGATCGTGCCCGACGCAACGCGACGTGGCTCGCCTCGCCACAAGTCAAACAGGCAGTGAGCACACCTCGCGCACTCACTCAGTCTGTGTGCATGTGTGTGAAATACGCTACATTTTGGGACGAGCTTGTCGGACCCTCGGACGAGCAGCTCCGTCGACATGGACCATCCTCACCAAAACAAGCCAGACGACGCCAGTGAGGCGTCGCGCCGCTCCTCGGTCGCGCCCTCGCCCACAGACGTCCGGAGTGCGAGCAGATACGAGTCCATCACCGGCCGAGACGACGACGGTTTCTCAGAGAGCTACCAGTCTACAGATACTGTGCGGAGGAGACCAGATGCTACAGCAGGATACGGTACGTGTGACCTGCCACTTCCCGTCATATCGCGCCCCTGTGCCCCTTAGATCTCTCTCTGCTGCATCGCCCAACTTCGCTTGCGATCGCATATTTCGCGCTCGTGCTACTTCAAAGGTCCTAGGCTAACCTGACTCGCCCGCCTCAATAGGCACCAGCAGCCCTTCCGTTGGCACCGCATCCTCGTCACAATATCTCGAGCCTACGACTTCCAACGAGCAACGACACCACCAGCGCATGGGAACCAACTCGTCACAACTGTCTCGCTCCCCCGTACCGCCATCCACCCACGACCGCGGAAGGGCCAAGCCGCGCAAGCCACCACTGTCGCGACGAGCTTCCTCCAATGCCCAAGCACCGCACCGCGGAGGCGTCTTCTCTGTGGACGATGCCCTTGACGAGATCGAGGCGGACCAGGTGAACGAGCTGCAGCAAAGCTACTCAACCGTGCGGAGGAGGCAAGCCACGGCGCCAAAATTGAGCAGGATACAGTCGAGCCGGGACGCGGCCGGATCCAGCGAGGACGTGCCACCACCGAAGACCCCAGTAATTGTAGAGGAGCAGAACGATGACGCCCCAGATGCAGAGGCCGGGGAAGGGAGCGTACAAGCAGGCGACGGGATAGACGAAGATACGCCTGTCGACGACGATGAAGATGACGGTGACATCAGCGACGCCGAGAGCTTCACGCTCAAGGACAGGCAGGCGGCCATAAACGAGACGCACCCATTTGGTATCAGGCTGTGGAAACCTGCTCTCTACAAGAAGGACAGATCGGTCCAGAAGAATGCAGAGGTGGACATTCACAGCTCGCCCGGCGGCAGGGTCAGTAATTGGCTACTTTTGTTCAACATTGTTTGGACACTCTGTTTTGGCTGGTGGATGGCCCTGATCGCCTTCACGGGCGCTGTCGTGTGTTTCCTCTTCGCCGCGGCTCCTAGCGCGCTTGAGTATGGACGTGTGCTGTGGGGACTTGCAGGCTACCTCTTCTACCCCTTCGGCAAATTCATCCGACTTGAGCAGCAGGAGGCGTACATCGATGAGGACCAGGGCGAGGGCAGAAGTATTAGCGAGTATGAGCAGTGGCAGAGCGGCGATCTGGAATACGGAAGGCTGTTCTTCGGTCCCGACATGGGCACCCGTTCTATCGTCGGAAGATCACGAAGGAGTATCGATTCCGAGCCCAGCGAGACCGACAGCCTGCTGGGACGCGGTCGGGGCCACCACGGCCACAACAGCGACGACGATCTGCCCCGTATCAAGAGGCGGCTCTTTGGACGTGGTCAGTGGAACATTGGCCGGCTCATCTTCTTCATCTTCTTTTATGCCCTCATCAGCCCATCACTTTTCATCGTGTCAGCTATATGCTGGTTTCTGGTCTTCTGGATCCCAATGGGCAAGGTCACAATGCTCCTCTTCGATCATCTGCGCCGACACCCCTTGGCCTTATCGTTCGAGACCGACATCTCGTACGCTCGCATCCCGGCGGCACCTCACTCTTCCGTTATTGTCTGCACCTATCGGGCTGTCGGACTCAAGTACTGGAAGTACACGGTTGATGGCACTAACATCTTCCTCATCAACCTCATGGCCGTTGTGCTATTCGTCATCCTCGATTGGGCGCTACTGGAGGGCGTTTTCCAGGTCCACAACTTCATCACGTCCCCAGGCTTCCTCTTCGTTGCTGGTCTACTCTCCATCATCCCTCTGGCGTACTTCATTGGTCAAGCTGTGGCTTCCATCTCGGCGCAGTCATCCATGGGATTCGGCGCCGCCATCAACGCGTTCTTCTCTACTATCGTGGAGGTCTTCTTGTACTGTGTCGCGCTCAAGGACGGAAAGGGCGCGCTTGTGGAAGGCAGTATTGTGGGCTCTATCTTTGCCGGCATCTTGTTCCTGCCTGGCTTGTCCATGTGCTTCGGAGCCATCAAGCGCAAGACGCAGCGCTTTAACGCCCGCTCGGCCGGTGTGACATCTACGATGTTGCTCTTCGCAGTGATCGGCGCGTTTGGCCCCACCCTGTTCTATCAGATATACGGCTCTCATGAACTGAACTGTGTGGACTGCATCAGTAGTGGTCATTCCAAGCACGGCCAGGGAGCCAGGGATTGCCGTCGCTGCTATTTCAGCCAGACTCCCGCCCTGGATGAACGGTTCTATCTCGAGGCGGTCCGCCCATACTGCTACATGGCGGCTATTCTGCTGTTTTTGAGCTATGTCATTGGCCTCTGGTTTACACTACGCACCCACGCCGCAGTGATCTGGAACAGCGAACAGGACGAGAAAAGGCACGAGGAACAAATGCACCACTCTGCAATGGGTGGCCGCTCAGCCCCTCGCAGCGGTTACCCATCCATTGGCGAGGCCAGTGGTGCAGACGTGCGCGACAGCCAGATTTACAAGCGAACTCTGGGCCAGACCCTTAGGCAGGTAGGTCTGCAGCCCAGCACTTCCAGTAATGGCGCTGCCGTGACACCGCACATCCCGCCTCCAAGGTCCGACACCGTCAGCTCGGCAGTAAACATCCCGGGGTTCTCGGAAGCCGAGAATAGTCAGCTCGTGCAGCAGATCGCCGAGATTGCGAGCACGGCTGCTACCGCTGCCGCTAGAGACGCGCGGAGCAGCGTTGCTAAGAGCACCCCTGCGACGACACCTCACCTGCCGCAGGGTCACTCCTCTGGGAGGGAAACGGCTATGAGCTCCCACCGACCGCCGCCCATCCGCACCGCTACGTTCCCCGAGCACGACGATCCCCTCGGTGCCGAGGCGCACACGGGCGGTCACGGAGGACACGACGCCCCGAATTGGAGCAGGACCAAGTCTGCCGTCATCCTGATGGGTGCGACCGTGCTGTATGCGATCATTGCGGAGATTCTTGTGGACACGGTGGATGTGGTCCTCGAGGGCTTTGCGATTGACGAGAAGTTCCTGGGTATTACGCTCTTCGCGTTGGTGCCGAATACCACAGAGTTCTTGGTAAGTCTAGGTCTTGGCTTGATTTTCTCCCCTTGTTTCCGGTGGACATTGTGATGAGCATTACGCGTTACTACCCAGCTCACTCAGACGCATACTTGCGGTTGCTGAGAACACGTTGAATTATCTACTCCTGACCCATCTTCACCTTTTTCTCTAAAGTCCCAACTTAACCCGAACTCGTCTTGCTCGGATCAGGCTGACTAACCGTGATCCAGAACGCCATATCCTTCGCCATGAACGGCAACATCGCCCTCTCGATGGAGATCGGTTCCGCATATGCGCTGCAGGTTTGCCTCCTCCAGATCCCGGCGCTGGTGCTCTTCAGCGCCGTGTACACCATCACGCTGCCCAACGGCGAGGTGCCGCTCGACATGGCCAAGTACACGTTCAGCCTGCTGTTCCCCCAGTGGGACATGGTGACGGTTATCCTATGCGTGTTCCTGCTGAGCTACATGTACGGCGAGGGCAAGAGCAACTACTTCAAGGGGTCCATCCTGCTGCTGAGCTACCTCGTTGTCGTCACGGGGTACTACTTCACGGGCTTTGGCGTCGGCATCGACTCCATGGGCGCGGGGAGCAGCAGGTTCGACGTGTGGGACGCCCAGGCTGGCGGGTGGTCGGCCCGGGACGCCGGCGCGGAGAGCTTCAAGACTGTTGGGAGGACTGCCTCGGGCGTTGTGTACTGAAAATCTGGGAGGCCATGAGGGTTGAAAGTCGGGATGTTATATTGTCTGTCTCTCCTTCCTGGTCTGGCGTGGCTTGGCCTGGTGTTGGTTGTTGACCATGATTTGTTGTTTAAGAGGGTACGGTGTAGCACTGGCCAGGCGGGCTGGCTGGTGCCGGCTTTGTTGTTTGATGAGTTGTTTAATATTTTCCTGATTCTTTGTTGTTGTTCGAACTTTCAAACCTCTGAGTTGGATGTAAATGCTTGCTTGCGTGCGTGCGTGCGTGCATGCATGAGAGACGTGCCGTGCGTGATTAGATACCTCTCATGCGGCGGCGACTTCTGTCTGTCCTTTCTTTTGTTGTTCATGACGGGTGTAGTAGCATATTCGATATCCCATCTTCGCTTCGCTTCTCTTTTTCCCGTCTGCCTGCCTGCCTGCCTGTTCGCCTGTGATGGCGCGGTTCCTCGGCCCTGATGGCTGGCTGGCTCAAAGACCCTCTCTGTGCCTGTGTGTGTGTATGACGCTGCGGCGAGATTTCAGAACTTTTCGTCCGTCCTAATGGGCTCACTTGGGGGTGTTGAGCAAGGTTGCTCGTGTGTGTGTACGTTGTGCGAGTGATCTGTGATGCGTGATTTAGTGAATAGATGGGTGGTATTTGTTTTGTCACGTTAGATCAAGTCCCACGCCGGCTTGGGGAGTAGCTGTCTGTGTGTGCGCGAAGAGTCGATCATTATCTGTTTCTGCATGAAGGTGTGGACAGAGAGATGGCCCTTGTATGCGACGGGCGCGAAGCGCTGCTTGGTTGCTTCTCTGTCGTTTGTTATCCCCCCCCCCCTTCTGCATCCCCTGCTTCCGCGCAGTTCAGAGTCTTGGATGTTATCGTGGCCCCGGGGTGTCCAGAAAACTCGGGAAGAGAAATGATGATGACTCCGGGCCCTACTCGACCGTCCAAAGCCCCGGTCTGCGGCCCCCCAAATCGATATCCCTCCGAGCCAGACACTTGTTCTTCTCCATTTCCTGTTCTCCATCTTCCCGAGCAAGACAGTGACATTTCTCCAGGTAGCTTATACCGAGAGAGTGGCCCAGCCGGGCGTATGTCACCCACTGGACACTGGCTGCTAGTACCATCTAGCCGTAACTCCAATCCCCGGTCGAGTCCACTGGGTCGTCGTCAAACGGATCTATGGTGGTGGAGTCGTCATACTCTATCTCGTCACGCGGTCGCTTTCTCCGAGGAGGGATGACTGGAGGTAAGGTGGAGGTGTCGTAGCCTGACTGGTCCTGGGTCTGGTCCTGAGTCTGGTCTTGAGTCTGTTCCTGAGTCTGGTCCTCAGTCTCGTCCAGGTACGCAGTCGACTCCCCCCCAAAAGGATCCTCGGTCAGGCTCGCAGTCAGCTCCTCAGTCGTCTCTCCAGAAGGCTCCCCAGACTGATCTCCAGAAGGATCCTCAGTCGACTCCTCAATGTGGCTCTCAGCTTGGTCCTCAGTCTGGCTCCCAGACTGGTCTCCAGAAGTCTCTTCAGACTGCTCTTCAGAAGGGTCTCCGGAAGACTCCTCAGTCTGACTCCCAGTCTGGTCTCCAGAAGTCTCTTCAGACTGCTCTTCAGACTGCCCCTCAGACTGCTCCTCAGTCGGATCCTCAGTCTGGTGCTCTACCGGCGGCTTTCTTCTAGAAATCGGCGGCTTTCCTCTAGAAATCAGCGGCTTTCCTCTAGAAATCAGCGGCTTTCCTCTAGAAATCAGCGGCTTTCCTCTAGAGATCAGCGGCTTCCCCGGACGAACCGGCGGGGCCCTCCCCGCGCACTCGCACGCCCCGCCGGCGTCCTGTTCAGCTAGCAGCGCGTTCGCCCGGCGCTGGAGCTTGGCCAGCGCGCCGCGAAGGCCCGCGTTGCTCTGGTCGCCGTTGTTGAACTCGGATCCCTCGTAGCACGGGTGCCTGTCGGTCGGGCAGTTGCAAGGGTCGCAGTCGCAGCCGTTGTCGGCGGGGTCCTGCGGCGGGGGCTCGTTGTCGACGCAGAAGCACTCCGGGAGGCCGCCGACGAGCTGCTGTAACTCTTCGAATGCCTGCTGTAGTGTCTCCAACTCATTCCGGAGGTACTCGCTGCTGGGTATGGGGTAGTTTTGTGAGACTTGTTCTATGGTGTCGGCCATTTTGGGCTGTGGGTTGGGTGTGCTGGGTGCGGGCTGGATGTTGAGGTTGAGGTGGTTTTTTGATGCCGTATCCTATGTGTAGTGGTTGAAATGTGAAGAGGCTGCCCTGCCATATCTCGTGAGACTCTAGAACTACCTCCCGATCAAGGTATTAGCTCACCTTTGTTGGAAAGTTTAGGCGGAAGACCGGTTGCGGTCAAAGAGATCCATTGGGATGTAAAAACAAAGAATGACACAGCTCTTGCATCCTGTCAACACAACCCCTTGTTCGGAATTAACCATCGCGTTGTCCTCATTTCCGTAGCAGTTGATTCCCTTTGCGATTAAGCTAGATAATGATTGAGAGAGTAAATATGGGAAAGTGTTGGACTAGGCACTGAGAAGACCACGACTGTTTGACGCTTTGGTCAGAGCTTTCACACCAGAAACTGGTATCCAACGTAACACAACAAATGAGTTCCGCCGAGGTTCGCACCTACGCAAATTCAGTATACAGATGAAATATCAAAGGACGGGAAGCCGCAGTGAATTGCGATGGAATCAATTTAATGCTGATGCGGCTCGTGTCCGAGACATCGAGCTAGCCATAGATTTAGCGTGCCGATCCGTGATTCTCGCTCCAGTCAACACCACGATCGACTATAATCCCTCTCATCGACATATCTGTGTGGTTTCCGTCACCTATGATCATCGTCTCGCTTCCTTCATCGTGACCATTAAGTCGCTGGAAGGAATCATGGGTGTGAACTGAAATGCTTCCGACTCTCTTGTTCCCTTTTCCCCAACTCTCTCCACCACTGCCCGGTTTCTTGAACTTGCTACTGCTTCCCTGAGGATCACCATAGCGTAGACGCCTGTAAACTGGTCCGAGATTTACAACACATGCACCGAAGATAGCAATGAATATCTCTGCTACAGTAGCAGCTGACGTTATAGTATACCGCTCTGTCTTTGTTAGCATGATATAGACTATTGTCAGCTGAAACAGCGTACTTGTCACATCACTCGTGTAGTCGGCTGCGCTTGACAGGGTGAAAAGTGTCCCAAAACGTATTATGCTAGCCACGACGACCCTAAATCAATGTCAGCTTGGTTCAAGACAGATCACAGATGCAAAAGGGTGCGCACAGGCTGCCGAAAAGGAAGACACTTATAATAGCGATTTTCCTGGATGTTGACATTTGCAGTCGGACAGCTTCACGGATTGGAAGGCACAATGTCAAAATGTCGATGATCATGTTTGCAAACGAGCTCGAAACAAAGTAGTAGGTGGTGTTGACGGGACACTCGCCGTCACCCGTTCCGGTCCAAGCAAAGGAAATTGGTCTGCATTCAACGCCGTTGATGATCTGTGATGAAAGGTGAGATCAACATAAGAATGCAGCCAAAGGCAACGGAGATGCGCACCATGATAGCGAAAAACCACCCAATGCAGCAGAAGCTGAGAAAGTATACCCCATTGCGAACTAGTGGCGTGGGAAATACTCGCCAGTAGAATATCAAGAGGCTCAACTTTATGGCAGGGGAGCTGAAACCGTAGATGTACTGACTGAAATACATCAACTGTGAGAATTGACTTTGTTAAGTTATTTTCACCCTAGCCGCGAACAATAATCTTTTGCAGACGGACCTTTAGATTGTAAGTGATAGCGGTAGGGTTTTCCATGAGCACAGTCATTTGGTCCGTGCCTGTACCAGCATATAAGACGTGTAGGAAGCAAACAATTAGTTGTCCATAATAGACTATCAAGCTTGCCAGCGCTAAGTAGTCATCGAGACCCAATGTAACTCTCATAAGGCGTCGGGCCCAAAGACGAAGAACCATGGCGGTCGTTGCTAGGGTGGCGGTGACAACAGAGAGAGCTATCAAGGCCGCCCCATCTCTTGACGGCTTAATAATTGACATTCCCATGATGTCGGTACCCTGGGTGAATTGGAATTTAGGACTCGGGTAGTCACAAGATGGTCGGAAGTTCAAGATGTGAAAGGATACAATCGATTGTTCTTTGAAACTGTCGAGGAGGTCCATGATATTGGAAACAAATAATTAAATCATCCAGATGTCGGTGCCTAGCTTGTACAGTAGTTGGCAAAAGATTCGGATTCCAGCCTATAGGGCAACGATGAAGGAATGTTCTTTCGTTCTTCACTGCCCCAATACCAGCCACTCGGGAACTAGCAAAACGGACCGCAAGTCACACGTGTACGGTTAGAACGGACTGCGGGCTATACAGTTAGTCACTGGCAGTTTGGGGTCTGGAAATCCATTTCTGGATTGGGTGCATGCGAGAGATGCTCCCGCTTGACCAGTCTTGTCATCCGACAGTGCAGATAAGCCAGGCGGCCCCCATCACTGTCGTGTGGGTTACCTGCAACATAGCCCTACACATGCACGCCCAGCTTCCGTATAGAAAAGATGAAAATAGAAGCCGGTCGCTGGCTGTTCGCCTTTAGGGGTTTAGACACTGATAGAATGGACACCTCAAGGCAGCATGCGACTAGTTTTTGGAATAATTGAACGGCTCTGCCGATCTGCAGTTTGTCGATTTGACACCTCCTCAACATGTCAGGAGCTACATATGTTGCAAGAGATCAGGATCATCGAAGTTGGTCAACAAGGAGTGTCCCTACTTACTTAGCTGAGGAAAAATCGAGGATCTGTTCGCTCTGCAATATTCTGGGTGAATCACCCATGCCCTTGCTTTGCTAGAAGCCGGCTTAGACGGCAAAGACGCCTCCAGCCATGTCAGCACAGCAAGCACTGCAGCGAACAAGGTTCCCCTCAAGGCCACACAAACCTCCTTCATGCGGGTGTTGGTAAATTTCGGCCCTCCGATAAGCAGCAGACATACAGTTTCCTAACCTAGATTAGAAGGTTGTCCCAAATCCTTCGACATTAAAAGCCCCGTTGGAGAAAAGAATCCTTGCCCTGGGAAACTGGCCTCTTAGAATTCCAAATTGCCCGAAGAGCGTTAAACACAATGCAACAGAAAGTGGCATTGAACACGGAGAGAAAACACTGTCTAGAAGGGTTTTACTTGCAAGTGCCCAAGGCGCTTCCTTTCGATGCCGCTTCTGGCACGATCCTCCAAAGCATCTAGTGGACACATGAGTCGATTAAATTATCGCCATGGCTCAAGAGGTTCTCCATCCTAAAGCAACAGGATCACTATGGCGTCGAGTGGGCCAGTTTCTCAGATTGAGTTTGACCTTGATCAGCCTCCCATATGTCGTTGCCAAGGCCTTTTTCTCTTGTCCTCATCCAGAATGGACCTTCAAGCAAACCCTGTGTGTCCGCAGTACCCGAGACTTTATGGACATATTCGTTTTGGCAGGTCTCACTGAGGCCCTCTCAGTATATCCCGGAAAGAAAGGAGAAAGATTTCAAGTCATCGACCCGACAACATTCCCGAAACCATTCTACCAAGGTCACGCAGTCTCTTTGGCCGTCACCCCAGACAAGGTCGAAGGGACTTGGTATCCTAGAAAACCAAACAACCGAAAAGGATTGATTATCCTTTGGAACCATGGTGGAGCCTTCATAATGGGAAATTCTGGGGAGCTCTTCTGTGGACTCGTGGCGAAAGCATTGCTTCTTCACACCGGAGCTGTGGCGGTTTTCTGTCCCGAATATCGTCTTTCCGGATGTGGCAAAAACCCTTTCCCCGCTGCCCTCCAAGATATGATAACTGCATACTCTTATCTTACGGAGACACTGCAAATACCGGCTACATCCATCGCGGTTGGAGGCGATAGTGCTGGCGGTTTACCATCGCCTTTCTGCGCTATCTCGAAGAGCACAGTACTGGGATCAAGCCGCATGTCTCTGCAGTGCTTTGTTCTCCGTGGGTGAATCCTCTGGAATCACTCAGTCCCACTTGCTCCTATCGGGAACAGAAGGCATGGGCGACTGATTATCTCACGATGTCGTTTCTACAATTTGGTGCCAGTAGTACGTATGCTCCAGCTGGTACAGCTGGCGATGCACCAGCCCAATACGTATCGCCTCTCGGTCATCCTTTTCGCTCGAGCGTCCCTTTATTCGCCTCCTTCGGCGAGTGTGAGATCTTGGGACCCAGCATTATAGCTTGGGCTGAGGAAATGCGACTCGTACAGGCGAATAAGGTCCAGCTCTATTGTGAGGAAAACGCGCCACACGATACCGTGAGTACAGCTTTCTCCTCATCGAAGGTTTCTTTCTCAGATTTCATAAAAATTCATGAGCCAGCTGCAGAAGACGTCTAGTTCGGCGAGATATTCAAGACGTGTTCAAAGACACCTATTTAGAGGCACCTGAAAAAAGGTCTTAATCCAGTCAAAGAGAAAAAATACTAATAGTGAATGGCTGTAGATCTCCTCTGGTCATATGATGGGTTGGGAAGAAAGCGCATACGGAGTTGCCTTGGAAATCGGAAACTTTATCCGTACTTATAGCCAGGGCGTACCGGCATAATCTGAGATGTAAAATCGAGGCGTGTATTCCACTCGCGCTGCAAAGGTTCAATGGGGTAGTTAGTGTCTGCCGTTTATGTACATGTGCAACTGGATAGAATCCTGGATAGGACCGTTCGAATCCCAACCCCCAACTGAAACCTCTCAGGCGTCCCCAAGTCTTTCGAGTACTCTGAACTGCTGAGGTGACACACATGTGCGAATGTTGCAGAACATTCTAAAGTTTCTGATGAGAGTGAACGAGATTCAGGATAGCCTCTCGTGGCAAGCAAGTGCATGTGTTAGGTGCTGTTAGTAGTGATTAGACATACTGGAAACCTGATGCCAGGATATTTAAAGAAGTCGAATTGAAAGCTGTGGTCTCCGTTTTCAGCCTTCAAGTGGCTCTCAGCGGAAGCTGTTCTCCAACATCACCCCGATCATGGATGTAACCCTGGTTCAAGCCAATGCAACTGTAATGAAGCTTTAAGATTTGGCCTGTATGTAAGCAGCCCTAAGAAACAGGATTGGTCTGGGTCCCATGCAAATCAAGGCAGAAGATTGGACCACAACCACAACCTGTCGTGTGTACAGCTAGAGACGCGCTTCCAACGGATGAAAACGTCAAGAAGATAAGGCCGAACTACGCATTAAAAAAGTCGCGGAAGTTATGTGATGAATCAAATGGTTTTGAGACGGTCATTTCATGCTGGATCACTTTCTCTATTGTGCAGCCCAGGTCCCCCACGCAACAGACAACTCTCTCCCAGGATCAGCTTCCTTCACCCTTTCAGGCTGCAAAGCTTGACGATCAATCCTGTACTACACGAGGTATCACACCGCCATGCCGAACTTCCGTCATAGCTGCCAACAGGGATGGCACTTCCTCTGCTTTCCCCCCTTTCGCTTTGAACTCTTTCAAGTGATTCACTACCGATTCTCGTACGTCCCCAACTGGGTCACATGGTGCAGGTTGGTCACGAAAGACACCCGGGAGGCAGGGTGGGTTGCAACCCACGTTACATTGCTCAGATGGTAGTCCCAACACCTGCGTGGGGCATATACATTTAACCTACCGGCCCTGTTTGACTCCATCTTTCTGGATGTCTCTGCCTCTTTGCTTTTTTAACTGTCACTTTTCAAATTCACTATAGCAGCCAGGGTGGCAGACGTAGCCTTATGTATTTACTGGGGAAATCATTTGCCCATTTATAGATATGCAGGCAACCACGTTGTGACCCACCACCCCCTGTCGCGGCTGAAAAGGTGAGCCAGTCACATTCACATAGGCTGCGCCGTCGTGGGGCTATTTATGTCAATCCTGATGGTGTAGACTTTTCTCTCATCAGATGTTTTCAATTGCGTAAGCCTCAGCATGCAGCAGTCTAAACTCTGCTGCATTTCCACTGCCATTCCAGCCATTACTTTCAAGTTGCTCGACAAGCAGCAATCATGTCGCTCACACTCGCGTTTAGAATCATAATGCGAGCCTTCTTTTCATCCACAGTCGCTGCTGTGGACTTGACAGGCTACGTGCTACCTAGCGTTTGTACCCCGTCATGAAACACAACATGTGAGCTCTTTCGATCGTGGGCTAACGAGTGCAATAGACGGGCCAGGCAAACGGGGGCAACACATTTCCAGGAGTGAGCTGGCCGTTGGGGGTAGTGAAGCTGGGGCCAGACCTGTACGACGGATCTGACGCTTACTCCGGCTATAGGCCGGACGGAAACTTCACAGGATTCTCCATGCTGCACGAGAGCGGCACAGGCGGCGCACCCAAGTACGGAGTGGTTTCGCAGATGCCTGTCCTGGGCAAGATCACCAACCCGCTGGCCGATCATAATGACACAAGAAGCGCCCCCGACGTAAGCGAAGTTGGGTTCTACAAGTCGTTTTTGGGTAGTGGGATCACAGTTGAGTTGGCGGGCACCGAGAGGGCGGGGTTCTACCAGTACACATTCCCGGATACCGACCAGACGAGAAATGTCATTGTCGACGTGAGCCATGTGCTGTCCAGCTACCGTGGCATGGGCCTCCAGCAGTCCTATCTGGGAGGCAACATTGAAGTGGTTGATGGTGACACCGACAAGGGCTACTACAAGGGCTACGGTTCATATGACAACGGCTGGAACCGAGCGCCAAAGTGGACAGTCTACTTCTGCGGGCACTTCGACCCTGCACCATCGACGTACCAAACCTTTCTGGGGTCCGGCAACACCAACAGCTCGGTTGTTGAGTATCCTGCCGGTGGCAGCGTAACCTCGACGTCGCGTCTTGGCGTCGTGTACACATTCGATGGTGCCACCAATGTCACTTCGAGGGTCGGCGTGTCTTTCATTTCCACGGAGCAAGCCTGCTCAAACGTCGACTCACAGATTCCGGCCGGGACAACTCGGGAGGAGCTGACGGCACAGACCAAGGATGCGTGGAACAGCCAAGTCCTGTCCAAGGTCACCACCACGGACAACAGGAGCCTGACTGACATGCAGCTGCTCTACTCATCACTGTATCACATGAGTATAATCCCGACCAACAAGACGGGAGAGAATCCTCTGTGGGCGTCCTCAGAGCCATACTACGATGACATCTTCACATTGTGGGACTTGGTACGTCATATGTCGAGGTGAGGTTTTCTTCAAGATGGAGAGCTGACCTTTGCAGTTTCGATGTAGCACCGCTTTGTTCCACCTGATTCAACCCAAGGCATACGAGGAGTACATCCGCTCACTCATCGACATCTGGAGAAATGAGGGCTTTATGCCGGATGCGCGCTCGTCCTTCTGGAACGGCGCAACTCAGGGCGGTTCAAACGCAGATAATGTCCTTGCAGACGCGTACGTCAAGGGCGTGCGCGGCGGCGTCAACTGGGCGGATGGATACTCCGCCATGCTCACCAACGCAGAGGTCACGCCGCCCAACAACGACGATCCCCGCGACACTACCGGGTCAACCAAGGAGGGCCGAGGGGCGCTTCCGGACTGGCTCGAGCACGGCTTCATCACACCGTCCTTTGGTCGCTCCGTCAGTCGCGCGGTTGAGTACTCAGTGAACGACTTTGCTGTCTATACTGTTGGGGATGGACTGGGCGAGGCGAATGCGTCGACATATCTGAACCGGAGCCGTAATTGGAGGAACCACTGGAACCCCGACGCCGAGTCGCTGGGTTTCTCTGGATTTGTTGTTCCGCGGAACGTCAGCGGCTTCATCGAGCAGGATCCTCTCAGCTGCGGAGGCTGCTACTGGGGTGATGATTGTCAGTAGATCAGGAAGCTGTTTGGAGAAGGGGGTGTTTTTCGCTAACAATTTCACAGACTATGAAGCCCTACCATGGGAATACTCCTGGAACGCCCACCACGACATCGACACAATCATCTCTTACTGCGGCGGAGAGGCAAACTTCGTAAAGCGTCTCGAGATGATGTTCGCCCCGGGAGCCTACTCCTCAGGCTCATTTGGTCAGATGATCTTTAACCCCGGCAACGAGCCCTCGTTCACCACGCCGTACCTTTTCAACTTTGCCAACCGCCAGGACCTCACCGTCTACTACACGCGCAAGTTCGCCAAAGCTTACTATTCCCCGACCCCAACTGGTCTGCCAGGCAACTCGGACGCCGGCGCGATGGAGACCTGGGTGTTGTGGGTGATGCTGGGGTTGTATCCGATGACTGGCCAGACCACATTCTTGGTTGGAAGCCCCTGGTTCTCCGACCTGACAATCAATCTTGGCGAGGGCAAGAAATTGGACATAACAACGGATGGTGGAAACGAGACGTCTTACTATGTCCAGAGCTTGAAGGTGAACGGGAAGACGTGGGACAAGTCGTGGGTGACTTGGTCGGATATCTTTGACAATGGTGGAACAATGGACTTTGTTCTGGGGCCTGACCCATCCAACTGGACGACTGGTCCACCTCCACCGAGCCCTGGGACGGAGGCCGACGCTCAACGCAAGGGGTGAGGTCGGGTCAGGTGTGTTGTGGTGAGCTTCGAACATCTCTATAAAAGCCCCAATAAACAGGGGATTTGGAACTGGAAACTGCCCAGCGGATGACTGGGAATAAACCCAGCGCACAGGACATATGTACCGTGAGATCCGGCAGAATTTCCAAGGCGTTGTGCTAAAGACGTGAGCCGTAAACCTGGTTGCTGCCGATGGGACCCCAAGACCAGTTCGAGGCCAGCTGTGATAAGGCAGGGATTGTCTTGTGTAAGGCTGGGCTGGATTTCAAAAGCTGTCCAATAAGACAAGAGCATACTTGATAATTCTCATTGCACAATAATTCACACAGTACTGTAAGAAGCGATGGTAGGTAGGCAGGCGGCCTAATGATTTTTCCCACAAGGCTTTTCTCTCCACGACAATACAATCAAGGAACGTGCTTTGGTACAAACTACCACGCACTGGAACGTTTTCCTTTGCGATCTTGCCTGGCCAGGGAAAAGCCTTGAATAGTCACTTCTCGGTACGAGCCGTCGGCTGGAAAGGTAGTCTAATTTCGGCTGAGTTCACTCGCTCTTTTTTTCGGCCCTCTTGTGGGATGAACCATGCATTTTGGAAAACACTTACACACGATATCACCTCGTCTTGACACGTGGCGCCGAGCAACTTTTACGCGCACTCTTCCACCAGTTCTCGGGTGCACAAGTGCTCAAGCTTTGCCAACGGTAAGTAGCCTGCCTTGTGCTAGCTCGAGTTCGAATTATGATGTATCGCTGCAAGTGTATAAGAGGCGGCTTGGCAACTACCTAGGTATGGATGTGCAGCTGCCCGGACTCTCGAACTTGCAGCAGCTACCTTCACCATCGGCATCCGAGTACTTTCAATCTAAACGCTTGTGTCCAAGGCCGCTTCCCTCGCGCTGCTTCTTCTAGGAGCCACTGTCAACTCTAGTCCCGCCACCGCCAGCCACGTCACTGAGAAGTCTCCGAGCGTCTGGGAAGAGAGAACACATCCGTCCGAGAATCTCGTCAGCCCAAGGGAAAACTTGATTGTACAGGTTGAGGGCTGAGAGTGGTACTTTGTTAGAGTCCTTATCTGCAACATCATATCGAGGTCTGTCATTGAAGAACTCGAGAGAAACAACTATGTCAGCACCAATGCTTACGCCACAGCCCTCAACACCATCACCGCCGTCGATTCCATCACCCACATTGCCGTCACAACGGCATCAATCAGCGGTGTCACCGGTGTCTAGACAGCACAGCTCGGGCCGGACCCCGGCTATGTCAAGACCAAGAGGTCTGCTGCCCTGGTATCAAATACTACTCATCTGTCCGATTGGGATATTAGCCTGCACGACACGCACGCCGATCGAAATAGTTGGGACAATCGCTCTATCATTGGCAGTGAACTACTTGATTGGATGGTTGGAAACCAGAAAACTGAAGTCACCTTTATGATCTACGACGGTGGTGACGGCGTCGACGTGCCCATCCTAGCATACGCCGCCGACAACGATACCCTGCTCTTCCAAATCCAGTATCACCCCTCCGCGGCCGCGTCCAACCTCGCAGCCCGGACTTCAGGAACTCAGGCTAACCAGTCCCATGCCCCGTTCTTTGCTGCGAACGGGGCTGGTATCAAGCTGAGCATGCAAAGTGTCGTCGACCGGAAGAGGCCCTCGGCTTTCCAGGCCGACGCGACTGGTAGCTCCAAGGCCGTGGTGAATGACTGGTTTCATAAAAGGAAAGAAGTCACGTATGTCGGGTACGAGGAGGTCTTCATCACTGACAACGGATTGGGCGGCGCCGTCCTCTGCTATGTGAGTCGTCCGAAACTTGGCCTTCTGCCTCTCGACACCGACTTCCTATAGATACCAGAACCATAAGGTTTTGGCTTGAATAGCGAGACAAAGATGTGTTCCCAAGGAAGGATGTTACAGCATTAATCTTTACATGTTGTCACCGTGCCCAGAGTGTCACTACACAGTTGGATGAATAAATAATGAGATGTGTAATTGCGAACAATTCTTCTGTCAAGGTAGTACATAATTTATGATCAACCCGTGTCCCTGGATCGAAGTTGACAGACAATCTGGCGGTACTTGATCCTGGCCCCGTACGTGCTTCCACCCAAACCAATCACAAAGGTCCTGAAAGTCAAAAGCATCTTGTGACCATGTGTATCTCTGGAAATGAAAAGAATTAACGCCGCCTTGCTCTCGACGTCCACAGACTGACCAAACGTCCCCGATACCGCTTTCCCAAACTTTTTTCAGTCTTGTAAAGTAATGAGCGCCGTGTTTCGATTTCCCGCCTGACTCGGATCAAGTCGACTTGCGGAAAAGGCAGCCCGGAAGTTTATTTGTCCTGCCCATGGGTTAAAATGTCCATCTCGTCCATCTCAATCATCAGAAACGTTGCGGGAGGACTCACAATGCAGTTAGAACAGCTACAGTCCGAGCCACATGAGCAGCCCTTCCCAGAAGATGAGCAGCCACAGTCCATTTCGATGGTGCAATAGGAGCAAGCTTTCTCCGTGTTGATTTGTAGGTATAAATGAGGGTAGAAATGCCGACTTTCTGAATAAGACCAGATGGCTTGGGGAATGGGAAACGAACATGGCTTAAGCGAAGGGCTGGGTCCGGCCCCTATTTATTAACCTCGTCCTGACGTAAAGATTCCCTCAAGGTGTAGTGAGCATCCCGGATCGGGGAACGTCAGTTAGTTGCCTAAATCTTGATCGAAACAAACGATTGGCTGCGCGATATAGAGTTAGAGCTAGACCGCCGCGATGGTCAACGCGAGACGTCGACGTCTCCCGCAAGGCCCCGCGAAGTCTGTGCGGATAACGTAGACATCACACCTGCGAAGCGGGGTGTATGGAAAAGGTTCGTCATGTCGAGCTTGTTATTCCAGCGTTCACAGCACCTGAGCCAGGTTTCGTTTTATCTACCGGCTCTCGTTCAGAATCGTGTTCCTGGCCCTTCGTAATCTGAGGCGTGCGAGTGGCTGGTGGTTATCGCTCGGTCCAAACAAGATGTCCGGCGTCGGAAACTTCCACATAACCACGACTGATTTCACTGAATGTGCCGACGGATGTTAATCGCCATCGAGAAAGAGAGCAGATTCGGTTTGGATTTCGCCGAATCTGAATAGATTTCCCGAGAAGTCACGTGCAAGAAAATAGCAGCTCCGGATAGAATGTCTGCGCACCATTGCGGCCTGAAGCAATCAGCTCAAGAGTCGAATGGTCACTCAAGTCGTATGTACGATTTCATGTGCCAGCGCTCAGAGAGAATATGTCAAGACCGGCCAGATGAGATTCATCTAGAGTCCTTCCAAGAAGACGAATGGAACGCAATGAATGCACACGGCGGTAGTGCGGCCTCTGACGAAGAACCACGAACGAAGCCTGAAGACAAGTCTGGGTCGAATAAGAAAGGGAGTTTTGGAGCTATGGTATATATTGGAAGCAATTAAAACGTGTCCACGGCTTTTTCCGACGACATACAAAACAGTCTTTGATAATCATGCGCTTGCAGCAGCACGTCCATCGCTCGAAACGCCTCGCAAGACTTCGGAGCGGTACAGCACTTCTCATAGTCCCATTTAAGTCCGGGATGACACCGTCGACTTTATGGTCATAACTAGTCTGTCGCACAAGGGGAAATTGAGCTAGTTGGACTACCAACCCTTAGTGCTTATGCTTGGTCATGTTGCGGAGGCGACAAGATGGCAATACAGTACTCTTCAGCTCCGCCGTCCCTGGATGATTGCAGTTCACGGATCTCACCGACCGCTGGCCACCATTCAGCACACATCACATAGATTTGAATCCTTGGAGCGTCGAAAAGGCCTCGACAACATCGGATAGCGCTGAATCGAGGCAACCGGTGTCTCTTTTGCGAGCCCGTGCACGACGCCGAACATGCCGACGGGAAGCTGTCTCTGTGGTGAGATACAGATCGCCTACACGGGAAGTCCTGCATACACAGTATGTGACCAGGTCACCAAGCAGCGGCCAGTGTCGGTAGCTAGTCATTATATTTGGCTCGCATCTAATATCTCTCAGGCGATTTGCTACTGTCATGATGATCGCAAGATCAACAATTTCACGGTGTAGCAGGTCCCAAAGAAGAACTTTTCCATAACGCAAGGGGAGCCCAAGATATACACGAAGACCTCGGACCACGGCAACGTTCGTATTCATAACTTTGAATACAATCGGGATTGCATAAGTCGTTAACGCCTTTACAGGAAATCAACAATCACTTCTGCTCAACATGTGGCACAACTCTGTTCCGCACGGGTGGCGAGCCAGCAATGAAAGACAACGTGGGCCTGCGAGCAGGTGTGCTTGATGACCAGAGCATTCTGGACAAGCCACCCGCGATCGAGGTCTATGTTGAGAGGCGGCCGCGGGTAAGCAAGCCACTTCCTTGGCGTTGTCCGTTCCCGCCGGCATGGGCACGAATCCGGTTTCTGTGCCGGACCGCCCGCCGGATTCATCCCTTCCTTTCCATTGTCAACTGATCATGAGGCCTGCCAAATACTGCTGCTGACCTGCGAGCCTCCACTCTAGTGGCTCAAGCCGATTGAAGGCGCTATTCAACTGAACAGAAATTATGAACTGGTGTCCTACTGGAGTTTGTGGGGGGTCTTGGTCGGGAAAGCCAAGCTTGCTCTGTTGAAGATTTGGCCTTTTTAGTTGGCCCAGCATGGTAACCTCAAGCCTTTTCCAAATCTACAGTGTCTGTCGGAGCTTAGGAAACACCTACATTGTAGACATATTCTCTACATGAATGAACCTTGATATTGCTTCGATATATGCCAAATGAATGGAATTTTTTGATGACTCCCCTCAATTGTGCAAAAGATCGTTGGGCCCAACGCCGATGTCATCGTACTGGACTCAAGATGCTGCCAGTGCACTGTCATTCACCCGGCCGTTTTGATACTTCCACGTTGAAGTACGGCGCATAAATATTTCGTGAATAACCGATGGGGATAGAGTGATCTCAGTACATGGATGTAGTTCGCCACGGATTACCGCTTCCCTTTCTCACAGAGTCCAGGAGTGAATTTTTGAAATTTATAATCCTGTATGGGCTATTCAATTACACTCCAATTACACCGAGACATGAACTTCGCCAAAGCAGCATTACACGACTACCGAAATTTCGCATCAAGCATTAAAGGACCGGAATTTCTGTGCATGTTAAATTGACCGTTTGCAAGACTTTAATTCAAAGAATAGTTCGCATCTGATGCGGCCAATGTATATTTTTCCAAGCTCGATGATTGAGTACAGGTGAAATAAACAAAAATGATTCAAAGAATCAACCGGAAATGGAGTTTGAGCTTGTGGTAATTCCGTTCTCGTCACAATCTTCTTTTCTTTGACCGCAAAGCAGGCGTTCTGGTCTTGATGCGCCCCCACTGGAATTTTGTAACAAAGACCAGCATCAGTAGGAGCGGCCAATATACGCTTGGAATATTTCATTCAACCGTATAACTTACCTGTATAGCTCGGACTTTGGAAACAAAAGTGTCCCGTGCCGTTCTCTTTTGTCCCCTTCACCTTGGTAAATGCTCGACCACTGAGGCCTGCTTGACCCCTCGAAACTGATTTACACACGGCAAGCCTGCCCATATCTGTGTGCTGACGACAAATATCACGATGGGACCGAAACAGACACAGAACTGGGGGACAGGGGGGCTGGCGACACCACCAAACACCATACGGAGGAACCAGGGGACACCTGGCCTGCGGCCGACGAACACGCCCGGCGGCAGGCCTCCGGCCACGCCCGGCTCGATTACAACGCCTAGCAGAGCGCCGCGGGCCAACACAAATGCCGGGATCAGAAAGACAGCCACGGGAACGCGGCAGAGGTCACGGCGAAGGGCAGCAACACCGGCGCCGAGACGGCCCCGCGACCCCGAGCTCACCGCCGTCCTCCAAGCGCACAAGATCCCCGTGCATCTACCCGGCGACCTGGAGTACGAGCGCGCGGTCGCGAGCTCAAACCTGCTGTACCGCTTCTCGAGGCCGACGTACGTCATTCGGCCGAAGAACATCTCTCACGTAATGACGGTCGTGAACGAGGCGGTCGCTCGGGAAATGCCTATTACGATCAAGAACGGTGGCCATTCGTACATTGGCTCTTCGTTCCCCAACGACGGCATAATGCTGGATCTCAAACATATGAATGAGGTCACCTTGGACAAGTACGTGTTTGAATTGTCAAAGTGCCTCTGAGAACTGGGGATTTCCTTGAAGGCCTTCTTTGGATGGATCTAAACGGGCCTGCCTTCTTGTCCTCCCTTCTTTTCTTACAGCTTGATCGATCCAATAATATGATATGTTAACGATATGCAGGGGTGCACGGGAGATGACTATTCAGGGAGGTGCTCTCTGGGGCAACGTATATAGAGCCCTGGTCGATGAAGGGGATGGGATCATGGTCAATGGTGGCCGTTGCCCCAGCGTCGGTGTGAGTGGATTCATATTGGGCGGAGGCATTGGGCCATTTAGCAGGAGCTACGGGATGGGAGTCGACAACCTGATAGAGGTGACCATTGTTACCGCGGATGGAGAATTGTATGTTGTCAGAAGGGATGATGACCAAGACTCAGAGAATGGTGAGTACCTGGAAATGACTCCCCCATCCCCCAGAACATATAAAAGGATTGCTTTGTGAGGAACACAGGGGATAAGCTGCCTGTGTCCATGATGATCTCTGACCCGATGCACAAGTGGAGGTACACTTGCTGACAAGGTTTTAGGGCTGCTATTCTGGGCTTTATGCGGTGCTGGAGGTGGCAACTTCGGCGTGGTGGTTGAGATAAAGATTCAGACTCACAACTTGTCAAACGGAGGGAAAGAAATCGTCGCTGGGAGACACACGTGGTTTCCGACCATTGACCGGAGTCAGGGAAGTTTTTTGGGACTCATTCCGCGGCGGCCGCGACCTGAAGAGGGCACCGGCCTGCTTGCGACGATGAATCATTTTTATACAACCGATTGGCCAAACCAAATGACGATAGACACCTCGTGGTTCTCCGACCTTGAGATACAGAATGGAGATCTTGCGATCCGCTTCCTCGCCTACTTTGACGGCAACCAGGACGACTTCAACAAGCTGATCCACAAAGGCATCCTCAACGCCGACCTCTCAAAGCAGCTCACGCGCCGAGCGCTGCCCGAGCTGAGCTCTCGTTTCCTGCATGAGACGCTCTTCGCTCAGTGGGACGAGGAAACCAAAAGGTCAACCCCAGCCAACAGTACCTTCCGTGTCTTCCACCCATTTTGTTTCACAAACTCCCGCACTGAGACCGAAAAGATTACTGCCATCGTTAAGGAAGAGCTGGAGGCCTTCAAGCGGCTCTTCGCCGGGGAGCCCGCAGGCCTGTGCCAGGTTTCGTTCATCCACGCCGGAGGCGAGACGACGGGACGGAAGATGTGGGACACGGCATTCCGCTGGCGAGACACCGTCTTCCACACGTACGTCATGGTCCAGTGGAAGGACAAGTGGCTGGAGAGGGACATGCGGGGCTTCGCGCAGAAGTTCAAGAACAGGCTGAGGCAGTTCTCCATAGCGGGCAAGGCCGCCTTCATCAACTTCCCGGACTCGAGCATGCCGGACACGGACCACCTCAAGGCCTACTACGGCAACAACCGCCAGAAGCTGCAGCAGGTCAAGCGCATGTGGGACAAGAAGAACTTCTGGAAGTGGGACCAGGGCATCGACCTGGCCGAGAGCAGTAGCCTGGACGCCCTCGAGAAGGCGGACTCCAACACTAACATAAAGGAGGAGGAGCTGTCTGACGGGGAGGAAGACGGGCCGGACGAGCAGACAGACTTGGCAGCGACCATTCGTTGGGAGTCGCGGGATTCTACGGCATATGCCCCGTTGTTGACACAACAGTTCGAAGCCCTCGGGCTGGATTATTCTCATGCTGGATTTCCTTCGGTCGGCGACATCGAATCTATACCGCCGGATTTGTTCTAAGGTGGGAACTACTCCAAGTTGAAGCGGCTCAAACTTTAAATAGTGCAGAAACGGTCCAATCCACAGGAATGGTGTAAAGTGTAGACAGGGCCTAGCTTATAGAAAGGGTAATTGTAGGGTGTTTAAGCATATTCTTTCTTTCGTTTACAAACCCATCTTGCCTACCTCTCTTCCTCCTGGGTGAAACTCTCCTTCTATGAAAGTCATTAAATGGTTCCGTTCCTTCCAATGAAACTATATCCTTAACGGCACTCTCCTGGGCAACGGAAGTCCATTGCTAAGGCACCCTACTCGCTTCCTTCCTCCGCAAGAAAGGGGAGCTTCGATGGCTTGTATTTCATACACTTCCCTCACCTTCAATTTGTTCCTTTGGCACCTGTCCCGAATTCAGCTGTTCCCAATGCGAGCTGCTCTGAGCTTCTAACTACCATAGAGCCGATCTAAACAGCGTATGGTTCTAATACCGTTGAGCAATGTTAGCAGCAGAATAATGAAAATATACAATTGAATACACTATGCATGGCAGATACTGCAGATCATATAGGCAGTCTGTTGGGATAGTTCTGGTTCAAAACTTAATGGTCACAGAACATTATGCAATGATGACAGTCTGGCGGATAAATGTAATCAGTGTCCTCAGATACTCTTCCGGCGTTCATTCGTTTTCTACAGCAGTAGGCCGGTAACACTCGAGGCTTTGAGCTGGGCACTGTCCTTATCCGAAAGGATGAATAGTGCTTCGATGCTTTAACAGATCCCTGTTAATCTATTTGGCTAGATGCAACAATGCTTGTGCTAGTGAAAAATTTCTATGAATTGTTGAAGTGCAACCGAAGCCAACACCGTGGATTTGGTGTCGTGAATCACGACTCCTCTGCAGCAGCCACCAGGATCTTGCCCAGCTCCTTCACCTTCTCAGGCACCAAGAACATGGCGCAGTGCCCACAGTCCATGTAGACCTCTCCCAGCTCCCCCGTGAAGGCCTGGACACCGCCCTCCCTGGCCTCCTCCTTCTGGGCGCGCTTCACCATGAACTCCACAAACGGCAGGGGTAGCGGCTTGTCTTTGGTGGCGTACACGGCAGTGGAGGGTATATATCTCCAGCCAGCGCGCTTGTGTGGTCCCAGGAACGTTGCGAGTGGGTGTGTGGAGGTCGCCTCCAATTGCTTTCGCTGCTCCTCTTCTGGCAGGCCTGCGTACATCCACTCCAGTGCGGTCTCGTTGCATTTGGTGTTTCCGGTCTTTGCGGCTGAATGTTAGCGACCAACTTCAGAGAGACGTCCCGGAAACCCCCCACGCTGCCCATTTTCAACCAAACAGCGATAAAACCGGCCTCTTGTCTTACCTCCATGTTAATGTCCATATACTCAGGTACGAACGTAGGAATCACCGACGCCGGCGACCCCATCTGCTGGCCCTCGATGGGGACAAACGCAGCAACATACACCAGCCTCTTGATCCTGCCCTTCCCCTGCGCCGGACCACAGCCGCCCCCGAGCAACTCCTCGGCGATCCTCCCCGCGGCCTCAGACCCGGGCCCTCCGCCGTACGAGTGCATGAGCAGGACCACGTCGTCACCGGCATCCAACACCTTCCTCACGGCCGCTTCGGCGGCGTCGATGTCGACGTCCATCGAGGTGGCTGGCGGGTCGGACCCCACCGACGGGGTTGTCACTGCCACGGATGGGTACCCGTGGTCCGACAGGCAAGCCCTGATCTGGGCGAAGTACCCTGTGCGGTGCCATGCGCCTGGCACGAGGACGAAGGTGGGCTTGGAGGACATCGTGTGGGCGTTCCTTGTGGAGGCGCTTCTTGCTGCTGCGAGGTGGGTTTGTTTCCAGGCGGGCAACAAATGCTGCGCTGCGCTGCGCTGTTACTGAGCTAAGCAGAACGCACAAAGATGCGAGGGAGATTTGTCAAAAATGAATGTCAGCACACAGTGGGTATTGGCAGAGGTAGGTGAAGGTCCCATGAGCTTTCACCGCCTAGGGCGGCTGTCTCACAGAGTGAGTGGGCGCCAAGGTAATTATCTGGGGCGGAATCGTCGCAAGTAATCATGTTGGTGCTATTGCAACGGTGCTAGTCATCGCCATGCGCCAATCACCGCTATTTTCGCGCCCCCTGGCTGGAGCTGTGGGATGCGTTAGTGTTTACTGGAATCCATATCTCTCATGCGGGTTCGTGGCAAAGCCTGGCTGTTGTTGGCTGGAAAGCGGCGGAGACTTTCTGACGCGAGAATTTGCTGCCCCCTGTCTTGTCGTCTTAGACGCGAGGCGCGAGCCTTATGCTGGTGCCGCGATGCCGGGCTTGTGTACCCACAGAAGTTGTATTCCTTTCACAGATTTGTACAGAATAGTCTATCTTTACCGTCACATCATGATCTATCGCCATTTTTGGAAAAGGGAAACCGCCAAGACCCACGGAGGCAACTCCCAACTCAGAGCACCTTATTCCTGGAGCTCCGCTTCAGCTGCTTCGCCCAGCTTTTCTTTCTCCTGGTCCCTCTTCTCGATGGTAGTCTGCTTCTTCCACATTGCATGGTATCGACCACCAAGGTCCAAGAGCTCATGGTGGCTGCCGCGCTCGACGATCTTGCCCTTGTGGAGCACCACGATCTGGTCGGACGTGGTGATGGTGGAGAGGCGGTGGCTACAGTACATCAGTGACAAATTCACATACAGTTGAAAAAAAGAGAACGCGTGGTTGCAGCTCATCATAGAGAGCGGTGTGTACTTACGCAATCGTAATTGTTGTTCGTCCGGCCGTGACACGTTCCAGAGCATCCTGGATCAGCCTCTCGGTGTGAGTGTCGAGAGAGGCGGTGGCCTCGTCTAGGAGCAAGATACGGGCGTCTTTCAGGATTGCTCGTGCGATGGCAATCTGGGAAAGCCGACGTGTCAGTCCACATACCTCATGAAATGGTACTCGCAAAAGAAGCAAAGTGTGAGACTTACCCTCTGGCGTTCACCACCAGACAATTTCAACCCGCGCTCTCCAACCTTTGTCTCGTACTGATCTGGGAAGGCAAGGATGCGGTCGTGGATATTTGCCGCCTTGCAGGCCTCGTAGACGTCCGCCTGGGAGGCGTTGGGATTGGCGTACAGCAGGTTGTACATGATGGTGGCATTGAACAACACCGTGTCCTGTGGCACGACCCCAATGTTCCTTCGGAGGCTGTCGATCTTCAGATCCCTGAGATCGTACCCGTCCACGGTGATCGAGCCGTCTTCAACATCATAGAAGCGGAAAAGCAGCTTCAGGGAGGTGGACTTGCCGCTGCCGGACTCTCCGACGATGGCCGTCTTCGTGCCCGGTGCGACAGTGAAGCTGACGCCGTCAAGGGCTGGCTCTTTGGTCTTGCCTTGATAGGAGAACTTGACATTGTTGAAAGATACTTCGCCTATTGCAGATGGAAGCTTGATTGCATCAGGCTTCTCTTCAACGCCAGAAGTCTCCTTGAACTGCGAACTGTTAGCATTGGCCGAGAACATGTCCATTACATGATGACTTACGAGATCGAGCATCCTCTCTGCCTCAATCAGGTTGTTCTGAAGCATCGTGTAGTACGTGCCAAAGAAATTCAGGGGCCCCTGGAGCTGTGTAAAGTAGAGGATCAGAGTAACGAATTCCGAGACCTTTTGTTCGCCGATAGAAATCTTGTATGCTGAAACAGCAACAAGCAAGGCCGTCCCAAGAGAAAATATCGAGCTTTGGGTGAGGTTCAGCGCCTGTAGGGACCAAAGTACCAGGCGTTCGGCTTTCTGGTAAATCATCACGTGGGTCCTAAATCGACTCGTCTCCTGAACGACAGCACAGTTGTGCTGCACTGTCTCGAAGGCCATGATGGCATCCGTCTTTACAGCGTCCATCTCTCTGCTCTTGGTCGCCATGTCTCTCCTTTGCCTCGAGCGATATTTGGCCATATAAATCGTGAGGAATATGTACGACCACATGATGAAGAACACGATGATGGTGTAGAAAGGATCGTACTTCACGAAGAAGAAGAGGCCAGCGACGAAGATGTCAAAGACCATGGGGAAGACCTGGAATAGGAAATTCTCGAGGAACGTGTTCATCGCAGCGCCGCGGGCGAGAGCGCTCGTCACCTCACCAGTCTTCTTGCTCAGGTGGAACTCCAGGGAGAGGCCAAGGACATGCTCGAAGGCAGCACAGGACAGCCGTCGGTAGAGAGATTGTGACACAGGTATCCAGAGAACAGAGCGGGCAGCACCAATGGCTCCCTGATTACCCTGAAGAGCCCTGTAGATGACGTAAAGGGCGATCTCCTTGTACGGAATCCGGCCATATCCAAGGGCATCGACCAGATAGCCAAGCTGAACGGGGACGAAGACGTTGATGACGCGCTGGCAGACAAGAAGTATTATGCAGATGACCACGATGGCCTGGTAAAGATGCGAGTCCTTCGGCCTGTCGAGCGTTAGTGACATGAAAGGGAATGATGTGTGAAACCAGAAACGTCACGTACCAAAGATAGGGGAAGAGGACGCGGAAGCCCGCGAAATAGTCCAGCCAGCCCGTCCCTTGAACGCCTGGAGGCTTCCCAGAGGCAGGTTTGATGGCGGGCGTATGCGGATGTGCGCTACCGTAGTCAGCCACCGGGCCCTGGCCATTTTGGCCATTTCCGAGGAGCGACTGTCGTTCTTCGGGGGCTGACTGCGACTCGGCCGGCCTTAGCTTGTACTGCCTGAGGGCCATGAGGCCGATCATGACCACAAGCACAACAAGCCTGGCCAGCCCGAGGCTGAGCAAGGCATCGACGACATCGCGGGAGAGCCCAATTGCAGGCTGCTGGGTCTTGAGGACGGCGGCGATGACGGCTTCCAGCAGCACGGCGGTGACCCAGGCGTGGCCGTTAGCAGCGACTGGTGACCATGGGCCCTCCGGGTCGGGCAGCAGGCCGGCTAGGAAGTACAGCAGCACGCCGACGTAGGATGCCAGGTATGCGCTGTCGGGGAAGGCAGCTTGAGGGCCGCCAGCGTGGCCGGCGACAGCATCGCGCAAGACCACCACGATACTGGCCAGCTGCGTGTGGGGGTGCGAGGTCAGCCTTGGTCCCCACAGCTGTGCAGGCATTTGAGGAGCCGAAGTGAACTCACCAGCAACAGAGACAGCACAAGTTGGAAGCACCAGATGAGGCGGGCGTAGAAGCGTCGGGTGGCTTCGGCCTGCTTCTCGTCGGCCGAGGCGTCGCGGCTCGGTTTGCCATGCCGCTCCCGGTAGTACTGGACGGACTGTGACCCCAACAAAGTCGCGAACAGCCCGCAAGGGTAGAGGTAGAAGGCCACCTCAAGCCCCTGCTCGACTCCTCCGGCCATGGTTGATGTCTGCGAAGGATGGGACCGGATTGGTTTATCGGTGTTTGACGTTGTGGTCAAACCTTGAGCAGAGCTGTGCGCTTCGCGGCGCTTGAAACTGAGCTGCCGTCGGCCGTCCAAACATCCGGCTCTCCCGCGATGAGGTGCTCGACCGGGGCCGCACGACCCAGCTGCAGCTACCCCCCTTCCGCTGCGCTTCCCCCACCTGCTGTTTTGCGACCAGCCCTAACCCTTTTCCCTCAAGCGAACATCTTCAATTCATCCTGGCACTGCCAAATCAGGATCTCCCCGCACCGTGGACACGCCATGAGTGCACATTAATCTCCGGCGATAGTTCACATCTCCTCCACTTACGATGTATCCTAAGAAGACCCGTCGGCAAATAACCGGCGTTGCGCTAATCACACGAGATCCTATGGTTGTGGCTGTAACGTTGCGCGCTCCCCGGTCGACTTCACGACGACCGGACCGTCAATAACAAAACCAGGCGTCGGGTAGACACGACTTGGAGCATGTAGGCAGACCGGCACACCACGATACTGTACTCGAAGTCACGCAGCAGCCGTGACGTGTCCAGTCGTTGCCATGGGCTCTTTACGCGCCGCCCAGTTCCTACTACTCGCTGCGTATTTTCCCCCAGCCTCCCTGGCCCGGGACCAGCAGCAGATCATCGCCTACCCATACCCGGCGACAGAATGGATCGAAGGCAGTGGCGCCCACGGCACGAGCCTGGGAAAGGAGGCTTTCATCAGCGCTCTCGTCTCGAATATGACCATTGAGGACCTCGGTGAGACGTGACGAACCCGAAGTCGACATATCGTCGCCGGAGTGAGGCTCTTTGGCTTACGGAATGCAGTCTTGCAGCTGCATTTGACGTTTGGCGGGGATATAGTCGGTGTCAACTCGGATAATGAGCTCTACGGTGCGTCTGCTACTCATGTTTGAGCTTCCAGGCACTCCAAACAGCTTTGCGGCTGACCGTGTAAGCCAGACTATACAATGAGATTCAGCCCCGACTCAGCAGTCGGTATTATCCACGACTGGTATGAAATCTCATACTTCCGTACTAATAACAGGGTGAGAGGTACACTGACCCTCTGAAAGGTATCCCCTGAACACGTCATACTACAACGGAGTTCAGCAGCTCAACCTCCAGAAGGCTCGCCTCAAGGTGCCCCTGATGCACTTTGGCGAATGCCTCCATGGAGTTGGCTCGTTCAAGCAGTCATTGTTTCCCCAAAGCCTGGGGCTCTCCGCAACCTGGGACACAGGCCTAGTTCACCGTGTAGGGCGCGCGATCGGCACCGAAGCAAGATCGATCGGCATCCACGCCTGCTTTTCTCCCGTGCTCGACCTCGGGCTGGATCCGCGATGGGGACGGATGCAAGAAGCGTGGGGCGAGGACAAAATCCTGACATCGCACATGGGCGTCGCATACTCGTCCGGGCTGTCAAAGAACAGCTCCTGGTCCGACCCCGACGCCGTGGTGCCCGTCATGAAACACTTCGCGGCGCATGGGTCCCCTCAGGCTGGTCACAACGCGGGTCCGTTCATGGGACATGGCAATCGCCAGGTCTTCCAGGACCTTCTGACCCCCTTCAAGGCCGCGGTCCAGCTTGGGGGTGTTCGAGGTGTGATGATGGCGTACAACGAGTTTGACGATATACCTGCTCATGTCAACCCCAAGCTGTACGACGCGCTCAACGAGATGGGATTCAATGGCTTTGTCATAGCCGATGACACAGGAATGAACGACATTTATACCCAGCACGCGGTTGCCGACTCACCAGCTGATGCCATCAGACAATGGTACAACGCAGGCGGGATGGTCCAGTTCTACGACTGGCCGCTGGAGCTTCTGCTGAACGCAACAAAAGATCTTGTCGCCAACGGCTCGCTGGAACTTTCAACCGTCCGGTCGCGAGTGCAGTCTGTGCTGGGAGTCAAGTGGGACCTCGGCCTCTTTGACGATCCTTTCGTCTCACCGGCCACTGACCCTGCTCAAATAGTGAACAGCAACAAGAACTCGACGCTGGAGGCTGCCCAGAAAAGCATCGTTCTGCTAGAAAATCGAAATTCGACACTACCATTAAAACCAAGCGAGCAGAGCATCAAAAATATTGCCCTCGTTGGTCCTTTCGCTGACATCCTGAATTATGGCGACTATTCTGGTCAATGGGGAGAGTATCCGGCCGACGGCGCCAAAACAGTTCGTCAGGCCATACTATCGTACAGCCAAGACCCGGATGCCCCTTTCAATCTGGTCTCTAGCTGGGGTTCAAACACTTGGGAGTATAACGCACAACATGTTATCCCGCCATACCTTCTTTCAGCCCCCAACGGCACAGTTGGTGGCTTGCAAGCGACATACTGTGCAGACACCAACTTCAGCGAGCCCTTGGTCACCAAGTTGGAGAATCCTGCGCTTGACTGGGGACTCTACCCTCCCCCGGGTCTGCCATCCAACAATTTCAGTGCCATCTGGGAGGGCACTCTGACATCACCAGTCGACGTTGATGTGGACGGATGGATCGGTGTTGCCGTCGGTGCGAACAGCACGTACAAGCTCTACGTTGATGGCGAGCTCACCACGTCAAGAGGCTTCCCACTGACCACTGAGGGTAACATACTGGGCAACATCCAACAATTCACTTACACCCAAGCAAACAGCACCCTGCCTCCCGAAGGCGCGGCTGCTTTCACATTCAGGAAAGGGGAAACACATGACATCCGAATCGAGTTCCAAGCCTTCAATCTCTACAAAAAGATCGAAAACTTCGTCTCCCTCAACTCGCAGCTCCTGCTTTTCTGGAACCTGGTCAGCAGCAATCCTGCCAACGATGCCATCTCGCAGGCCGTCTCAGTCGCCGACTCCGCAGACGTGATCATTCTCGCCGTGGGCGCGGCATGGAACAGCGACGGCGAAAGCGGCGACCGAGCCACCCTAGGACTCGCCCCGAGCCAGGACGCGCTGGCGAAGGCCATCTACGCCCTAGGCAAGCCAGTCGTTCTCGTCCTACAAGGTGGAAGACCATTTGCGATCCCAGACTACTACAACCAGAGCGCCGCGGTCTTGAGCGCCTGGTTCCCCGGCCAGAGCGGCGGGCAGGCCATCGCTGACGTGCTGTTTGGGGGAGTCAACCCGGGCGGGAGGCTGCCGGTGAGCGTGCCGAAGCATGTGGGCCAGGTGCCGATTAATTACAATTACAAGAGCCTCGGGCGGAAGATCAAATACCTCGACCTGGACTCCCAACCCGCTTATCCATTTGGGTATGGTCTGTCGTATACGGATTTCCAGATTTCGGGGTTCGAAGCGAGCAGTGGTCCAGCGGCTTCGAGGGCCGTGGGGGCATCGAGTCAAAACACGTTCACATCTGGAGACACCATCAGCTTCTCAGTCAGCGTCAGGAACAATGGCACCGTCGACGGTAGCTATGTTGCGCAGGTATACCTCCTCGGGCGAACCTCAAGCATTGTGCAGCCGGTTAAACAGCTCGTGGCATTCCAGAGGGTGTATCTTGGCGTAGGAGAGGGGACGACCGTGAACATGGACCTGGATGTTGATCGTTATCTGACCATCATCAACCGGTGGGATGAGTGGGAGCTGGAGAAAGGCGAGTACACTTTTGCTCTGCTTGAGCATGGTGGAGACGCAGCGGACACGGGCTTGAACGTCACGATGAGGAGCGTGTAAAAGACCATGTATGTGTCAAAAAGTCCAAAGTGAATACTACTCATTATAATACGAACTGTTCAAGATCTACTTCCCCCAGATGGAATTCTCTTAGGGTTGGCCAAGGTGATCAGCTCGTCCAGCCCGCGCCCAAAAGATGCCCACATGCTTTCCAGCATCAACCAGAGTATCTGTGGAACAATGCAGAGCACCTTAAGCAGCGTGCGTATCCAGGAATTGCTGAAGAACGTCTTGAAAGCCCTCCCAGCCATCACCACTGACTGAGACACGAAAGCCCACACCGCTCGGGGAAGCTTAACAAAGAGTGCCTCCATCGCAACCAACAAGTCATGCCCGACATCCTTCAGCTTGATACCTTTCAGACGTGTGATAATAGCAGCGAAGGAACTATGCAGAACCGAGACCAGTCTCCGGGCCGCAAAAACAACGGCGCGGCCCAGGTTCTTCGCGCCGTCCACAAGCCCCTTCCGCATGATCTCCCAAGCTCGGGACACCACTTCAGAGATCCACAAGACCACCCTCCACAAGAGGCGAGGAAGCCGCTTCAGACCCATCCAAATGGCCTTGGCCAGATCTATCAACCCCCGAGGGGTCCCCCTCACCACACGCACCACCCACGGCCCAACACAGTGCCTGCGCCTCCAAACCCACTTCCCAACCTCCCACGGGATATCAACCAGTAGCAGCCGCGGCAGGTCCCACCCGAAGAACCGCACCGCCTTCCTCGCGCTGACTGCTGCCCGCCGCAGCGCAACGACCTCCTTGCTGTGTTTCAGCCGCCTCCAGGCACCCCCACGCCGCGCGGGGAGGTACCGCACGACATCGCGGTGGCCCGCCTCAGCGGCGAGCCGCAGCGCCGTCTCCCCTCTTGGCCCGACGGCGGCGTCGTCCGCGCCGAACTCCCCGACCAGCATCCGCACGACGGCCAGCTGGCCCGTCGCGGCGGCGAGCATGAGCGGGGTGCGCTCGGCGCCGTGGTCCGGCCCCCCGGCCCTGCCGGCGAGGTCCGGGTCCGCGCCGAGGAGCAGCAGGGCGCGCGCCGTCGCGGCGCTGCGGGCGCGGACGGATGCCAGCAGTGCGGTCTCGCCGGTTGCTTTGGGGCAGTCCGGGGAGATTAGGCCTTGGGTTATGAGGTGGGCGGCTGCGGCTGTGTCCGCGGCGGAGATGCTTGCGAAGAGGGCGGTGACTATGTCGGCTTGGAGGCCGTGCGCGTCGCTCCCGGCGGACTGCCATGACTCTGTCGTGCTTGAGAGGCTGGGAAGGCGGTTTTTGAATAGCTCTGGGGTGCTGGGGTATTTTGTGACTGGGATGATTGGGTAGTCCGGGTGGGTCTTCTGGAATGATTCGAGGCGGGCGGCGAAGCCGTTCTCGTCGTTTTCGGTGTACCTTGGGGCTGGTGTCTCGTGCGTTTGGATGGCTTCAGACATGTTGCGCGCATAGAATTATGTGCATGCACTAAATCGTGGTGGAAAAAAGGTGCATTCAGCGAAGGAAGGAAAGAAGCGAAGAATCAGGCAGGCAGTCTCTTTCCAGAATTTTGAACACCATGCAAAATGGTGACTGTGGAGTATAAATGGCTGCATGAGCAGTCCGCGTTGGTGGTACTCAGTGGCTGCTGGTATACACGATGATATCTCTGACCCAAATTCATAGTCTTTGTTGGCTGGAGCCCGTCTATGAAGTGAGCCGCATCACTAGGCGAGAAGGCCTAAAGTTTCTACCTGTTCGTCGTACTAATGATAATAGCCCCATACGTTGCACAATGCAGCCTCTCGGAGATGATCCGGTTACTTCGCCAGGCCACTTAATGTGCCCCCGTTACTAGGCATCATCAGTAAAGTACGCGAAGGATGAAGGGCGGTCTAGAGGACTGGAATACACAGTGTGGCTGTGCAACTGCTCGACCCAATGGGCCGGGACACTAAGCGTACTTTGCTCCGCCGTGTTGGGGCATCAAAGGCTCGTTGAATGGGCCTTGAGTGTTCCAGAGTGGCGTCTAGAATTCTTCCCTGGCTTTGTATTCGGCCATGAGATCGTGGCTAAGTACCAGGCCACTTTCTAGCCCCTGTCTGGCCAGTAACCCAGCAGTTGGCGGCCGACAAACAGCCCCGATGTCGTATCCGGGTCGAACAGCCACGCATTAGATGCTGCTCATGTGACCGATATTTTTAAAATGCTGTGTATCATGTTGTGTTGGGTTAATGTCTTGACGCCAACGTTGGACTATGTGCACGCTAACATCCACTGTCCCACTTACCAGCCTCAAAGCTGCCTGCTGTCGAGGCGCAATGTAAAATAATGAGGCAGGAATATCAACGTCATCGAAGGTCTGCCACTCAGTTGGCCCACTGCCTCAAGTGCAGTTCTTTATCATCCCGATCGGCCATCTCAGGTAACACACACATGGCCTTCTGCCTTATTCACGGAGCCTCTGCTAAACTTCTCACAGCCTTCTTATCTAAGCTATACCACCTTCACCAGGTGTAAGCATTCTTTGACCACCCAGAAGCCGAACGAGTCTCTGTTTTCCCCTCATTTTGAGGCCGGCATTTCGTGACCTCATCCTAGCACGACAGTCTTAACGCCTCGCGGTAGCTCGTCGCTGCCAAATGAAACCCTTCCGAATGATATGTCCGGACAGGGTAATTCAGTGGCTGATCGGACGGACTCCACTCGTACCAGAAGCACTTTGGATATTATAATTCGGGTTTTGCACATGAGTTTTGAAAGCCTTGATGTAATACTAAGATGCATGCGTTCAATACTCGTAGCAAGAATGCAGCGTGGACTGCCTGCTTGTCTTGATCTATGTATAACCTGTCACTTCGGACCTGAGAATGCATGGCAAAGCATTGAAGCGAACAATCCCCCCTCAAATGTTCAATTAAAGTGGCATCATGTGTGATCAGATTCATATGTCCAAGCGTGTCAGCGTCTTGACTATTGCAAAACAATGTAGGTGCGACCGTGACGCAATGTGTCAATTTCATATTGTCAACAACGGGGTACCACTTCTATTACCGAGAAGTAGTTATAAGGCTAAACTTTTTAATGAGCACAAGTCTACCTGATTCGTATCATACACATCCACCACAGCATTTGGATTATGAGTGCGATCTTGTCACACTAGCCTTTCGGAAGATTTTCGGATACACTCTTCCCTTGAAAATCCGACCGTACAAGTGATGCCGTCATTATTTGTGTGCAGTGAGCTCAGGGTCCCCTCTGGCACCGTAATATGAGAGTTGAGAATTGCTGAGTCTGAGAGCTCGTGCCACTGTGGCTGCCGCTTTTGAGGGGAGCCAAAAGTTTCCAGCGCCGGCTTCTGCCTCCAATTCTCCTGGTTGGAGTCGTAAATGCGGCTTTTGCTTCCTCTACTGCTGCCGGTGAGTCTGGATCGGATCGACTTGTAGAAAGAAGTTTCGGACACGTGAACTCGGAGAAAATTAGCAAAGGCAGGCATTGATCCGACTATGATGGCAACGTTATTTTCAACGATTCTGGTTTTCAACGAACGACAGTCAGCTTCTAGGAATTTGTATAGTGGGATGACGTGGATAGTTCAGGATATGCTGACATTGTGATGGCAATCCGGCCTGACTGCCAGCCGCTGTCCCGCATTCCAAGCAGTTTTACTCGAAATACCAGGCAAATGACACTGGCTACAATGCCCCTGAACTCAGTTAGCACTCGGCCCCGAAGCAGTGTCACAATACTGCAGTAGAAAGAGAGTGGCTTACATGAAGGCTGTTGCAAACAATGCTAGAAGCTGGATTCGTTTTGACAGGGCCATGTTGAGAGAAAAAAGAGTTGGCAGGGGTAGGACGAAAACATAGATGTCTACGACAACAGACGCAGCGCCAATGGCAATTCCACCGGGAATCCCTTTCGTTGGAAGGTCCGACAATATCAATTCCTCCCAAGTCTGTCCGACGTGTGGAGCGTCGAAATAGCAGAGAGCAAGACTTGGGGGAAAGTATGCCAGGAACGCAATTACTAGGCCGACTTTGGAGCCGATCCTGATAGTTTTATTGACAGAAAAGATTTGGAGGTAAAAAAGAAACATAGCTGCTTTGGGGAAGAAGAGGGCAGGCCCAACCAGCAGAACCTCAGTGAGGACCAGCTAAACCCGAATTGTCGTTAGATGTGCTGTTCTATGTGCTGAATAATCGGACATTCTCACTTTGAGGTACCTCACGTCCATCCAGCAAATAGGGGTGTCCCACGGGTGGCGATAGTACTTTGATACTGCAAGTAGGTCAGTATTGCGTGCATTGGCATGACGACATGGGCAGCTCACAAGAGAGGACAATGCCTGCAATTGAGATATTGAGGACCAGACCGACGATCATGAAATCTACTCGCTAGTCAACAAGCCATAACTTAGACGTACCGTGCCATTTTGTTACCGCACTCACAGTCTGCCAGCTTGAGAGCTGTTCTATTGGCATAGAGTCGCCCAGAGGTGATCACGATTGCAAACGGAGTCATCATTGCTATCATGGCAATGAGGGCTGATTTCAAGGACGGCGGGTTCTCGAAGTTTGGGGGGAGTCCATCAGGATGACTGGCGAGTGGAACTGCACACAAGTCGAGGCCCGAAAATGCATCCAAGCCGGATTGTCTGGGAACTGACATGATGGCTGTGATTAAAACCAATCCCGCTAATGAAACGGCGACAGGACTTCCGTGACTTTGATCGACCAAGAGGAAGAGCCCGCTTAAGTATTGCGGTGCTCTGCTTCGTGGAATATGAAGATGAGTGGTAGGGACTTCAGAAGTCGTGGAAGAGATTTGAAACCCAACTAGCAAGCCACATTATTTGTGGTCGAGCTCCATCTACAGAGTGCAGGAGTCCGACTGCAGAGGTGGGGGCCAAAGCCACTTGGATTGTTAGCTAAACAAATCTATCGAATTGCTGCCAAAGGTTTTGGGGTCTGAAGGATGCCCAACACACCACCGAATCTTTTCTTCGGTCTGGACCGGTATTCGTCAAGCACTGCAGTGACCTGGAAGCAATGGGCTGACACAGTGGACGCATACCAATCCAATGATTCGACTGAAGTGACTGATGACGGGCATGGCTTATGTTGTACAGCGCCAGAGCCCATTTTGATTCAACTCCTTTGATGTCACAAACGGCAAGGTTGAGGATCACCCTCACAAATTAGGCCAGATGTGCTGGATGGATGGATGGATGGATGGATGGATGGATGATCGTTTAGGGAAATGGAAGCGAATGCAAAGTCCTACCTGGCGCTCAATCATGCACATCTTGCTGATCGGCAGATTGCTTTTTCCATAGGCGTGGCAGAATCATAAGACACACGATCCATCATAACTATAAATAAGTTGTGCCCTTCTCTCACGAGGCTCGCCCGAGCCTTAGACCTGTGGAACAGCCTTTGCCATGGTGGCGTGCTAGACCTGCATGGGAAAACTAACCATCTGACATGCAGTTCAAAGTAACGTGACGCACATGTGGGATTCAGAGTTACATCATCGCCCGATTATAGATTGCGTTCTAGGTGCACAAAACTCAAGAGCCTCACTTTTTGTAGTTGAACCGGTGACCGGTCAATGGCGTTTGCCTCAAGAACCAGCTGAAACCAAGACACTTGGACTTGGCAGTAGATACTCCCTCGGCCAGCTGCAGCCTTGGGCAATTGACCCCACTGCGACGAGGACTTGCCCCGGATCTGGATGGAACTCCTGTGCTCGTGCAACCCCATTTCAATCCCATTTCAAAGCACCTTGCGGCTGTCCCCAACCTTGGATCCAACACTCACACACTCAAGGGCCTGATGTTCTCTATTTACCCGAAGTAGCTGTACATCCATCCAAGTGCCTCTCTTCGGCCGGGACATAGAATTGCAAGCGCCTCATCTTCTCCCCGGGAGGGCGTGAATTGTCAAGCACATTTGCGCCAACACGGTTGGTAAGACCGTGAAATGTGAGAACACTCCTTGGTCAACTTGCTACTTGACGACTACAACTCCGGAAGCAAGTAAATCCGGACTTGACGATACGCTTTTGAGAACAACGTCGTAGACAAATGAAAGACAGAGAAACCCAGGCATGTTGTAAGGCCTTTGTGACAATTTGTTGTTCTTGTCCGGTGTTCAATCGGGCTCATTTCTATCCAACACCTATCAGAGCCACCTTTAGAATGATAAGGTTGTATTACTATAGGTTGGATTAGAGAACATGTGGATTCCTGCCAGGTAAACGCATGGCATCTACGATGTCTGACGAATTGTCATTCCAATCATCATTCTTCTGCGGTCATTTGAAATGTGATTATTCGCATGCCAAGTCGTTACACCGAAAGCGCCCGAGGCAGTGAAGCCAACAGTAGGAGGCGTAACCCAACGTTGATGCATTGAACCCCTGCCTAGCCGATTACTTGTGCAAATAAAATCTGTAGTGATACCCGAGCCAATCTTTTGATCAGTCACCGTGCTTCCGAACACCCAAAACTTTTGTATGTAGAGCGACATTGGCCGAGTGAGACATAAAATTTGTGCCTAGGTAGCCGTGAATGTTGCGAGCCCGCATTTGTGAGCCTGACCACGCTGCAGGCCGGAAGGATCAGCGTGACATTCTGAAGAGGTGACCAGTGACAGAAATGGGGGCGTTTATCAATTTCCCAGGGCTGTGCTCACCTCCACCTGCATATTGTGAATTTGCTGTAAGCTGACCGGTCTGATGAACGGCGGCTTGAGACATTGCACAGCATGGCGCCACAGATCATTGACCAACCACATCTACCTTCGCTTCCTTTGTGTACGACTCTGCCTGAGACAGCTGAACCCAAGTCGCACCTGCCACATCGGAGCCTGCCGCATCCTTCGCTTGTATTGGGTTTTCTCAGCCAGTCACTGCCATCATTCACTTTCTTTTCATCTGCTCGCTCCGCTTCTTTCCGACGTCCACTCTAAGTGATAAACCGTTTTCGGCATATTCCTTTTTCGAACGTTGACCAGACTGAAGCCCTAGTTTGCGTTCACCTCTCATGATGTGGCCATTCTCATCCTATCCAGAATGCTCGCCTTCTCAGGTCGACGGCAAGACATATGACTATGTTATTGTTGGAGGTAGGTGCCCCTCTTGCCACCACCTCTTAAGCCTTATTCACGTATTGAGAAACTCAAGCTCAACTCATCTAGGTGGAACTGCCGGCTGCGTGCTTGCGTCGCGCTTGTCTGAGGATTATGATGTTTCTGTCCTCGTGATAGAGAAAGGCTATGCCAAGGACAATGTTGTGTCACGCATGCCACTCCTCAGTCAGAACATGTTTCTCGGTGATACGTTGCAGGTTCAGAGTGACCGTTGGTCTGAGCCAATTTCTGGTGCCAACAGAAGAAGAAACCGCCTGTGGGCGGTAGAAGGAATCGGAGGCGCTACACGCATGAATGCAATGGTATGTGTTCATGAAACTTTCCAGTGAAGGTTCACCTGTGCTGAACCCGAATATTGGCACATTAAAACCGCTCTGTCCATTCCAGAAGCCAGGCGAGGGTCGCAGGAGCGGGAACAACACTCGACATCCCTCAAATTCTAGAATAACTTGAGCTAAATGGCTGTTAATCTCGCAGTTGTGGACTCGTGGCTTTCCAGGAGACTATGCCGCCTGGGCCGAGATGGGCCTCTACGATTGGAGCTATGAGAAGATGGAGCCGTATTTCCGCAAGATCGAAAATGCCGTTGCCCATCCCACGTCCAGTTCAAGGGGCCACCAAGGTAATAGCCTACCCTTCAGTGAAGTGAATGGATTATTTTCTGACGAAACATGGTTTCATCAGGACCAATCGAGATTCGGCAATTTTCATACCCGTTTCTGTGGATCAAATAGTAAGCTACACCCGCCGATAATGACCAAGTTTCACGAGTTCTGAATTGTGGTTCAGCCTCAACCAAGCTATCCAAAAGCTGGGCCTTCGCCTAGAGGAAGATATCAATGACCCTCATGCACCGGCTATGGGGTCTTTCATCTTCGATACAGCTATCGACAAGAGCGGAAGCCGCATCTCAGCGCTTACTGCATATCTCAGCGAAGCAGTGACTTCCGAGCGGCGTGACCGCCTTACGATATGTACAGGAGCCACTGCATCACGTTTGGAAGCTGACACTCGAACGCGTCTTGTCAAAGGTGTTTACATTCGATCCTCGAAGGATCCGGCTCGAGAATTCTTCGTCAGAGCACGACGCGAGGTCATAGTATGTTCTGGCGCAGTCTGTACACCTCAACTACTCCTGTTGAGTGGCATTGGACCGGCAGCATCAAGCCAGAAGTTCTCCATTCCCCTTGCAAAAGAGCTTCCTGCGGTGGGCGCTACGCTGTCAGACCACTACAGTGTTCCCATCATGCTTGAAGTCCCTAAGCAAGAGACATTCCACTTCCTGGATTCAATTATGGGTATTTGGCATATATTTCTTTGGCTCCTCTTTGGAAAAGGGCTTCTAAGCCTTAGTTCCATCCCTACCACGATTTACGTACGTACGGGCGCCATCGATGAAGATACCATGCAGGTCAAGAATTATGATGAATATGGTCACGACAACCTCAACGCTTCACTATCTCGAAATGTGCCAGACATCGAGGTCATGCTCATGCCCATGAACTCAATGGAGAGACCTGTCAACGGGCGTTCACACATGTCCCTCTACCCTACGTTAGTCCAACCGCAGGGATCAGGGCACGTGGAACTGGCTAGTACGAATGCATTTGCCCAACCTCGAGTCACCTATCCCATGTTCACAAATGAACATGATATCACATCTGCTAGACTTGCTGTTCGATTCACCATGCGATTAGCTAGCGAGTTCCATCAATCCGGCTATCCATATCCTGCGAAACTTGTCTTTGCTCCAGGTCAGGATCCTACCATCCTCGAAGAGTGGGAGAAAACAGCCCCAACCGACTACTTTCCGGTCCCGTTGCCCGCCGCAGCATCAATCTCAAGCGCAACGCATAAACCTCAGATCACCCTCGACCGCGAAAAGGAAGCCACTTCGGAAAATACAAAACACGTGGAAAAGACGTGGAAAACTTTGACCGACGACGAAATTGACGATTACATGAGAAGGGTAAGCCACACAAGTTTGCATTTCTCAGGCACGTGCCCGATGTCCAACGATGAAGTGTCAGGCGTCGTTGATCAAAGGCTGCGTGTCCACGGTTTTAGCAATTTGAGAATCGCAGACGCGAGCGTCTTCCCCAAGGTAACCAGCTGTCACACCATGGCACCAGTTATGGTGGTTGCTGAAAGATGTGCTGATATGGTTAAGGCGACATGGGAGGGAAGGAAATCGCAATAGATTTCGGAACTCTCTGGCCTTGTGATCCATTGCTTCTTGTCAAATGAAGCCTTTGAGAGATACTGAGACCACAGTGTTTATTTACATCGTCGAATTACTTTCGTTTCCCAATTAGAACTGATCGTCGCAATGAACTCCCACAGCGAGACCTTGAGAGTTCGATATCCTGCAGTTGAGCTAGAAAATGCCAAATACCACACATGTAGTTCCCTGCTAGGAAATGGAATGTTAAGTAAATATTACGGCTAGCAGGTATCTGTGTAACAGCCGTATTCTTCTCTGTACGAATATCCGTCTTCCACACTTAAGGCTGCGCGAAAACGGACAGTCGAGTGGAGATTTTGCCCACTTTTCTCGACCATCTGAGAAAGTGTCAGGTTCTCCAGGTCGCCTACAACCAGAAAAACGGATGCGAAACGAGAGGCCAGGCTCTGCATATTGCGGTTCATCAGTCGGAGGGCGGACAGACCGGTGGCGACTCGAGCAAAAGGACCTACGGTAGAACGCCTGAAGTTGTCAGGCTCCTGAGGATGCGGCGGCATCGCTGAGGCTCTCGGTTGCCAAGACGAACGCCTGCAGCCACTTGATCGATCACGATATACTTATGCTGACTGCATCCAATAGTGCCTTGAATTCTCTAACAAACTTGAAAGGTACTGGTACAAACGTGTGTACGCTGCCGGCTAGGTTGATTTAATACATCTTCAAGTTTCGTGTAAGGTGGGGGCAAAGCTGAAGATCTGGCCTTTCTATGGCGGCGAGAGCCCGCGCTTATTTTTGTGTCAGACCACCCGCAGCGTTGACAGCAGGCAGCTGCTTCAACCGTGTCTCACAAAATAGTATTGTTGGCTGGCTGGGCAGCTTGCTTCTTTCCGAACACGAAATCTTAGCACTTCACCCATGCTCTTACTGGAATCTGTGTTTCCGCCCCCCGCCCCCCTCCAAGGAAAAGCCTGAACCTGGTACGATCCCTCTGAAGAAAGACACAAGCTAGGTGACGGGCGATCGGTCGCCGTGGCAGTGCAGCTATAGCCCAGGTTTCCTCTAGTTCCAAACTCAGAGCTTATCACGTCAGCTTCGTCGTATGGAATGCAGCGTTTACGGCCGCCTTCCACCCTGCTCCTAAATCGTCATCGAGGCAACCGCTCATGAAAAGGTATACCTAGATATTTCTCGGCTGAAAAGAGTGCGTGGCCCAGCTGAGACTATCAATGAAAGCAATGGAACAGGAAACTTCGCCAATCAACGCCACCATCTTCAACATTGGCCACTATGAAACAGGGCAGCAGACCTGGACGCAAGGTAGCCAAGATATTTCCTTTCTGTTATGCAATGTGTTATTTCTGTTCTAATGATACAGTGCGCCCGCTCTTATGAGGCGTCTGTCTTCGCAAGGCTACGTACCTGACTATAGTATGGCGAATGGATGGTAGCACGCCCCACCCACGTCAACGCTATAAATATGGCTTGAGACATACAAATTCGACGCAGGACTCAAGATTTCGAGATGACTCAGAGTTGGTTCCTGTGTGGGCCAAGGCTGGATGTATTATCGGAATACCTAGGGTAGTTAGGTAAGGTTACATTCACTCATGCATTCCTCGGTCAGCTTTCTTCCCAGGAAAACCGCCTGATCAATTATAGACCTGTTGTTACCTGGGAAGCCTCACGGATCCTTTCTCGAAAATAGAAGCCCTGCCTCATGAGCTTCTGGACCCCATTATTACCTTGGTTGCCTCGCGAATCTTTTCTCAAATAACCTGTCATCGTACTCAAGTAGAAGTCCGAGTGTCTGGTAAGAGGCTTATATAGTCAATAGATTCCTTTGAAGAAGAAAAAATACCCAATACGCATAACTTTCTAACATCCAACGTCAATCTCAACCTTGGTGATAGCAATTTATCCTTTTGTTGCTTTGAAAGCCCTGAATTACCAGACCTACAATCCCTCGCGAACTAGAAAGGTCTCAAGATGGCTCTTGTACTACTGCTGCTGTTCGCCTCACTGGCTTACGTAGTCCTTCGAGCTTTCCTTATTTACACCCAGTGTCCAGGAGAACCACCATTGGCTGAGAGTTCCATACCCTTCTTCGGACCCATCTTCCAGATGGTGAGGCTTGGGACGAGATTTTATCCTGAGATGAAGTATGTGACCAGATTCATTCCCCACAATTCATTTGAGGATAATTCCGTGCCTGAGATCCTTGTGTGAAATTGCTCATAGATGTTTCGATTCAGGAGAAAGCACCGTCACGCAATATACACTTTGCGCATCCCCGGATCACGCCTGTACGTTGTGAACAGTGTTCCACTTATCACGGCGGTCCAAAAGCAATATCGGATCATCAGCTGGGCGCCTATCATGGGACATGCCATCAGTTGGATATCAGGTACTAGCGCCGACGCGAACGAAGCCATTTTGCGCGACGTTGTAACTGAGGACGGGTTTTGTCTTGGCATGAAAAAGGCCACATTCTCAACTCTGGCACCTGGCCTGTCCCTCGATTCCATGAACAGGCTGGCCATTTCCGCATTTACCAACGGCATGGATTCATTAGCAGAGGGACAATCGCAACCTGTGTCTTTTTATGCATGGGTTCGTTCTCAAATCGTCATCGCGACGACAGATGCCATCTATGGCGACCACAACCCGTTCCGGGACTATAGAGTTGAGAATGCTTGGAGGTGAGCCTCTCCGGTCCCCATAAACCTTCAGTCATTCTTGTACGGATCACAGTGGTCTCAAAGCTGATCTCATATTTCCTGACAGCCTTTACAAGCCTGGAATCCCTAACCTTGGTCCGAAGGCGCTCCCTTCCTTCCTCACCTCAAAATCGGTTCAGGCCCGGGAGTACGTCGTCCAGGCTTTTGTAAAATTCTTCCAAGCCGGATATCACGAACAAGGATCAAACCTGCTTCGAGATCGGTACAGATACATTGTGGAGACGCATCAAATCCGGGACCTTTCCGACCTAGCAAGGTTGGAACTTACCGGCGCTTTTGCCAGCATCGAGAATACTGTACCGACAGCTTTCTGGTTCTTGTATCGGCTTTTGTCGGATCCTGTGGTCCTGGAGGATTGTAGGAATGAGCTATATTCTCTCATACATGAGCAGAACGGAGTTTGTCTTGTTGATGTTGATTCGATCAAGACTTCATGCCCGATTTTACAGTCCACACTTCAGGAGACAATCAGGTACCATTCAGTAACTGTATCAGCTCGTATGGTCACAGAAGATTGTACAGTGGAGGGATACCTTTTCAAGAAAGGGAGCACGGTACTGATGCCAGCCAGTGCTGTCCACGTGGACAAAGACACCTGGGGCCTCAATGCGGACCGATTCAACCATACCCGCTTCGTCCACAAGTCACATGACTTCGCCGGCAAAGGTAGTAAGCGGATTGGGTTCCGTGGATTTGGCGGTGGATATCATTTATGCCCTGGCCGACACTTTTCTAGCACGGAAATGCTAAGTCTCGCTGCCATGCTTGTTCTGAGGTTCGACATAACACCTGTCCATGGGACCTGGGAGTCACTGGGGAAACACAAGACATCATTCACAGGGACTGCAGCACCAGTTCCGGTCAAAGACTTTCCTGTTATATTTGACCGAAGAGATAACAAGAAGTGGACATTCTCCGTGTCGGGCACCGGGGTCGAGATGGAGTTGCTAGCCGAATGACTGTTAGAGCTGATGATATTGCGATTTAATATCAATCCAATCGGGATAAATGCTTGATATTTCACATCCTCCCTGTACAATTACAATTACAATAAAGACTGCGGTCTAGCACAAACTGGCTGAGCAATGCACGCAGAGTTGTTAGCTAATATCCTGATGGTTGATCATTGCAGCAGAATAGGATGTAGCGTTGATATCCCCTCTACAATTAAACACCATAAGTTCCGCCCCAGATTGCGGAATGAAGTGACTGAAATTATCAGAATCAAGAACCATAGTTGCAGACCAATAAGCCAGTATTTCTGGACGTGGCAGTGAGGGTTCCAGCAGCTGACCCCTGACAGACGCGTCCAGAAGGAATTATGGGGTTTCTTCATCGAAAATCTATCATTGATTTGATTGTAGTCCAGATCTGCAGACTACAAGCTGCTCAGACTGTGTAGTAATTCTGGAGTTCTTTTTGTGTAATCCAAGCCCGGACCAGTGGTTCACCTGGGTATGCTAACAGAAAGGAGCAAGACGGAGCCACATCAGGCTCCTCACTTGCTACCCAGCACTCAGCGTATCAAGATTGTCCCTACCAAATCACTGAAGAGTGTAGACTTTGATCGTTCTCACACCGAACCACGACTCCTGGAAATCTCCGGGGTTGGCCGCCACATATCTCGCACAGATATTGTATCCCGTCTCCTCAGCACATGACTCCGTCCACTCGCTTCCAGACCCAGCCGTGTCGCCACAGAGATCAATGTTAAACACGATAGACTGGTTCTTAAAGGCCCGGTCAATGTCACAGAACGAGCCGCCCACGGACAGGCCCGGGAGGCCCCAGCCCTCGGGATCAGGCGCCCCCTGCAGGACATCAAGCGGCACCTGGCCCGGGTGCCACGTCCACATGCGAATGTAGTCGGACGTCCACTCCATGGCGTAGACGCCACCGCCTGGGGAGCCGTAGGGGCCCTCGTAGTCCGAGCTGGAGCAGCCGTCGTTGGTGCCGCTCGCGTAGACGTCGCAGCTCTCGGTCCGCTTGTAGTTGGCCATGTCGAAGCTGTGGAAGCCGAGGGCGCTGCCCATGTCGAAGGTGCAGTTGCCCGTCGTCGCGTTGTGGTCCGTGTGCAGGGTCTGCCGGTTGAACTTGTAGGCGTTCCACTGCTCGTAGATGTCGACTGGGTGGCTCGGTGGTCAGTTTCACGTTTACTCACTTGATGATCGGACAGGCAAGGGCGCAAAACACTTACCTTCTCCGCTCTCTGGCCAGTTCGGTCCGTACATCCAACTATGTCGAGGCTGTCAGTTTCGACGTCCGGTGCTGGAGCCCTCGGGGCACTGCGGCTTACTAGGCTGGCCATGTCCCGCACTGGGCCTTTGGCAGTTGCGAGAAGTCGGCAATGACCAGGCCGTGGTTGTAGGTCGCGGTGCTCTCGATCCTGACACTTTTCCGACCGTAGCCCAGCGGGTCCTCGATCACCGTCTTGTAATCAACCATGATGGCCGCCACGTCACCCACCATCTGCACAAGACCGATTCGCTCGGCTTCAGACCGGTTCTGGTAGAGGACAAAGCCATGGGTCGGGTCGACATCGGTGTACTGGTCTGTGCCCGTGCGACTCTGAGCTCAAGTTAGCACAGTTAAAAATGTCTTGGTCCTGCGCGTGCTCACCTCGACGAAAGAAAACTTGTCGAAGAAGTTGGTGTAGTCATACAGGTCAGACAGCTTGTATATACCAGGTACCCTGCTGGAGTTGGTGTCATTTCGCGTGAACAGATCACGATGTGAGAGAAGCGGCAGGTTATTGGTCGCGATCCCACCAACATGAGCGGGCGCGTGGGCATGCGCGTCGCAGGAAGCAGCAAGGGCCACCACAAGGAGAACAACAGACAACAGCAGCATATTGAACGAGGGTAAGGTGCTCGTGGGAGCTGTCTCTAGAAGGAGAAGAAATGACGATGATGGCCTTGATATGTGCTTGCGTTGCACCTGAATGAAAATGCGTATGAGGACCAGGTGTGTCTAGGTGGCGCCTGGCTAACCATGCACCATCCCGCAGCTGTCTTCGGAACCCTGCATGGGAGATAAGCAGTGCCAGACAACTGGATGTCCAGGGCCGCCTGTGGACATTAACGAAATGGGCAAATTAAGCCCTGGCCCTGGCTGGAAACCAATCATTCACCACTGCAACTTATCCCAGACTTTTCATGATCAAAGTGTAATGTCGATCGCGAAAGTCTGCATCAATAGGAGGCCGTAGGTCCAATAAGGGTGAAGGCCTGCATAAGCTTTGGCTTGGAGCCTCTCCCTTTTACCAGCTGGAGGGGTCACTCTTTGCATGAACCCCCTCTATGACATCCTTGATGCAGTCAGTAAAGCTTTAGTAATCATGACCCAGGTAGGCCAGCACTACTCCCACGCTGTGATGGCCTGCACCCAGGCATTAGAGGAGGGGTCAGCCAGCTTAAAACATCTCTAGCAAATTCTCCAACTCGCAGTATCATATGACTCTGCCAAGAGCAGTTTCTGGTAAGCTTTCCGACAAACTGCTTAGTTCACCAGGCGGAACCTTATTGTCAACTCTTTGAGAAGCAGCGGAATTTCCCCTGCGAAGTTTGGTGCTCGGGACTGTTGTGCGGCATCGAGGTTTATTGATATCAGAAAAAGAACGAGTTATGACTGCACGTGTTATTTTCCTATGGATATCCTTTCCCAGATCATCCCTCACAGCAATTTGGCCCCAGTCCTCCATCCAAACCACTTTAGGTAGCGATTTCCTGAGAAAGCATCCCGGATCAAGCGTAGTATAGATCTGGGTAAGCAGCCTTGATCATATCGGCTCCCTATATCAACACATGTCAGCGGCTTGTACACAAACGATCGCACGAGGCATAAATACCTTTTCTCCTATCATGTACACCGAATTCTGAATACGACAGTCCGGGATGACAGGGATCACCGAAGCATCGATGACACGGAGCTTGTCGACACCAAAGACCTTGAGCTTGCTGCCCACCACCCCCTGGCCGATGTCCTTGCCCAGCCGGCACGTGCCGCACGGGTGGAAGCCAGTCTGGAAGCGCTCCTTGATCATGGTGTTCAGGGCCTCGTCCGAGTTCCGGGGGATCGGGAAGGGGTAGTCCTCGCCGATGATGTCCCTCATGCCCTCGCCGTTCATCACTATGTCGTCCACGAAGCGCAGGCCCTGGCGCAGGGCGATGATGTCCAGCTTGTCCTCGAGGAAGTTGAGGTTGATGCTCGGGTCCTCGAGCGGGTCCGCGGACCGGAGCGTGACGACGCCGCTCCTCGACAGCGGGCGCAGCAGGTCCACGATGACGGTGAGCCAGTCGCCCTCGGGCGGGCAGGGGATGTGCCACTGGAAGGCGTCCGAGAACATGGGCACGAAGTCGATCTCGAAGTGCGGCTGCCCGCCCGGGCCGAACGGGTCCACGCCGCCGTTGGCCTGCTTGTACGCGGCGTACTCGGCGTCCTGCTCCAGCCACGAGTCGATGCGCGGGAGCCCGACGAGCTCGAGGAGACCGCTGGTGTACGGGCCCCTGTTCGAGTTGTTGTACGCGGAGACTGCGGCGTCGTGCGCCGCGCCGGGGCGGAGGAGGTGGCCGTCCAGGCCGTAGCCGTCTTTGAGCCTGAACACGTGGGGTATGATCGGATGGTCGAGCAGGTTTTGGCCCACGTTCTCCGAGGCCACGACTTGGTCGATTCCGAAGTCTTTGAGGGTCTTCTTCGGGCCGATTCCGGAGAGCATCAAAAGCTTGGGAGTTTCGAAGACTCCTGAAGAGACGATGACCTCGCAGTTGGCATAGAAGGAGTAGGTCTCGCCGTCGGGGCCCGTAACTTCGATGCCCTTCGCCTTGCCGTCTTCGATGACGATCTTTCTGGAGTTCGTCCTCGACAGAACAGCTACGTTTCCCTTGCCCTTCAGATACATCCAGCTCGAAGAACGCTTTCCATTGTAAATGGAGTTGGTGCACTTCCACAACCCCCTCATGGTGCCGCCGTGAACATCGTCGGTCAGTTCTTGGCCCTTGCTGACCCATGCGGTTTCCAAGGCGTCGCGGAAGGGCTTCAGCTCAGGGATCAGGTCCGAGTGCGAAACTGGAAGAGGTCCGTTCTGGCCGATGTACTGGAGTTTGGGGCTGTAGATTTCACGTTCATCGTGGTATTTCGCAGGCTAGGTAACTTTCAGCAGATGGCTTCTTCATGAAAGATCAATCCAACCCTTACCTTGTAGAGGTACTCCTTGACGTTGTCCCAAGTCCACTCATCGCCCCCAAACTCGCTCCAGTCATCAAAGGTTGCAGCGCTACCAGGGATCCAGGTGTAGTAGTTGAGACAGCTGCTGCCTCCCAGGACCTTGCCGCGAGTGTTGGGCTTCTCGATTCTGGTGTATTCCGGCCGGTCTACCATGGTCGTCTTGTACTGCCAGTCATACTTGCTTCCGCGAAGCTCGAAGGCTCGGGCAGGAGTTGTGATAGCATCGATGTCCTCCGGATTGCCTATGCCCGCCTCGATGATGAGTACGTTGACATTGGCATTCTCTGCAAGTCGACCGGCCACGACGCAGCCAGCGGTACCACCTGTGGCTGACGATTAATTACCACCCAAATGATATTTGCCTGCTATCACGTACCTCCAACGACTATGAAGTCGAAGTTCTTGGGCGCTTCAGTGATCGTAGGCATGTTGGGCACTGGTCTAGTTGAGCGATCTGTTAGGCAAATAGGAAGCTGAGTACTGAGTGTTGCAATGGTGTTCGAGTATGATCTTGAGAAGCTGAGGACTCCGAGTGACTGCCATTAGGATCGGGCATGATGGAAGACGGAGGCCCTTCTTATATTCTCAGATGGATGCGCCATGTTGCGTATCACGATGTGGTGTTTTGCAGACACCTTAGGCAGACCAATCTTTCCAGCCTAGTACGGCGTCATTTTTGCTACTTGGCCCTCCTGCAGGCGTGCATGCAGATTACTTGCGATGGTCAGGGCACGTAGCCAGACGATTCAGCCAAAGCGTGTCCACCGGTGCATGCCGTGCTACGATACCGGCATCACCGGCCTCGCGTCTCAGGCTTGTTCGCGACTGGAGCTAGATCGGACTATCATGTCGGTGAGTAAGATCGAGCCTTTGGAGGTGGACGCCATGCATGGACTCACAGACATATGTTGGGCAACCAAGCGTTGATTTCTGTGAGGCACGGAATTGGCTCGGGGTTGGGCAGTTTGGCCGTGTAACCAGTCCATCTGGCAATGCAGTGAGTAAGCACCCCTGGACGGAAATGCTAAGCTTTCGCCATTGGCCTGGCTAACACAACCTCCGAGAAGGCCCACACACCTGGCACAAACTCGGCATTCCAGGCGGTCCCTTGACGCTCCCAAATTGGCCGACAGAACGAGCACCGAAATGCAGAGGTTTGCCTACTACGTGTAACTTGCAAGACATTTGTTTCCATTTCAATGTTGCATTGTGAGACTGGTCCATATGTCTGATACTCTCGAATTTTGCGGAGGAGAATTTGATCAATTGCGTTTACTGCGCGATTGAGAATCGCACAGTAGTAGTCCGAGAAGCCGGAGCAGCTCCGAGGACTTATGTACACCTGGTGTGATTGAAGACAGCCACTCAATACTAAACTTTTCAAAGATGCAGAAGACAGTGCAGACAAAGGTACATACGGAGTCGCACATACGCAGTTCAAATTTTCAGTGCAGTTTCAGGGCACAGCCGAATCTCGAGAACTCCTGCGCTGGCTTGCTGCAAGCAAGTCAGCACCTATGTGAGATGGATTCAATGATTTACTACAAGTACTATAAACGACACTATTGGAAGTGACGGTAAGAAAAGGTACTAACGGACACGTCCATTTGAGTGAGCTTCACAGATTACTATGCGATCAGTCTTGTGCGTATGTGTTGTCATTGTTTAGGGTATCTTTATCTGTTCCTCCTTCCGTAGTGATTGAATAACTCCAACACCGAAATCACCTTGCCGTCGGTCGCTCAACAACCGTCTCAGCATTCCTGACCGTTGTGAAATTAACACTCAAACCCCCCCTGCAAAATCATCTTGGAGTACCAGAATACGACTGTTGGTACATGGCCTGACCAGCCTGCGCGTTGAATTGTTGGTCGAAGGTATCAAGACGGTACCTCATCTCTTGGCGTCGCTGGTCAGTCGACACTGGAGCGCACTGGTACTGCATTTCCGGGACAGATCTCGTGTCATAAATGAAGGGGCCAAGCATGCCGCCTCCTTGTGATTTCCTGTAACCTGTCAATCTTCTGCCATGGCGTTACCGTAGGGTAGTGATAGGTCAGACATACTTGTGTGAAGAAGAACTGTAGGAGTTGTTCGATCCGTTGTGTTTGGATTGGTGACCCATTGTGATGGTCGGTTTGGGAAGACTTTATGATTGATGATGGACAGTTTTGCGAGTTTAGCTTCTGCTGGTAACTTGTGGAGTATGCGTGCAAATGATGTTGCTGTTGGAAGCCAGCTGCTCCCTCCAGCTCAAGGTTCAGCATTATTTTGGCCATATTTATATGGCGACTGTCACTCTTTGAAGCCATCGCCATGTTTAACGTCGCAAGAGAATATAAGAGTTCATGATTTGATACTATGTTGATGCTCCTTGAGTATGGCATGACTTCAAACAGCTCTGATTCAGGTTACTGTAGGCCAATCAGGAAGGGGGCTAGGGATGCAGGTGTGCATCCTTTACATATCACTTAACCGGTTTCAGCGATGTTCATGTACCTAATCTGCAATTGGAGAAGATCTCCAATTATTTCTATGGAAAAGACAATTGAGCCAGGCGGTCTGCGTGGGCCTGCGCGATTTGTGATTGCGATCCCTCGAGTTTGCGCACCAGCTTCCAGCAACATTCACAGAGGAAGCCCACGATCTTATATGATTGAGTCGATGCTTAACTCGCCGTCAGTGAGAATAGACCGGAAATTGGCTGGGACGCTTGAGGAGATGCCCGCGTCTTATATATTTGGTCCATGGTCGGGGTCTCCTGAGGCCGGGGAGCTCCCAAGGCACTCGTATCGTGTGCTGACGAGGCTGGGGAGGGATTACCATCCCGATCAAAAGGCTAATTCACCGTTGAATTCATTCAAGTCTGTCTGAAACGCCATGCATGGTGCCTGGCGGTCAGCCGAGGCAACCTGGCTGTGTGCCCAAGTGTGGTGGGGCGGTTGCAGTAGGGTCCAGTAACACCATTTCGGCCTGGTGCTGACCGAAGGTGGTGGGACTTATGCAAGCCAAGCAGCTGAGCAAGTGTAAAAATGGTCCTCCGCCCCCAAGTTTGAGCCCCGGACAGCGCAGGATTACGCCATGCGTCGGTGAGCCCAGGTTCGCATGGAATGAGGCTCTGTACGTGGGGGGTGCCCATGTGTTGTAGGGCTAAGCCCATAGGCATTAAGAAGGTTTCGGGTTCTTCATCCTTAGATCTTCTCAGCATTTACGACAATCCATTGCAGTTATCACGCGAGGCATCAACTCTGTTTTTACCGGGGCTTATACGGGCGTGTCGTCGTAAGTCCACTTGGTTGTTTGAGCCTAGCCTGCCTTGTCTACAGGTCTGAATCCCGGCCACGACCAGAATATGGACAAAAAGGCCACGGGACGGTCTCAGTCCCCAGAAAAGGAGGAAGGGTGGGCGTCAAGGCCCGCGTCATCTCATAAGGATAATACTCGGGGATTCCAGGCTCAGACTCATGACACCGTTCAGCCTCCTGACTATTTTTATGAAGGCGAAAGAGCCATGTCGCCTCCACCTGTAGCCCTTGAAAAGAACATGGATCCCTCACTAGGTTCTCAACCCAACACACCCGCCGCATCAAGCACTGGCTATCTCTCACGATCCAGCACACTCAACTCTTCCAGCACTACACAAACCCAAGACTCTGATATCACATTCTGGAGCCAGAGCAGTTCATCTTCAGATGATACGGTATCTGTGTCCAGGTCATTAACCCTGCCGGCCTTGGGGTCTTATCCCGTCGACCGCAGACCGTTGCCAAAGGAAGCGAGCTTTCGCATGTTCACGCTCCCCAAACCACTACTCGAGCAGCGTCCTGTCTTCCCATATGCGAGCGGTGTCCCTTTCCCAAAGACCCAATCTCCTTTTGGTCGTATCAGCAGGTACCTCACGTGGCCAGATCCGCAGGACGAGGGAACTCTGCCTGACCCCAACCAAGTGCCACCACCACGGAACCGTACATTTCCCATAGAAAGGCCAAGGGACCCAGCAATTCCGGAAGAAGACACTGACTCATTCATATGTGATGAGAACGACGATTCAACAATACCACAGTCATCAAGCTTGTTTGGTCCTCTTCAAAGCCAGGTGACAGCGTCAGCCACAGACATGGGTCATAACGTGTTCGGGCAAGAAATCCCTCCCGGTGAGGCTGACCCTCACAGCTTGCAATCACAGGAAGATGTATCTGGAAAGAGGAGGTTGATCAAATCGGATCATTGGATGGCTCGCCCACTGGATTCCAAGCACGATGGTCTGTATTGTGAGTTGGCTCCCAATTCATCGGCGGAATTCTTGTTACAGCGCCGCAAAAAGCTAGCCCGGAACGTCTCAATATTCCAGAGACTCAAAGCAAGTGAACGGCCAAGAAATTTGATTGTGCAGCATTATCAGTCGGATGAAGAGCAACAGCATAGTACAGAAAGTGCAACGTTTTCTGCCGCCAGCACCATCGTCACCTCGGAGGCTGCTGTGGCACCTGGAAACATAAGCAGAAAAGAGCTCCGGACACAGGCGGAAGAGATCAAGGAGTCTCGTTCTCCGAGCCCGAGTCCTCCAAACAAGCCATGTGGCGAAAGAAATCGGTATGTTCGGAAAGTTCAGTCAGCCTAATTAACGATACTGACACCCTGAGGATTAGTGAATCATCATGGTCAGACTCTGATGACAACACGGGGTGCCCGCCTGAAGATTTTAGCCCGGCGAACACGGAAGATGACGATTCTGCATACGACGAATTGGTGGAAGGCATCACCAACATCATATTAGAGTCCTCCTGTGTCGGCAATGTTGAAGACCGTGGCGTCCCCGTGAAACTCTACGTCCACAATCTTCTGGAACGAGTCCTGAACCACCCAAGGTCACCCAGCGAAAGTCAAGTCCTGTGCCTCCCTATTCGCAATCCGCCCACGCAAAACAATGAGGGCCCAGGCGATGCAGGTGAACAAGGCATGGACGCCCGTGGCCAGTCCGGAAACGGCGGCAGCAGTGGCATGAAGAAGAGGAAGAGTAATGAAGCATCTGGCCATAACCGCAACGGCAGTTACGGAGATCAAGACGACTTTGATGATGATCCGGGAGAAGTCCAGGCCCACAACCCTCAGAAGGTCAAGAAGCAGAAAACGGGCAAAAGAGGCGGAAATTTCAGCTGCCCATTCAGGAAGAGGAACCCAATCCGCTTCAACGTCCGCGATCACGAAAGCTGCGCCTTGAAACCTTTCGCGGACTTTGCATTGCTCAAGTAAGTTATTCCACGTGGACATCCGTTGATTTCTAAACAGCTCACATCAAGAAGACGGCACATCAAAACTTTCCACCAGAAGGCGAACAGCTCGAGCTCCTGTGTCCGCTGCAAGGAACAATTCCCGGATCAAGCGGCCCTTAACTATCACTTGACTCGGCGCAACATTTGCCCAGTTCGTGATCCTACCGGAGATGAGGATCCTGAGGAGGGCATAACCGAGGAAATTGACCGTGCACTGAAAGTAAGAACAAAGGATGACAATGTCCGCCTGTGGGAATCTTTGTGGAAGCTGTTGTTCCCCAGGGACCCTCCTGAACACATTCCAGGTCCTGGTACGTAGAGGACCACATCTCTCAATAGTGCTTAAGATTGCTGACGACATATAGAACATGAACCGCCATATGAGCTTGACGAAGTACAGAATCACTGTTACAAGGGAGATTCGGTCCGTGAATTCATCCGCAAAGAGACCATAGGTGGTGAGACGGTAATAACGGCCCATGGCTTCCGGTACATGGCTGAAAGCTTCGAGTACTTCTTCAATAGCGAGTCTCACAAGCCCTCCAAGGTAAGGGTCGACCGGGACAAAAGCTTCCTGGCCATGGTGGACAACGAGCTCCCCACACGCCATGGCGCATCTCAGGCCCAGCAGGTCCAACCCACGGTGGTCTGCGACCCGCCTGACGGGGCCACACAAGCCCAGTGGGAGAATGGTTTCGACGATGACCTGTCGCTCGGGATTGACCTTGGCCTCTACACCAGCCAGATTCCGTATCCCACCTTCCCGGTCTATGCCAGCCACCTCGGCGTCAACGGCTCACAAACGTCCGCCTCGACAATGCACCCTTCGTCTCAAGATCCCACGCAGTACGCAGACCCACAAGGCGCCCCCACGGCCTTCACATATGGGGCCATGCCGCCCCAAAGCGGCAGCCCGTGCTCGGCGGCGGGAGGGAGCGCCCACCACTCGAGCGGCCCGTCGTCCCGGAGCCGCGACTCCGGCGACCTGACGCTAGAGACCCAGGAGACGCAGAACACGCAGTACACGCAGCAGGAGCAGCACGACGCGGCGCTTCTTCTTCACAGCCACCACTGCTGCTACCGCGCAGCGGGCGACGACGCGGGGCCCTGCGGCCAGGGCTGCTCGGCCTGCGGCTGCTCCGCGCCGTCGCCGGGCGGCACGCCTGGTGGCCGGCACTCCGCCACCTGCCCGGCAGGCCAGGGCTCGTCCGAACACAGCCTGTACGGCGTCGGCACCAGCTCGTTTGCGCGGCCGGAGTGTCTGGACGGTTCCAACAGCGACGAGGATCTCGGCCCAATCCCGGACATGTAGTAGTAGTAATAATCGTCTGCACTCATGCATTGGAAACGGAATTACCGGATTTTTCGGTACTGGCGTCCGCTCATAAAATTTTCTTGTCTTTCTGGTTATAGCTCAAACAGCGCTTTGTTGCTGACTCCTCGGACTATGGTTGCGGAAAGAGCTTCCTCTAGCGCTTTCTTGATGGGATGCAATATACTCCTGGCGTGTTTCTTGGCATTTGTACCGTCTTGACCTTTTTACAGGCTTGGGCTGTGCTGTGCATACGATATCCACGTAGAGGATCTCACTCTTGGAGATGATCGTGGCCACAGTGCAATCGTCATAGCTTGGCTGCTTCAACTGCCTGCGACAGGAGAGACAGGCTTTCGAGTCAGCACCTGCTCTATACAACTCATTTGCAAAATCCTTCCACCAGTGACTCAGTGTAGACGTAAACAGGAATGAGAAGGCCTTTATACTTGTTGCAAAGTTAGATTGATCAAGACAAAGCCTACCCTCAGAGCTCCGTTTGAGGAGCTTTATCAACCATATTCACTGAACGCACAAAACTTGAATTGCTGTAGCGCTGATGGCCATCGGCTAAACTAACAGAGAATGTAATTGAGACCTCCTGAAAAGTACAATATACGCGTAGTCTGCCTGGGATTTGGTCACATAAAGCCTACCACCTGCACTTGGAGGCCACAAGAATCCTCGAGATCGGCCGACTGCGGAGCGACCCATGACCGATCGTGATCCTGGGCTTTGATGCGAATATTGACTCCCGAGTAAGAGTCGACCATTTCTCAGGTCTGCTCGTCTGAAATGACTCCATTTGGAAGAGCCGCAGAAGGGGCACAGGGCCAGCTTCAAACAGCTTCAATCGGGGGGCGTAGCTTACGTCCGGCGACTCGGGTGCCTTGTAGATCCGTCTTGGCCAAGAAGGCTCGGCCGCTGTGTCGGCTCCGTGGTTGCATGTGGGATTCATCTTCAGGGACCAGTCTCACGCCGTTCGACTCTGTGTTTTACTTTGAGCTGAGCTGAGAGGTCTCTCAAATGTGGATCCAATTTCGCTCAAGTTGCCTTGTTTTCATCCTTCTCTAGCAGTTCACGGCGCTCCGACTAATATCGGTCCTAATTATAGAGCTTACGTGAGTAACCCCATCGGAATTTCCATCAGCGATAAGACGGGGCCGTGGCCCATTCCACTATGGTGGGAATGATATGGGAATTGTCGATGGCTCGTCCGCCACCGCAGAATCAAGGATCGGAGATCGCACGGCGGCGGGACGCGCAGCAATGAGCCATTCGGATTTTCTGCAAAGCCCGCCCTCACCTCGAGGGCAGACCGGAAGAATGCAACATATCGACAACACCTACGATCACGTCAAGAGGAATGTGCCCACATCATAAGAGCCGAAAGTTAGCTAGAGTGTTGGACAGCAAGATAGTTTCAGCCGGCAGGCAGCACCATACGCAGCAAGCGACACCAGTGACTCGATCGTAGGCGCCTTCGGTCAGGACACTGGATGAATCTTGCGGAGGTGGGCTGTGTGGTGCCAATTTTTCATCAGTGCTCTCTGTCTCACGACGGAAGCTTGCGAACCAGCAGCGGGTTGAGCCGCCGGGGTTCGGAGTGTGGGAGACAATCCGGGAGGCCGTGGGAGTCTGCGGTACTGGTGGTGGTGGTGGTGGTGGTGGTGAGTTCTGGAAGCAAGTTGCGTCGGCTCGGTCTCTGTCGATCAGCCCGGGCGCTAGTTACCAGCGCGCTGGATGGAGGAGGCGGCCCATTGGTGTGTCTGCTCACCGCTTGATGAACAGCTCTCGATCCGGAGGGGGAACCTCATGCGGAACGAGCCGAGGTTCGAGCGTTTGCTCAGATCGAAAGGCCCGGCAGATGTCCTGGTGCAGGCTCGGAAGGGAAACCGGGCCCGAGGGTTGCCTTTTGCGACCTTTTAGGGGTCAACCACGGTGTTTCGAAGGCTGACGATCAGTCCCTGGTCCCTGTTTTCTTTGCTTTTGGTCGGCCGAGTCCTACCGATCGTGTGCTTTGCAGTCGGACTGGCTTCCGAGTCGAGTCTGGACCTTCAGGGGAGGCTGGGGAGCTCTCCGATGTTTTGGAAACGTTCGTGTAAGATGATTGGCCGAACGCGGGGGCAAGGCTGCCACGAGCCAACCGGGGGGCGATCGTGATCGATCGGATCCCGGAGTAAACTGCATACCAGTTCCTCAACCTTTGGCAAAAAAGGCATATGCGGGATGATTCTGAAGAACGATTGTATGTTCACGCTACTAGATGCAGCAATGCAAATGCGAGATAAACCAAAGACCTTGACCAAAGCCCTAGAGCGTTCTAGGCATCGTTATGCACACCTGCCCTACTTGGCTCCAATGGGGCCCGCATCCTGTTGCCAATGTCGTCCGATGATTCCTCGCTGCCCTCCCCCCGGCCGCAACATTTGTGGCTTCATCTGGTTATTTGGGGGTTGAGCTTATTTTGACAGCCACTACGTGTCATCACGATACGGTTCGGCTGTCAACGGTATCGTCCTACCTGTGAAATGCAACGCGAAACTGACGAACTGTGGCCGAGGCGCTGATCAAACTCCCTTTGAGCCTCTGACGTTTCTGTTGATTTTGATGTCCTGCAGGGGAGATGGTATGATAGGAATCAGCTTTTCAGGTTATGTTCATGATGGAAGAGCAGTCGTGCCTTTCTATCGAATACGATGACCTGCACTTCGTGGTTCAGTCCCGCCTCGGGCCGAAATGTGAACTTGAGGGTCTGGAATGCGCTCTGACTTCGTTCCATGGTTCAGTTTCCGAAATAAGTAGTATTTTGTGTCGATCGTCCAATTTTCGATCCTTTGATGGCATACCATCGGTGCACAAACTTGTATAGCTAAGCTGCAATTGTGCCTGTGCGGAGGTCTCTGATGCTCCAGTGAAAACACTTATCCCCACGAATCACATTCTATGTTGCATCGAAAGATCGGCACAGTTAGCATATGAGACCCCAAGCTCATAATGTCAAACCCGTAGCAAACCCGTAGGTGGAATATCACTCGTTTGTATACTTTTTTGCTGGATTTATGTGACATCTCTATACAGGTTTACCCTGGCCGTGTCCGATCTATGAAGGAGTGTCCCCACCGCCAGCCCGATGCGTAGCATCCATGATTACTGCCAAGTGATTGTTAAACGGTCCCGCGAGGTCTGGCCACGCCTCCATCAGCTCCGAGCAGAGTGCCAGAGGTACGATAGTAATAGGGTGAAGCTGTGGGGTTTGCCAAGTCAGCCCGCGCTCGGACGCAACGGTGGGGGGGTGAAAGTGAGGGGATTCATACCTTTAGACTGTTACATTGCGACAATCGCTCCATGCAGCTCAGCGCCTCCTGCGCAGCCAACGTCCCGCGCTGCATGCTCTCCACTATCGCGTAGTCGTACTCCTCCTTGCCGGTCGACGCCGTGCAGCTCAGGGTTGAGTGCAGGTGGAGGATAACTGTCCGCCACATTATACCCATGGACGGGCCGAGTGATTCCGAATCATGATGCAAGTGCTGCCTCGAATTGGCCAAGTTGAGGTTTTCTGCAAGCTGGGCGTTGATCTCGCGGTGGCGCTGCCAGATGCCGGCCGTGTTGTGGACGCCGAGCGCCTTGTCGATGATGGACTGGTGCCGGTGCGACACTGCCCTGCCGCAGATGGCGGCTAAATGAATGAAGTCGACGAATAATGAGTCCGGTGCGCCGACTGTCAGGGAGTCGCTGTTGAGGTAGCCGGTGACCGTGGGAATCTCATTTTGAAACTCTGTATCGGGCGCGGGTAATGGCACGTAGATCTTTTTTTTTTGATGAAAATGGTCAGCTCAAGTTGCATTCAAGGGGTAGCATCCCCGGGTCGCCTTACCGGCTCGTTAAATGTGCATGGGGCGTCATTTCGTAGGCTGATGGTCCGATCGAGGCAGAATGCTACCCAAAATGTTCGTCTCCTCTCTTCGGCCCCGACCCAATCGGACATCGTCGACGACGTGGAAAGCATATCGTAAAACCAGTTGAGCTGTATAAGTCTAAAAGCACGCCCCGCCCTCATCCACCCGCGCCTAAAGTCGACGGCCTTGAACTCGTAACAGGCCAGCAGGAGCTGGGCCTGCGCCTGCGCAAAGTCGTCGGGGCGCATCTGGCTCCACTCGTCCCCGGAGTCCCAGGGCTCGAGGTTCATGAGTGATTGAGACGCATATCTGTAAAGGTCGTTTGCCATGGTCTGATACTGGCCTGGTGATGTTGAGGCTGCCAGGGTCCACATGGCGAGCTGGAGACACTTCTGGGCCTCGCTTTTGTCCGGCTTCCGGCTCCACGCCGCGTACCGCCGCTGATGGATGAAGGGCATAAAGGCGTGGGTCCGATCCCAGTAAATCTGGTCGCTGGCAATGATTAGCAACGGTACTGCGCCGTGGGTGTCAAGTGGTCACGGGTGGCACTTGAGAGGTTGCGGGCTGCACGCAGTTATGCCAGGTCAACACTCACAGGTCCTGCTGCATCAAGGGTGAGAGTCTGAATTCCGCCGGCCCCTCGGGGGAGCTCCAGGTACTTGACGCCGTTGACATCCTTCTCACGTTATTGAGATTCAGTGATGAGATCTGTTCTCCTGACGGGTGCATTCCATTCGGGAGCATCGTGTCAAGGCCAATGCCGCCAAAAGCAGTGAGCGGCGGAGACATCAAGCTCGTGTCCATCGGCGGCGTCGGGGACATCGTGGTACCACCGAGGCAGGGAAAGCCGAGTGACGGGTCCATTCCGTTTGAGGTCTGGTTGGCCGATGCCATGTCCTGTAGAAAAACATTGTCGGACTCGCTCCCCGGATGAGGAATCTTGAGCGAGTCCGCGCCGTGGAACAGGTATGGGTCGTAGCATGATGACGGGTCTTCATCCGGCGATGTGTTGCGGGCCGACTGCTGCGCTTGTTGTATGAGAGTGCCCTCTAAAGCCGCTGCAATCACAGGCATATCCAGTCAGCAATGGCTTACTATGGCCCTCGACCGACGGCGGACTTACCTATTCGAGCTTTGAGGTCCTTAAGGTAACCCGGCTTTGGCCCGCGGGCCGCCCGAACAGTCGTGGTATGGCACGGCACGCCGGTCGACTGACACGAGCCGCACTGGGGCTGTCGCCGGTCACATCTAAGTTTTCTACGCCGACATTCCTCGCATGCTGCACCGGGCTTTTGTCGAGGTCTTGTCCGCTGCGTTGTGTGGGATGGGGAGCTGTCGCCCGCCTGCGTCTTTGTTGTCGCTGTCGCCGAAGGAGACATGGTGAACTCATGTGCTATGGTTTGGCCGAGGCTGAGGCAGTGCACGGAGTAATCCACCAAAACCGGTAGCTGAGCAGCTGTTCCGTATGAAAATGTCCGCGTAAAAAAGATGATCAGGAAGGATCGCCGCACCACCAGGACCTAGTTGGGAAGGGCGTGATGCCTTTATTGTATTCGGTCGCCGAAACCCAGGGTGCACAACTAGGTTGCAAACCCGCAGCTTCACAATTGGATTCCGCTTGCAATGGTGGCCCCCAGCTTACCTAGGGAAGCTATGAAACAAGGTAGTACAGATGATAGTTCCCGTATTCCGCGGCCGGGCTGAAGATTTTTGACCGCGATGCTACATTGCTAGGACGGTGGCAGATGGCCGTGTAACGGCAGTTGATGCTGTCTTGGCACGGGCGCCTGCAGCCTCCATGAGGCTGATGGGGGCTCTTCCCACCTGTCCGGCTGGTACGGAACTGGGAGGATCGAGCATGAAGCTGATGCACAGAACCCACAGCGACATTGTCAATGGGACCTATGCCACGTCACGTTATCGTTTTCACATGAAACTCTCGTGCAGAGGCTCTGGTGGTCTTGATCGTGCGGGAGAAGCCACTTGATCCCTGCAGCCGAGGAAGAGGTCCTGCGGGTCTGCCTCGAGCTTCCCATTCCGCCCTCCTTTCGGAGATCGTGGGTGAGAGATCGATCTTCCATCAGAGATAGACGGCTAAGCGTCTGAGACTGTATGCTCGCCTCAGGCCTTGGTAGCAATTTTCCTATCCATCTAGATGCATTCGCCCTCGCAAGTAACAGTGCTCAACCACCATGCTGACTGACACAAGGGGCGTTGACTCAGGTGCGTCAACGTGTAATGTTTCTATTATGGTCTTCAGCACATTAACTGGCACCGTCGATAAGTCAGAATATAGTGAACTCTATCTGTGGCTGTGGAGTGCTTGGCGCTTGCGCGACTGCCGCCCCTGAGCCGCGATGATAGTTTACAGTCACACGTGGCCGGGCTTTGAGTGCCCAATCGGCGAACATGGCTTCCACCAGCTCCAGGATCAAAAGACTGCCAACCTCAGCCTGGATCGCATGAGCTGTGGTGGGCCGGGTAGGGCCCAAAGGCAAGGGTCCCGCTGGCCAGGCAAATACCCCGACGGCCTTAGGGTTTGTTCGGTAGCCGTCCCTCGCCCTAGAGTTGGGAGCGGAACATGCTGACGGAACCATGAGGCGTTTGGACTTGTTTGAAACATCCAGCGGAAAATGGGCTAGCGCCAGATTTAGATTTGGGTGCCAGAGGTGTGCGCCCTGCCGCCGCGGGCTCCCATGTCCCTGCCCACCCTGAGGTGTGCTTGGCCCTAAAACCGCAGCTGTATGCGCACCAAGCGGCAGAATCCAGCGACGGCCGTTGCTAGACCCCTAGCCTAAGTTTCCTTGTTCGTTAGCCGATGTTGTGTACGGATAGGCGCGCATGGAGCGGAACGTACCAGCCCAAGACATTTCGATCGTACAGGATTCCAAGCGAAACCCTATCCGAGGTGATGCCCGACTCGCCAACCAGCCAGGCCCAGACTGTCCGGTCGTTCATGTACCTACCCCACGAGAAGTGGAAACAGGATGGCCCGCCCTATGCAATGAAATCTGGGCAGGACCCAGACCGCTGTAAAGTCTAATCTGGTAGTGAAGGAAGTTAGTAATGCCCCCTCCCCCTCCTGCAGGTCGACCTGCAGCCTTGGAGGGTTCTGGCGCCCAGAGAAACCCGTTGGCTCGGTAATTAAACACGGTTGATCTTTGCCCCCTATTCTCGGAACCTGTTTCAAATTTAAGGCCAAGGCGATTGCTCGGGTGGATGGTGGCTGGAAATGTTGTGCCTAAGAGCTTGACATGGGAGTCTACTAAGCTGCACAAAGGGGACAGACACAGCGGAGCCTGCGTAGAATGTTTAATTGCACAAAAGCTTGGTCGCCATATTCAGAAGCAACTCTACGGCATGACTAGAACAAAATCGCCGAAATTGACTGGCCTTGGGCCCATGCGCGCGACCTATGATAGCCGGCCTCATGGAGCAAGAGGAATTGTGACGGCTCCCAAACACGTTGCGCAGTGCAACGCTTGCCCTGCAAGGCTGTGTGGGTGTTCGAGGAAGCGCGCGCGCCTCGGATCCGAGCGCCCCAATGCCGCCGGCCCAGCCTGCGTACCTTGGTAGTTCGCATCCCAACACCAGCTGTCAGCAGGGCAGGGCAAATAATCCTCGGGGATTGCGTGTTAGATCGCCCTCTGGATCGTTGGTGCCACACCGAGACCCTGGCCGGCGTAAAGCTTATTCCCGATACGCGAAAAGACACGCTAAACTGAGATGTACAATGCGACCTCGATGCTCACGTCCGCAGAGCTTTATTTCTCCCAGTGGTGCCTGTGGTGCAATGGTCGGCATGCCGGGAACTCCCCAATGCAGGTAGCCATACATTGTGTGTAGTATTTAAGGTTCGTGCAAGATCGAGCGAGCCTCATCAGCATTGACAAACGGCCATGGGAACTGTGCCCGCCTGTTAGGGGTCGTCTGATCTGCACTTGAACTCTGCGGCCGCACAGCCCGCAGCCGTAGGAAGGTGCGTAACTTTCCGCCCTGTCCAGAGTGCCTCGGGAGCCGGATATCATATGCCATGCCCGCCAGTACCAGCGTGGTGTGTAGGGATATGGGCTGATCATTAGATAGCAGTTCGACCAAATACCAGATCTCAGGGAAGGGTGTCTCCCCCCCCCCCCCCCCCCCCCTCGCACTCGCATGGCAGACTAGGCGTCCACCCTAGGCTTCCATAACCAATCAGTAACATGATCTGCGACCCCTGGAATCTAGGCACCCTCATGGATCTCAGAATTTGTTCCACCCTTTAGCCGGACTACATGCGCTTATCTTGGCAACCTAATAACATGGCCTTATAGTTAACCAAGGAATGATGTTCAGAGATTTCCTCAGATGTGTCAATCATATCAGAGACGTCTTACTTTCTCCGGTCTTGACAGAAATCGGAGCGAAGTCTGATGTTTGCAAACTGCCTATTCGGCTCCAGGCTATGGGGAACCGTCGGCGATACCTACCACGTAAGCCCGCTGGCCTCACATTTCCTGCCTCTTTGTTCTCTACCCTTGGGATGGGCGGCAATCGGTGTACTTTTTCTCTCTGGTATTACGAATATACGAAACCGAGACATGTTCGATTTAAACTCCAAAGCAACTGATGTCTTGCCTTGGATGGAAGAAACCCCACAAGTGCGGAAGCATGTTTTCCCAGCGTCTCTGCTGCAACCGCCGATGTGCTTGACCTCTCATGTGCCGCGTTCCGCCAGATACATGCGTTTTTGTATCTTTGCGCTGTTGGGCTGAGACTTGACAGTGCAGATCTTTGACAACCGTTGGACTCGATGCTACCTGGGCCAAGGGTGACCATCGGAATTATCTCCCTTTCCAGCCATCCGTGTACCCAAAGGCCCTGCGAGAGCGCCCGAGGTACGGACGCCTGGGTCGTCCCAACGCTGCGAGTGCGGCCGCCCCATTGGCCCTGCCGTCAGCCGCATCGCCCAGCCCAGGCCCCAGAACGCCCGGTGCTGAATCATATCTCAGATCTCGCAGCCTGCTGGGAGGGTCTGTGTAAGCAACGGCCTGATCTGAACCTTGGCGCGAAAGGCTCCGTGGGTCTGGTCCGCTTTGTCAGTCAGCTTTCAAACTTGGTCGAATATTCCGAGTGAGCCAAATGGCCTGAGACGGCGTCCGCAGTTGGCCGATCGCTCGATCTATCTGGGGGAATTCCTTCGCTCTTTCTTCGCTCCCCGTTGACTGAGTTGTGTTCTTTGACACAGCACCGGCTGCGAGAGCATCAGGCCATGCGTTGGGCGCCCCCGGTGTTATTGTTGCCCATGGCATGAGCCGGACAAATAGGTGTCAACATGGCACGGGGCAAACAAACAACCATCGTCGATCGATTGCTATTCCGCAAGAGAATCTGCCTTTCTATGGACCCACAGTGTCCGTCCCCAATGCTGCACAGAAGAACCCACGAGACTGATACTCTGGACGCCACCAAACACCAAAACCATCGTGCCCTGAACTCCGAAGCATCCATACGGCCAATTCCGCCCCGCCCCACGCCACACAGAACATATCCCACAGAAACTCCAGGTGAGAAGCTTACACCAGTGCCGACCTCACAGTGGCGCCGCGCGCTCAGGTCCTATCCAGATGTCCATCGTCAGCCCCCAGCGCCAAGAAGGAGGCGACGAGCCATGCCCGCCGCGCTCCCGGACCAGGCGCATGCTGTCACCACCGTACTCGGCTCAACTAACTCACTCACTCACTCACTCACTGACTGCATGAGGACTACAGTAACCTAAGCCTCACTCCTCGGTGGCCACTTAACCCTCCTCTCAGCGCGCACGTACAGATTCGTGGGGCGGATGAGCTGGAACATGGGGTCATAGTCGACAGCGCCCTCGGTCGCCAGGCTGAACTCGTACCGCCAGACGAGCTTGCACAGGAAGATGCGCACCTCCTGCAGGGCAAAGTTGAACCCGATGCACCCGCGCGGGCCCGTGGCAAAGGGGATGTAGCTGTTGTTGGGCTTGTTGCGCACGCGGTCCGAGCCCCAGCGGTCCGGGTCGAAGGAGGCCGGGTCGCCCCAGATGGCCGGGTTGTTGTGGATGTGGTGCAGGGCCGGGATGACGATGGCGTCCTTGGGGACCTTGTAGCCGCCCGGCAGCACGAGGTCGCACCTCGCCGTGCGCGCCGGCTGGTAGGACGGGTTGTGGCGCCGCTGCGTCTCCTTGATGAAGTGGTCGAGGAAGGGCAGCTGCGCCGTCAGGTCGGCCGTCACCTCGGTCTCGTCGGTGAAGCCGTTGTCGACGAGCTCCTGCACGAGGCGCTCCTGCATGCCCGGGTAGTTGACCATGCCGTAGATGAGCCACGACAGCAGGGAGCTGGTCGTGGTGAAGCCGGCGCCCGTGGCGACCACCAGCGGCTCCAGGACGCGGTTGGCGGGGATCTTGTTGCCCTTGTTGTCGGTGGCGCGCAGCACGTAGTCCACCATGTTGTTCGCCTTGAGCGCCGCCTCCTGCAGGTCCAGGTCCTCGACGCCCCTCGACGCCCCCGCAATGACCTCCTCGATCATGACCCTCATGCGCTCCTTCGCATCATATAGCCTCTTGGGGTCGCCAAATGGGAGGTGGGCGTACCAGCTGCCCATTGACGTGATCTTCTTGTTCAGCTCGAGGGATGTCGCCATGAGGATCACCATCTCGTGCGGTGGCGCGTCTACCGAGGAGAAGTGGTTGAAGTCCATGCCGAGGATGAGCTTGCCGACGGCCTGTGATCCCAGCTTCAGCATGTACGAGTACACGTTCCATGCCTCATCTCGATCGGCCAGCTCGTCAAAGACCTTGAAAGCGTCCTCGACGGTCTGGTTCATGGTTGGGGCGTAGTGACGCACGGCCTTTGGCCCAAAGAATGGCGGGAGGAACTTGTGTGCGACTTTCCATTCCTCCGTGTCCGTGTCACCCAGGAAGACACCTGCCTCATTGTTCTTGATGGGATACAGGGGGTGGCCCGGAATAATGTCTTTTGTGAAAAAGTCATTTTCTGAGAAGAAGATACCTGCCAGGGTTGGGTCGTTTGTGAGGTAAGTGGCGCTGCCCATGTTGTTGGTCTTGAAAAGAGGGCCGTATTTCTCAAAAAGTCGCTGGTGGTTCCCCAGGTGGTCGGGGTAGATCTCAAAGTAGTTGCCGACATATGGCAGACCCTTAGGCCCTTGAACCTCGCGCACTCCACGTCCGTCAATAGTGATGGCGACCGGGCCTTGGGCATCTAGCACTTCTCCCACCGATGAATAAGCCTCGCGGTCGTTCACAAAACCAATGCCTGGCGACGATAGTCAGTATTCAGTAGCCAGAAAACAAATTACTGCCGGTGCATGCATACCTTTGGCTCCGACAATGGCAAAATTTGATGCAATTAAGTGCCTGAGTTCGTCCTCGTCTACTGCTGATGGAACCTCGATCTCTCGTGCGGTGGAGACATCTTCGCCTAGCAGATAGAACTGCTTGGTTGCAAAGTCGGGTCTCATCTTGACTGATAGTAGCGCTGCGGTTGTCTGAATGGGAATCAAAGCGAACTTGGATGAGGGCAGCCCAATTGTCTAAATGACTGAGAGGATATTATTTTTGATGACCTGATACAATAACAGTACGCATATGCCAAGTGCTCAAGAACATTGGGAGCGGCGATATATAAATGAGTCTGGGCTGGACGCGGTCGCTTCATTATCGGCGGTCAGGGGCTGCCTCCGCTGCCGAACCATGACAGCATTCCGGAATCCCCATAGCTGCAGGCATGCGTATCTTTGGCGTGCAGAGCCGAACCTGCCAGGCTAAAGCCCGCGAGCGGCATTATTAATCCCAGAATGCCCACTTGCCGAGGCGTGCAGGGCCGGTACGGATCACTCCTCGCGAGAAGAAGCGAGTCGAGCCCTGCCAGGTGTCGCCGGTGTGGTGGACCCGGGCAGGGCGAGATTCACGCAATGCGTGGACGTGCTGCTGAAAAGAACCATTGAGAAATTTTCAGTGGAGTCGTGCAACGCTACCTAGGTTATCTTAGGGACCCTTGCCGTGCCCATCCAGTTGCCTCGGCTCGCCGGGGCTGGAGAGCAAAATGATGCCCGAGTGCGCGAGGAACGTCACGCCACACGACTTGGAACTTGGTGCGGTAAGTTGGTGCGGTAAGCTCGCGTCATGACGCAGGACCGACGCGCAAGGTGCGAGGCCCGAATGGCACAGAGGCGATCCCGGCCAGTAAACTCATCGGGATTGGCAAACCCTGGAATTGGTCCCCTTTGACAGCTTGTCTCGCGGCTCTGGATGCTTCCGGATCTGGCCGGCGCCTCGGCAGATCGATCTGTAGGGTTGCAATCAAGCTTACAGAGCCTCGGCGTTCCACTCTAAAATCGAAAGGTTCATCCCTGACTAGTTTTTGAGGGTCCGATACGCGCAGTCCGGTTCAGACAGGGAAGGGGACCGCTTAGTGTATTATATTCAGCTTCCATTTATATACAAGCCCGCCGCCAGTACCCATCATAAAAACTGATAGCGTACTGTGGATATCCCCTGTCTGGAGAATCATTCCTTCCCAAAGTCTTTTTCGTATCTCACTTTGGAACACTCTGTACAAAATGTCTGCAGACACAGAATACACGGCCAAGGAGGTCGCAGCCCATCGGGAGAAGGACGATGCCTGGATGGTCATTAATGGCGAGGGTGAGTAGCTTCAATGCGAAGACATGAAAATGGCCAGCTAACAAGTGACGTATAGTCTATGACCTCACCAAATATCTGGAAGAGCATCCGGGAGGCTCCGAAATTCTGATTGAAGCCGCCGGCACAGACGCAACTGAGGCCTTCGACAACGCCGGCCACTCTGAAGACGCATTCGAGATCATGGCGGACTTCCGCGTTGGCAAGCTAAAGGGCGCCGGCAAGGCATCAGCACCCAAGCCCGTCCGTGTGACGCTCCAGACACCGCCAGCTTCAAAAAAGTCGGGCAGCAGCGCATCGACAGCAGTCGGCGGCGCGGTCGTGTCCCTTGGTGCTCTGGCCGGTGCCACACTCGGCCTGCGGAGGATGGACCTGTCAGCACTGTCAAGTCTCCTCAAGCTCAGACAGATCGAGGGCCCAAGAAGCGGGGGCGGCCTTGGTTTTGTCGAAGGCTTCATCATCGCGTCGGCACTTGCGCTCGTCGCGGGAGGGGTCGCAGTCAGGAGGTTCTCTCAGCTGCTCGACATGGAGGCTGGCGCGCTCCACCACGCACCACACAAGAAGATGCCAAGGGTAGCAAAGGCGGACCCATTATCGCAGCGCGGCTTCCTGGACCCACAAACGTACTACCCTCTGCCTCTGATCGAGAAGGAGCTCGTCACACCAAACGTCTACAGACTTGTCTTTGAGCTGCCAACTCCCGACACCGTCCTGGGCTTGCCCATCGGCCAGCACGTGGCCATCAAGACAACAATAGACGGCGCAACCGTCCAGCGGTCCTATACACCCGTGTCTAATAACTTAGATAGGGGCATCTTGGAGCTTGTTATCAAGGTGTACGACGACGGGCAGCTGACCGGGAAGTACCTGAAGCACCTGTCCCTCGGCGACGAGGTCATGTTCCGCGGGCCCAAGGGCGCCATGCGGTACAAGAGGGGCCTGTGCAAGAAGATCGGCATGCTGGCAGGAGGCACCGGCATAACGCCCATGTACCAGCTGATCCGCGCCATCTGCGAGGACGAGAGGGACACCACCGAGGTCAGCCTGATATACGCCAACCGGACCGAGGACGACATCCTGCTGCGCAAGGACCTCGAGTCCTTTGCCAGGCGGTACCCCAAGAACTTCAAGATGTTCTACCTGCTCGACCAGCCCCCCGAGAACTGGGCGTACGGCACGGGGTACGTGACGAAGGAGCTCATGGCGGATAAGTTCCCCGATCCCAAGGAGGATGGCTCCAGGGTCATGCTGTGTGGGCCGCCTGGGATGGTCAACGCCGCGAAGAAGGGATTGGTGGATTTGGGATACGAAAAGCCAGGGGCGTCATCCAAGATCACGGACCAGGTCTTCTGCTTCTAGACTGGTGCAGCTTGTAGTTGAGCACCTGAGCATGAGGGCGTTGTCTTTCGGCACAAGAGCATTTATTCTGTGGTGCAGGTGGGAGGAGGGTTTGTTTTGGGTTGGGGAAAATTAGAAGTATGATTGGGCGTCCTCGTATCTTCAAAGGGAGTGTTGCATTAGCTGGCGTCTAGAGGCGGGTTACAATTATTCGTAAGGTTAGACCAGTATTGGAGTTGTGTGATACACTACCCACCTACCTATATTGGGAATCATATTCTCTCGCACTACACTTCCAGGATGTCCGGGTACATAACCGTCGCCTGTCTCGTCTACGGAGATAAATCCGAACAGCATAAGGCCAGATCGGCCAAGCCTCCATCCCTCCCGCGGGATCGGGGTCCAAATCGTGTGCGATATGTTTGGGTGAACTTCGGCAACCCAGCCACACAGACGCTCGGGGAGAAAGTTGGACGGGCGGATATCTCAGCGCATGCGCTGACAAGGAACTGTGCATGCAGCACACAATAGCTGATCACCCTAGAGTATATGGGCGTCAAGAGTAGATGAAGGGTGCATTGGACCACACGCCGATACCACGTGGATGCATGTGCCGCGTTTTCCGACTCAGTGGTCTGCATGTCGATCACGCCGCAGCACATTGGGGGCCACACACATTCGTATCCGGGACCAGTAACGCATCTCGCAACATAAACTTTAAGGGGCACACGCCTGAATACCTTTTGCTTTTTTATCATGACTGACGACACATGCTGTGATCTTCCGCAGATTACCCGTCGCTAGGCTTCCGTCATCGAGCCTAGGAATAAGGTTATTTAACGTCGTGTCTGTGCTAGCCCTACCGGGAACAATGGCTTTATTGGGGAGTCTCCGACAGAAGTAGGCCATACCATTATTAAAATACAGTACGACACTGCCGATAATAAGTCGAACACAAATTGTTTTGTCCTGATTGCGGGCTAGCTACTTCCCCAACGCAAGAAATTCATTGAACCCTACGTTCGCAAATTATTCCTGCCTGTGTGTTAGCAAGACCGAGTCCACAAATTCAGCGTCCTTTTCCCATGAGATAACCCAAAGAATAGTAGGTATCATGGTGAGGCTCAGAATAAGTTTCGGGAAGAATAATCTGTGACTGTAAGTACCCGGGACTTGCACGGCCTTCGGTTATAGCGGGCCAGATGATACTCCAAGTCCCCGAAGCATCGAACCCCTGCGACTCACATGAGACAGATATTACCCGCCTAACAAGATATGCGCAGTAGACACCTGGTCAACACCATCCCCGAAACCAGCAACAAGGAGCCCTGGATGCAGGCCGCACATGCATTCTTTGAACAAATGGCAAGAGCTGGAAGGTGTAGATAAGGTTTGCGCGGTTGGCGTCTGTGTCAGCTTTACAGGATCACCTCTAGCAAAACGACCAACCAAGCAATCGCCAAGCAAGCACACGCACACCCACATCCCGCGACGCGGCTGACAGCAGCGGGAAGCTAAACAAACCTGCTAGACTTTTCGCCCAGAGCAGATCTTCCATCTGATACTTCCGAGGAATACGCGGTGCACACCACAAGCTCCCGCCCTTGGGTGCGCCTTCCGCCCCTCCACGGCTCTGAACAGAAACATATGGATTAATTCCGGGGAATCGGCGTCTGTTGTAGGAGGCCAGGTTTGGTACCGACTACATGATATTGGAAGCCTGGACATGTATCTTGGGCCGAAGTACCGAGTGGAGATGTTTTTAATGATCGTGTCTAAGTTCGTATGTCGCGTAGCTATGTAGTGTTGTTGCATATCTAATTATGCAGTCAAACCACTGAAAGTCTACCACTAATCAAGCGTAATATGCCCGGCTCATCTATTCCGGAGGCATAATAAGGTGACGCATTTTTGTCAACGAAGTCGTTGCCTTGATAGCTGTCGACGGAGGACCTCGCAACCAGAGGTTGAAATTTCCAAAGTATGTCATGAACGGCTCTTGCTCATGGTACCAATCTTGATGTTGTTCAAGACATAATTGGGCCATTGTCTGGGCATCGATGTGGCACAACGTCGGAAGTGATTTCGCAAGCCGGAAATTCTGGGCATGTGTGTCATGGAATGAACGAGGCAAGCGTGGAAATTTAAATAGACTCAGTAATTCTCAATGCCAATGTCTTGACCTGAACACACCCCCGTCGGTATTTGGACATCAGTATAGGCGAGCGAGGGCCGGCCTATAATGCGTTGTCGACGTACCTAGGCATACACGTACGGCGCAGAGATGCATCACAGGCTGTCAAATTCAGTTTGTTGTCCTACAGTTATCCCCTAATAAGCCAGAAACTCCTTTGACTGACTTTACAGCGGCACTTTCTGAAGGTGTTGGTCTGTATTATTGCCGCCAAGACTTTTAGTCAAACTTTTGCACTGTCAAGGCCCTTGAGAGCAAAGTCCAGAGATGTACAATAAGCAATCATCGACCAGGTCAATTCACAGCTATCAAATGAGGTAATTTGAGATTTCAAATGATTTTCTCAGACAAATGCTGAGCCTAAGTCGCGCCGCCTTTGAAGAAGTCGTAGGTCACCCAGTGGCTCCAAAGGACCAGCTCGCGCAGGCTGTTCCTCGCTCTGATATCCAAGGGCGCGCTCGGCACAAACCTTTTTCATCCATGAAAAGTGGTAAAAAGCCCGTACATACTGTTTTGATGAGGAAATGCGTTCTTTGGTTGACGCCAGTGGTTGACCTTTTCCGGGTGCTTGTGTTTAGCATCAGCGGATATGGTCAAATTAATGGCAACGTCGTGTGAGATGTCAGCAGCACATGAAAAGTGAAGTTGACTGGAGAATTAGTATGTAATATTAGCATGTAGTCATTTTAAAAGTGTTGAGAAGACTTTGCTTGGGCACAGAGCAAACATAAATGTACTGCAACCTCCTAGCCCTGGCATCTTGGTCCGTCATATTTTGATCACATGAATCTCAGCAAACCTGCCTGTGGAGAGTGTGAAAGGCATCAATGCGAGTATATATTTCTCAAAAATACGCACCTGAGGCTTTCACAACATCCCATTGCCTGATCACACCCCCGTCGTCAACAACGAACTTGTTTCGAGTTGCATAGCCACAACTGCAAATGAGACAACTATGAGCACATGTTCCAGGATGGAAACCAGGCCCAAGTCACCAAATACTCCTCTTTTGCCTAGAGTGGGAATGATACCTTGGCCTGAGTCACACTACGTGGCATCGTGCAAGGCCTCCGACCCACAGTACACGTATTGAACAGTTGCAGAGATATGCACAGCTGAGGCGTAGCATTAGGCAGAACCCCCAGCCATGCGGCTTAAAAAGTGGGTACTAACAATATGAACTCACTTGCAGTCAGCAAGCCGTTCATCACGTATTAATTAATGTTGTCCAAACCACTGCAATAATACTGATGGGTGTGCATCCCTCTCTGACCTCATCGATCATTTGACCATATCTCACGTACCGCCATCCGCCAGCGCTACAGTAGATCTGTAGGAGCACTCTCGTCACGGCTGCCAAAATGTCTCAATCTAACCAGGAAGGGCTGTTCAAGGAGTCACTGAGCCGATACCATCTCCCAGCCTGGTTTCTGGAGCGCAATGTCAAGACCTCTTCTGATCTGGAAGGCTCTGTTTCTATCTGCCAATGCCAAGGTTGTGGAAACTACAAGAAACTCTACGAGGATGAGGAGACAGAAGGTCAAGCCCTTGGAAGCGAATCCACTGCGGATGACCCCAAACCAGAGGAAGAATCACACACCAGCACTGAAAAGCACGACTACAACTGTGAAGACGCCATATCCTACGCGAAGTTCTCAGAGCTACGCGATATGGTGGCCACGAACATGCTTTGGCGGCATATGCGGCCCCAAGACTCATCCGTTCTGCTTCGCCGCTGCGCGGTATCGGGGTGCAGTACCTGCCCGATGGAGCCCGTGCACATGGACGAAATCGTTGAGCAAGTAGCCAAGTCATTAGGCATGGGGTTGGTGTTGCTCAGTTTTGAGGATCTGGAGGAGTTGGGCAGTGATTTTCACACCCAGGACAGGGGATTTGCTGTCAGCGGGGGTGTGAAAAAGACAGCAGAAGAAGAGTCTACTGAGACAAAGGAGAAGAATCCCTCGAAAACGGAAATTTCGGCCGGAGAAGACACAACAACTGAAGCCGGTTCCGATAAGGTTGTGGACAATAACGCGAAGGGAACATCCGATGAAGTCACGACACCAAAAGAGCCCATCAAAGACGAATGGAAGGCAAACTGGTCAGATGGAGCAACGTTCACAGATCACTTCTTCGCGGCAAAGTCTAAGAAATGGCAGGATGAAGCAAACTTCTCATACTCAGCATGGCGAGACCGTGCCAAGGAGTCATATGCCGCAATCCTTGACGGTGCCTTAAACAAAGTGGGCCAGGGAAGCAAAGCTCAGTATGAATCCGAAGGACAAGACTCTGTGGCCTCGAATTCACGAGGCTTGGTGGTCCACTTCGTCGACTGTGACCACTCCGGTTCGAGTCTGGAGTACCGACAAAAGAGGAGGGTCCTAGTCAGGCTCGGGGAGCTCGTCCAGGAGAGGCGTGAGAAGGGCCAGGACGTGGTGCTGGTTATCTCGTCCAGGACGCTGGAGCCAGGAGAGAAACTGTGCCAAAAGGCAGGCGTGTCGACACTCTCGGGTGTGACTCTGTCCATCGTCAATCACTCCCAGCAAAATTCCGAGAAAAGAGATCTCCAACGCAAGGGAGCCATCAACACTCGGCGTCTCAGATGGATCTTGGAGAGTGGCATGGCCCCGCCATCCAGCGCCCGTCCCGAAATCGACTGGTTGCAGAGTGCTACTGGCGGCGACCTCGCGCGGTATGGGCAGGAAATGTGGTCTGTCAACGATATTCACCGCGCCGCTGGACAGATACTGGCCAGAGCGTGGATCAGGCCTCAGCCTGTGATAACATCAAAGCATGTCGACTCTGTATTGAAAAGACTAGGTCTGCTCAAGATTGCCAAGGCGGCTGAAAAGACCGAGGCGAAGGAGGACTCGGGAGATCCTGAGACGAAAGGTGATGATGCAGTTGAGGAAGCTGAAAAGGATCCATTGGATGGCATCAAGCTGGATGACCATGAAGAGAGATTCCGTGACTGTGCCATCAAACCAAGTACGTTAAACCCACACTTCTGTTGCCTTTCTTCGCTAATCAGTATACCTACACAGGAGACCTCAACGTCTCATGGGACGACGTCATCCTCGACCAAGACATAAAAGAGGTGATCCAGAACCTAGTCCCCTCCTCCAAGCTCGAAGTGGAAGCATCCTCCGACTTCCTCCTCTCGCAGCTGCGCATCCGCGGCTGCCTGCTCTACGGGCCCCCAGGCACAGGCAAGACGCACCTCTGCCGCGCGATCGCGTCGGCCTCGGGCTCGCGCATGCTCTCGATCGACTACGCGACGACCCAGTCGAGCATGGTCGGCAAGGCCGAGAAGTACATCCGCGCCGCCTTCTCGCTCGCGACAAAGATGCACCCCTGCGTGCTCTTCATCGACGAGGCCGACGCGCTCTTCTACCGGCGCAGCTCCCGCGAGAGGAGCTGGGAGCGCTCGGCGACGACGCAGTTCCTCGTCGAGATGGAAGGGCTCGCGCGGAACCCCAACGCCCCGCTCGTCGTCGTCGCCACCAACCGGCCCTGGGACCTGGACGAGGCCTTCCTGCGGCGCCTGCCGCAGAAATTCTGCATCGGGCTGCCGGGCCGCGACTCGCGCGCCGCCATCCTCCGCCTGTTCCTGAAGGACAGCGACCTCGACCCGGCCGTCGACGTCGACGGCATCGCGGACGCTACCAAGGGTTACTCCGGCTCCGACCTCCGCAGCCTCTGCGCCGAGGCCGCGCTGGTCTGGAAGATCGAGCAGGTCAAGCTCGACGCCCTGTGCGGCGGCGTGTCCCCCGCGCTCGCCACCGCGCGCGGGGGGCCCAAGAGGCTGCGCCTCGACGTGGACCACTTCGCCGCCGCGTTCGAGAAGATGCAGCCCAGCAGGGCCCGGGACACGGCCGACGAGCTGGCGCGCTTCTCGCGCCGGTACAATCCCGTCCAGGGCGAGCTCGGGAAGGGCAACGGCGGCAAGAGGTACGTCTTCAACGGCGCCAGGGGGAAGAACGAGGCGTTCAGCGTGCGCGAGCTGATCTCGCGGCCCGCGCCGCCTGAGGAGGCCTCGCCTGCCAACATGCAGCTCGTTGTCTGGCGCAGCGCGGAGGATGTGTTGTTCCCGGGTAGAGCGACCATCGAGACGAGCGAGACGTCCTCTCCATGTCCAGTGAGTACTAGTACAGAAGAGCAGAGAAGCGAAGAGAGAACAGCAACCCTTGCTGAGGACGAGTGGTCTGAAGACCCAGAGAGCGGGCTGACAGAGCCGAAGGCCCAAAGTGCGGAGGTGGCTCCTTGCTCTGAGTTCGACATCGAGAAGGCGGATTCAGCTCCGGATCATCAGGATTTGTGTACTCCAGATACGACATCCACAGCTTGCGAGGCGATAAGCGAAAGGGAGGGGCCTGAGTCAACAGGCTCGGATCTATTGAGGACGGGACTGTTGGCTCCTGAAGCCCCAAAGATAAACTCTGGAGCTGATGTGGACTTGGTGCCCTTGCTAGTCACATTGGCAGCTGTCTTCTGGTACAGTTAGTGACAAAGGGTGCCGAGGCATTCTCCTGACTGGTGGACACTGGAGCGCTCAGGAGCTTGGGTGCGAGTGTATATCTCTTATTCGTGAAGCCCTGGAGGCACGTTATAGTGGCGTTCACCAGTATTTGCATGTATCGCATGGCATAAAATAGCGTGGCGAGAGTCATTCAACACTGGTCAATGAAATCAGTTGATGGATGTAAATGCTAGTGTCTCGCATTGGGCTTGTCTGGTCCCAAGTGATGACCGCAATGCAAATGCAATACATGCTTCGCAATGATATATGCACTTTTAGGATACCTGAACCGAACACCGACCGTGTTATGAGTGACCAACCACACAAACTCAACCGGGGACTACCGCACAAACTGTACCAGGCAGCAGAGATAGCCCGTTTTGTCCAAGTCCCTATGCCCACAGCATTCCCATCCAGACCAGACCAGACCGGTTTGCTTTTTTGTTTCATTAATCATTCTCGTGAACCATCCCACTATTAGGAACAGAGCGCAGGCGGTGTGAGATTAAGCTACCACCCTTCCTGGCATAACTTGGAGAACGGCCATTCAGAGTCCCCCATCTCCACAAAGTCGATAGGCGAGGGAATCGTTGATTCGGTCGCGGTGATGTGTATTAGAGTAGCCCGCTGGTTCGCACGCTCGGTGCGCCAGGGTGTGTCTGGCTGCTGATGCAAGTGATGTTGTACACGGGATCGGCGGCGGCGGCGGTCCGCCATCTGAGAGCTTAAGCCACGACCTAGTCCTCTTCTCCGCCGCAGGTGGCGCTGACGCGCCCCCTAGGACGACGCCTCAGGAGCGTCACGGCGGGGACCTCCACGATGACCGCCTCTAGGGCCACCACGTCCGCGGCCACGGAAGCCATCGCCTCGGAAACCACCTCCACGGCCACGGCCTCGTCCTCCACGGTTTCCACCATCGCGGTTTCCGCCACGACGCTGGACAGACTGAAAGCCGTCGTTGGGATCGGTAGGGGTCGAAGCCTATTCACACCCTTCAGCTATCTTGTGCAACGGGGATGAACAAAGTCTCTACATACCTCTGGCGTGGTCTCGGGGTGATCATCAGCCCATGATGCGGTGTTGGCGGCGGCAGGCGTGGCGGCAGCGACGACAGGAACGGCGGGAGCACTGTCGGTCAGGGGAGTATCAAGTGGTGTCTGTACCTGAACCCACTCCTGGGAAGCGGCCAGGTCATTGCCTGTGTCCCATTGGTTCTCTCCGGCGGCATTAGCAGCAGCGTCACCGACATCAGCATTGGGGATTGTGCTATCCACAACAGCCTCGTCTGAGTGTCCGTTCGTCAAAGCATTGTCCGTGCCAGCATCAATCTCGGTCAGGCCAGCGTTGGCAACGGTCGGGTCGGTCTGAACAGTTTCGACGGCCTCGACGGGCTCAGTCTCGGTCTCGGCCTCGGCAGCCGTCTGGTAGAGGGGAGCCGAGTGGGCGGCAGCTGAAGTCTTGACAGTTGCGTCTGTGAATCGGTAGTTAGAGAGCAGCCAGCAGCAGCCAAGACGCAGGAGTGGAACTGACAAGTCGTTTGCAGGGTCTCGCCTCCAACGCCAACAGTCTTATCCTCGGTTCCTTCACACAGCCGCAGCATGACGTTGACAGCAGCCTCGTCACCACCGTAAACACCGAGCAGGATGCCTTCCAGGGCTTGGTCCTCGTCCTCGGTTGACTCGGGGGCTTCCGCCCGTCGGTGGGCGGCGAGACGCAGGAACTGGGACAGGACCAAAAGACCGTCGTGCAGCGACTTCTTCGCATCCTCCTCAGCCTGTTTCTTGACCTCAGCAACAGCGTCGGCCTTGTCCTGCTCGTATGTCTTCTCGATGTCCGACTTGACAGAAGCAATCTGGGCACGGTACTCTCCATCGATCTTCTCGTACTGGGCTAGCTGCTCCTCCAATCTTGCAACTTCTGCCTTGAGGGAGTTCAGATTGTCGACTTGTTTCTTCTGGTCGGCATTGATGATCTTGAGCTCGACGAGCTCCTCGGGGGTTTTGCCTTTGGACTTGTGCTCGTCGACCAAAGCCTGAGTCTTGGACGCATTACCCTGGACGGAGGCATGAATTAGAGTGTGCCGAGGAAAGTCGAGGGTGGAGTTTCTGTGCTTACAATCTTCTTGTTGGTGTTGCGGATGCCCCTAGCAGGTGTGGTTTAGCTGCTGCCCCGCAGGTTAAGTCGCCACCGAACGGTAGGTACTCACTTCTTCAGTTCCCGAATGTAGGCATTCTCGGAGATCTCGTTGTTACCGGAGACAGAGGCAGGCTGGTCGGGAGTAGCAGCAGGGGCGGGAGACTCGGTGCGCTCGGCGGCAGCAGCGGCGACCTTCGCCTTCTTCTTCTTGGAGGACTTGGACTCGGATGAGGTGGGAGGGTTCTGGACAGATGCAGCGGCCATTGCGAAAGCGGGCGGGCAAGCTCGGTGACAGGTAGCTAGGCGGGCAGGTCTGTTTGGGGTTGGTCGGGACTCGAGGTGGGAGGGTCTACACAGGACACAATGTTGTTTGCCAGGAAGTAGGTCCAGTGATGCGATGCAGTCGGTTTGGATTTACAGGATCGCCTTACACAGACGGCGATGCTCAGGATGGGTGCGATGCCAGGGTGTGTCACAGAGGTCTTGTCGAGATAGCTCGTACAAAAAGTTAGAATGAGTAGGAAGCTTCCTTAGGGACGAGTGAGATTGAATGTTTGCGGGGAGTTTTGCAGGTTGCTGGTGTTTGTGGTTGAGCTGGATGGAGGGAGCTGTCGAGGCTGCAGGTCGAGTGGAAATTTTGAGGTGGGCGTCCGACGTAGTTGGCCAGTGCCACCCTGGCCCGGCGGACTGAGGCCAAATGGGTCCTTGACCGTGCTGGATTTGGCAATTGTCTAGATACAGTAGTGACCCGTTTGCAGTTCGCATGACACCCAATCCTGCAGCCTGGTCCTTTTCATCCATGACTTAGCATTTTCTACAAGCGGGGTACATATTGAAATGCTGCATCGCATGTGAACTACCTCAGACATGCACGAATGCTGCGGGAATCTATTCCGTCCCTGAGTAGCTCCCGTTGTGGACCCGGCTTTTCCTCCCACCCCCCTTTTCACCCGGCCAACAGCGTGTTCCAGCCATCACCCATTCCATCCAAGGGACGGCTCTCAAAGTCTCAACAGACGTTGGAGCCTCCGCATACTGATTGCGGCCAAAGAAAGGCATCATCTGAACCCCAAGGCGCGTCGTGCTGCCACTGTGATATGTTGGAGTATGGTCCGCGTATCTGGAGCTCGGCTCGGGGCACGCGACCAACAGCTTGGGCTCGCTTGTTGTGAAAATCGACATCTGCATCAATGCTCCTTCATCCCTTGAACTTTGCGAGTGTGTTCTGGGTTTGACCATCATGTCAGCAGCCTTCACTGGTGTTGCCCGAGAATATGCTGACTCCTCTTACCCCGGTGGTCTTCTTGACGCTCCTGGAAGTGATGCCCCTCTCGCCCGCTTGCTTCGACTCGATTCCAGCCTCTTTCACTAGCCTGTCTATTGTTTTAGTCATTGGATTCGTGTGAGCGATAGTGGAACATGTGTTCGCGCACGTCTGCATGAAGACGATGTAATCGAGGAACATCTGCGTCGTCAAATCGCAAGGTCAGCGCGTGCCGGCTCGTCGAAAACGCGTGGGGGGGCCCTGGACGCCCAACTTACCGTCACGTCGGCATTCTTGCTGACATTGCAGTTGGAGTGGGCCTTGACAATCTTCTTGACCGTCGCCCGTGGGTACATTTTCTGTCCTGGCGCCATCTCGTCGTCTTGCCGTGTTGTGGAGGGCAGATTTAGGCAGAGCAGGTTGGCTTGGTGACAAGGTCGCTTCGATGCCGTTGCCGCATGCGGTCCGAGTTCTGGTTGTTGACTTTCGGCTCCTTCCTTGCACAGCTCTACGAGCCCTCCAATCGGCAGCAACAATTCAATTTGGCGGGCCCTGCCAATCACGCCCCGACGTCATACCATTAGCGCGGACAGTGTCGCGCTACAAGAGACTGTGCCCACACACCGTCCCCGCACATGCTGGCTCCGACAACTCCAAGAAGAGCTCGGGGTCCAATTTAGAGAGCTTTTGACTTGGGAGCCAGCCGCCGCCCCTAAGAAGCTTGTTTCCCCCGACTCTCGTTGTGCAGCACCACGCCACAAAACCGTCAAGATGCAGAGACGAATGGCAAGTTTCAGATCCATTCTCTCATGTCCAGCCAGCTATAACTAACCGACATCCTGACATACAGCTTACGAAAGAAGACGAGCAAGCCGTCGGCGACGAGGTCGAGGTCAGACGAGAAGACCAGGACAAGATCAACAAGTTCAGCCGGCTGCACCAGCGCGAGCTGAAATACGAGGAGGAGCTCAAGGCCATAACCGTGCGCACTCCGCCCCGGCTGTTGGGTACTTGAGAGAAGGAATAGAGGGGCTGACGGCGTGCGCAGAAAGAGAAAGAGGAGCTCGACGATATCACAATGGAGCTGGAGCTGGCCGACGAGGATGACAAGATACCGTCAGTACAAAGCCACCGCACATGACCCGCTGTTCCGCTCCTGACCGCGACCCCTAAATGCAGGTACAAAATCGGCGACTCGTTCTTCCATGTCACGGTATCACAAGCACAAGGGATGCTCGAGGCATCCACGACTAGGATCGAGGAGGATGTGTCACAGCTGGAGGACAAGCTCAGCACAGCTCGCGAGGAGATGACACAGCTAAAGGTCGAGCTCTACGCACGCTTTGGAAGAAGCATCAACCTCGAGACATAATCAACGAGATGATACCCATCCCTGCCGCCCTCGAATGTTGGATGAAGCTGCCGGCAGTCAGCCTGGACCCTGAACACCGCCGTCTTCTATTGGACCGTACAAACACGCCTACTGAGGACGATGAGTCGTCGAACCTCCTATTGAGGGCGCCCAGGAATGTCATGCATGGTGTCGTGCCCGACAATATTTGTGTTCCCACAGACCCACCCGTTTTGGGCACCTCAGATCACCCTCAGGCCCAGGAGCGCCGACATCGCCAGTAAGGGAACTCTCCGAGCATAAGGCGCATGTCAAAGAACACTAGAAACAGTTAATGCATGCTGGGCGGATGGCAGTCGCCGAGAATAACCGTCCAAACAACGGACACACACATATGCACACACACACATTTACGCGCATATGCGCACACCCTTCTCCGACTTAGTCTACGAAATGCAAATTAGCGGTCCAGTGTGACGGCAGACTGCCACTACTGCCACTACTGCAACGAGTGCCCGGTGGGCACGATTAGTCCGGACGATCGAGTGTTCCCCCAATCATCTTGTTTCTGTTTGCTCTTTACCCACGGTAATAAACCACTTTTCTACCTTATGCCCGGATTTACTACGGGTCGCGGCTCGCCTCTGAAATGCGAGGCGAGTCATCGGCCTCCGGTGGTAGGAACCACCTTGACGAGGACGGCAATCGGCAAGCACACTTAGTAAACTGCCGAATAGCCACCATCATGGACACACAACACGACCTTCCCCTATTACCAATGTTGGCTTTGAATCTTTTCACCGCCCATTTTTCAAATTGTAGTGCGTTGTCTTCCGGCCCACACGTTGGAATGGGTCCGACATCATTATATCAGACTTTACTTGAAAATACTCAAGGAACTGGTATTTCATCTATGCCATCCCTCTTCCCGGGCCCACCACATTGGCACGATGCATTGCAATAACGGCAACGAAGAAGCCGGTACCCAGGGCAGCCCTCTCACGCGTAAGTAATCATGCCGTTGACGCTCGCATGCTAGTCTTCTAGAGAAGCCTGAGTAACACATTAAAGGAGGTGAAAGCCGCTTGCAAAGATTCGTTAGCCAGGCTGGCGACGAGGATGCGAGGTCTCGGTACCGCGAGGAAGAGGCAGACAACAATGCTATCCAGCATAACCATGGGTCGATATCGTCTGGCAACGACGACCGTACCATCATAGCATTCGAGCCCAACGACCGTGAGAATCCATATAACTGGTCTACGGCAAGCCGTCTATCCTCCTCGACCATCAAGCCATGTGGACTAACAGGCCGCGCAGAGGAAGAAGGCTCTTATCGTTTTGACGAGCATGGTGACGGTGGTCAACTCAACCATGGGCAGCGCGCTTCCTAGCAATGCGATTCCATACTTCACAAAGGAGTGGGAGGTTACATCCCAAATGCAAAGGACTTTGCCTATTGCTATCTTCCTTGTTGGTACGTCTTGGGAATGTGATGTGTATCCCGTGAGGACTGCTTGAATGTGGAGCTGACATAAATCTTTTTACCAGGATATATCTTCGGTAAATAGAGTCCTGTCTTGAGAGCCTCCAGAGATCGGCCTCTAATAATTACGAATTCCTCAGGTCCAATCGTCTGGGCGCCACTGTCCGAACAGTTCGGTCGGCGATGGCTCATCGTTGGAACCTTTGCCGTGTTCTGTATATGGACACTGGCCTGCGCGCTGGCTCCAAACTGGCCAGCCTTCCTCGTCTTCAGGTTGCTGGTCGGTGTGTTCGCCAGTGCGCCTATCGCGCTGGTAACAGGCATTATGGCAGATGTCTACGGCGAACACCGCACGCGAGGACGAGCCATGGCGTCCTACTTTGCAGTAAGTTCCACTCACATCACCACTGCCTACTCGGCCTTCTCTGACCATGGTCACCACCGCAACCAGGCCACCGTCTTCGGCCCGCTCTTCGCGCCCATCATATCCGGCTTCTGCTCCCCGACCATCGGCTGGCGGTGGACCTTCTGGATCGGCCTCATCTACGCGGGGCTGTCCATGGCCCTCCTGCTCCTCCTGCCCGAGACGTACGGCCCGATCCTCCTCGTCAAGCGGGCGCAGCGCATCCGCAGGCTCGACCCCAAGGCCAACGTCATCGCGCCCCACGAGCTCGAGGCGGCGGACCTGCACCAGCTCGCCGTGCGCGTGCTCACCCGGCCGATGCGGATGCTCTTCTTCGAGCTCATCGTCTCCGCCACGTGCGTCTACCTCGCGCTGTGCTACGGCATCTTCTACATGACGTTCCAGGCGTACCCGATTATTTTTGAAGAGATGTATGGGCTCTCGCCCGGCGTCGAGGGGCTGTGCTTCCTCCCCATCGGCGCCGGGGCGCTGTGCGCGCTGCCTGTGTTCTTCTCGTGGGACGCGTACCTGGAGAAGGCGCAGGCTGAGGGGAGGCCGTGGACGAAGAAGGAAGAGTATAGACGGGTCCCGCTGGCGTGTATTGGTGGGCCTTTATTCGTTATAAGCTTGTTCTGGCTTGGGTGGACGAGCAGGGAAGGGATCCCTTTTTGGGTTCCCATGCTGGCCGGAATCCCATTTGGCTGTGGTTTCCAGCTCATCTTCATGGCTCTGGTGTGTTCCCGATCCCATGTGGCAGACTTCAATATCCTCGTGTGCCTGACCATTGACATTTTACACCAGTTAAACTACATTACCGATGCCTACGAGATCTTCGCCGCATCCGCCAACGCTGCCGCTTCGTGCACTAGATCAGTCCTGGGCTGTATCCTCCCATTCGCTTGCACGCCCATGTTCCGGCGCCTCGGGATCGCAGGTGCGTGTTCCCTCCTCGGCGGCCTAAGCTGTCTGGTTTGTATTATTCCTTTCATCTTCATATGGAAGGGTGAGAGGATTCGTGCCGGATCGAGATTCTGCACTGTGCTGAGGGAGAGGAGGGAAGAGATGGAAAGGCGTGTAGAGGAGCAGAGGTGTAAGGATGAGAGAGGAGGGTATGGGGACAGGAATGGTGTGGTTGAGCAGCAAAGGAAAGAGGAAGCATGAATTTCCAGCGTGCTCTATGTTTATATTGTGACTAGGGTTGACGTACCCGAGCGGTTGCCAGAATGCTGCAAGTGAACAAGTGGAGCTGTTTCGAAAGCGATAGCATACTTAGGTACCCATAGGCAATTTGAATACAGACGAATTATCCCCACCAAGAGCATACTGCAGTTGGTAGAAAACGGGTTGAATAATTTTGTAAAGTTTCACACCCCACGGCATGCGTTGAAAGACACCTCCAACATCAACGATGGCTGTTCCCTAGTGAACTGTTCAGAACCTAAACTTGAACGAGTTCTAATTTCTAGTGCAGGTAGACACATCTTCTGCGTAGGCTGTTCATATCGAAACCAATGACATCAAGTATTTCCGATCTTTCCAATCTCAAAACCATGGCGACTCTCGCTACGTTACATATCTGTTCCATTCCTAGTAGCAGTCATCGCCAGGGCATCCAACGCTGGTACCGTATCTACTCCCGCTCACACCAGAAATTTCCAACACAGCCTGAACGACACCGCCGAGGCCCTCGCCAGCAATGAACCCCGCCGCAACGGCATAGCAATACATCGCATGACTCCACGGTGACTTCTTGGCCCAGACGTACGATGTCAAAGCCCCAATCAAAGTCGCGGTGGAGTGGTGCGTCGCAGGCAGGACAAACGCCATACCAATAGGTACCCAATTCGGCAACCACTTCCGATATCTATACCATCTCCTGCCGTCAGGTCGCGTGTTATCGTCAACCAGAAATCGGTTCTTGAGAATAACTTGTACCACGGCCACGAACCCGGTGACACAGGCAAAGATGGCGGATGACCGAGGAATGGGTACATTGCGCATCGTCACCGCTTGAGCGACGGCAACCCACGCGGCAACCGAAGACGCCGGGAACGCGCACCTGTCTGCATCCTTCTGGATCACGCGTGAATAGGCTTGGACAAAGAGCATGAAGATTCCCGGTGCCAGGAAGACCGACACGATCGCACCCGCCGCCTGAGCCCAGAATTGGGGCCTCAGTGGTGTCCTGAGAAGAAACCCGGTGCGGTAGTTGCCGATGATCGTGTTGGACATGTCTGCCGCGCCTGCGGCCATCACACCGGCGATGATGTTGGCGGACAGGGCCTTCTCGGGTGGCAGTCCCTGGGCTGAGGTGACGCCGCCGAAGACCAGTTGGGAAGCTTTGGCGGCAGCCGTCGTGGGGTTGATGTCTGTCACCCCATTACTGTGAATACATAGACAGGAGAACAAAATGCCCAGTATAGAGGACAAGATCGCGAGACCTACTAATGTCAGTCCGCTTCAAGAAGCCGCTAGTCTGCTCTTCGACTTCAGAATAACCTGACTCAACTTCGACGCTCGCGACTGGGAATATGGCGGCTTGTCCACGATGCAATTTGACACGCTTCTCCCAAGAAATATGCACTGTTCGACCAGCCACCTTCAAATTCGCCCAGATATAGAGCATGCCGATCCATATCACCCTCCAATGACTGAGCATCTCAGCAAAGGAGTAGCAGATCATGATCATCACACCGGGCCAGAGAAGCCAGTACCGCGGGCTAGGAATGTTTCCGGGCTGGTCCATTCCACTGAGAGATAAGAAGGACACCATGTCTCCCCACTTCTCGTCTCCAGGATTCGTCGCTCGTCCTTTGCATACCCCATAATGAATCGTGAGAGGTCCAATGATTCCCCATGCGAGGACGGAGCCGAGAAAGTAGGAGATGCCGACGTTGAGGCCCACTAGGAGCCCAGATCCGATGAAAGCTGGTGTCCATTCAATATACCAGCCCCAGTTCTCAATGTTTATAGCCCAATTGTTGTAATTTACCCAGACATAAAACCTTTACGGTCTTCAGAACGGGATAACATACCAGTGCTGGCCTTTCACGACCAATTTTACCAAGTAAATATGTGCCAATCACATAGCAGACCAATCGCGTAGTCGGAAGCCACACGGAGAGAAAAGGCACCCATGAATGAATATGCAAGTCCCTTGAGTTTCCGATTGGCATCAGCTGCACCCGTACCTAACCCGTGCATAGACCGAATGGTGAAGGCCGCTGCTGTTGCTGCAAAGGCCATTAAGAGTCAGCGTCGGAGACTGAGGCAGGTGCCTAAGCAAGTACCATCCACATGAAGTATTCCAAAGATACTGACCGCTTGGGGAGACCGGGTTCAATTCTCTCGCAACATGAACAATGAAGAACTTCCTAAACGGCACAGCCCACCACAGCCCAAACATCGCGCACACCAGAGTCAACAACGTCAACTTCCCAAAGTCCCGAAGCACGGGGTTCGCCCCATCCGAGCCCGACAGCAGCGACAGGCGGTAAATGGCCGGCACGGCAGCGACGAAAAACCCGCTCAGCCCGTCCGAGCCCGAGGCGGTCGCCTGGATCATGTTGTTCTCAGATGGGCCGAAGACGCCCCCCTTTGCCGAGGACGGGGACGTGGCCGAGAGGTCTGCGACAGGAAGCGCGCGACGCCGAACCCGAAGATGGCCCCGAACATGTTGGCTGAGAAGACAAAGCCCGTCTCGAGGCCGAGGCAGACGTTGGAGGTGCTGACGAGGGACCCGAAGACGAGACCCAGGACGACGCTGCGGACCGTGAGGGGGTTGGGAGCTCTTTCTCGACGGTGCTGCCCTCGAGTGGCGGGAGCGTTTTGAAGAGATCCATGGTCTTCCTTGTCGTCTTTGTTGTTGCGGCTTTCTTGGGACCGATGTGGCGGTCCGCTTGACTGCCGACCAAGATGGTCGTTCGCGTCTTCGCGATCGGCGTACTGCTACGATCGATAGTTCTGAGACTCCATTGGTATCGCGCAATCGCTCAGGGACTGAGAGTCGCTCCATCTTGGGCGTAGAACCTTCCAAGATCAATTCGTGGCAAGTGCTAATCAATTGTGGGCAGCATTGCCATGTTGTTTCATACTCTATCCGCGTGAAATACTTTCTTATAAATATAAGATTGATTCAAGGTCAGTAGACCAGGAAGCCAAGATTGGATAGTTGAGATGAACTGTGTTATCCATAGTACTAGGGGAAACCCGTTCTCCCTTCATTGCCTGAACCATGGATGCGTCAGGATTTCCTTCGCTTGGGCCCTTGACGAAGGCTCCAGCTTCATCATTCTTGTGACAAGGCCACCAACAGTGATGACCTCCTGATTCGTAAACTCGGCGTGATGCTCTGGGTCAAAATGAAACTCCTCCAACTATTACTACAGAGTGTAGCAATGATCATCAGCGGCGCCTGCGAAGCTCATGGTCGATGCTTAGGTAATAATAGTTAAGCCTCACCACCTTGCTGCTGCTGCTGCTGCTTTGCTTCAGACGCCGGTTTTCTTCTTATCCAACTCAGCCACCGTTTCTTTCCGTCGGACGACGGTTTCCTTTTCAGCCAACTTAGCCACTCACACTGTTTCTTTGCGTCGGAAGCCGGGCTTCTTTCCATCCACCACCAAGTGATGATTACCACTGTATAGGCTACCAGAGTAACACAAGCGAAGACGATGCCTTGATTTATCCTAGATCTCCCATTCCCTCGATCCCAGGGCACGGCAAAGAGAGCGGCGATGGATGTTGCTGGAAGGAAAGCCGTGGCCATGAGTGTAAGTGTCCTCATCGACCTGGTCTCTCTCGCACTGATTAGGGCAATGTTCTGAAGCAATATTAGTCTCAGGCTCAACTTTTTGGGAACAGGTTTACGTATATGAAAACACAAAAGGTGAGTTGTGACGACTCGAGTGCTGAAGAACTGACCATTTGGGTAAGTCCCTTAGCCCTCTTATCTTGCGATTGCAGGTGCATCTTCTGGGCTTTCAGCCTTTGCCGACAAGCAGGCAGTGCTTCGGCTAACCAGTTGGTAGCTCTTTCATATCGATTCTTGGCGTCGGCTGTCGCTGGTGGAATGTACCATTCTTCCAATTCATGCTCATTTTCGAAGGTTTCAAGCACCATAGCAGCTACCTCCACGCCTCTGAAAAGTCTTTCCATCTCCGCAATCGAATCCCGCGCTTTTTGAGATGATCGAATGAGAGTCTCAAGGCCTGTATCGTTCTCTTCTTCCAAATCACCGATGAATGCTACTTGGGCATCCGATCGGATCTCCAGAGAGAAAATATCGTCGATGAATCCCATGTATGCCAAGGAGAAAGGTTGATAGAGATGGTAAGGGCGGAGTCTTTCGAGCATTGGTGGTTTTGTCGGATCTTTAGGGTCAAGAGCCCCCTGGCTGGAAGGACCAAACCATTCAGGCATATAGAAGTTGTAATTTGTCTCACGGTAGTAATCTTCATCCCATTTCTTTAGGTCGGGCGTCGCGTCTCCACCGAACACGATCAAGGTGGTCTCTCTCTCGTTCGGGAAGAAAGCACATGCCATAGCATACAGCTTTTGTATGACGAGCAGGAAACTAGCCTTTCCTTTCCTGCGCCGTACTGATTGCCAGACGTCAGTGTTTCTCCACAGAGGGTGAATGAATGATTGCTCGATGCCGAAAAGGGTAATGATGTCCTGAAAGGTCTTAAACATCATATCTTTAAGATCATTCTCCTTTGGACCTGGACGGATGTAAAGGAGATTGAGTGCTGCCGCAGTGTCCAGAGGCTTGGGATGAAGCACCTCCGCCGTCTCAAGGCGTTGTCGCCACAGCTGGAAATTGTCGTCCGGGCCCTCAAGAATGTCGGATGCATTCTTACAACGCTCGATGCTCCGCTTGAACTCTTGCTCCGTGAAGTGATGAAGTTTTGGAGGATCCAGCGTCTCATCATCACTGGTACGAGCGTAAAAGCCGTGGATGGTGAATGAGGTCTCTCCGGGCTTTTTTGCGAATTCGTCCCGCAAGCTGGCGGAATCTGGGCGGTGGAAAAACTCCATGAGTGTGTGTTGAAGTTGCTACACAGGGCCAAAAAGACAGAATTCAATTGAGGTGTGGTTCACGTTAGGACTTTCCCCGAACATGGACTTTTCCCCTGCGATGGGGGTGACGGGGATGAACGAGGGCTTTTCGCTACCTTTTATGCCAGACAGACTTGAGAATCCCTTCCAATCCAACCTCGGAATGTCTCAGACGCAAGATAATGCAATGTTTTAAGCGAACACGGCTCCCGAGGATAGCAACCAATGAATGAGATTTGCTTACCACCTTCAGGTGGCATCCTTCTGTCGTGCAACACAGCGAGACTGTATTCGAGCATCCAATGAGCACAAAAGGAGCCGGAAATACCGGAAATCTCAGCAGGACAATGAGGCTGTGGGAACAGCGAACACAACGAAGATTATATACGCAAAGGGACAGCAAAGCGGGGCTGATGTGTTACCTGATCGTGGTACTTGAATTGCTTCCAGGATACTCCTAAGGAATCAAATGCTGACCTTCAGGGGCATTCAGTAGTATTGTAGCAGTACGGTTACAGGAAAGCCTTAGAGTGGGCAGCAGGCTGCTGACGACAAGTGTGGCTACGTGAGCGGTTGCACCAAGGTCAACGACTCCACTTTGGCAGTTCTGACAGCTGCATAAGTTAACATGGCGGCAAAGAAATTCTTACTGGAAGGCGAAATGCAAAACAACATTTGCAACTCACCATTTGAACCTTTTAAATGGACAATCAGTGTCTTCTACCCTCGACAGTGCCCTCTATGCCGTCCAGGTCGCTGTAGAGCCTCCACTGATAATCCAAACTAAGGTCGTTAAAACGGGCCTTGATGTCCAATGTTTCGATGGCCTTGATATCCTCGGCCTCCAATTCGAAGTCTGCCTCGACGTTTTCTTGTATCTGCCAGTCGATGGTACTCTTAGGAATGACGGATCGTCCGTTGTTGGCGCCCCAAGCCAACACAATCTGAACAGCGCTCTTGCCGTACTTGCGACCGAGTTCCTTCAATAGCGGCTGGTCAACCACTCTCATCATGTATGATATCTCCTTGCTCCGTCCTGTGCTCCGATAGAAGTCGTTCATGCTTCCAAGAGGGCTGAATTGGATTACATGGATGCCCTTGGATCGAAGCCACTGGTTGAAAGACTTCTGCTGCGGGTAAGTATGCACCTCCATCTGGTGAACGGCGGGTACCTTGTGTTCACGTTAGTTCATCTGATGCAAACGAAAGGTGGCTTTGTGTCCTCTCAGGATTGGCTCACCGTTTCACTCTCCTGGATCAAGGTTTCCAACTCTCCTTTACTAAAGTTGGACACCCCAATCGCCTTTACTTTCCCTGTCTTGATAAGCTTTTCCATTGCCTTCCAAGTATCGACAAATGTGGTCTGTCCCAAAATCATTTTCCCATTGCTATCTCGAGGGAAGCGGTCTTCACCTCTAGCAAAAGTGCAGGGATAATGCATCATCAAAAGGTCAACATACGGAGTATATATGTCTACCAGAGATTCATCGAGTGCTTTCTCAACGTCGTCGGGATGGTAATTGTTGCAACCACAGCTTTGTGCCGAGGAAGATCTCCTCACGAGGGACACCGCGTCCTCCTGTGCATCTGGGTCCTGGAAAGTCCCGAAGCCGATGGCAGGAATGCTGGCACCCGTGTTGAGCTGGTGCCGGGTTTGACGCGTGGCGATCCCTCGCTGTTGGGGCCGGCCGCAACGTCCGAATGTGTGAGAGCTCCTCTGGGCTAGCTGTACCAACGTTGCAGCGGTAGTCCGGATAGTAGATCGTGGCATGGCCATTATGGTGGAGCGTGAGAGATTCTTCGGGGCACTTGCGGTACTTCGCTAAAACAAAATAAAAATAAATTTCAAATCGGTGGTAAGGGGCATTACTTATGGTGAGACAGTATGTCGGTAAGAGGGCAGATGCTTGCCCTCGAGGCGAGGGTCAACTGTGCAACCGCTGATCATACAATTACCTAGGTACCTACCTCTTCCCAAGCCACCCGCCCCACCTTCCATCCCTCATAACTGGACATGAATTGTGCAAAGTTCCCTTGGAGACGGAAGCAAGAAACGAAAACGTGGGAGTGGAAAAGGCGGATTATAGGTTAGAATAATGCAAAGCCAAGACTTAGTTGTCAGTGACTTTGTTCGTAAGCTAAATTACACAACGTAATGCAAGTGTGCACAGGCACATGAGGCGGTTTCGTTCAGATGGGTAGGTCAATTGAGAGCACGATTTAATTTGTAGTAGCAGTAGAGACATATGGAGCAGTACTAGTAGCTTTGGGATAGACAGAGCAAGATGTTGGTTTCTGCGGGATCTAATAGATTTGATAAGACTAAAATTCCACTAATCAGTGCCTAATGTTTGACAATCTGTTACGGCACGGAAGAGTAAAACAAAATTCAATCTCGAACTCTCCAGCAACTTCTAATCTAGGACGATAAAGCCTATTGCCGGCTTCAAAAAGCTTACTTACAAAGTTGAGCACACGTGTTCATGGCCTTCAGCACAAGCTTGCTAGTTGTAATAGCTTCTTCCTCGGGAGAGCTAGGCTCATCAGCAGGTGGCCGCGCCTTAAGCAACCCCAGAAGGTCTCGGATATGCTCTTCCAACATCATCATTTTCTTGACGCGGATGACAGTTGCTTCCGTCAACCACATTGGCGAGTGAACCGAGTCCATCTCGATCTGGAGCGTGGAAAAATAAGCCTCGATGAAGCGTAGCTGCGCTCTGGACTTGGCGGCCTGGGGCTTGACAGCGTCGACTTTTCTCAGATGCCGGATGGTCTCCAAGACCATATACAGAGCGTCCCTGAGGCTAAATGACAATCCCTGGAGGTTGTTCTTAGCGGTTCGGAACCGCAGCCAAGCCTCTTCTTCAGGCGAGGTCTCATCGTCTTTTTTGAGGTGTGGCACCTCATGCGGCTCACCGGGCTGATTTGCACCTGTATTTTCCGGGTCATCTGAATCTGAGTCGGTTTCCCACTGCCTTGGATGTTCACGGTCGGCACGCCGGGCACGCTGGCGTTCGCGAGCGTCTCGTTCGCTTTGGTCAGCGTAGAACCGAGGGTTGCCAGGAAATTGGGAGCCCCGGGGTTCGAATGCATCCTCGGTGTTATTCTCTTGGTTGAACCAAGCATCTCCACCATTGAAGTGACTCTGCGCCGTGGGCCGCTGCATTCTACGTGCCCGTGTGGAGTCATACTGATGTCTAGACTCTTTGTCTTTGAGCACGTTGTATGCGGCAGAAATGAGCACAAATTCCTTGTGGGCCTCCTCAAACTCCGACTTATCGCGTCGGTCTGGGTGATGCGCAAGCGATAACTTGAAGAAGGCCTTCCGGATTGCGCCAAAAGTGGAATCGGCTGAGACGCCCAGCACGGCGTAGTAGTCCGGCTTCTGAGCAGACATGTTGAGAAGAATGCCTGTGTTGTGGTTTTTGTAGTCTTGTTTTTTGTTTCTCGTATGTGTGTGTATTTGCGATGTGCCAACCAGAATGTTTGGTGTTCGCGAGTGTGGAATAGGTTTTCGCCCAAGCTTTTGCAAGATTTACGGCCCCATATATACTGGAGAAGCTACATTGTAGAGTTCTGTCGTGCAGTATCCAAAATAATCGAACAAAGCCCTTGTTCGGAGAGGGCATTGTCGGGGTGGTCAACCTTTCTATGTCACTGAATTGTCCTTTGACCCAAGACAAGGCCATTATCTTGCCGTATAGATAACAGTAACAAGGGAAGGTAATAGTAATAAGAGAAGGGAGTAATATTAAGAAAACGGAATAGTAATGAGGGAAGGAAATAGTAATAAGAGCAGAGAATAGTAATAAGAGAAGTGAACAGTGATAAAGGAAGGGAACAGTGTTAATGCGATGGTGCTCATACAAAGAACGAGACGATATGAACAGATGTATTCTGGCTGCATCATCATATCCTGCGCTGTTCCGGAAGATAGACACAGCTGGCAGTACACTTCACACGTTGGGTAATATGGCAGTGGAGGCTTTTATGTAAAGTGCAGAGACTCTAGTGAAGATAAACCCTCTTTGTCACTGGATATTTCTCAGGAACAACAGGTCATTGTTCCACAAGTATTCAGTTTTGTCCACGTTCCAGCGAAATTTCCGTGAGCACATGACCAGTTATTTGATAGAAGGATAGCATCTCTGATACGCGCAGATCAACGTTCGGTCAGAGTCTTGCATCAGCTGCAGCTGATCATCCAGTACTGACATCTACACAGACCTGGGCTGCAGCCGAGATCCGCTGACGATTGTCGCTGACCGTTATGTATGGTGCGATAAGGCAACACTACTCGAGTGCTGCCATCCACAGATGAGTGCGGGGCAATGAGGCGACATCTTCGCCATCCGGCAAGAGCACCAAACTCATTCATTTGGTTCGAAAGTCTTGGAGGAGTCCACGAAAATTTTGTTCAGATCCTACTCGAGCTCTCAGCTGGTACTGAACACCATGTCTCAGACGATCCTAGCCTCCGAGTCCGCGACGGCGCCTCGGACGGTCACGTTGCATAACGGACAAGTCCTGACCTTCAACTCCAACATCTCTACTGACGTAGAGAAAATACCCGTCATAGACGCTAGCAGAATCTGGTGCGAACGCTTGGAGGACCGTCAAGCCATCGCCGAGGAAATACGAGAGGCTGCACAGACAATTGGTTTCTTCTACCTCATCAATCATGTGAGAGCCACTGAGCCGAAGTGCAGGATGGGGGACGAGTTGTGGCTAACAACGAGAAGGGCATAGATGAGAAATATTCTGAAGGCTGCTTTGAACAAGCGAAGCGCTTCTTCGCTCTCCCCGAGGAGAAGAAAATGGAGGTTTGGACCGGGCAACTTCCAACCGAGTACGCGGGCTATCACCCAATGGCGGCGTACAACAGAAACGGATGGAGGTATCATGGTGAGTGCATAGAGTTATGACTTAATCTTGTACGTGTAAAGCTGACAGCGACTCTCATGAGCAAGATCTCAATGAAGCCTTCAACTGGCCGTACGATCCCAAGCAAGACCCCGAAGTCATGGATGGCAGCCAGGAAGCCTCACCTAGTCTCTGGCCCTCGGGCTTAACAGGCTTCCGTGAAGGCCTATATGCTTACCAACTACAACTCCTTCGCCTATCGCGGCAGCTTACTCGAATATTTGCCCTTGCTCTCCATCTACCGGAAGACTACTTCGACGAGTACATCAAACGGCCGGAGGCAGGAATGCGAATCCTGCATTACCCGGAGCAAGAAAATCGTATCGACGACCAAAACGGCATCGGCGCTCATACAGATGTTGAGTGCTTCACCATCGTGAACCAGGACTCAGCTGGTGGTCTCGAGGTGCTAAGCAAGTCCGGTAACTGGGTGAGGGCTGACCCAGTCCCCGGCACCTTCGTGGTCAACATTGCAGACTGCTTCATGAGACAGACCAACGACTTTTTTGTCTCCACTGTCCACCGTGTGATTAACAAGAGCGGCAAGGAGAGGTACTCGGCGGCTTTCTTCTTTGGTTTTGACAAGAACAAGCCGCTTGAGCCAGTGCCGACTTGTGTCAGCGGGGAGAATCCTATGAAGTATCCAGTTATGACTGGAGGTGAATACAGTCGATTCAGGGTATCGAAGGTCAAGGGCTCGTACTAGGCCCTGAATGACTAGGACGGAGACATCATGTAAAAGTGGAGGCAAAGAGCGGAGGGTGTTGCAGATCATCTCATGACGCACATATGAACTCATCCAGCCCAACGTGTCAAATGAACGTCGATGAAGCAGTTCCTTGAGAGCAAATGTCATCCTTTACATTTTAAAACAGAACCATGCCATCGAAATTCTGAATGGACTATCAAATCTCTGATATTGATAGCCAAGACTTCCGGAACAGTACCATCAGACAACCCAAGCGGCGGTGCACCTGGCGATCGGGGAACAGAAAAGATGTCTTCGGACTCAAACCAGCATGGCCAAGCGCAGTTCGTAGCGTCAATCCTGCCCCGGACTTGCTTGATCTGACTAGAGATAGGAATTTGATCGATGAGGCCAAGTTGAGACAGGAGCCAACGGACCGTGACATCGGCGCCAACAAGGAGGCTACAGATTCCAGAGGCGTGCTACAAGAGCAAGGCGGGACGAAGGCGAAAGGCGAGGCAAGGAACGATCAGGGGTTTAAGGTCGGCGACGAGGGGGACCTGCATGATTTGGCTGCCGGCAAACAGCCTTGAGCAGCCTCTCAATGGTGAAAGCCAGCGAGGGAATGTGTTGAGTCAAGACTTTCCAATGACTGACTTGAAAGTTATCGAAGGCAAATGTCCGAAGTCCTTGGCCCCGGGTCATTTCGCGGAAGCAGAGTTCCTCAGTGCGTTGAGCTTCAAACAGAAAGAATGAATCAGCTCGGTTGGGATTACGATGAAATGACATATTAAACTGCTGGTCAAAATCTGCGTCATCAGCAGTAAAGGCCATTATTATGTGACATCGATTTGCTGTGATGCAAGTGCTCAGCCTGTGTGGTAGGCTCCGCCAAGCTCCATAGTATTAATTCGTCACAGAAAAGGCTGTCCGTTATAATATTTAGGACGTACTTGTAGCCTTATCCAATATAGACGAGGTGTGATTTCCCATTTGCACTTGGCCTATGTACATGCGCATCTCTGTTAGAATAGCACACTTAATCACTATCATCCCCAGCATTGAGAAATTGAAATAGAGCAAACCACACAGTCCAACAAATGCTTTAGAGCAGTCGTAATTCTTGATTGATTCAGCTGCCAAAGGCTCATCTCGAGATACTTCAGCCAAATGCCCTGGCCAACGGTCTTGCGCTCGGAGTTGAGGGATGACGGAGAAATCTCTCGAGCCAATTCTTATCATCAACTTTATCATAACCGTACGGCTCAGGTGGTAGCAAGTTATTCAATGTGTCTCGGAGCTGTTGAAGTGACGGCCGGTCGATGGGTTTGGCTGCCAGACACGAGGCCACCAGCTCGCACAACTGTTGCCCGTAGAGCGCCACATACGTGTTGTTCATGATTTTGTCCCCGTAAGTCCAAACATTCTGGATCGCTGGCTCCTGCATTGCCATCGGGGGTTGAATAGGGTGCCTGCATGTGATGCAGCACCACATGACCTGAGGAGCAACCAAGGTTAGTTGATGGCTCATCTTTCTGGAGTTCTTACCCATAAGCATAGCCTACCATTCCGATCTGCCACACGTTTGACCATTGACCATAATTGGCAGCCACACTGTTGAGGTCACCGAGGCTGCTTATAGGGCCCGGGGGTATCAGACCCTGGTCCTGGGAGAATGGATCTTCCTGGTCCCTCACTTTATCCCAGTCTGATGTGAATTGCTCCTACGTCCCAGGGGAAATGTAGTCAGCTGTATAGTCACACATAAGTCAAGAATTGGATGATTTCCTCTGCAAACGATGTGCCAGCTTACCGGTAAATGAAACCCGTTTTTGCCGATGCCCCGGCTTTGCCACATTGAGAATCTCTCGGGAACAGTATACGGAGGGCTTCGACCAACACTAGTTTTCCGGGTCTCACTTGGTGTTTCTGCTAGACCGAAGTCTGCTATCTAATTATCCAATCAGCCGTGATTTGTTACACAACGGGGCAGCTTTCCGAGGGATCTCCATTCTCATCCCTCCACCGGTGTCAATGGCAGTAATGAAGGATCGAGAAAAGTGAAAGAAGAGTTAAATAAAGAGAACACAAAATCATACTTTGAACACGGGCAATTTTCGATGGTCCGCGTCAGTGTCAAAAACGAAGACGTTTTGTGGGTCGATGTCGAAATGAACCAGATCGTAGCGATTCACATGTGCACCTGGGGCTGGAACCTCCTCCTCTAGCCACCCGCCTAGTTCGTCATACTCGTCGCCTCGGTTTGGCGGTTTTTGTTTTCTTGGCGGGTAAGTCATTGACATGGACGCGGTGACAACTAGGATCTGTTGCGTCAATGATTCGTTCGCAGGCAATAACCCAGCGAGAGCCGTCAGAAAAAGCGAGAAAGAGAGAGCGAGCAGGAGAGTCAGGACTCACGGCAGTCGAATATCTGCCAGATGACAACCAGCGGGGTTCTTTCCTTATCATCCTCTACATGATACGGATTCCTCGCGTTCGCGTCACGGCGACTACTACGGCCTGCGCGTTCTCTGTCCCGAAAAATGTAGCGACCAACTTTAGAAAGTACCGAGTGTAAATCGCCCCTCCTCGCCCATTCCATAATAAGTGTTGTCGGATCATCGTCCACTATAGCAATAGGAGTCAGCTACGAAAGGGCAGGGAACAAATTTTATGCAAAAAAAGAGAGGAACAGGCCACAGTGTGTAAAAGGCCTGCCTCAGAATCTGTCGCCTGGCAGGCTCTTGAGCCAAAGGCTACGGATAGGGTTTATTTGTTTGTAAGAGGTTAAAATTGTATTTAGAAGTTGCTTACTAGGAATTCCTACCGCGGGATCGAAGAAGTCTTGAATAAGGAAGCGCTGTATGATGTGTTTCGCTCGGGCTAGCATCTACATCGGCCATCAGCAAAGGCGATCCCCAAGGCCCTGCAAATCCGCCATTTGATGGCATGACGTACCCGAGTAATCCTTTTCTCGCTGCCCAGTGCCAGCTGACGGGCATTGTTGTTAGGATTGGCGGTATCAGGTATCGCACTTTTGATAACTGATTTCCCAGTTCTTGCACCATTCTTCCACTCCCACAAAGAAGCAATTCCCTGTCCTGTATGTGCACCTCAGCAACTCCTCTGCTAAGGTTGAGCCTAATGTAGTGATAGTGCTCGCATTGGCTAGTGCATCTTGAAGTATATAAACGGATGTAGAGGCATCCATTTTTCATTCAACGCAATGCGACTTTCTACGTACCACCAATGCCGAGGGTTTTGATGACTAGTAAATATATAAGCTTAATTCTACAACGTTGAAGAAGAAGAATTGGGCGTGCCTTGGAATTTTACTGACATTTAAGTTGATTCCCCCATCTTGCTTTGAGCGTCCCAAAATCGGCCAGAGCCTGAGCAATATCATTGGCAGTCCTTTTGGCTGCCAGTTGTCTAATATTGACTCCCGGAGCACTGACTCTATCGAATGCTCTGGCGGTGAGAAAGTTTTCTCTATCGGCTCGTAATCGAGTGTTATTCGTTACATCGTACTCATTTATGATATTGGTTTTTGGTAAGGCGCGACGTGCGATTCTTCTTTGTGTGTTTATATGACTTGGGTCGTACCCCCAACCTTGTCTGTAGCATTCGAATCGTTCACCAGTTCTTCGCTGCTCGAGATTTAATCGGGCCGACATATTGTTTGTGAAAGCGAAAAGTCCAGCCACAAGTGTCCACAATAGATCAGATTGGATTTAGATATTGTTCTACAAGAGACTGTTATGGCCATATTCCTCTTAATAAATATGTTTCCGCTAGCCGGATGACTGTGTGGCAGTCATTTCGGTAAAGGTGCAGACAAAGGGAAGCGTGTCTTCAATTCTTAGTCCGTCGCCGCAAACGGCCGCTGTTTTTTATGGTGTTGCCGAGCGTTCCTCGGTAATTTTATTTAAACTTTTAGAGCACACATCAAGGTCAACTTTATCAACGAAACATATTTATACTTCTAACGTGCTGAGCACTCAGAGACGTACAAATGTGGAACCAGTTGCACCCATGTACCTAGCCATAAGAACACGCGCAAATATTGAATCAAGCCTAGTCTGAAGAGCGAGGCGATTTTCTTAAATCGACCTCGTGGCAAGAGAAGTCTAGTATAGTGTCAATTGATGAAGGGTATCCTGCTTATCTGATAATACGGACAGGTTTAAGCTGCATCGGGGGCATCAAAATTCCCAATGTCTGGATAGCTGGACAGGTTTAGGGAGCGAACAAAAGCCGACACGACATAGTTTGAGAGCCACCACCTCTAACAGAAATCAATCCGCCTTGGCACGTCCATTCGCATGGCCATTTGTATGCCCGTTCATGCGACCGTTCACCTTGTTACCCTTCACCTTTCCGTTTACCACTCCATTCGCGCTCCCATTTGTATGCCCATTCCCGGGATCCGCAGTGAACTCCAACCCTTTCGTGATAGACCCGATCGTGCCGAACTTGGCAAGCAAGGACTCGGATATATACCCCTTGCGCTCATTCCAGGGGTCCACCTCGGCCTTCCTCGGCAGCTTGTCCTGGGCGACCATGAAGTAAGTGGACTTCATGCTGATGATCGGCTCGGCCTTCATCGCCTCCCTGTTCTGGACAACAGGCTGGACCGCAGCCGCGCCGGTCCTCTTCATGTGGTGGATGACGCGCATCAGCAGCCGCAGGCACGCGTCGCTGCCCAGCGTCCAGCTCATGTCCGTGTACCCGATGACCATGGCCATGTTGGGCACGCCCTCGAGCATGAAGTTGCGCCAGGCGAACCGGTCCGCGATGTTGAAGCGCTGCCCGTCGACGGTGCAGTCCACGCCGCCGAGGATGAGAATCCGGAGGCCCGTCGCTGTCACGATGATGTCGGCGTCGATGGTCTTGCCTGACTTGGTCTTGATGCCGGACTCGGTGACGGTGTCGATGTGGTCCGTTACTACTTCGCAGTTGCCGCCCCGCAGTGCGTCGTAGAAGTCGCCGTCCGGGCAGACGCACAACCGCTGGGTCCATGGGGTGTATCGGGGTGTGAAGTGCGGGTCGACGGGGATACCTGAGCCCTTGAGTTCTCTGGCCATGGCTCTTATGAGCATCCTCCGTGCGAACTGGGGAAAGGTGAAGCAGAAAGTTTTAACTGTTGTCTGAAAGAGAACATCCTTCCAGAAATTGATTGTGTCGGCCACCCTTTTTGGTAGAAATTTGCGCAAAGCGAAGATGTGTCCAGGGGCCGCTGGCAACGGCATGACGTAGCTTGGGCTCCTCTGGAGCATTGTGACTTTCGCTGCTGTTTTCGCAAGCACAGGCAGAATAGTCACAGTGGTCGCACCCGAGCCGATGACGACCACCCGCTTTCCAGAGTAGTCGAGGTCTTCGGGCCAGAATTGCGGGTGGACAACGGTGCCTTTGAAGTTGGATAAACCAGGAATTTCAGCCCGCAGTGGTGTCTTGTAGTCATAATAGCCGCTGCATGCGAATACAAATTGGCATCTGAGGCTCCTCCTCGCCTCGCCGTCATTAACTTCGGCTTCCAGGGTCCATCTGCTCTCGGCTGACGACCAGTGAGCGCCCACGACCCTGTGCTTGAACTGGATGTGCTTGTCGATGCCCGCATACTCAACTGACCCCTGGAGGTACTTCTGTATGGTAGCACCGTCCGCTATCTCCTTTTCCTCACTCCATGGCCGCCACCTGAAGCCAAAGCCCGTGAGGTAAGAATCCGATCGAAGGCCGGGGTACTTGAAAAAGTCCCAGGTGCCGCCGATTGTGTCTCGAGCCTCTAGGACGGTATACTTGGCATTGGGGAACTCGGTCTGCACCTTGTGGGCTGCATTGATGCCTGATGCACCGGCCCCTATTATGATGAAGTCGTATTCCTCCATCGCCGGTTTCTAACTCCTCAGCGTGATCGTAAGTACTGGAATAGCACTAAAAAAAGGTGGAAGGGGATGATGATGGATTTAGGTGAGAACTTTTCCAAGGTAGGAGCGACTGGGCTCCCGTAGATATTTGGTTGATGTCAATACGTAATAAACCACCTAGGTACAAATCTCACATGAATGCCGGCCACTCGTTTCACTTGCCCGACTCAGGCCACATGGGAGAAACTGGGGGAGACATGCGACGGTCCTCGGTTACATTCCGACCCTGTGGGTGTTGGGATGAGGGAAATGTGAAGCGATTCGTCGAGCCCCAATGCGATTGGGTGAAAATGGCGCCAGGTAAAGTCAACTTGGGATGACTGAGATCGTCTGGTACACGCCCACGCATTCGTGTTGGGGTTAAGACAGGCCTTGGCAGCTCCAGAGGGGTTTATGCCGAGGCTTTCCCAGCTGTTCTCGTGACAGTTGACAACCCCGGCAGCGCTAGCGACTTGTCAACATGGGTACTCCCTGCAATGCGCGAATTAGAGTATTCTCGAAATACACAAGTTGAACGCCTCCTTTGGGGTGTTCTTTTCTGCCTAATTCGGCATATCTATGCTTGCTCTTTAAGTCACTAGTAGACAGTGAGTGACTGGCTCTGCCAGTACCCAAGTGTTAAGTACTGATCACAGTATCTTACATGGCTCTGACCCTAGGATAGATTAACTTAGTTAACATGTCTCTTTGCAGACTTCGTTACATTCAATTTTGTACAGAATGTGTTAGTAGCGAGAACATACGAAACCGTGTTACCAAAAAAGAATTCTCATTTACATTGGTTTACCTAGGTATCACATTTATCTCACTATGTAGCTGTACCATGGAATGAAAGTATTGGTATTAGCCTGATCGTGTGGACGCCGCTGTAACCAAACTCTAACCGCTCCATGCTTTGCTTTTCACGCGATGTTCATCAAATTTCTATAAGTGGTGACCGCCCTTCACACCTTTAGGGAACTTCGTTGGCAGATAGTGACAGGCCGTGCTTGAGCATCAGTAAGACGCAGGCGGCACTCGCGGCGATGGAACTGAGATAGGGGCTCCAATCTCCTGGGAGTAGCACGCAGGCAAGGACTATCATCTGGATGACATCGGACTTACGCTAGAGCTGAGCGCTTTGGACTGATATGCAGAGTGGAGCTACGTGCCTCCTATGGGTGGTTCTTGATCTCATCGATTTCGTAGCATTTCTATATGCTGTCTCGTACTTTCCGACGAAGCTCATCTCCACCGCCTGAACGTTGTCAACGTACGCGCGGTCGATACCATACCGGTAGCAATGGTGTTCGTAAATCTCCTGGTACTGTATAGATGACCATCAGGCCCACCTTCGATATTTAGTTGTATGCAAAAGTCACTTGCAACTTATCATACTAGGCGACTTGGCCTATATCTGAGCCCTTGAGGGCTTACTTCTTGGCAAATCACATCTCTTGTTAACTTTGTCGTATCCTTGACGCCGAACGGATGGAAAGAGCAGTTACTTGGTCTTCGGGCCCGGCTTCGGCAAGTTGTTCCCATGGTTTCTTGAAACCTCGGCAATCATGATGTTGCATGATGGCAAGAAAGAGTGCTTCAAAGTCACATGAAAGGCCACGTCATGGCCTCAACGGCTGTGCCCTTCTGATAAGAGCCTATCCTCGGGGCCAGTTTCCCAGTAGCAGGGATGAATTATGCTGATTGCAGCACCAAGGAACATTTCTTCGAGACAAATGTCTACAGTAACGGTGCATAGTAGAATAGGTAGATAGGAGCTTTGAGAGGAGATTGAACAGCCAAGGAACGGAGGTTCTTCTCCGAGCTCTTTGGTAATTCTTTCATACAGTCATTTGCACCAAAAGACTGTCATCCAGCTCCTCAGCAGACTATGGTATGACCTTTCGGGTATGAGTGTCCGTTATCTTCTAATCAGGCAAGTGACACTATTCCACACGGATAATGCCGCTGGCGTGTTTCTTTATCTGGCATACAGAAATATTATCATGTGATCACGGAAAGTTTAGGCAACAGGGCTTTGGAAACCAACTTGATCACTTTTCTCCTCATCTTGCGTTCCTGCTGCTTTGCAAGGTCGACGTAGGATCGGACTCTACGGGTAAGTAAGTTCATGGATATATCCACGATGTAATCTTTTCTGTCCACTGAGAGGGTCCGAGAAACTAGCCGCCTCCGCTGGTATTCTGCTATGCGAGGGTGCTCACACACAAGCGCAATTCCATTGAATTTATCTTTTGCTCCTCTTCCCCGTGCGAGTGTACAGTCTGATCATCTCAAGACCTTCGGAACAATTCTTAGAACTAAAGATGGGATTTATATGTAACTGCCGGTTTGTTGACGCAGGGGTATGGTACATTTGCAGTTCCTTCTACCCACGCACCCGCCGATGGCACCCTGGCGGACGACGAGAGTCGCTGATCCTGAGTAATGTGGCTCAAGGAACTCATGCCTCACAGCCATTCGTTTCCAAGCAGCACTTTTCACTCCGATCCCGAGACTCACCAACCTGACCACTGGGGGAAGGTTGGAAAAAGAGTTTAAAGAGTCTTTTCCTTTTATTAATTCCTTTATTTTCATTTTCTAGTTTCAAAAGCGCCCGCTTGACCAAAACTCAACTAGGAGCATTCGCCATCTTGGCAGCTACGGGTGTCGATGTGAAGAAGACTTGAAAGGGAAAGGAACCCTGATCTCGAAGGTTCCGGGGTACAATGCGACGCGGCTAGCAGGAGAGCCTGCCCCGGAAGCAATGAGCCGCAGATGTGATGCCCTGGTCTGCGACAAGCGTCGCCACCGTGGTGAAGATGAGAATGGTAAACGACAGCATGGTGGTGACGGTTTGTGAGTAAAACATGTGGTGTTTAGTTCGGTGATGCTGACGGTAGGAGGCACCGCGTTTGGCAGGCGGGCTTGCCTGAGGAGGTATGGCAGAGGTAACTCCCTGTCCGGCGACAAGGGTCGCCACCAAGGTGAAGGCGAGGATCAGGGAAGAAAGTATGGTGGTGATGATTGTTGAGAAAAGCGTGTGGTGTCGAGGCTGATGGCGCTGGTCAGAGACTGCCGAAACGAGAGAATAGTGCTTCTGGTGACAGTAAATGATCAGAAATGAAGAAGAGTGCGATGGTTGGTCAGGGTGGAAGTGAAAGATCAAAAGCCTGGTGACGACTGGTAAGAGCCATCAGAACCTTTTCATGCCTGCGCGTAGGCAGGGCACAAAATGACCAAGTCTTGTTGTCGAAAGTCAAATTTGTAAGACCAGTCAAGGCGAGATCTTTATAGGAAACCACCCTCGGCACAGCGCAGTGTGCAGATCAGAAACTCCATGTCCCGGCCAATCTATCTGCGCCTGCTGCTCTTGAAAAATGACAACGGTGACGGTCTCAAGTCACCATATTTGTCGCATTGATTGAGCTGGTGGCTTTTGGTTCCACGCTCTCTATCTCTCCCAGACTGCGAATTGTGCGGATGCGTCATGTCCCAGTTTTAGGACCGTAGTCCTTTCAAGTTGTGTGTCAAGATCTCAAGATTCGTTGGATTAACACGCTGAGCACAGCAAGAGCGTCAAATTTCCAAGTGTCACACTCAATTTCAGTGAAATGAATCATTGAAATGTTTGATGAAGACAATACCGATCAAAACTTTTGCTGCATCGACTCTATTTCTGGAGCTGGTGGTGCATTAGTGAAGACGCTTTGTGCAACCTCGACTGCGATCGTCAGGGCACCTCAGATCATAGGTGGAGAGTTCAAAGTTGCAGGTTCTAAGAGCTGTCAACAGAGGGAGTGAGCCCAAATTAGCCCTTCAGACCGCTCTGGTCTGGGTCATCTCTGAATTGGACGTCTTCCCTCTGCCCAAGCTCCTCCCTGTGTTTCTGTGCCCGCTCCTCGGAGACATGTAGCAGCAGCTCGAAGTCCAGCAGCAGCGTCTCGGCGAGCCCCCATTCCTCCAGGAGATGGCGGATCTTATCAGCCGCCTTCTGGCTGTAGGGCGGCCGCGCGGTGTTGTCGACCTTGAGTTCTCGGACTAAGGTCCAGAAACGGTGCCGCACATGCTTTGGAATGGGGAGGAGCGGTGAGTTACGAGCCAGGTGCAGTGGTTGGACACTGCGCAATGTTGAGACAATGTTCATGTGTGCCACTGGCCGAGTGGCTCATTGTCGTCGAGAGAACTTCCATCCGTCCTGAACATCAGGACCCTACCAATCTGTGTGAGGTGGTAGCATGGAGTGTGTATTGGAAGTGGGAGGGATTGAGTTGTGAGATAGGTGAAGTGGGTTGGACATTGTGGAATGTCAAGCCAAGGGCCTCGTGAAGCAATGCCCACGTAGCCCAGGCTCAGCGGAAGTAAGGCGGCTTTGCCGGGACCCTGGGTCTCGACCCGGTACATGTCCAAGCCGTACTTGGTCTTGTGCAGCAGTTGGCAGCCACAGCCTTGAAGGGGAGAATGGTGAAGCAAAGAAGAGACTGTTCAAAGCATTCATGTCCCATGTTGGAATCTTTTTCCCTATTGTGGATGGTTGTGAGTGCCGTGGAGCATCTTCCAGCAGACCTCGAACGCCTTCTCTTCGCCGCAGCAGGGCCGAGAGCTGTTGACAGGCTGTTAGAGAAAGAAATTAGCACGGCGGCAGTATGGGACGTAGAATTTCGTTATGACCCTTTGCCAGGTGACATGAGGGCCACGGCGCGAATAAGGTACGTAGAACGCCATCGTGACAGTATGCCACATGGCTTGAGGGACCGGGGAAAAAAAGAAGAGACAAGACGGGCTCAAATATGATGCTGGGCTGAGGGAGAGAGGGGCCCATCCCTCCACACCCATTTCGGTCAGAGTTTGACATCTGTGAAGATGGGCATGCGTCGACTACAGAAGGCACGCACACGCATGCCGCAGGCGGAGAAACCTGCGGCTGTCTGCTGCATCTTTACAGATCAGCAGCAGACAGGGGTGATGAGCATGAACAGGTCCTCGAAGTTGATGACAGTGATATCTCAGGAGCTCGTCTTGGGGCAGAGGCAAGCTCACTTATACTCAGTCTGCTCCAGCGCCGCAACCTGAAGACCTCACAGTGGTCGACGGGCAGTTTCTTGGAGTAGTCGACGCGAAGAGAATGGTGTGGGGAGGGATAGTGTTCTGTGTTGTCGTTGGCGAGATGTCCGCCTTCTTGCAGGTGACGGCTCGGACCTCATCGCCCATCAAAAGTCCTCGTGGCGTGCCAGGCCGGAGCTCAGGTGGGTTAATTTGCAGACAACAGCCATGGCCATGCCAGCCAGTGTCAGATGTTGAGGTATGGGCAGGGACAGGTGCGAATAACTCGTAGTTTCTCGCAGGGAGGAGTCCGCGGTAAATGGAGACACTAAAGGCATGCCTAGGCGTGAGTGCATCAGGGACTGACAAAGAGGTCCTGGATATGGCGGCCATTTGCGGTATTGCGGGCTCTATGAACGGCAGGCGGTAGGTCGTCTTGATGGAGTTGAAGATGGCCTCGAGGTCGAGGGGGTTTGATGGGGCCCAGAATCAGGCCAGTGCATCGATGAAGAGCACAAGGCCCTTCAACAGGGGCACCGAGCTGCCCGCCTGTGGCGTCTGAGCCTGTCCAGGATGGAGGGCCAGCGTCGCCGGGTGTAGTTCGCATCTCAGCTAAGGCTGTATTCTCTGATGTCCTGAGTTCGCCAGGAAGTATTCTTTCTCAAGGAAAGGTCCTTGCACAATACACACTCTGGCACTCTTGCCAGCTTTCGTGTGGTATAGCCTAGAGACAAGCTCTTAGACGTTCATAAAGGGACTCAGAGATGATGACTTTTCAGAATATTTTCTCGTACCAGAGCTTGAGATACTTATTCTCATGCAATTTGCAGATGGCTCATGGTAAGTTCGTGATGCCATGGTCGTCTTGTCCTCTCCCCTGGCGGACCAGGACCACAGTGGAAGTGCGGCGAGTATGGTCGGTTGTGCGGGATTATGACGGGGTTGACAATGCGCGAACTTGAAGGGGGGCAATATCGAGGCCTTGCTCAGTATCAAAACAGTGTTCTGATGACGTGAAGTCAAGGAGAGGGACAGACCAGCACCTCGTAGCCCAGGTGCTAGGGAAGGATCCACATTGCACCACCCACTACTGATGCAGCAAGGCAGGATGACGCTCCAGAATCAAGTACATGAGTCAGCTTGACTCAAATGCAGTCAAGTAGGTCATTCAGGTACGGTCTTCGGGAGCCATTTTGTTGTTGTTCTTGATGCTGTTGTGGTGGTGAGGAAGGGCTGAAACAAGTCAGCAATGTCAACATGAAGGATTCTCATCCTCCAGTTGCAGAGCTTGTTCTTGGATGCAAGGTAACAGTGGTTACTTGCGTGTGCATAGGATGCTTGTCTCGGGGGACTTGTGGGGTGAAGTCAGGAGAGTGCAGACAGCCGCGGCAAACACAAACCAATCATCGTGATTGGTGTATCGAGCTTTCTTGGTTTCTGGGATATCTGAGGTCATGAAGCCCGTGCCTGTGGTGGCTGCAACGATCCAGGTGACCTCATCAGTCCGGGTAGGGGTGGGAATTGGGTCCTCCCACCACCACTGCCATTGGTCATCTTTGAGAGCCATCGAAATGTGAAAGCTCTGCTGGAGCGGAGACTGTTGAAGAAGTCGTCAGAGTAGACCACTGTAGAGGAAGGCACTACTCCTTGAAGTCCACCTTGGGGAAGCCTCCCATTGTCAAAGGAGGCGTCACCTCAACCCAGAGCAAATCGGAGAGGATTCTCTGCCCAATTAGCCTTGTCACTCGCGACAGCCAGCATATCGCCCTTCTCACTGAAGGGAATAGCCCTCAGCGCGGTGGAATGAGCGGGGATTATGCTCACGTTGTCCGTGACCAGCTCAACGAGTCGAACTTGTCCAGCTGTGGGTCCGGGGAAGGCGATGTGCTTCACAGAGATACAGATCAAGCGGCGGAGGTTGTCAGCAGTCTCTCAGACTGCCAAGCCGTCTTCCATCTGGGCCGTGTTCGACATGGGCTCGGGCTCCGACACCACCGCCAGCTCCGGCAGAGGGTTTGCTTCGCCTCGGGCCAATCATTTCGTAAGCCTGTGTAGCCCTCACAAGTCAAGGTGAAGACTTACACTCCTTCTAGCCATCAAAGTGGCGAGGATCCATCTCTGATCCAGAGATCGGGATGCATGAAAAGGGTCAGGCAGAGACTTTAGGCAGAGACTTTTGACTAGAGACTGGATCCTCTCGACACCGTCTAGTTTGAGGTGGCCAACCTCGAACTCGGCCATGGCAGTGCTGCTATAGCCAAGGCTCATTCGTCGAGGTTTCAGAGCAGAATTGCACTGTTACGACCATAGGAAGCACACATGCAATGGCGTTGTTGTCACGCTGTGGCTTACTGTCCTAAGAAGGCGCACTGCTTGCCATAATGACGACAGGCTTGAAACCAAGGACACATTGCTTGCCGTACTTGACGGCCGCCTTGACGGCGAGGACATCTATGCCCCCATCACTATCCCAGGGGCACACCCGTATGCAGAAAAGGTGATCAAATGTAACAACACACTTGTCCTGCCAACAGGCCATATCGTATTCTTTGATCGGCAAACGGCGTCGTAGACTGAAACGCCAGAAAGTGCTTTCCCATCCATTCCCTCAAGTTTTGTGATCAACGAGCAGCACTAAGCTGTGTGAGTGTGGGGATTGGCCTGGGCCATCTTGGCATGGGAGGGGGCGCTCTTCTGGTCAGGGCTCGGTGTCTAATTGAACACAAGGTACGAGTGCGAGGTTTGTTGCAAGCAGGACGCAGCCTCCCAGGGGGGAAGTCGCTAGTGGTCTGCCATCTTGACTGCTGATGGTCGTTGGTCAAGGAAGAAGTCAGGGCAAATTGCAACTTTGAGAAGTCGCCCATGGACATTTTGGTCAGCCCAGAAACCACGGGACAGTCTTTGATTGAGAGAAGGCCTATCCCTGATGCGTCAAAGTCAGAAAGCCGCGCTCAGTCTTTCACCCCAACCAGCTGTTTTCCGGCAGGTAGCAGCTGGGGAGAACTGATGAGTTTCAGTTCACTTCCGTGCAGGAACGTGTCGACCAGGATGAGGCCTTGCAAGTCGAAGAGGATCTCTCTAGATCCGTGGAGCAGCACACTATCAACTTCGGCATGTACTTGTGCTCATGCCCCGTCGAAGCTTAGAAGATGCTAGGTTTGAGTCGTCGAAAGGGAAGTTGGCTGTTCAGATTGGTCCCATAGTGCTCAGAAGTACTGACAGCATCCTGCAGTTGGTATTACTCTCTAAGGCAGTACCTTGTCGTCGCTGGCCTCGAGATCGCCCCGCCTCTTTCCACCGGCCTTGTTGCAGGCCAAGGTCTTTCCATTCACCTTGTGCTCGCCCGCCTCTTGCCCTAGGCCTCGTTCTCAGCGGCCCTTCGCATTCCTCAGCTCAGGCCCCATGACTCGGGGACTGCTGGTCCAAGGAAGGAACGCTCGTTGCCGTTTTGAGATTGAGAAGGAGCAAGTCCACACTCCCGCCCCTTTGGGCTGTGCCTCTGGTCTCACGTCAGAGGGCGACTTAGAGCACAACTCTTCTTGGTGAGACTGGGAAGGAGCTAGTCAGCCCTCCCCTGGGGCTGACACTCTGATCCCATATCAGAGTGTGACTTAAGCACAAATTCTTCCTTCTCCATCACGATCGGCAAGTCATCTTGAAGTCCACAGTCTACTAAGGCTCATGGTCAAAAGGCGACTGAGGCGCGACTTCCCTTGTTGAGATTGGGAAGGAGCAAGTCAGCCCTCGCCTGGGAAGGACCCTCTGGTCCAATATGTGCAGGTTGGAACGCTGGTGCTGGTACAGCTTGGCCCAGCCGTGGAGGATCAGAGGGCATGTTGGGTACTGCTTGCTTGTCCATTACGATTCGCAAGTTGTCTCAGAGTACACCCTCCTCTCATGCTGTGCCTATGGTCTCATGGTCAGAGAGTGACTGAGGGCGCAACCTCCCTTGTTGAGATTGGGAAGGAGCAAGTCTGCGCTTTCCTTTTCTCCGGCTTGCAGCTCCGATATTGAATCAGAGGGCGTGTTGGGTGTAACCTGCTTCTCCATTGTGATATTTACGCTTCTGATCCCGTATCAGGAGGCGCTTCAGGAGAAACCCGCCTTATTGAGATTGGGAAGGAGCGAGTCAGCTCTATCCTGGGGGGAAGGGGACCCTCTGATCCCATATCAGAGGGCATATTCGGTTCTGGTTGCTTCTCCATCACGATGGTCAGGATATGTCAGATTGTGGATGGGATGTGCAAGGTTGCAAGTTTTGGATGTGCGGGGGATTGAGTTGCGAGATGGGTGCAGTGGGTTGGATACTGAGCAATGTCAAGTTGCAGCTTGGGGCGGCGGAAGCCCATCCACCATACCCTCTCCCCCGGGTTGAGTTGCGAGTTGCGCACAGTTATTTGCCTCAGACTTTCAGGTGGAGGGATCCTCTGATCCCTTGGGCTGACCCTCTGGTCCCCTATCAGAGGGCATGTTGCGTGCTGCTTGCTTCTCCGTCACGATCGTCAGGATATGTCAGATCGTAGGTGGGATGTGCAAGGGTGCAAGCTTTGGATGTGTAGGGGATTGAGTTGCGAGATGGGTGCAGCTGGTCTCTTCAGCTCGTAGATGAAGGGGTCCTCTGATCCCATATCAGAGGGCGCATTTGGTTCTGGTTGCTTCTCCATCACTATCGTGAGGATACCCTCAAATCGTAGGCGGAAGGTGTAAGTTTTGGAAGTGGAGGCATGAGTCCTTCTCTGCATATCCATTTTGTCAGTATTCTTAGCCAGTGTGATATCAGGTATTCCATGTTATAACTCACACTTTGATACCGAGCAGCGTTGTGGCTGCGGGAGAAATAGCCCGGGCACCATTTTCTCCTCGCAATCCAGTCCTCAATTCTGTCCGCCGTGGCCTCCACAAGGCCGTCACCTCCTCGCGCCCCCTATTCGCCGCTCGAATAGCCTTGTCTTGTCGCCTTCCGCCCTGCCGAAAGCATCAGCCGTGGTAGATGCCAGCCTGTCTTGCGTGAGTGAAAATGGGTCATGTCGCGAAAACAGAAGCCCATGCATGGCTGCCTAGTGGGCGATAGTACCTAGCGGTACTGGAAAGAGACCCATCAGGTCCCAGCTGAAGTCGGTCATGCTCTCCTCGTCGGCGAATTTACCGCCGATGTCCCAGTGCCTCTGCACTGCCTCGTCAAGCATCTGTTGAGCCTCCAGCTCCTGCGCCTCGTCGCCGAGCGCCAGGAGCGCCATGCGGTGTCAAGTACCGCGATTGTGGAGGAATCGTTCTCGAGGGCAAACTTCAGGGCCGTTTCCAGGGTATGGGTCCATGAACTGAAGGGCGATTCAATGCGGCGACAGTTCTCAATGTGGAGGGTAATTTCTGCCACAGGATGTCGGCACCATCGTGGTCGGTGAACGGCCTTTTTCAGTAGGCTCCTCTGGGCCTGGATGTTGTTGTTGCTCCTGGCGGTGGTGCTGGCGACGGCGGCAGAAGACTCAGCAGCAGTAGGAGGAGGAGGAGGAGGAAGATGGAGGAGGCGAGGGTCGATGAGGTCTTCGGGCACGGCTGTGGCGGGGCCGGCCCGGACGACCGCGAGGTTATCGTCGCTATTACTACTACTATTTTTGGCGGTAGTAGTATAGCGGTGGCGGCGATTTCGGCAGCAGCAGGAGAGGGCCGCACGTCGCGGGTGGCGTAGAACCTATATACCCCAGGTTAGTTTATCTCTTCATGTTGCTCCGTCACGCTGAGGAACTCTTCGCAAAAAAGCTGAGGTCCTGGAGGAATTCAAAGGGAGTGACTTACGCCCACTGGTCACAATCCGGCGGCTGCGGGTAGTGGCATTGCCTCTCCTATAAGGCAAAATTCACGTCAGTTGTCTTGTTCCTTTCTGTGATTATACGAAGGCGATCGACTTACGTGGTTGAGCTCCTCTTGGGAGAATCGGTCGGTCATCTTGGCGTTGGTTGGAGCTGGAGCTGGCTCTGTTCCGGGGCTGCCTCTGCAGCCAAGGTACCGGTGCTGGTCATGCCGGGCGTGGTGGTTCAAGCAAGGGAAAGTGATGATATGAGATCCCCAGCCCAAGTCAAATGTGATCAAAACCTCTTGTACCTCCCAACAATCGAGGAAGCACAGGACGGTCAGCAGGGCCGTGGCCGTGCGGGCGATGTTGTTCGATGCCATTGTGAGACGAGCTTCTCGTTGGCTGTCAGCGCTGCAAAACGGTGATGGTGATGGCCGTAGAATTCGTCGAGGATGAACCGTATGCTTAGACTGACCCAGTGAGCTGCCTAGATTTGGCATGCACACTCATTGATCTGAACGCCAGTACTCAGAGAGTACGTCGAGGGCGAGGGCGAGGCTGGTGAAAGGTGTAGTAACGCTGCTTGAAGAAGACCTCCTGGGATGATTGTCCGGATTCGGGAGATAGTCGTCCTCGTCTCCGCGCTCGAGGCTGTTCTCCAGCTGCTCGTCTAACGGCGCCTCTCCTCCACCCCAATGGCGCTAAGGCCCGGGATGGGAGGCTCTCATCGCAGCTCATGATCAGGAGCCGTGCTGTGGGCCGCCCACAGTGCCAGCCATCTCCGCCTTAGCCTCTGTCAACAGCGGCCTGATGGGAAAGGGGTGTTCGTAAGGGTTGAACGCCTCTGCGTTCGGGTCGCCCATCGCGAAGAGGACGGTTCTGGTTCCGCCCATGCTGGCCGGAGAATGCTGATCCGTGGCCGTCTCGGTGTTCTTCATGCCGGACGCATCCCTCTGGATGGGATCCATGGCTGAGTGGAGTTGTCTACAAGTCCTCTTGCAACAGACGCTGTCAGAAGGCGAAGTCCTCCTCACCCCAGATCTTTTTCGCTGCCATTGTCGTATTGCCGTGCCAAGGGAGATGATAATGGAATCGATGCGAGAGGTATCATCCTCTGATGATGTATGTGCTGAAGAATTGTGACTGGATCGTTCAGACTGTCGATGACGACCGAAGAAAGTATCCATGGAGCACAACTGCCGTCAGCGGTGGTGTCTGCGCTGCTGCTCTCGTCGCGGCGGGTGCTGCCATCGAGTGTTTCGAAGACCGTCACTCATGCGCCATGGCCTTGTGTTGCAGATGGAGTCGAGTGGTGCTTGTTGAACGGGGCTGATCTTGAAGAGAAGAACCACAGGCTGAGGAGAAAGTCCGCGATGAGAGAGTCAGATCTCATTCAAGAGAGGAGGACTCTGAGTGAAGTAAGAGGACTGATGAGAAGTGTTGTGTTGGAAGAGATAATCGAGGGGAAGGTTGAAGGTTTGAGCAAGAGAGAGGAGGGTATTTATATTTGTGAGATGTGTGAGATTTGAGAATGGATTGAGGGAAAGATTGAGGAAGATGGGAAGAGGGAGGGAGGGTTTAAATAGTTTAGAGATCTAAGAATTTGTCTGCAGACGTCTACTGAGATAGTTCGTCCCAAGTGTTGACAGGCAGTTCGATGGTTCCGCCAATAATGTGTGGTCTTCTGGTGATGTTTTCATAGTCTTCTTTGAGTTGTGTCCAATTGGAGCACTTCATCGCATATATGCGATGAATTATCAGTCGGTTGCGCCAGTGGCATGTGAGTTATAATGACACTTTCAATGTCCCGATGCTACTATTGGCGCGGCCGGCTGATGGTTCGTCCGGTGTATAGACAACGTGTTCTAATTGGGCTCAACTCAAAGCAGTCTTTGAAAGGTATTTGGACACCGGACGAATTTTCACTGCAGATGTTCCGGGGGCAAATTTTTTCGTATGCCTAGACCCTCTAGTTGCTACAGAACCATACTTCACGTGTCGTATGAAGCTCGGACGAATTCCCGGTGGAGTTGATCACTGTGCCGAACCTGAGGAGCTTCCTAGCATTCTAGAACCTTCGGGCAAGCTCGCCTGTATTCCTTGTGTATTGCAGGCACGTACGGAGGGCCTTGCTTGAATTTGGGGGCATTCAGAAGCTGACTATGGAAAGGGCTGGGTTCATAGATCGTGGCGCATAAGGAGAGCTATTCTGTGTGAAAATTCCTGCTTTGATGTGCTGTTCCAGGGGAGTTTCTTTTGCCGTGATCAGCCCCGAACCTCTGCACAACTTTGGTGATGTCCCTCCCTGTGTAGCCTGTGAATGATTTGGGGCTGTGCTATGTTGGCAAACATGACCTGGATTGTGAGCTCTTCCTTTCTGGAGCTCTTACAACAGGCGGTCGCGAGGTGAGAATATGAACCAGCAACTTGCTCGCAGCACAAAGAGGCGGTGTCCCTAGTCTGTTTGGGAGACCTCGACATCCAGAAGGATGACACGCAGAAGTCAAGTTTCTTCTGGAGCCAATCACTGACAAGCTCAAAAACAGCCAGGTAAGTACCAGGCATTGACTGAGGGAACCTAAGCCACTGTTCGTGGCACGAAACCCATAAGCTGACGAGGTTTGTGGCGTGGCCCTGGCTCGCGTCCGGTCGGACAGTCGGCTTAGGGCGGCCGCCGAGCTGAGTGAACCAACCTGCAAATGCTAAGCAATCTGACTTCTGACAGTCAAAGCCAACGTTAGAGTGTATTAGAGGCTATGGAATCCAGTTGGTTCTCATTGGGCTGTACTCGAGGTTTGAGAGGCTGTGCAGCTCACGTCTGCACCCTGTTGGTGATGTGGTGGAAATTGCCGGGCACATGTTGGTGATAGCGCCATGGGTGGGCGTACCTCAGCACTGGGTACTCTAGCGCTGATCAGCTGGCATGTTTACCTGTGAGTCCTCACGAGATTAAATACCAGGCCATTTCCGTCCTCCAAAATGGTGAAAGAACACTCCCAATCTCATTTCTGTTTGTTCGACTGCCAACTTCCTTTCGCTCGCTTTCTCGTCATTGTGTACCGTCGCTAGCGCCATTAGAAGTCAATATGTTTTCCAAATCTCTGATCACTCTCTCCAGCCTGTTGGCAGCCGCATCAGGTAGGTGCTACAGAATCACCACGAAACAGGACTGGAAGGAGCTGCCCAGCTAACAGAAAGCCTACTACAGCCATCACCATCACGGAGCCCCAGCAGGGCGCCAAGCTCGACTTCAGCGGCAGCAACACCATCTCCTGGACCTCGTGGACACCGACCCCGTCTCCTTCGAGATCGTCCTCGTGTCGCCAAACAACTCCACGATCGCTCAGTCTGTCATCACAGACTCCGTCAACACGGCGGAGAACAAGTACACCTTCTCGAACTTCGTCGCCCCCGTTGGCGATAACTACCAGTTCAACTTCATCGGCAACGTCGGCACGAACAATGGCATCATCAGTCAGTCTCAGTCGTTCGCTGTGACCAAATCTGGGGTTGCATCCACTACTACATCTGCAGCTGGCTCAACTGCCACTGGCACTGGGGCCGCAGCAAGTGCTTCCTCTTCTGATACCAGCTCAGCGAGCGCTTTTGGCGTGACCTTCGGCATTGCTGGGCCCGTTGTCGTTGCCCTCAGCATGCTGCTGTAGACACAATTCTGTTTTGGAATGGGGAAAGCATAGAGACAGACTTTCGTTTGTAATGAGCTGCAATTTAATACAAAACATCGATTGTAAACAAGACTAATCTCAAGGACTCCATCATGTGCGGTTTGTACTTTGCCACTTTGCACGTCATGCCCATTCTTCAGCCTCACGCATGCCCTAATAGTGGCGGTGAGAGGAATGCTATCTCTGTCCAACTCGTCAAGGCTTCATGTAGTTCTGATTTTGCAGGATCATTTGTAGATATGTACATTGATGCTGCCGAACACTTTCGGCGCTTCTTCTCTCCAACCCGAGGGCAACGTACTTAAGAAGCGCAAAATGGACTGCCATCGGTTAGAAAGCAGGATTTGGCCCACATGCATCCGAATTTACAGGATTGTATCAGCATCCAACAGACACCACATGAGCACGTCATCATGACTAAATCCTTGCTTTGAAGCCGACAAATAAAGTCGTAGTAAGTTGATGTAATCAGGCCGATCATCTCAAGGCACATATTTGAACAAGAACGTCTGGACAGCTTGCCAAGCACGTTTTAGTTCATAGTCATCTTCCACCGCTGAGTGAAGAGTCAGAAAGCAGAGACGCATGGGTGAGTCAAGTCACCAACTGAGCGATCTAGAACAAATCTAACGGCAAATCGACCTAGAGAAAACTCACGACTTGCAAAATGAGCGGTGATTCCTATCCAGTCATCCATACCGTTGGTTCCGTCGACGGACCCGACCAAGCGAATCTCAGTGGCGAGAAGCCTGGGTCCACGGATAGTATCCCGCCCAGAGTGCCGGACAGCAAGATGGACAAACCCGGAAATAGAAGGGAAGAGCCACTTGGCAACACAGCCGCAGGACCTGAGATGCAACACGGCGCTACCAGCACTCCTACTTCGAGTGAGCCCGGGGTGATCGGGGAGATCCGGACGGTTGGTAGTGCGGATCCGGGCGGTGGAGATGCTGGGGCGAGCAGCGGAAGAATCTAAGCACGACCAGTAACGAATATGAAGAAGCATTTCAAATGTCTTCTCCTTAAATTCAAATTATAAGTCGAATGTAGCGTTGAAATTAGCGATCTTGGGCTTGACTGTTGTGTCACGCCGAGTTACACCAGCCCGGACCTTAAGCAATGTTCTTACGTGGCAAGCACCGTCATCTTCAGCCACAGGACCATAGAAACCATCTTGTTCGTATCTCACTGGTGCCTATTGGGGTTACCAGGTACCACCACAGGCACGGATTTCTCCCAGTCGCTGAACCACGTTCTGCCTTCCCACACATCCTCAACCGGCCTCCTACTTGCAGAGATTTCTGCAGCTACCTCCTCGTTTTTCTTCCAAACCCTGTACATGGCACTCTTGTTAGCAAATGAATCAGGGATTGCAGAATTGTAGCTCCGTCAGACTCACCTCAGGATGTTCTCGCCCACCAACTTCCTGATCTGCTCATCCGTAGCACCCCTCCTCATCACAGCCTGGATGAGAGCAGGGTAGTCAGCCACAGAATTAACACCATCCGCGACACCCGTGAGCCCGACCCCGTCAAAATCACCCCCGATGCCGACGTGATCCCAGCCAGCAACCTCATCAACGTGCATGATGTGATCGACCACCGTCTCGATGTTCGCCGCCCCAGGGTTCTCCTTGTCCAGGAACTGCCGCACAAACATGACCATCAGAACGCCCCCATTCTCCCTCAGCCTTGCCAGCACGTCGTCCGGCGCGCTACGGTAGACCTTAGCCAGCTCGTAGCACGTGCTATGGCTAAGAATAACCGGCGCCTCCGTGACGTCCAGCACATCCCGCATCGTCCGGTGCGACACGTGCGCCAGGTCCACCATCACACCCAACCGGTTCATCTCCGCAACAGCCGCGCGGCCAAACGCGCTCAGCCCGGCATCCTCGCCCGTGGCGGTGACCGTCGACGCCGCAGTGGCAAACGGGTTGTCGCAGTTGTGCGTGAGCGTGACGTACCGCACGCCGAGGCCGTGCAGCTGCCGGAGCACGGCGATCGACGCCCCCGCCTGGTGCAGGCCCTCTGCGCCGAGCATGGGAGGGGATCCGGCCGCTGCGGAAGGCGGGCAGGACGCACGACGAGGTGTCGCAGAACCCGAGCTCGGGCGTCGACGACGCGATGAGGCGCCGGGCGACGTCGATTTGTTCCAGCGTGTCACGGACGGCGTGGGTTGGGTCGTTGGGGTGCGCGAGCTTGGACTTGTCGCACTCGACGAAGACGGACCAGGACTGGCCGCCCAGCAGGCCCTACTTCATGCGTGCCAGGTCCGTGTGACTGGCTAGGCCTGTGAGGTTATGTGTTAGTGCGTGAGAAATATGGGAGGGAGTCAGGTTGATGGGCACGTCACTCGCTCTCCCGGAAGGGGAAGGACTTGTTATCGTAGATCTGGTTGTGCAGCTCCAACCTGAGGAGAAATGGAAGATCGTTGTGGCCATCGATCAAGGGCGTCGTCCGTAACACCATCTCCGTCCTTGCTGCGTAGTCATCCTGGCTGATCTGCGCAGTTGCGTTTTGGCTGTATGCAAAGAAGGCTGCCAGGCCGACGGCAGCCAGGCACACGAGACCTGGGACGGTCCAGCTACGGGGCTTTGCCGGTGTCTCTCCCTTGTTGCTGGTGTCACCCATCATTGATGACTTTGAAGTGGTCCTACAGCTGGAGGAACAGCGCGCACCTCGCAACAGATTATTGAAGCTACCCTTAATTCCGCCTGCTAGAGGATGTGGTCGGGTCATGCTAGTTTTACGGCCCGCAGAGTCTGTCCTGCCAGCAGCAAACGGGCCCGTCATCGGGGAGTCTTGGCCCGGAGTCTGCAGTGGTAGGACCCCGAGCTTCGTCTATGCCTATCTTTCGCTGCCACCTACTGTCAGTCCACGGGAGTGGAAGCATCAATCATTCGTACTAAAAAGCCCTTCTGCCTCTTACTACAGCTATGCCTTCTCAATAGACAGTCTCAGGTAACCTTTGATCGAGCCTTCGGCCGCGCCTCTCGTGATATCAGATTTCGTGGCTGAATCACGCAATCGATCCTATTCTTGAGACCTCACCGGTGTCAAATACACATTGAGCGGCAGCTTTGTCCACAAGAAGAAGACCTTCTGGTTGAACCAATCGATCTCAGGATCCACCAACTCAATGTCAAAGTTGAACAGCAGACGAGCCAGTATCGTCCGCATCTCGGCATAGGCCAAACTACCCAGGAATCAGCAACCACCCTCACAGACACACGTCAAGCTGGGGAACGGCAGGAACGAAACTCACTTCTTTCCGACACAGTCTCTCGGACCCAGACTGAAGGGCTGCACCGCGTCCAGCTTGTCCCCCGGGAACTCCTCCGGCGCGAGGAACCGCTCCGGCTTGAAGTCAAACGGGTCGCTGAAGTTGCGCTCTGTGTGGTTCATCAGCCACTGCGCCACACCTACGACGGTTCCCTCGGGCACAAAGTGGCCGGCGATGTTTGCGCCGCCCCTTGGGACGACTCGAGGTAATGGGCCCGCTACCGGCGGGTAGCGACGGAGGGCCTCGCGGAGGCAGGCAAGCACTATGAAAACAGGTGTCAGTGAGCGATGATGCGATGGGTCATGATGGGTGTTTTCGAGGGGTTGGCGAGTAAGGTCGCCATGTGTTGGTCACGATGTTGTGTGCGGGAACAGGATCGGTGGGAACGTACTGTAAGGAAGCTGCTGAACGGACGAAAACGTGATTTCGTGTTCCGATTGGAACGCAGAGCGGATCTCCTCCGTGACCCTGCGCAAGCACCGTGGGTTCCTGAGAAGGAGGTAAGTGGCGCCAGAGAGGAGGGTCGCCGTTGTCTCCGACCCCGCGATGACAAGCAGCCCCGCGTTGGCCCGTAGGCGGTCGAACGGCATGTTCCAGTCCTCCTGCTTACGGAGCAGGCTCCCGATGAGGTCCGGCCGCTCGACGTTGAGGCCCATCCTCCTCCTGAGCATCTCGGCCGTGTTCCTCTGGTGCGCCCTGCGGAACCTCGAGTTGCGCCCGACGAAAGATGAGAGCACCGACCCCAGGCCCAGCAACTTTAGTGCCGTCCCGATCGCCTGCCTTGCTAGTCCTCGCTCCATAAGCCTGACCAGCTCGCTCTCCTTACCGTTCTCGAGGCTGCCGAAGGGCTCACCGAATGCCATATCGCCGATGACGTCAAAAGTCGTGTAATTGTACCACCTGCGGAGGTCGAACGCCGTTTTGGAGCGTGTCAGTTTGTCCTTCTCATTCGACATTTCAGGAGCAGGAATGCATCGTTCGCGAAGCCGTTGGATCAGAAGATCAACGTATCCCTTCACAATTGGCTCCTGGTCCCGGAGAATCTTGTCGCTGAAGCCGTGATTGAGCTGTCGCCGGATGAGAGCATGGTTATCACGAGACTCCCCCAACAGGGAGGGTGTGACACCTGGTGTCTGGTAGAAGATTTCAAACTTTTCAAATTCCTCCCCCTTGACGAGTGCCCCGTTGTGATGCGAGTAGATATCCTTCCAGGCATCCGGGTCAGTAAACAATAACTCGCCGGGCCTGATGCGGACGACGGGGCCGTATTTCACCACGACGGGGAGGAGTTCCGTGGTCCATTTGCCCCGCAGCATGGATATCACGTTTGGGAGGCCGGAGGCACGGTTCGCGAGGGGACCGGGGAAGTGCCGAAGCGGATGCAGGAAGACGTTGTAGAAGCATCGCAGAACATTGAATACCAGCAGCTGGAGGGTGCCACAGCGCGATTGTCAGTCTGGGCAGGATGAATAGTAGACAGGAGAGTGGCACTACGTACCGCTGCCAACGCCCAGATTGTTGCGCCTGTCGCGTGTGTGGATATTCTATCCATTTTGATGAAATACTGGCAGTCAGACCTGTGATCTGGAGTGGAGCTCGGCGAGTAGAGTTGTCGACAAGAGATGAAGTTGCAGTCCAGTGCCCAGCCCTGCAGATGATGCGTCGTTGTGAGATGCCTTCTGTAAACCCCTACGTTGCTTCGCGGCACACGGCTCTCTTTCTCTCCTCGTTGCGCCCAGCTGCTGTCGATGAGCTGTCAAGAAGACTGCAAAACGTCCCCTCGCCGTGGCCAACATGGACATGAATGCCAAGCTTTTATTAAGAGGATGGTGTTTGGCGCAGGCGAACGGAGGAATGGAGTTCCCGAAATCCAGATGATGCACCCCAATTCCAAAACCGTAGTTGCTGCAGTGAAACGCTGTCCAGTGGGGGATTCGTCGTCAAGCTCGCCACAGCCCGTCGGCGCCGCGTTCGGCAGAGGGGAAATGGTAGCGTTCGGCAGCGAGACGGCCGCTAGCCGTTGGAGTGGCTTTGCATTAAGAAAACACACGCGGCACGGAACGAGAAACAAGATTGCATTCGCATGTGGGATCAACCAACTGCAGCAGGATGAGCAGCCCCTTGCGTGGCCCAGCGGGCTTCGGTGTTTGGTCAAAATGTCCGTCTGTGAACCTGTGCCTGCTGTCACATTCATAATGCAATGATCTTAGCGGCGACCCGTAGGTAAGGCACAGCACCTTCCCAACATTGACAGCTCATTTCTGGGAACATGATGGGTCTTGAGCAGTTCCACTCTTTCTGCGCTGGGGGGAAGCCGTCCACGTGCAGTGGCAACCACAACAGTTTTGGGACTCAAAAGGAAGGTGCTTGATCGGATGAGTACTAAGAGTCCTGCTTGACTAGGGTCAAAAAACTTTGGAATGCCCGAAGCACATCGGTCGGAAGCGTGGTAGAGTGCTAGTCTTTGGGTCACGCCACGCAGTCAGTTTCTACATCTGCAGTGGCAGAGTTCCGACCACCAAATAGTTCCTGTGCTAAGCTCAATCTGCCTGCCTCTTATAACTCAGTGACTAAGTACCCCTTCCGCCTCAAGGAGATCTGAACCTTGCTGCACAATTTGTGAGCGTGATCAACGGAAAATTCCAATGGCCCGCAGACACCAGTACAAGGTATTGATCAAGATGCTGATAGGAGCAAAAATGAGCAGCGGAATGATAGTGTATGTGAAGAAGAAAACACCACCACCGGTCCTTCTCACCAGCTTTCCCAGCTCGCCATCCTCCCTCATCAATCCGGCCGCCTCCCGGGCAGTTTCGTCGGTGGCCCACGGACCCACAAGGCGGAATTTAGATGGGAAGTTCGGACCCATAGCCCACGTGAAGAAGACCTCTTTTCCAAAGTCCCTCAGCACGTGTGTCCAGGTAGGTGCGGACCCCATGTCGAGCGCCAGCTGGTAGACGTAGCTCTCCTGGTCGACGCCGCGCTTCGTGGCGGCGAAGTCGTGGTCCTTGTCGCGGCTCTTGAGCTTGTAGTCCATCTCGTATCCCTCCACGGCATTGTGGGAGCGGCGGGGAGGTTTGAAGCCGGGCGAGAAGTACGGCTGGAACTTGGGGCTGGTGATGAGGTGGTACACCCAGTGCTGGGCTTGAAGCTCTGCGACGGGCGGGATGGCCCCTGGGAAAGGATGAGGTCAGTACTCACTAGAGTGAGATTCTTGTGAGAAAACGGAATGCTTACCAAAAGCCGGTCTTATGAACCCGATGTACGCGACGCCATCTTCGATGTTCCGGAAGATGCCCCTGGTCACAGAGGCATCCAGCGACGGGTAGACGTCTCCCTTGGGAACGAAAGGGAACGACTGCTTATACCCAGTCGCAAAAATGACAACATCAGGCCGTATACCCTTCTCCTTCCTCATAACCCCCGACTCGGGCCTATCATTCTCCTCAAAATGAACCACCCCCTCCTCATCAACATGAGTCGGCCACGGCGCCAGGTCAATTTTCCTCCCGCCAGTCGGCCTCAGCTCCACATTGATAAGCCATGTCCGCCACCGGTTCAGCCTCGACTGGCTCCGGTACTGCTCCGAGATGTAAGGCAGCGCCCGGTCGCTCTTGCAGATGAGCAGCGAATCGGTGTGCAGCCGCCTCGGGCTCACGCCGCCGGCCCACTGGTCGAACCCGGCGCGCGTGCCCGAGATCGCCCACGCCATGTTCGTCACGAAGGCGTCGTAGACGGCCCACAGCCAGGGTCCACGCTGTACTATGGGCGGGACGTATGCCGTGTCGAACAGGGACGCCGTCGCGCAGTCGAGCGGCTTGTTCGGGTTGTTTGGGTCGGGCCCGCCGCTTCGCCCACCTGCGCGAAAGGGGTCCGGCACGATCTTGGGCGAGGAGATGAAGCCGTCGCGGTGGCAGAGGATGACGCGCCTGGTCTGGGATGTGATGGCCAGGTGGGCGATGTCCATGGCTGTCTCGCCGACGCCTAGGATCAGCACAGTCTTGTCTTCGCCGAATTGGGAGCGGGACTTGAAGTCGGCGGCGTGGAGGAGTTCGATACCGGGGTGAATAGATGCGCCTGACTTTTGATCTGAGCTCCGGCGATCTCCATTCTTGTGGACTGTGGGCAGTGGTGTGTTGAGTCCCGGAATGGCTGGTCTGAAAGGATCTTGGTTCAAGCCGCTGCAGATGGCGATGGCGTGGTATCGGCGCTCTACGACCTGGCCTTGATTATCTCGTATGGTGAGAATGTGATGAGATGGGTTTGCCGGGTCCGGTGTGATGGACTTGACCTCGGTCGAAAGATGGATACGATCCCAGAGGTTGAACCTCGTCGCATAGTCTTTCAGGTATCCGACGTATCTTTTCGGTGTCAGAAAATCTTTCTCGCCTTCTGGGACCCGAAAGTCGGAGAATGCTGTGAGATATTTCGAAGAAACAAGCTTCAAAGCCATGTTAGCTCTGGCGAATGAGAGGCATGAATATGGCACAGGCTTACCTCGGCGTCCTCATAAACTCCATAACTGAAGACGCCGCCGACATCTCCCTCCTTCTCAAACAGATGTGCCTCGATTTCCACGCCTGGAAAGAACTTGTGCGCTTCTAAGAGATATTTCAGAGTCACGAGGCCGGATGGCCCGCCTCCGATAACGGCGACGTTCAATACCATTACGAATATGATAGCAGACCTTGAGAACAATGGAGAAGAGCTTAGATGGACAAGTGTGCAGAAAAAGTGCCGAATGCTGTGCTGTATCCGAGCTCGCCGTCTGTGGTGCGTAGGATCACGGGTTGTGTCTGAGACACAGGGCGTTCCCTCCGCTTCCTGGGAAATTGTGGCAAGATCCAAAGCTGTTGGACTCCAATGGCAGTTGTTGGAGGGTTTGCACTATTTGTCCTGTCACCAAGCTTGTCCGTGTGGTTCCTCGGGAAAGTTTGACACGAATGGGGAGGCTCTGCTAGAGGGCCTGGTCTGTCATGCCTCAGAACGGTGCAACTTGAAGGGAAGAAAGAAGCAAAAGTGATACCTGAGCTACTACTCACACCTTTTCCTTGTGAACGAAAGAGATCAATTTAGGGTGCATAAAATTGGATCTGCTGAGATTTTGGTACAGGATTTAAAGTTAAGTCCGTAGGCTGACTACAGAGCAGATAGATTTGCGAAAGACATAATCACGATAGGTCATCCTATTGAATAATGTGCCTATTAAGTGCCTTTTCACTCTGGGCCAAGACTGCAAATCTGAAAGAAGACGTTAGCTGCTGAGCTTAAGCCTGTACGCTTATACTAGATTCTGTCACTTAGGCTACATTGAAGCCTCCTCGGCGGCCAAGGGGCTGTGACAAACACCACAACTCACCACCATTCCTCCGGGGAAGTGAAGGTGATGCTTCCAGGGCAATTGGAGCTCACATGTGGGCCGGAGGCTCCCAGCTACCCTTATATGGCATAACTCCATATGTATGTCATCAAATAGCCTGATCTTGGCAGCATGCTTTTGTCCCCTCCCATACCATTGCTGCCCACATTGCTGCCTGCCGATAGAGAACGTCAAGTCACCTGATCTCAGCTGTTTCCACCTCCTAGCTATGTTGGGAGCTAGCTTTGATCGCAAAGGAGAGGGGATCTCTGTTCTGGATCTATGCAGACCACTGCTCCAAATCTACACATATACAGGCAATTGACAGCAGGCATTTTCCGATTGCACCCAAATTTGAGGCAAAAAAAGCAGTATTAAGCCAAGAGACGATGCGATCATCTATTTGAATTTTAGCACACACCGGGCATAGTACATCTGCATTCACCAGATGTGGTGGGACAAACAGCCTGTGTTCAAAAGACGCCGTTTCCCCACCCCACTGTTGTCTGACGTGTCAGCGTGTCTTTGGACATCCTGAATTTTCTTTGTTTTCCCGACGGCCCCATCTTATATCTTTTCTCGGTTTTATCCAACGCTTCGTTCCAGTGAACATTGGTCATATTATCTGTGAGACATCAGACAATTTTACAGCAACGTCCTCCACCAGGCCTCGCCTCCCTCATTTCTCTGTCAGTCCAGTAATAGCATGAGTTCTTCAACCTCTGAATTCCCTCCTGTCGTGAAATTGTGCTCCAACTGTCAGAAGGCACAATTCCGAGACGATGGTTCAGAGCTCTTCCAGGACGGGTTGAGTCTGGAATTCGACAAAGGGCAGGTGCCTCTGCACAGACGCTGTCGCTCTTGGGGTATCATTCCCACAGAATTCGAATTCGTGGACTTGTTTCCAGAGCTGCCCAGGCTCGTGAAATCAGGTCGGGATGGGTGCGACTTCTGCTGTTTTCTGCATAAAGCAATTACATTCGCAGCCTCGGAGCGGGAAAAGCTCAGCACGTCCACGCACGCACGGGTCACCCTTGTGACCATATCATATGTGTGGGGACCTGCTCAAGAAGAAAGCATTTCGAGTGGCGACAGTGTCTCAAGTGGCGCAAGTCTTTCAAGTAACGAGCCTTTCTCCGAGTGGCCCATTGGGCTCAATGCGATGCGGATCAATCTCGAGATATCGTCTGATGACATCAATTCTGAGTGTTTCTTCACCTTAGACTGCGGTATTCAATCTTTGCGTGGTGATTATTCACGCGTCTGGCTCAGCATGCATGCACTTAACGACTTGCATTTGCTAATTACTAACACTCGACTATAAAGATTCGGATGTAATTTCAAAATGGCTGAGATTGGACGGCCTCGCCTCTCCGTCATATTGCGATGCAGACACTATCTGTTGGATGAATCGAAGGCTTGAGTCATGCCAGGAAGAGCATGACCATGCCGTATTTGATGAGACATTCATTCCTCAGAGACTCATTGATGTTAGCAGCGAAACTCCCCGCCTCACATTGCGAAAAGACATTTTGCAATCAGGTTGCAGCTCTGACTTCAAATATTCCGCTCTAAGCTACTGCTGGGGTTCAGGGGAGAGCCAGGCCAAGACAACTGTCGCTACACTAAATGATCGACAGGCAAGTATCAATGAGGCCGAAATACCTGCAGTGCCCCGAGATGCCATTCGAGTCACCCGGGCCCTGAGTATCTCTTTCCTGTGGGTAGACGCACTTTGCATTCTGCAGGACGACATATCCGACTGGGAGCAACAGTGTGCTGAAATGCACACCATTTACGGCTCTGCCCACGTCACCCTCTGTATCGCAAATACTCGCTCATGTAGTGAAGGCTTTTTGCAAAAAACGAGTCGGCTCCCCTTTCAGTCACTCCGAGAGCCCGATATAGCAAGCTCTTTTATGGTTCAATACATCAATCTCGTGCCGGGTTACCGAAACCAAAAACGGCCTCCCATCTTTCATTCTTTTCGACTTCTGCTCAGTGACGTTGGCGAGAGTCGATGGCAGGAAAGGGGCTGGGTTTTTCAAGAAGACAAATTGTCCACTCGAAAACTGATATTCGGGCGGTGCAATCTTTACTTTGTGTGTGACGACTTTCAGCATGCGCGCGGAAAGGCCTACCCATCAGATCAGTATGCACCCCTTGTCGGCAAGGTTCTTGCCAGGAAGGACTCGAATTCTACATATGACGATTGGGACAGCAATATACTTGCTGCTTACAGCGAGTACGATGCCAGCACCTTCAGCTACGCTGTAGACTTGTTACCAGCCCTTTCAGGTCTCGCCAGACTTTTCGGGAACCGGCTCAAGGATTTCTATTATGCAGGACACTGGGGACGAGACCTATACCGAAGCCTTGCATGGGAGTGTCCCATAGGATACAGTGAGCCTGTGCAACCCACTGGGATTATAATCCCGTCGTGGAGTATGTTAGCCAAGGGGCACACATCGTCTTATGCCTGGCACCGTTATAGAATTGAGCGAGATTTTCGCTCGGAGATCAATGTTCCCAAAGCGAGGGCCGTAACGGTTGGCGACAATCCGTTCGGTGCACTGAAAGAGTGCCGTCTTTGGATACGAGGCTACACGCTTGACATGAGCCGCAGAGAATTACAGGTCTCAGCACAGCCGAAGTTGACAAGTCTTTGGGGCCAATGGCATCTGCTAGTACATGGATGCTGTTTTGGGCATTTTTTATTCGACTGGCAAACCAGACACGATGATTTTCGGAAGACCTGTCCATCCAGAGACGACGTCAGAGCTCTTAAATTACTTCTCCTTGGCAGCTTCGAAGACTACATCTCCAAAGGAGTACCCGGGGTTGAAGGCAGCGAAAGATTCCGCATCCACAACGACCAAGACTCAGCTCCGAAGGAGGAGAGCGGTGATGAAAATCTGGATCATGGTGAAGAGAGCTGTGAGGAACGCTGGAGTCAAGCGCAGACAAGCGATCAGGAGACGTCAACAATTGGTAATGATGACAGTGGACATCGTCAATTCCAAGTAACTATTAGGCGAGGATATGGTCTCATTATCTCTCCCACTGGAAACGACGGCGAGTTCCGCCGTGTGGGTGCTATCTTTCCAGGATCGAGCTCACTTCAATGTGGGCTTCGTGACGATAGCGACCTCAAGGCACTACAGAGCCTTGCACAGATCGAGACTGTCCAGTTAGTATAGCACAACCCTGCAGTCTTCAATATTCTTTTTCTGCTACAAGAGTTTCCGCAGTAAGGAACTTTATTGCATCGAGAATTAAGTACGAGGTGACCGATAACATTGCTGTTTTGGAAGATAAGGTCGGTGAGACCAATTTTAATAAGCCCCTGGGGTGAAGTTAATCAGGAGCACTCCTTATTTTTTCAAAACACACTTTCAAGAGATGCTTCCACACTCGAAATAACAAGTTGAAGCACTCCTGTGCTACCGAACGCACTCATCTTCCTGCAGGTTCACTCGATTTTGGACCGAGTCTAATCACCTGCCAGAACATAGTCTTGCCCCGTTCACTGGTATGCGCAAACACATATTACAGCTTCGCCTCTTTGTCGTGATTCCAACCGGGCATCTCACTCAGGTCCTTGGCCGGCGCCGCACGCGTCGACTTCCTCGCGTCACCGGAACCGGGCCTCCACCGCCACGCATCGGTGAGGTCCTTTGCCAAGGTCCCCTCGATGAGCTCCACAACGTGCTTGCCGATGTTGGGCAGTAATTTGAAGGAGTGTCTAGATGAGGTGTCAGTAATCACAAAAAAAAAACCCCCCCCCAGGCGGCTGGCTGGAGTAGAACTGACCCGCTGTCTCCCGTCGCCAGGATAAAGTTCTTCCACCGCGGGTGCTCGCAGATGAGCAGCGACGAGTCCGCAGTATCGGTGCACCAGCACATTGACCGGTTAAAGAGTTCCTTCTGTGTGAAGCGTGGCAGGTATGTTGCTATAGCCTTGCGGATGGTGGTCTCGGAAGCGTTGGGATAGGTGTCGGTGGGGTGCTTGGCATGTGAACGAGGCACTGATACTGGCTTTGGCTTGTCCGCGCCGTATGGTTGGTGTTGCTTGTACCGCGTGAAGCCGGGAAACTCGTCGCAGACCTTGATGACGCCGTGCTCGTTTGGTTCGAAGAAGAAACCGACGTCGCCGTGGTAGACTACGGGGATGCCCTTGTACTCGGCGGCTTCTTGGGGCGTCAATTGCATGTGAGCATACACCCAAGCCTTCCTCCCAATGTCAGTATTAAGCGGGACATGCTGTTTCCAGTTGCTTACCTTTGAGCAGCACTGTTCCTCAAGGTCTACCAATGTCGGACTCCACGCTCCTGCAGCGAGGACGACCTTGTCTGCGTAATACTTTGTGCCATCCTCTGTCTCGACTCCGATACACGTTGTACCGTCATTATCGAAGAGCGGACGTTTGAAGGAGCCGGCACTATATCAGGATGCAAAGATTAGCGAGCTATGACCCCAGTGGTGCAGTGTCTTCTTACCCTCCGAACCCAAAATTTATGCCCTGTTTCTGACAAAACTCCCCAATTGCGTTGATTGCTTTTGCTGCAGCAAGCCAGCCTCCGTCTTGGCTATAGATTGCATTCCAGCCCTGATCCATTGGTCAGCAATTAGGCACGGCGTTGACACTCAATGAGTCTCAAGTTAGCTTGGACATCATTTGTCTCACCTTGATATTTCCCCTGGGCAGAAGTGGTACCTTGGCTAGGATCTTGTCTTCACTGTCAAGCCATTCGTGTGTGTCCCCAACTCCTGCGTCAATCAGAGTTTGATATTCCCGCCGCAAGCCAGCGATCCCTTTCTCCGACACCTCACAGTCCAACTATGGAATTTTGAGAGGTTAGTCTGTGCCTTGAGTACGGGACATTTGGACACACTCTTAGCATACCCTGCCCGTGTTGTGGAAGAATGGCTTGAACAGCTCATCATTCCTCCACATGTCCCGCGCCTCCAGACTCAGTCGCAAAGTGGCCTTGTCTCGCACCCGGATGCCCATGATCTTGTTGAGGTCATTTCCGGCAGACTGTGCAGAAGGGAAATGATAGGTGTCAAGAACAGTGATATTCGACGGTGTGTATCCAGATCGAAGGAGGTGCAGGGCCGTCGAGGACCCGATCGTCCCGCCACCTCCGACGACAACGACTGTCGTGGTTTTCCGGGAGTTCGCCATAGTATACAAAGCCGTCCTGGGTCACTCGCCTTCCCGGGCCGCATCTAATGAGAATTCCTGGGCGAATTTAAATTCCACTACGAGGATCGCGACGTGGGCGCACTCACGTGTTTGGTGGATCGGCAATGTCGACATGGATGCCCCCTGGCACCCGGCTCGACCAATCGCTTCGACCTTCCTCGTGTCCAACTCCGCCATGCGTGGGTTAACAACCGTCGGCCCGGACCGGAGATATCCCCGCCAAGAATGCAAAAGTACGGGTGCAATCCGACCTATCAACATCAACGACATGTGCGAACTGCCTGCAATTCGCCAGAACGTTGCCGGATCGCTGGGATGCTCTACATAATAGAGTAGATTGTAATAGCCATGACATTGTCGTCCATTTTGAAATCGGAGCTTGACTGTGCAGGATGCGGTCAAGCCGCTTCGCATCCCCGGTCATTCGCGTCTGGACCGCGCACATCACTTTCCAGCCATCACGAATCATGACTCCAGTCGGGGAAATTACCCCATATTGTGTGTTTGGGGAACACACATGGTCTATGATCTCCAGGCCCACAGATAAGCAACACCATCCCAGTCAGGCGCATGAGGAGAAGCTTGTTCGCATGGCTATATGTATCTAGACCCAGCTCCTCGAGAGAGTTTACAAATAGTCGTATGAGCACAGCGCAGTCTCGTCTGACTTCTTTTGTTCTGTCTCTTCCACAACCACAAGCCCCCACCTCAGCATCGTCAGAGACCATCATGAAAGTCGACAGCGTACCCGCTCCCGATGGGGCTGGGGCCACTGGAGAGAAGGCCCCATCCCTAGAGGTCGTGGATAGCACCGCCGATGTGCATCCGGAGTTGGTCGACATGGACGCGTACAGACGGGATGTGCCACTATGGAAGAGGTTCTGGCAACATAGTCTGACGCAGATGATGCTCCTCAGCGTCCAGGCCTTTTGTGGGCCAGCCATGGACGACGCAATTGCTGGTAACTACCCGGTGTATCTTTGTACTGTTTGCACTGAATGCTGACGTTGCTGCAGGCCTCGGTGGTGGTGGTTTGGCCACACCGCAAACGTCTAATACCGCGTATGTGCCCTTCCGAACTATATTGCAAGCCAAGGCGTGTGCTGACAAGCCTCTCCCTCTCATAGCACCGCGATCAACTATACCATGCTGGCCATCGTCTGCGCGTTCGGTGGGCCCCTGGTAAATAAGCTCGGTGTAAAGTGGTCACTGGTTATCGGTGCCGCAACATTCCCCATCCGCGGTGCATCGTACTATGCCAACAGCAAATACGGAAATCAATGGGTAAGTTCAGACAACTGTGATTTGCCGAGGCTAAGTGTCTGGTCTCTGACAATGGTTACACTAGTTCCTTATTCTTGCCAGTTTTCTCAATGGCGCGGGTACTGGTTTCTGGTACGTTGCAGAAGCTGGTTCCATCCTCTCCCTCGCGCCATCAGGGGTAAGAGGCAGGTACTTAGCTCTTTGGATCGTGTCCCGCAACCTCGGGCAGCTTGTTGGCGGTGGAATCAAGTGAGTCTGGAGAAAAGTAACCACAGCCCTCCGATGCGAGCCCCTCTGCTGACAGTATAATTCTCTCAAGCCTAGCAAAGAATCATGTCAAGGGTGTGGAAGGAGGTGTCACCCCCGACACTTACATCGCTTTTGTCATCATCGAGTGTTTGGCGTAAGGACGAATTTCCCATAATAATTACTTCCATCGAATCCATAGCTAATACGGATCTCTCCAGACTACCATTTGCGTTCCTAATATCCCCTCTTGAAAGGGTCGTCAGGTCGGACGGCACCAGGATTGTTGTTTCCGAATCTCTCGGCACCAAACAAGAGTTGAAGCAGATAAGAATAACAGCAACTTCAAAACTGATTCTGTTATCTTGCATCTGGGCATTCTGGTCATTCTTTTATAGGTAAGTCATGTTGTCTCTCAATGACCACAAATCACTTCAACTAATTCATGTTGCAGTGGGACATGGTCTACATATCTGGCCACCTATTTCAGTGTCCGAGCTCGAGCACTCTCATCACTGATATCGCCATTCTTCTGCATGTAAGCATATGATTCTTCGCTCTTCGTTTCGCCTCGCGGTTGGCGTATTGAAAACTATTCATGCTGATATTCAATTCTACAAGTGTGGGCTGCTTTGGACTGGGCTTCATCCTTGACATAAAAGGACTAAGTCAGCGGCGGAGGGCCCAGCTTGGTCTTTACACAGTCGTTCTGCTCAACATGGGCGTCTACATATGGTCTATCGTGATGCAGGTACGATTTGACAAGCACAACCCTGGGGCCATCGATTGGGAGGAGCCGCTCTATCCCTCGGCATTTCTGCCGTACTTTTTCGTGCAGACTACTGGACCACTCTCGCAATCTTACATGTACTGGCTGATCTCCTCATTTGCTACTGATGCACAATGTAAGTCTGGTTCCCTTGGCCGGTGCAATTTGTAACGGAAAGGCTCTGACACGAAGCAAAGCCAATGTGCGCAATGGAGCCGCATTCAGGTGCGTGGAAGCAGTGGGCCAAGCAGTGTCCTATGGCCTGAACACGAACGCGAACTTGAGTACTCTCGTTGGATTGTAAGTCAAACAACTCCCCATAGAACTTCCACGGCTGCTGTATTCTGACAAAATTTGTTCAAGCTGCGTCACTTTTGGCCTTATGGCTGCAGCCCTTGGCCCCATGATTGTCCTCACCAATGATGTCCCGGATCGCATCCCGGCCGACGTGCTCGCCGAGGAGCAGCAAGCTGCGATTGAAGGCAAAAAGGTGGATCCCCATACGCTTCCCAACGTTTAAAACATATTTCGGCATCTATTTTCGCGGTGACGAAGAGTATGAACGGAAACGTGTTGAAGAGGTCGTACAACAGCAAAACAAGCTACAAGAGACCAGAACAGAATTGCGCTCAGACTCAGTCCAGTATATATTCTATGGCAGTCAATAATCATCACGAGTCATCTCCACTATGTGGGCACATTCGTTACCAAGAGTGACGAACATGTCAGGTATGTTCCAACACCGTATCAGCCATCATAGAAATACCACTGCCCTAGAACCTTTTCTTGAAGTTTAATTCAGTTCAACTTGTTAGTTATAAAATCTAAATTAAACCACTAGCTACTTTTGATTTATACGTAGTTCTCAGCAGCTGGTAATATACTAGCTACTGTTGCCAGTAATAGTAATAAGTTTCCATTGATACCATCTTCTCGCTGTCACCCGCCTAGCCTTCAGCAATGACTTGAAAGATCAGAACATTCCTGGACTCACTATGGCTCGGGGACTGTCCGGGTCATTCCATTTGACAGGCCCCGCAAGTCTCAGCACTAGTGATCCTGAGCTGAAGGGCGGTCCACAGTACTAAGCCCCAGCTGACAAGACATAAGCGAGCAGGCAGATGCGTATAAGCCATTGCCTTTTTTGACAGTATCTTTCATGTAATATTAGAAAGGATCATCGTTCGATACCGAAAAAGATCTTCATTTATTCAACATACAATAGATACACTGAAACAGCTCATCGAGCACAAATCACTTCCACTTCACTGCCAGCAACCTTTACTTCTTCGTCTTCCCTTTTTCAAGATTTCAAGAATAAAACCAAAAGGCACCTAACAACAACATGCGTTTCTCTGCCATTCCTCTTCTATATCTCGCTGCAGTTGCAGTGGGTGCGGCTGCAGTGAGTAAGAGAGCTTGTGTTGAGCATCGTGGCAATTCTTGGGGCTGCGATGCCCCGGCTGGTCAACCGCAAAACTGGAATTATTGCCAAGTTTACGATCCCAACTACCCGGTACATAGGAGCTCTTGTTCTTCCAAAAGCATATCTTCATCTTTGATTTCATTAGCTAACTATTATCCTTGTGAAAAGCTTTGCACCGCGTACAACGATGGTGGTTTGACTTCAGCTAGATGCTGCAACTCTTGAGGGGGCTCTTAGCTTGCAAGGTCTTGAGAGCGGCTGTCGGGATAGCGAGAAGGGAAGAGAAAAGGCGTGTGATGGGGATAAGTTGGGGCTGTGGTCCCGATGAAAACGGTCTTGAGTGAGGCTGGCGAGCGTGGTTGTGCTCGGAACTTCGGCTTGAGCCGCAGGGAGTAGTAATTTTCGGAGACATTAAGACCCATTGCTTGACATCTGTTGACGTATATACCCCATAGATTTCGTGCTGTCGGATCTCTACCTTGGGTCCTTTATTGTTCTTGGCAGTAATTAACGATCTACCAACAAAACAATGGCTCCCAATTACATCTCCTTAAGGCTGACAGTTGGAATCAGATACAGAAGGCACCTGGATGTTTACATTCTTCTCCCTTTCAGGGGGACTTGATGAAAAAAAGGACAATTTTCTGTTATATTGCTGGTAATTGTAGAATCTAAATAAGTCCATATCCTCTGAAGACAGAAGAAGCGGAGAAGGAAGGAAGCTTAAAGCTCCATCCAGGAAGCATAGAGAGTCTGCGTATAACAAGGGACGGAGTATGAAACCCAACCAAGTAGCAGGTGCATCAAAAAAGACCTAAAAGGAACGGCAAAAAACATACAACACCGGGTATTCGCTGGTCGTCACCGACCCAACTACTAATCCAGCCGTTACCAGCTTGTCTATGGGAGAGCGGACGGGATCCCGAATTTTCTGATACGTATGGTCGTATGTGCTTGAATTATGTGTTTGTCAATATATATACCATGGGCAAAACTTCGCGTGGAATTCGAAAGGCGAACTTCCAGGCAAGGCTTCCGCAAATCATTGCCCGCACTACCAAAGGGCTCAACAAAATTCTGAGGTTGGCAATCACGACGAAAGTAGAATTGGTTTAATTTACGCACACTGTAGGACTGAGACGAGAAGGAGAAGGAAAAAGAAAAAGAAAAAGATACGTATGCAGTACGTAGCCTCCATTCACTGACCTCCCATTCACCGCCACAACCTCTCTCACGTCTGTGGACTTGACACCAGCCAAGCTGTGCTCCGACTATCCTGGAACTTGCGCCATGACTTGTATGTGAATCATGAGCAGAGGATACCAGGTTTAAGACGTTGCTCAGCGAGCATCTTCTATGCTTTAGACCCGAGCGAATCACGAGGTGTTAGGTACACCCCAAGTGCGGGCTTTTCCCAAACGACCCAAGCCTCTTGCGACTCGGTCCACTTCCTACTCTCATCAGCTAGTCGCATCTCAAAATTCCAGATGATCTTGGCTAGGATGATCCTCATTTCAGTATTTGCGAGACTAGTGAAGTAGATATCTATTAGTGAAGGTCCTGGCTATTGCTTGTTGCGATAACGGTGGCGAGATCTCTGTTCCGACTTACTTCATTCCAATGCAGTTCCTCGGCCCAAATCCAAACGGCTTTCTGCCTTCTCTTTGATCATTGGCGAAGCGAGGATCGCCCAACCAGCGCTCTGGGATGAACGAGTCGGGCATGGTGAAATTCTGAGAACTGTGATACATTGCCCATTGGGGTATTCCGACGACAGTCTGTGTAAGTGGTCAGTAAATATTTCAATTTCCATTCTTCCATGGTTTCGTAGCGTGAAAGAAACTTACGCCTTCCGGTACAAAGAACCCGCAGAAGATGTCGCCTCCTTTGTGCACTACGCGCGGCGAAGAGTGAGGAACAGGCGGGTTTAGTCGAAGGGTTTCATCCAGAACGGCTTGCATGTATGGGAGGTTTTGGACAGTGTTGACGTTAATTTCCTCCTCTGTCTGGAAGGTAGATAAGACTTCGTGGGTGAGCTTGGATAAAGCCTCTAGATGAGACGTCAAGAAGTACGTGGCTGCTGACAGTGCGGTCGCGGACGTCTCGGAGCCGCCGAGCATAAGCAAGAAGGCGTTGCTGACCATTTCATGCTTTTGTATTTCCTGGTTAACGAAGACAGTCAGTACACTACCAATACTGGTCCTGACCCCAAACCATGAAGTCATCGCTTACCCTAGTCCCTTTTTGGCGGATCATCGCTTCCATGAAATCTGGGCGCGAATCGTCCAACGCAATCCTCTTTTCCACATTCGCCGCGGCCAATGCAAAGTTCTCCTGTTCCAACCTAGTCAATTCCTTCGGTATGAAAGCTTTCAACAAGGCAGTGAAAGGTGGGAAGCGTTTAGCGAGTCCGAGAAACATCTGGGACTTGACCGTGGGGCCCAGTGCCACCATCCATGGGTGATCTTGCTCTTTCTCAAGACATCCCAGTGGCTCGCCCCAAGACAAGTCACTGATGACATCAAATGTAATGCGGTTGTACCATGCCACCATATCCACAGGGCGAGCGCCCCCTTCGCAACGCTCGCGCAGTCTTTGGAGGAGGAGATCGACGTGGGTGGAGATGAGACGCTGCTGATCCATCACGGCCTGCATGGAGAAGCCGGGAGAGAGGACTCGGCGCATCCGTCTGTGGTCCTCAAGATTTGCGCCGAAGAGGTTGTGATCGTTACCGAGAATGGCCAGTGGCTCCTTCGTGTTCTCGGGTCTGCCTCCGCTGCGATGGCCGTAGTTGTCTTTCCATGCTTCGGGAAGGATGAACGAGAGCTCATTGTCGGCGATTCTGACAACGGGCCCGTACTTGTTGTGCAAGTCCAGGAGTCGCTTGTGCGGCTTTCCGCCGATCTGGGCGAGGGTGTAGGGGATGCGGCTTGCAGCCCACGTTTTGGGACCGGGGAAATTTCGCAGAGGATGGAAGAAGACGTTATAAAGGGCTTTCACTAAGACGTAGGAGAGACACTAGTGAAGAGCCATTTATGTAAGTAGGCATCGAACATGATATTACAAAGGGAAGAGTCACAGTCTGATACATACCAAAGAAACAACGATGGCGAGGACTGGGAGAAGCTGGACTGCCTGTTGGAGAAGGATTTCCGTTGTGGAAGCCATGTTGGGACGTGTATGACAGAATGCGGCGGCTTCTATGCAAGAAGTTTGCAAAGTAGAAGATGGGGAGATAGATGGAGTGTTCCTGATGTCACGATTCCAAGCGTGATGTACCGAGTAGAGCAACTTGACTGGTTCCTAATGCTAGTGACAAAAGAGCGTGGGAAGCTCCTACTTAAATAAAGCAAGCAGCACAACAGTGGAGCACATGATTGGTGACACCTGATCTCAAAGCTGCTACCCTGACTACAAGTCAGTGTTCGTCAGCTCTGTGCTCGATGGAGTACACCTCATGCTGTAGCTGTTCTCGGGCAGAAGCACTTGTCCGGATGCCGAAGACGATATTGCTCAAAAGTGAGAAAGAGCGCTTCGCGCTTAACGCCAAGACGAGAGAGCCGAGGCGAGAGACGATCCCTCTTGCTGGCATTGCCTGAAGTTTCCATGACGTTGCATTATGTGTTTCAATATACGGTTTGTTCTGGGGCTAAGTGCTCTTCCTACCCTGGCTCGTACTATGTACAAGTGCGGGCCGTGTGGGTATATTTTGGCGGACACGGAAATTCTTACTCGTCGGTCAAGGGTGAAAAGGAGTACGATTGCAACACCGCTGGTTGGTCAGACGAAGTATATTTGGTGGAGTCGGTGCGGATGAGTGGGGCCGGACTCCAAAACGATTCGACAGGTTAAGGACGAAATCCCCACGACTTTCTGCTGCTCGAGTGTCTCCTTCATCTTCTCTTTCTTCATCCCAACATCCACTGTATCGAGGCATCCAGGTAACGATACGTGGTTGATGTCATTGATGGAGAAATGGGGACCCGAGAGTCTCGCTATATCTCCATTCTTCCCCCAAATACATTTAATCCAAAGTTCTCTTGTCTACATCATCCCCACGGGTTCCTCGCCGATATGTCGGTCGCAGTGGTGTTGCAAGCATAGGACAAAATCGGCAACAAAATTTCTTCACATAGGCAGGATGACACAGAAATTATGAGAGACACGGAGTATTTGCACTACAGCCATGCCCACCCAACGCGTCGACCATGAGTCGCCAAACAAACCCTCAACAGCAGGTGCAGGGGAGGTCGTTGAAGCTCCTTGTCTGCCTTGGACGGGGCGGTTTGTTTGAGCGATGTTCCCACAGCGGTGCAGATGTAGGAAAGGTGATGGCTCCCCAAGACGTCCAGCTATCCTTTGATGCTCCCCGGTGCGCAAATGTGAAGTCAGTTGATCCTGGTACTGTAGCAGTGAGCATCATTACCTGCCTCGAAGAGCCGTTTTAAGCCATTGGCTGAAGCATTTATTTCTGACCCGCCGCCGGCTTCCGGTGTCACGCTATCTGCAGCTCAGAGAGCTCCTCCATAGCTCCCTATATTTCCTTTTTTTTTCCTTTTTTTTCTTCTTAGACCAGCCTACTCTTTAAATCCATGTAATTCGGTGTAAATTTCTCAATATCGAACCCAGGTACAAACACGAGTAGGTGCTTCCCAGCCAGAAATGGAGCTGCTACCACGTAGCGAAGGCATACCAGGTTTCTTGGGCTTCTGGAAGAGCTTGGAAATAGCATTCAAGAACCAGTTATACCGCTGATCCGTTGCAGTTCAGTTGGAGTGGCCACCACAAGTGTAGCACCCGCTCTGGGCTGTATTGTGGTTGAAACAGACCCGAAGAAAGCCATCCCAGTTTCCATTGTTTGTCATTTCGAAACAGGACTTTTCGTAGTCCTTGGAGTAGGCATAGTTCAGTGCACGCCTGACCAAGTCGCCGATCTTCGCCGAGGATAACAGGGTGGAAGAGTGGCCGTGGTTGGCCCAGTAGTGCACATGGATTTGCTCATAGCAATTAGCCCGCTTGCTGAGATCGCCGTCGCCGTTGTCGAGAGGAATACCGGTGAAGGAGAAGCCATCCTCGTGGAGCTCAATCGCTGTCACCTCCGCAGCGGCATGACCGGCGGTCACGGCCACTGTGTTGCTGGTTGTCTGCGGGATTTCAGGAGCCTCATATTTAAGGGAACCATTGACGGCTTGGTATGCATATACATCGGCCCAGGTGAAGAGCTGATTCTCCCGTCCATCATCCGCCTCCAGACCAAGTGTCTCGGTACGCCTTTTTGCCTGAGGGCCAGCGGCTGACGCATCCTCAACCTTGCTGGTAATCCAATCGGTCACTTTGTTCTTGAGCGCTTCAATGACGCTGCCTCCACCTGAGAAAAGGATCAGGCATGCGGCCAAAACGTAGCCATTGAGGCACAGCATAGATCTCCCTCCATTATCGTTAGCGAATTCGTACACGACGAAGTTCCCTCGCCCTTGGCAATTGAATCTCTTCTCAACCACAGAGACCTCGTTCCGGGGTTGCTCCACGGCGGCCAAGCTGCCCAGGGACGCGGCGCCTGCGAATGTGTTCTGCAACACTAAAGTGTACACGGCCAAGCTTGAAAACCACATCGCGACGAACGACTTCCGTGTTTCCAGAATCTTCGTACGAGACTGACTTGTTGATTTTGAGACAGATTGAAGCGGCGAGAGCGAGCGCGGCAAGCAGCGGGAGGACGGTCATGAGATGGAAGTAATGGGCGAAGGGATGAGCTCCTGAATTCAAAAAACAAAAGCATTGAGGATAGCTGTGGGAAGCCGCTTCTTATATCATTCCTCACGTTGTCGAAACTTACCTATTCGTTGTCTATGGGTCAGTCATGCGTGCAAGGGGCAGAACAATGAGGCTGGAGAGGTTGATCCATTAAAGCTTGCGGTTAAAAGCCCTTGTCTCGCACGAGCCCTTAAATAGCTGCCCCCTTGCTTACGCCACAAACATTCCTAACAGATTGCCCTCCCTTCCTAGGCCTTATCTTCAAGGCCTTCGCTCTCGCCTTCGCTGATCCTCATTTCGCCCTTGCTTCCTTCGCTGTCCAGAATTTACGAGTCTCTTAGGCGCCCCACACCCTCCCCCGGGAGGGAGATGGCCTCGTCCTGGGGTCTTCGCCTTTCTGCCCCCCCCCCAACACCACAAAGTACAACCACATAAAGGCTCGAACTCAAAGCCTCTGCAAATCTCTTTAATCTCGAGTTCAACTTAATCTCTCTGCTCAGGTTGCGGAACGCGCATCAGGATCCTTTAAACCAAATGTTCTTCCAAGTGCAATCTTCGTGATCTACGCGCTGTTTAGCCGCTGCTTTGCAACACTCTTTCCAGGTGTTTTTCAGATTCAAAGCTGTTTGGCGTGAAGTGGCTAGCTTCTTTGCAAGGTGCTCGGTAGCCGCTGAAGAACCCAGTGGGGACTTCACTCACAGTTACGTAGCAATTCGACACACGTGTGCGCTGCTCGCTCCACACATCCAAACAACAGAGCCTCAGCGCTCACACAAAGGTTCAGTGCTAACACAGAGTCTTGGAATTCTCAAACAACTTCTAATTGGCTCCCCCACCGCAATAGAAAGAGGCCCTACTAGTCCGCCCACCCTGAGTGGTAGATGCTTTAAACCGTCATGGGTCATGGTGGTAAGGGGCAGAATAACAGAGCCAAAGAGAGTGTCCCATTAACGCCTAAGGTTTTAAATCCTCTTTGAAGGGACCTTGCCGCGCGCAAGCGCTTAATTAGCACGCTGTGCTGCAGGAGATGATACTCTTTTGCAACTAAGCCCTGGGGTGCTGATCTTGTCTGCTTGGAACCCGGACCCTGGCTAGAAGTAAATAACTAATATGCATCCTGAGACGGTCTTCACGTTAAAAGGCACAACGTGGCGGTGAAGAATGGTTAATTTACAACTAGGGTTGCTTAAGAAAAAGAAAGGAAAAGCAAGAATTGCCCACAGGGCAGATTAGAGTGGTTTTGGAGGCCAGTTGGGCTGACAAGAGAAGCTAACCAGACGGGCCGCAGTCAGTGACTGGGCCCTGCGTGCGATCAGCCTCACGGCCCTGACAGGTACCCCACCCTACCTGAGAGGCCCGTAGCACCATCCTACCAGGTCCGGCGACCTGCAGGTTGGCTGCGCCCCACCTGCGTGTGCACTTGCTACCCAAATATAAAACCAGGCTCCTGCTCCGTTTTCTTCTACGAGGGCCAACCTCCTAGGACCTTTGCCGTTTTCAACCAATACACTGAGGCCGACCTCAGGAGGCCCAAACCTGTGCCCTCACGATGTCAGACGCAAATGCAACCACGCCAAGGGTCTTCATCGCCCGTCACGGTAAGACAAAGTCAAACTCGAGATCTCTCGCCAGTCATGATTCGCTGACCTGCACCTTCCTTTACTTGATTGATAGGAGAGACTGAGTGGACGATCTCTGGGCAATGCACGGGAAACGCGGACATCCCGCTGACTGAGAACGGCGAGAAGCAGAGCAGGGGCACCGGCGAGAAGCTCGTCGGGCGGGGCAAGCTGATTGACCCTGCCAAGCTTGCGCATGTCTTTTGCTCTCCGCGGCAACGAGCCGTCAAGACGCTCGACCTTCTTCTCGGGGAGGAAGCGAAAGAGGCTCTGGAGTCCGAGAAAAAGCTCAGCATTACGGACGACATTACCGAGTGGGACTATGGCACCTACGGTCCGTGGTTTCCGTGTATCTCGTGGGATGGAGGGCGAAGCTGACATGCGTTTGCGAAAGAGGGCATCACTCCAGCTGAGATCAAGGCTCAGCGAGCCGAGAAGGGCCTACCTAAGTGGGACATTTGGACTGAGGGATGTCCCGGAGGAGAGTGAGCACCCGTTCGACTATCCGAGGTACGCGCAAGGCACTCTGCTAAGCCAACGTCTCAGGTCCCCAAGCCAAGTACAGGAGAGGCTCGATCGGCTCATCGGCAACATCAAGAAGATTCAGGAGCCGTTCATGCACGGCGGTCCAGCCCCTGACATCCTCATAGTTGCTCATGGTCACATTCTTCGTGCATTCACCAAGAGATGGCTTGTAAGTGGTATTCAGGCCTAACTGCTCAAGCCACATACGTAGCTGACTCTGTTTTCTAAAGGAGTGGGACATGGCATTTCCCTTCACCATGATGATGGAACCTGGTGCCATTGGTGTCCTCAGCTACGCGCACCACAACCTCGCTGAACCTTCGGTGTTGATTGGTATGGCCTTCCCAACCAACGGCTAAACCGCCATTTCAGGGGCTGTTCATGGATTGGAGCCGAAGTTGCTCAGGAACTCATACGAGGTCGGCGAGTACACGCGTTGGACAGGCTCTTCTCCTTTCTCCTTGGCCCAGCCCTCGTATCCATCGGGGTATTTGGTAAGCAGTGTTCGCATTGTCTCTTTGGCCCTTTGCAAAGTCGGGTCAGTTGTTGTGTCTCCGCAGACAAGATCAAGAGACTAGCTGTTACACATACATATTCCGGTACCGCAAGTTGCCCGAGAAAAGGGCCGAGCTTTTCAGGTCCCATCGACTTGTCATGTGTCAGAACGGACGCTGCTGTCAGGCTTGGAGATGCTTACAGGTAGTAAAGGAGATTGCGGTCATCTTGGTCTTCCTCCGGTGCAGATATGGGAAAGTAATCAAAGTACGCCTTCATGTATTGCCTTCCGATCTTGTGGCGTATCGGACGCCAAGCTGCCATCTCCACTGCGAGAAAGATGTTTGGTTAGCTTCTTGGACCTCAGCAACACCGTGCACAAGGAACCCACTTTCGTTATGCGCATATAGACAGGCCCCGTCATACACGACCGGCGTGTTCGTGTCGATGTTGGTTGAGGTGTTCCCTGACCACAAGTCGCCGTGAATCAGCCGGGGCTGTATCTGCCTGCCTCCGGTTTCCAGTGGCCGAAGCAGGCGGGGGATCACTTTCTCGAAGAGACCGTTGCACAGCTCTCGCATCTCCTCATCCGGGCCCTGCGATTTCTCCTCGGTATACACGAACCATTTCATCGAGTGGTGGAAGGCCTCTTCCCAGGTATCATGCCAGTTTGTGTACTGAGGGATGGTGCCTTTGTAAGTTGGCACCTCGAAGCCATACTTGCCATTTGGAGATATACCCCTGGTGTGTAGCTCGGCGAGTAGTTGGACAAACGCCTGGATCTCTGGAATCTCGTCCGTCATGTTGACCAGCTCACAGATGAAGAAGTGGATGTTGGGATTGGACGCATATGATCCGCAGCCGATAGGCTCCGGCACGAATTCAGGCAGTGCTTGATACATGGCCTTCATGGAGGCATATTCGCCTGCTGTCATGTTTCGTCCATTGTCGCCCTCTGAGACCTAGGTGGGATAATTAGCCTCGCATCAGTAAAGGCGGTGCATGCCACCAGTCAGTCTGGCCTCTTTGCTCAGTCTGGTTTGGTACCTTTAAGAAGTATGACTTCGGAGATCCATCCTCTGCTCGTGACGAGATCTCAGCCGTTCTGGTCCAGTAGCTTGCTCCATGGTGCACAATGTCCTCCACTTCGCTGCCCGATGGAAGCGCTGTGGTGAGTCTTTAGCTTAGCGAACGCCTCAGCCAGGAGCAAACGCTGTCACAAAACACTTACTAGCCTTCACATGATCATCGACAAAGGCAATCCATTTCTCGTCGACATCGATTGGCTTGCCCCATTCCGCCGGTGTCATCACATGGAGGACCTGGTCAACCAGTGCCATGTTGAGCTCTGGACCACTGGGAATATGGTGGTGTCCAGATTTCAGAGGTTGAGATACGGGACTGGAAACTGTGCAGTGCAGCAGCTTCTAACGCCAGCCAAAGGGTGTAACCAGTCTCTGAATTACAGTATCATGTGGTAGGCCAGGAGGCATGGCCCGGGCCCAAGCTGCCAGTGCCTGCTTTCAAGAAACCGGGGTTCTGCGGCCTGTCACAAACGAGGCTCCGAGGCAGAAAGTGGTGTTCACACTACCCCTCAATTGTGCTTGGGTCTGCCCATGTGCATGTTGGGGCTAACTTCAAGCTGAATGCATTTCTGGCGAACCAGTGGGCAGCATTGCCTGATGGATGGTCGCACTGCTTCCTGCAAACTATGCTATTTCCAGCCTGTGGCCCCCACGCGGTGAAAGATAGACATGGTGTACATGCCCGTTTGGCTTTAGGAGGAGCTGAAAGGGTCACCGGGCCAGCGGGCCTGGCAACCCGCTGAGGGGGGTTGCTTACGCACACATGGAGCCGCAAGCTAGACTGCAGACATCCAACTCCGGTCTGTTTTTCCCAACTGCAAGCAAGCCCGTCTCAACTCGGCAAAAACCCAGGCCGCCGGGGGCCGTGGCACGCGTGCTTGCGCTGCCAAACACTGCGACGACCTAGGAACATGGATACTGATGATACTTCATCTTCCAGTAGCCTTAGTCACCTCTCCCTAAGGTTGTCAAGGCTCACGAGCCGGACCGATACCACAGCAAGTTCTGCCTCCACTGCAGGAGCAGGGCAACGAAAGGGTGATTTTGGGTTGAACACTTTGTATGTGCCACCATGTAGAAGCGCCATAGCCGACTTGATATTTGTCCACGGGTTGGGGGGTGGATCGAGAAGTACATGGACGCATTCGGATGATCCAGCGCTCTACTGGCCGCTGGAGTGGCTGCCACAAGATGATGGCTTTCAAGATGTACGGATTCACAGTTTTGGATACGACTCGAACTGGGGAAAAGAGAGTATACTGAATGTTCACGACTTCGCCAATGCTCTACTGGTATCTATTCTCGACTGTCCGAACATTCCGCGGACTGAAAAGGTATGTTCGTCGACCGCATGTCCTCTCGAAGCCTTCCCTGCTCCACCACTGAGGTCCTCAGTGATCCTCTGAAAGCTTTCATGGTGGAGATTTATCCAAGTTGAGGGCACTTTAAAATGTGAATTATGGGCATATGAAAGGCTTACTCCGTTACAGGCACCCATCGTTTTCGTGGCTCACAGCATGGGTGGCCTTGTCATTAAACGAGCGCTCGTCTTGGCTCGCACGAGACACGAGTATGGATCCCTAGCTGCCAGTATAGAAGCCATGTTCTTCCTCGCTACGCCTCACAAAGGCGCGGACCTAGCGCAGACGCTTTCTCGCCTGCTTAGTTTGAGCAGCGGCAACAGGCCCTTCCTTAGCGACCTCCACCGTCAGTCTCTCACCATCCAAACCCTGAACGACGAGTTTCCTCAGTACTGTGGGGACGTCCAACTTTTCTCCTTCTATGAAACCCTCCCTATGAGCCTAGGGGTAAAGAGCGTCCGTATTGTTTCAAAGGACTCCGCCGTGTTGGGATTTGCCAACGAGCGCCGAGTCTACCTGAACGCAAATCATCGTCAAGTTTGTAAATACGAGTCCACCGCAGATTCCAATTACCGCACGGTTCGAAATGCAATTGCTTCGTTCTTGGAGATGGCCCGGGCTCGCTCTTCTCTCTTGGATGAGCAATCCACCAAGGAGCCAAGGCGCCGACTGAACGTGCTCATGGGCGTTGACGAAGGCCCTGAAGACGAGATATTCGGTGTCGTCTCACAGAGAATGAGTGGGTCTTGTGAGTGGCTCCTTGACAGGGAAAACTTCCAGGACTGGCTCCACCATGGGACTGCTCCAATCTACTGCATCACGGCCAAGCCAGGCACGGGAAAGACCATTTTGAGCGGAACGATCATTACATACCTGAGGAAGCTACAGTTGCCATGCAGCTGCCACTTCTTCCAGTACGGCAACCAATCAAAGTCAGACATTGCATCCTTCTTGCTGTCTATGGCTTGGCAGATGGCAGTCCAGGATCCCGAACTGATGCGGACTTGCCTCGACGTATACGAAAAAGACGAGCAACTAAGCCAAAGCAACTACCGCACAATATGGAGGAAGCTCTTTGTTGAAGGCCTGCTGCGGGAAAGGTCCAGGAAAACCCACTTCTGGATCGTCGATGCACTGGATGAGTGCTCGGCCGAAGCAGATTTGATACAATTACTTCACAAAACCGGCGAGACGTCCTCGATACGGATATTCTGGACTTCTCGAAACTCTCCCAAAGTTCGCCAGCGACTTGGAGTGTCTAACATACAGGTTATCTCTGAAGTGATCCGAGAAGAAGACACCCGGTCTGACATTGCCTTGTACCTTGACGCCAACATGGACAATCTCCCAGCGACAAGCGACAAAGGCCGACATCAAATGGTTCAGAGGATCCTGGAAAAGTCGCAAGGTTGCTTTCTCTGGGTGAGCCTTGTATTCGGCGAATTAAAGGACGCCCACACCTCAAGAGACGTGGAAAGAATCCTTGATGAGGTGCCATCCGACATGAACGAGCTATTTGGACGAATCGTCGACACGATGTCTGCACAGGTGCAAGGCAAGGCCCTTGCCAAGGCCATAATCACCTGGACCGTGTGTGCAACCAGACCTTTGAAAACCATGGAGCTCGACGAGGCCGTCAGGCTAGACCTTCAGGACTCGATCGACAACATTGAGGCTTCCATCCGGTCGATTTGCGGGCATCTGGTCTACGTCGACGCCCAGTCATATGTGCAGATGGTCCACCAAACGGCGCGAGACTTTCTCCTCCACGCAGCTGTTGACTCCGAGTTTCACATTGAGGAAAGGAGGGGCCATCGCCGACTTCTGCTAACATGTCTGAGCTTTCTCACCTCGAACGAGATGAGAAGTACTCCCCGTCGACGGGTCAAGGACACGGAGAAGTTCACAGACCGCTCCCTCTTCGTCAAATACGCCTGCGAGTTGTGGTTCGAGCACCTGTTCCGTCTGTCTTGGACAGATACAGAGGTTGTATCATCAGTGGCGAAGTTCCTCGATTCGCCAAATGTCTTGTCTTGGATCGAATACATAGCCAGACATTCAGATTTGCAGCGCCTAGTGTCGGCTGGGAAGGCCATTGGCTCGTTCATCAAGGGGAGTGAGCACTCAGATTCTGAGGACACGCGTGATATCGCATTGCTGAGAGTCTGGGCCAATGACCTCCTACGTCTAGTCATGAGATTTGGGCCCAGTCTGGTGGCATACCCAGCCTCGATATTTAACATCATCCCCCCTTTCTGCCCTTCTGAAACAGCTCTCAGGAAAAAGGCACCGCCTCGCGGAATCACTGTGTCTGGGCTGGGTGAGGAAGAATGGGGCGACCAGCTTTCAACCATTTTCAACCCCCAGGAGCAGTACTCGTGCATCGCATCATCCAAACGACTGTTTGCTATTGGTTGCTATGGCGGGCTCATCTTCATACTGCAACACGTCTTGTATAAAGAAGTAGCAAAGCTCGACCACGGGGAGCCAGTAAAGCTCTTGCAGTTTGGCAGCCAGGAATCTGTCCTGGTCTCTGTCAGTTCAAAGACAATATTGGTGTGGGATCTAAACTCCAAGACACAGGTCTGGCGTTTCGAGGCTCCACAGCAGTGCATGGCTATCGCGCTGTCGAGTCGCGACGAGCAGCTAATCTCTGCCACAAAGGACCACTGCCTGCGAATATGGGACCTGAAGAAAGGCGAGCTATTGGAGATGGAGAACTGGACACAAGGCATGGAAGCGACGCAATTGCGTCTTTACCGACGGCCCATAACAGCGACGTTCACCATGGACGCACAGCTTCTGGCTGTCATATACAAGGGCCAGGACATACTCATCTGGGACCTCGATAACGACGCTCTGTACGACATATACAACAGGGAATCAGGCGCAAGAGGAGACTCGCAGGTGCAATATACGTCATCCGGCGTCAGGTGCCTCACCTTTGGGAATGGGTCAAGTGCGAACTTGTTGGCCGCGGCATACACTGATGGTGAGCTAGTCCTGTTCGACACCGTATCGGGAGACATCATGCATCGGACTGTCACATTCGCGCATATCCTCGTCTGCTCGCCGGACGGGTCAATGCTCGCGAGCGCTGATCCTTCGGGCACGGTGACTCTGCTGAAATTCTCGACATTACAGCCGCTCCACCGTATACCGGCAGTTGAAGCTGGTATCCAAGGGCTGTGTTTCGGCGGGGATGGGCAGCAGCTTCTTGATATTAGGGGGTCACGGTGCCGTGTTTGGGGACCAACTGTCCTGCTCCGGCAAAATGCCCACTCGGGTCCCAGCAGTAAGGCGTCAACACCACGCGAGGCCGGACCAGAGCTCTCGTCCGCTGGTGGCGAACCAGTCTTGATCACCTCGATAGTGTGTCACGACAACGGGGATGCTTTCTTTTGCGGCAAAGAGGACGGCGCAGTCTACCATTACCACGCCGACTCCGGGCTCCACACCAGCAGGCTCTATAGCCATGCAAATGGGGTGGCCATCGTGTCTCTCTCCTTTCATCACGGCAGCAACACTATAACCAGCGTTGATGCTAGTTTCAGAGTGATGGTCCAGAAACTGTCATCTCAAGGTCGTGCATTTGTGGCATCGAAGGTTTTGTTCGACCATCGCGTCGACGCGGTTGTCAGTCAGGTCGTGTGCCGGCCTGACTTGGACCGTATCTTGATCTGCTCAACCAAAAGCGACAGCTTGTGGTGTCTCTCCCAAGAAGCGCCAAATCCTATTGCGAGTAGGACAACCCAACAGCGAGGATCACGCGGCTGGGTGGACCATCCTCTCAACCGTGCCAGCGTGCTCCTCATCACTCAAACGGCAGCATATTCATTTGACTGGCTGGATCTCAGACCTCTGGCTCCGGAGACCGGAATCGGCCTTGATGCCGGGATATCCTCGAGCATCGTTCCCCGATCGATCATGCCTATCTTTGGCGGGAAGAGCCTTGCGGTCATGTATGGCGACATAGGGAATCATCTCTCACAGACCAAGCTCGTCATATGGAGCACAGCTGATCTCGGCCCCGACTCCTTGGCTGAGGTTGCCAAACCCCTGAAGACGTATGAGTACCTCTCATCCAGGGCTACCCAGTTGATAGGCACCCTTGGTAACCGCGGGGCCGAGCGCCTGGTTTTCCTGCAGGAAGGAAACTGGGTCAGCGCCGTCGAATCCAAAACAGCTCATCTACGACGAATCGCGAGACACTTCTTCCTCCCGAATGACTGGCTGAGTATTGAAAATCACCGCGAACTGATGATGGAGGTCACGAGCAGAGGAAATGTTCTGGTCGTGAGACGGCATGAAGTCGCTATTATTAAACGAGGGCTCACCAGGGTTGAAGTCGATGAGGAAGTGCCATCAGACCCAGCACCAGCGGCTGCTGGGCTGGCATGAGAGTAATACAATACAGTTGATACCTTGAAGAAAAGACAGACATATTCTCTCATAGGTCCGTTCAAAAGGGATAGAGAAGGAGGACGGGGTCCTCTTTACGACACGTCAAGAGATGAGCTTATTGTTTCCATCCGTATAACCAATTCGCCGGCCTCTACCCATGTGTTATTCACAAAAAAGGCCAGATGGCGGCTTACGATTCTGCGTGGACTAACGTGCCTTAATTGAGATTGCACGTAAAAATTGTATTCTCTCCCCCTGATTAGAGAAATGCTTTAGTCATTGTCGAAAGCACATTGATTCACGAAGCTGGTTGTGATCTCGGCGCCGAGGTTCATTCTTCTTGGTATACTGCATGCCGAATTATTCATCTAACCGGTTCCCGATGGATGAGAAGGTACACGGTTGGCATAGTACATGATGGGTGCGGGATTCAGGCAGGAGCCAACACCGGGAACTCGATGAACCCAATGAGGCAAACTGTCGAACGAACCTTGCTGTCAGCCTGTCTGCTGATCTGTCCCAATCTGCCTAGGTACTGCTGGCCCCCTAACCCGGTGGTATTTATATCAGGTCCGGGCCGCGGCACACTGCACATGAGACCATCATCGAGTGCAGTTCGCTTCAGCCCCCAGTCCTACCTTACACCATGTCAACCAGGCCTGAATGCGTGTTCACCCGTGACTACGTGGATAGCAATAGGTAAGTATGCAGCCGCTCCAGATTTTGATTTCAGCAGGGTAAATTTACCAACCACAACCCGAAAGAATAAATCTGCAGCATTACATCTGGGTGGAGTTGTTCGGTTATCGCATTCACCCACAGATACCCGTCTCACTGCCCAACCTCAGAGTTGCCGATGTGGGAACTGGAACGGCGTGAGTACCTTCCTGTTCTTGCAGTGTGCAAGACACCCGACAACGGCGCTAAATGCTGATTCATCCATTAATAGTGCTTGGATCACTGATCTCAGCCCACACTTGCCATCTGCTCAGCTAGATGGTTTGGACGTATCATTTGACGCCGCGCCTCCGCGCGAATGGCTCCCACCTAATGTGACCCTGCGTTCCTTCGACGTGAAGGGTGATGTGCCAGCAGACCTATTGGGATGCTACGATGTCGTCCACATCCGCAATTTCGCCTTCGTCCTCCTCGATGAGGAGCTTGCCCAAGCCCTCAGCAACCTGGCCAAGCTTCTCAGTGAGTTGTAACTGCTCTTGTTACCGGCGAGCCCAAATTTCTGACCCTACCATAGAACCGGGTGGCCATCTCCAGTGGGGCGAGTAAGTTTACCACTGTCGAACTGAATGCCTCCATTATTTGTGCCAATCTCCCCGTCATTTACAGTCTATTCAAGGCTGGCGTGGACAATAGACTCAAGGGGCCATCTTATCCCTCTGGTCAGTCAACCTTTCGGTCCAAAAAGCCGTTGCATGGGAAATATGAAGACTCGGAGATGTCAAAAGTCACAATGCAATCCAACCTTCATAATGTGCGCACTGAGACTGGGAATGCACCTTACGAACAAGGCAGCATTTCTGACAGGGAGCCACTGAGCCCACCCCATGTTCGACGCGAATTCAGGATCACAGCAGAGGAACCCCGAGCCGGTATGAAGCATCACTGGGGACGAGACGACGATATTCGTGCCAGCCGGGACAGGGTCTTGTGTGTAACAGAGGTCACTAATGACGCATACCATGTTCTTTATGGTGTGGTCTGAAGTCAGAGCGGTTGCTTGGGTGTATCTAGACAAGAGTACCAGTAGTTTTCTGATGACACTCATTGTGATTAGTGAAAAATAGGCAAGATGTGTGTAAATCCTAGACATCAGTATTGGTCAACACTAATTGCCAATGTGAGCCTCCGATGTTGGGTCAATGATCTCGATGTACGAATCAATCAGGATCTTCACACCTCAGTAATGCGTGTACATCGGAGGATTGGTGCTTTTGTGGTCTTCCAGGCTGGACTCGTGCTGCATGTTGGTGAAGACGCTGACGCAGAGATGCTGGCCCATGCCGCGGCAACAGCCGGATTTCGAAGGGAGGAAGTGAGGATCGTGGCGACAGTACCAGATCTACCCTCGTCCCAATCTCCGGTGGCCGCCCAAGGAACGCGATGTTCGTGTGAACTTGTGGATTTCGAGGATGGACGAGACGATGGGACGGACACCACTCTTTCAGAGGGTAGCAAGCATGTCTCAAAAATCTGCTGACTATCTCTCATCGCCCGAAAACAATTTCATTTCTCTTTTTACCTTGTAGACTTCGCGCACCTTGCGGTATATTCTGCCATCGCTCTGTCCACGGTCGCTGTTGCTGTGTCCACGAAGAGCACTTGGTCAGACTTAGCTCAACACGGGACAGCACGAGCTTCGTCACTTCAATTCTGCCGCCAGTATCAACCTTGGAACACATCCGGAGGCCGCGTATTCCTTGGAGGTGAATCATTTCACCGTCTCACCTTGGTGATACTGCAATCTTGACAGCTGTTGCATCCGTCTTTGGCGACGCCCTTGATTCGATCGTAGCACTGTTCATTCGTGTTTGCTCGCTAAATTCGACCCGGATCAGCATTTTTGTGACACGAAGATCCGGCAGAGATATGATTGCCAAAGGAGGGAGTGGTTGCTAATCCTCAACAATCTGAGCACAAAAGTCTGGGGTCAGCTCGATTGCGCCTGGATTCGAATCCCTCTAGCCGTTAAATTCAACGGTAGCAGTGTTACAGCCCGTGAGCAAAACACCTTACCTCAGGACCACGTCTTGGTTTCATACTTCCCATCTCTTTTTTTCTTTTTGCACTTCTACAAGAACTTGGGACTGACAGTCGACAGAATATTCTAACCCGTCAAGATAGACCGCTAAGACCATTTCAGGATAAGCAGATCCTTTCCTTGTTCGCCCACTCCATCTCGTGTAAAACACCAGTTCCTATTTACCAAGCATGGATGGCGTCACCAACATCGACGACGGCCCAAAAGGCTCCTGGAAATCCCGCAACTGCCTCAGCTTTGGCGAATACACGAGTTCCTGGTCCTTCAATGGCACCTGGCAGACCATCATTCGCCGTTTCTGCATGTGGGCCATCATCATTCTACGCACAGTCATGAACGTCCTGGCCATTTCATTCAACACTCTCGGAAGCAAGATCGTGAGCATGGTGTGCGGTGCCCTCATTGGGATAATCTCGTTCATCTTTGTCTTCTGGTGTCTTACGATGATCGACCGCGCACATGGCCGTCGTGCTTGCTGGTTCTGTGGATTTGTTGTTGTAGGTTTGCTCCTAATGAGTAAAGGTTTGGTGATGATATGCTAATTTTCTGTGCCTCCGTTAGGGACGAACCCATCTAGATATCTTCACCGGTATCATCGCCCTTCTTCATGTCGGTCTACTGGCATCTTTTTGGCCAATCATTGTCCATTCAGCCGCCGGCTTCAATATTATATGGGTTTCCCTCTGGATTTTGATTGGGATATATGGATTCCTCTGCACCAAGGCACCTGTCTCCGTCTAGTGGTAATTTGGGAGAAAACACCAAGGACATTTCTGAGCTCCCCAACTTTACGATGGATTCGAAGGGTGGACGTGAAGCAACACAAGTTGATGGAACCTGTTTGCTCAAAATTATGTTGAAGAAATCTTTCACTTGTTGTAGTCTTTTTCTATACCCCTAGTGCATCCCAAGCGGCCCCTTCGTATCCAGATATCCGATGTACCGTCATTGCCATCATCTCAAAGCAGCTGTTCGTAGAGTATTCCACATTACCTGGCATTTTACTTGGGTAGCTAACTATTTGTGTCCAAACGAATGATTGTAGAGCTTGTATTAGAGAGCATAATGCAGCAGACATACTCAGCGTACATCGGCATACCTCGCTGCACGGTCACAACGTACAAGTATCTGTCGGCTAGGTCCGGGACATATTCATGGAGAGCAACAACAGTTCCCCAGCCGCATGCCATGACATGCCTGATGTATGAACTCTATGGCTATGCTAGGTGCCGCTCATGTATCAAGAACGACCCCCGTTCCCCTAAGCACCTCTAATTCCTCCCCAGACACTTTGTTCCCGGCCTCAATCTCGCCCATACGAGTCCACCAGTACGTCAAGAAGAAGTCGCTTAATGGCCAGCCCAATTCCTCGTACTTGGCTTCAAATTCCTCCACGAGTACCTCCAGCAATTCAGCCAAGTATCGCTCCTCTTCTTGGATCTCAGATACTTCTTCACGGTCCATTACCTCAATCATCTTATACTCTCCCTTCAAGATCGCAAAAGTCACTCCGTTGTCGCAGTCCTCGTATTTCCCGCTATTATCAATAAATCTGCAGCACGTGTGGCTCATCCCGAGCCGTTCGAAAGTGCTGACACGAATAAAATCCGAGGCAAATTGCCGAGCTTTCGGATGACCGGACAGTCTGCTCGTTATAAGGTCCACGACGATACGCCATGTTGTCCGGTTGAACCCAGACAATTCTCCTGGCGCGGTGGTCCCATTGGCAAGTTTCCATACTTCTCGCGACAGGATAGAGGCAGCTGAGCAGCCATGCTGCGTACAGAGACACTCGCAAGAGTCCAGCACCGGCGAGGTCAGGACTCTCTGTAAGACCGGGGTGTGCTGGTCACTTCCAAAGGATGTCTGGTATCGCATGCTCCGCCCCATTTCGCTAGATATTCGATGGACCAAGCAGGCTCCATGGGAAATATCGCCTCCGCTGGCTGTGCTTTGGAAAACGACATCTGCTGGTATCGGCCTGCTGAGGTCCTCTCCGTGGTTCAAGAACCAGTCAACAAGTCCAAGCGCACTGTGGCTGTACATAATCTTGGTCTCGTATCGGTGACTCAGACCAACGAGGTCTATTGTCATCAGCGGGGTGAACCCGAGGAAGTCGACATTTGTGTGGCTGAATCCAGCGCTGAACAACGACTCGGCAGTCTCATCGTTCATGTACGCGCAGTGATAGACCGAACCTGGCTGAACACTTCGGAACCCTTTGGGCAAACGGATTCCCTGCTCGAGTAGTGCCTGTAACAATTCGAATGCGTCTTCTTGTAGCAATTTGTTTTCCTGAGGGCTCAAATTATCGAGAATAACGTTTCCCTGAATGTGTTCTTTCGCAAGGCAAAGCAGCCCCTTGCGACGCCGTACGAGAGCTTGTGCCAATATTGGGGTGACGGCCGTTTGTCCGGAGGTCATTTCCCATTTCGCGATGTTCTGGATCACTTCCAAGTCCATCTCAGCAGATGAGTCCAAAAGCATATTGACACATTCTGGCTCGTTCAACTTGAGCGCGTAGTCCAGCGCCGTCGAGCCGTTATCGTCCTCGGCGTCAATGATGCCGGTGACGGTATCCCCACCTAGCTGTAGAAGCAGTTCCATGCCTCGAGGCCAACATGTTGCAACGTGCAATGGGGTTTCACCCACTTTGCCCCTTGTCAAGATGTGGCTTTTGGCGTCGCTGCGTGTGAGAATGTCGTACACCTGAGTCTCCCACTTCTCCAGCAGGGCGCGAGGGAGCTCTCCCTGGTCCATCGCTACTTAGAGGTCAGTCAAATGAGTCACAAATTGCTCAGAGTGTAAACGACCTACTTCCTTGCTCATCAAACGCCTCATGCCCGATTATTGGAAGAATCGAGGGCCCAAATGTTTGCAGCGGCATTATGTCGAGCACGTCAACACCGAGGTCCAAAAGACTTTTCACGATTCCTGTAACGACTGTAAAGCCGGAGACGTCGGATTTGTGACTTCGAGTCAATCTTTTCAGGACAATGGCGATCGGTGTCCTGAGTTGTTAATCTTGAGAAGTTCCATACGGCCATAAACGTCCTAGGGGAAACCCAAGCCGGGTGTGCGGAACTTACTCGCTCGAGCAACTAGAATCCATCAACGGGACGCCGAATTCCACCAACGTTTGAAGAAATTGCGAGTATATCTCTTTCATCTCATCAGCCATGAAATGCCAACATGCGCTGGTAGCCACCTGTGGGATCGTCAGCTTACCGCCTCGGTCGGTTCTAGACACTCGGTTCGAAGTATGCATTGTCAACTCACATGAAGCAAATTGTTCCCTGTCCTGTCCTCGATGTCGGTCGGCCATGCCCGACCTTCCATGAACAGACGCTGGAGCTCCTGGAGGCAGGACTGGAGGTTCTGTCGCAATGACTGCGCTGCGGAATAGAACCCCATGTTGAAAGTGATACCATCTATCAGATCGAAAGCCGGCGAGCCATGGGGAACGGTCGCTCGGATTGTAAAGTTGTGCTGGATGTGCAGACTACGCAGAAAGGCGTACTGAGAATACTCGATGGCGACCTGGAACTGGAAGAAGTAATTGAATAGCCTCATCTTGCCAATGAGAGCTCTTCGCTGTCTGTGTCGGAATGAGAGATGGCAGGAGGTTGCGTGAGTGACAGGATAGGCGGACGAGATCGTTCCTGCGCAATGGCACTTGAGCTCCCACAAAGGCTTTGTGATCGACGAGCCTTTCTCTGAGCCTGATCTCCCTTGGACTTGAGTTGTGATTTCTAGTTCTTTTTTGGGAGCGTCAAGACGTGACGATGCTGCGCGCGACCCTTTGATACAGCGAGTGCTGTCGGGTACAGTGCTCTCATCTGCGGGCAAGGTTTCCTTGATCATCGCTTCCAGAGTGTCCATTCGGGCTTGAAGAGATAGCTCACTCTTTGAGAGTCCGGACTCAAGCATCTGTGACAGGTCGGGCACCATGGCGGCAATCTGTTCCCGTATATCTTGGCCCTGAGTGGAGATGATGGATGAGAGGTTCATCGATTCCGACAACGTTTCCTGTCGAAGATTTCTCACGGCATCGCTGAGCTATGTGGTCAGCTAGGTGATTCAGATCAAGCAGATCAAGCCTTTTCCTGAACCCCTCGAGTCACATACTAATTCAGTAGTCCGACTTGGAATGAGAGCGTGATGTGTAGTTGTTGAAGCTGCCGCCGGAAAGTCTCAAACTTATCCTTCTGTAAAGGAAAGGATAATTTTCGTCCCAGGCTGGTCCGAGATCTTTGATTTGGATCCGTATTCGGTGGCGAATATTTGTCGCTGAGTCGACTCAGGTCGGTGAGACACGTTTTGCAAGTTGATATACATTCGTCCATCGACATTTTGAGACTGGGTGACACTGGCGGAAGCCCAACTCCATGTTGCTGTCCCTCGAGGACCTCGAGGTGTCTTCGCAACCGCTCGGCGTTTGCCTGGAGGGAGGCAACATCAGTCTCGCGTGACCGATAGCTTCCGCAGTAGCTAACAAGTCCGTTGCATATAGTGATACCGAGAGAGAACAGCCCGCCAGCGCCAGTGACAATCGAAAATGGATCCATGATGTACGCAAACAAAGACTGTTAATTCCACCGCGATTTTGAATCTCGAGGGGTTCGACAGCGAGGATGGAAACTGAGGTTAACGCTTTAACAGCGACCTCAGGACGTCGTGTGGCCCGCCTGAGGCCTCTTCAGACCCTGGTAAGCCCACACCCGCGCATCCTGCATATGTGGGTTACACGGCATGACACAGCCAGGCCGTTTTGGAGACCAGGGGCCGGCGGCTGGAAACACATCAAGCGAGCACAGGCAGGTTTACACTGGTCGTATTGGTTAGCGAGGTGCCAACAGTTTGGGAAAGATGAGATGTGATTAACGCAAAAGCCGGGACAAGACTCTTGCGGAAAAGTGGAAACTATACGTGAGACGTCGGAGAATGTGCTGCTCGTTAGCGGAGAAGAAGCGTTCATTTATTTTGCAGATGCTTCAAAATTTCTGAGAACCGTTGTCTAAGAATGAATTGCTAGCAAGGGCCGTGATACAAAACCAAATCCATCAATAACGCCCATACACCAAGCCTAGTAACGGTATATCCACCACGTTCACATCAAACAACCAGCCGCCTAATGCACCATCGACTTCCCAATCTCACTCGCCCACCCTTCAGCCCTCTCAAACCCTCTCGTATGCGTCGAATAGTCTTGCAAAGCCTCTCGCACCTCCTGGAGCGAGGTCACCACAAACGGGCCGTACTGCACAACAGGCTGGTCCAGCACCTTGCCCGCGACAATGACGAACCGCGCATCCCCCTCGCTCCCCTCCTCATTCTCAGCAACGATCGTGCCCCCCTCGAGCTCAAACACAACATTATGATACTGCGGCACAGCCCTCTTCTCCGCCCCAAACAGCGCCGTGCCCTCAAGCGTATACAAAAACGCATTAAACCCCTCCGGGATAGGCTGCTCGACCCTCCCGCCCGGCTTGACCGTGACGTCCAGCAGCCACACAGGCGTGTACGCCAGGTCCTTCACCGAGTCGACCCCGTGGCTCTGGCCCGAGATAACCCTGACGCGGACCTTCCCGTCGCCCGACTCGGCGGCGGGGACCTCCTCGGCGCGCAGGTCGCGGTAGCGCGGCTCGCACGATTTTAGTTCGCGGGGGAGGTCCACCCACAGCTGCAGGCCCGTGTTGGCGCTGCCGTCGGCGTTCTGCGCGGGCATCTCGCTGTGCACGATGCCGCGGCCGGCCGTCATGAACTGCAGGTCGCCCGCGTGGATGGTGCCCTTGTTGCCCGCGAAGTCTTCGTGGTCGAAGGCGCCCGAGAGCATGTATGTGATTGTCTAGTTTTCCCAAGTAGATCGTTAGCACCCATCTGTAAAGTAGTATGGTGTGGGAGACAAGGGATGGGACGAAAATGTCTGCAGGTGGGAATTGGGATGGGACGAATCGGGACGAGAGAGAACATACCTCTTGGCCCCGGTGCGGGTGGTCAGGGAACCCCGCGCCCGGCTTCACGGAGAAGTGGTCCAGCATCAGGAAGGGCGAGAAGTTCTTGAGCTGCGGCGTGCCGATGGACCTCCTGACGCGGGCGCCGGCGCCCTCTGCCTGCTCGACGGCCAGGAAGGCCTTGCGGATCGCGCGCGGGGCGCTCGCGTTCGCCGCCGGCGCCGGCTGCTCTTGAGGGGTCGAGGAGTCTGTCATGGCGGCGCTGTCGATGCTGCTACTGCTACTGCTGTTGTTGCTGGTAAAGATGACGAGGTTGTTATACAGGGCCGAGGCTGTCTCGAGGATGTGCTCCTTGAACAATACTACCGACAGGATTCCAACTGTGATGGAGAGCAGGATCGCGAAGAGCTTCATCAGGGGGAAGGGCGGGCTGCGACCAGTTCATATATACACCTGGGTAGCAAGACCAGTGGAATAGACCAAGATGACTATTCAGGATGGTAGTGGGAAGAAGAATCCCCAAGAACATTCCGCCTCCATCATCATCGCGGGCGCCAGCTACTTGTGCCCCCCGCCGCCGGGATGCGAAGCCAGACGTCAGTCGTTGAACGATTAATTTCGCCCCGCTAGGCTCCTTAGTAAACGGCGCGTCAGCAGCGAACGGCAAAAATCCGGCTGGCTGGCTGAAGTGCTGTGGAGGTACCTCGGGAAGGGCCCCCAGACTGAGGCAGAGCAGGGCGAAAGAAGAAAGGCTCGGCCCCATCTTGGCGTATGATTTCTAAATGCTGAGCAAGGATGGTGTCAGGGGGTTTGTCAGGCCACTGCCCAATCACGTCGGCGTCGCGACTCCGACGTGCAGGATTTCGCCCGGCGCCCGGCAGTGGGCTGCATGTCCCGTCGATGGCATTCTGTAGCGTATATCCGTCGCCCAGATCCGGTCCCTCTTGCTTCGTAATTTCGCGTCTTGGAATCCATGTCCCCAAGAAACCATATACTCATCATATCATAAGATTTATTGCATCAGGCGATCGTTCCAGATCAGACTTGATTCCCCCCTCGGTCGGCGGGAACTGCCGCTTGAAGCCAACCTTAATCCCTTCGAGGCAGGCTAACGCGATGTCATATATACAGGCCTCAGCTTTAAAGTCCTCCCTTGCCCTTGCTCCCTCCACATCGATAAAGTTCGCTCCTGCGGTACTTACCGTTACGGACTCAGAAGCCGAATTCTGGGGATAAACGGAGTGGTAGAGCCGTGCGAACTACCCAGTACCGTCCTTGGGGGCGGTGGTTCCCATCCAAAGTGCCGATCTCATCTTCCGACACATGAAACACGCACGCTTACGAGACGCGACTGAACATTTCTGCAGATATCCTGCAACAATCGTTTTCACTGCTGAACCGCCGACTTATAAACGCATATCACATTGGCACAAGTCATATTTGGGATTAATAATCTGTGATTCGTATAGCATCCGAATGTATGTAGTCAAATACACTGAGAGAGGATCGCAAAGTGAAGCTGTGTGTGCAGTGGTAGGGGGGTTGTATGGAGGTATCAATAAGAAAGGTAGGGAGTAGAAAGGGAATACCACCAAGCCGTACGTATACGTGCGGAGAGGGAGGAAGAAAAAGAACACAAGCACACACCACCACCACACTCCAAAATCTGCGCGAAGCTCTTCTCTCCCAGCACTGAAATCCTACAAACGATTCCGACGTCCGGGTCCAGGCAAGCAAAACGTGTCCTGTCCAGGCCAGTTGTCACCGCCGTTTTTTAAAAAATTTCGCCCTCTCCGGCATGCAAAGGGAGTGCGAGAAGGGCGTGGAAGAACCAAAAGATTTATCGTTCCTCCCGCAAACAATCCTCCAAGTCCGCTCAAAATGCTCAACGTTGCCAAGAAGGAAAACAAAAGAAGACATCGCAAGAAAAAGATTCAGGTAAAGAATCAAAAAAATCAGGTGGGAATCTGAGACGTTTCGAGAGTAAGTTCCACAACGCCTCATTACGTAGCAGCTTCAAGTCTTTCCAGAAGCTCATCCCCGTGGTAAAATGATCAACGTTCTCAAAAAAGAAAATATTTGGCCGCGAACGGTTGGCCATGCGTGCATGGGGTTGGTGTCTCCGCTGCGTTTCGGTTTTTATCTCCAAAGCTTGTGGAGACTCTGGTCGTAGCCCGCCAGTAGCTCAATGGATCGCCTCTTCTTGAAATCGGCATCGCGCTTCTTTTTTCGTTGCGCTGCTTCCTCCTCTTTTCTCCTCGCCTGTTGCTCTGCCCAATCGCAGGCTGCTTGCATCTCCATGGATCGTCGCTTCTTGAAGTCAGGGTCTCCTCGTTTACCGGGGGGGCCCTGCTTCACTGCGATTCACCGAGGCCCACCTAATGCACTTATTCGAGCGCCAGAGGGGCGGTGGATGAGGGACTCGGCGTGCTTACCAACGATAGGCTCCTGCTGAGGCATATCGTTGTCGCTGCGCTCCGTGTAGTCCTCCTCGTCGTCCTCGACGATCTTGGTGGGGATCTCATGGCCGATGCTGTACTGCTGCGACGACCTCTCAGGGGTCGTCATCGTGGAGGCAATGGACATGCTCGTCGAGCTGCGGTTGGGGATCAGATCAGGCGTGGGCGGGATGCTCGATGTGCGTCCTGACGGGTTAAGGTGGCTGTCCTCGCCCATGTCAGACGCGGCAGTTGAGCGGCCATCCTCGCTGTAGCGACCGGAGAGATTGCTGCTGCGGCGCCGGTTGGCCGTGGGCGTGTCAATTTCCGCATCATGAGCAAGCTCCAGACCCTCCACGGCAGCCTGGCACTGCTCTGCGATGTTGCGGATGATGTGAGAAATAGCGTCCGTCTTATCCTTGAGGTGACGGTCTGCCACGTCAAAGAAGCTCGAGGTCGAGAATCGCTTGCTGTTACGAGCGGCCTTGATAAGACGCTCCTTGTCAACCGAGGACATGCCACCATCCTCCTCGGTGGCCGCAACGAAGCCGTTGGCGATCTCTTCCTCCAAATCGACGGGGTGGGTCAAGGACTGGACAAGGTGCTCCATGTGGTGGCTCTGTCCGCCGATGAGGCTGCGCAGGTGCAGCACGACGCGACGGGCCTCGTCACGCTGGCGCATGATAGTCACGTTGGTGTGTTGCATAGCAGCAAGCTCCTTCTTGTTCCTCTTGCGCTCGCGCTCGAGTTCCTCAGCAATCTCTTGCTGGAGAACAAGAGCCTCAAGTGCGTCATCACGCTGCTTCTCCGTTCCAGTGAGGCGAACCGACATGCGTGCGGAGTCATCCTTCTGCTGGTCAATGAGACTGCCCAAGCGTCGGTTCTCCCTCTTGTGGCCCTCGATCTTAACCTTGAGGTCTTGGGTCTCCTTCGTAAGAGTTTCGGCAAAGGCCTGGAATTTGAGGAACTGGGATGAATTAGCATTGCTTGCGATGTCTTCAATTGCGGCTTGACCAAACGTACCTGTTGCTTCCAGCTCTCCAATTCCTCGTTGAGGTAGTTGTTGCGCTTCGTAACCTTCGCGAGCTCGGTGTCCATGCGACCCTTCAGGTTGATAAAGTCCTGCCAAGCCTCTTGAGCATCACGAGAGTACTGGTTCCTCTCGCGAACGATCTCGTTGAGGTGCCTCATAGAGACCTTTGTCATCAAAGGCTTCTTGACAGTACCGCCGAAAACGGCCTTGATGCCGCTGTTGCGGCCCATCTTCTCACAGACATGATCCATCACAGCCATGATGGAGTCCTGATTCCACCATTCGGGGTCCTGGATCGACTCGACCTCGCCGCGCATGACAATGATTTGACCAGCAGGCACAAGCTTTCCACCACCGTATGCGGAGCGCAGGTGTTGCGGAACGCCTGACGGGGTGACGTCCCCATTAAGAGCCTGAGTCAGGCGCGTGACAAACTTGTTGCGCTGCCCAGGGTTCAGGGCAGTGGGAGGGTCCGAGGTCAGGACGAAGTTGCGGTCCAGGTCGACCACGAGAGCATCGTTCGGCGCAGTGAAGAGCGACCGGCATTCGGCGGTAACACCCAGAATGTATGGGCCGGGCTCTTGGACGAGCTCCTTGGCGTGGCGGGCATGCACTACCGGCACGTACAGCCCACTCCACTCGTACACGCGAACACAATATCGAATCGTCTCGGCGGCGACCGTCAGTATGGCCGGGTAGTGGCTGACGAAAATAATGCGGCGGGTCGGTGAGATGGCTGCCTCGATCACTCCCACGATGTTAGGGATAGACAAGCAAGCAAACAGCGGCCACATGGCAAAGTTCTGGAAGCCGGTTGGGGACGAGGGGAACTGATAGCACAGAGCGTAGTCCTTCATGTCGATCCGGACAAGGTCGTTGAGGCGAGGCGCGGGGAAGCTCAGGATCCTCGAAACCTCCTCAGCATGGAAGAGGTTGGTAGCCTTGTTCCAGTGAATCCACATGCCGCGGAGGTAGTCACCCAGCAAGTTGTAGAGTGGGTACCTGGAGAGGAAGGACAAGCAGTACGGAATCCAGTAAGTCTCATCGGTGTTGTCATAGAAGTCGGGCTCTGTCCTCTTCCTCAGATCGCGGATAGTTTCGGCGCGCTTCTCGTCGGCTCGTGACCAAACCCGAAGGCAAATGCCATAGAGGGTGTGTGAGGAGTCCTGCTGGAGGACAAAGGCGTGGTGTACACAGTGAGGTTGGCTACGGCCTGTGCAAATCTCGACATCATGGGGGAAACAGGCCTGGATCAGTTTAGCGCAACGTTCGTTCTTCACCTTCTCTGGGACGAGGATGACCTACTCTCATGGCAGCATGCAAAGAACGAGCAATGTCATTGTCCTGCTCCAACCTTGGGCTACTGCCGAGGATCTCCGGCAGCCAAAACTGCCCGACAGCACCCTTCATGTGTCCAATCTTGCCCTGAGCTGGGGCCGGGGCCTTGACCCACTGGGATGGCTCGCGGCCAACACCACAGACCATGTAGGCATGTGTGAGTGTCTTGGGCGTCCGTTGCTGGGATTTGGCGTTGAGGGTCGAGGGGATGGGCTGTGTGATCCTCGAATGCAGCGACGATGTCCGGCTGGGGATGATTAGGTTGTTGTCGCCCTGGTCGCGAGTTGTAGGGCGGGCATCGCGATCGCTCGTCCGAGGACGGGTGAAGGAGGTGTGCGCGGTGAGCGAGGGGGCCATGTTCGCGTATGTGACCAACGGTCGGCTTCCGAATTAGGAGGGGTGTAAGGAGCTTCGAGAGCTTGCTGTGAGGAGCAGTCGTCCAGCTGATGGCCCAATTGTCCAAGGTGGGCCTCTGTCAGTGACGTGGAGGAAGGGATGATTCAGAATCAAGGTCGGTCGGATTATCCAAAGCGTCAGAGAATGTTTGCAGACGGCGTTGTCCAAGCGGTGGCGGCAGTGAGCTATGAGCTGGGTATCGGAGTCAAAAAGGAGCGGCTGTAGTGAGGACAGAGACGTAAGGATTCCCGAGTGCTGATCGAATGGATGCAATGCTGGGTAGACCAGGTCTCGTCCGAGACACTGGAATAAGAAAGAAAAGAGCCAGGTTCCAGAATTTTGATTTCGATTCCACGTTGATCCCCCCAATTTGCGAGAGCCCGTGTTATTCAGATGGGTCCTCGCCGCTGACACTTGCAAGCAGGTGCAGATGGGATGGAGATGGGGGACGAAGCAGAGCAACAAAACAAAAAAGGGGGGCAGAGGGTAAAGAAGAAGGGGGCGAAGAGGCGCAGGCGGCCAGATTGGGTGAGTGAGGTAAGCGGAGGGAGGGTGGTAAATAGGAGGGAATCACACACACAGGTGAAGCGACGGTGGAACCCCGGTCGACATGGGGGAGACAAGAAAGTGGGAGGGCAGAGCAAGAGCTCCAAGCTCAGAAATCAGCACAGCAGACCACACAGCACACAGCAGTGCGCCGTTTCTGCCCCGGTCGCGGCCGTGAATCAATTACAGGGGCCCCACGCCCTCAGGCTGGTCTGGGACAGGAAACCGTTGGCAAGCTGTGGTACCTACCAAGGTTGGAAGCAGGGAGTACGGATACGGATGAGGGCACAGGCACCGTAATTTGCGCACTGTGGGTCCCGAAGAAACGGAGGCTGCAGAGTGCAGAGTGCAGACTCAACCCCGCTCTCGTGCCGGCAGAGCACGTACAGGAGGTTGGTCGCAGTCGCAGAGTGAAAAAATGGAGGTCCTGTAGGTGCTGAACTGTTCCTGCAGGACAGAGCTAATGCCATACAGCGATCCGTCTTGGACTTGTGGGTCTCTGGATCGGAAGACGAATACAACAGTGTCATGCGGAACGGTCCTGGCGGTACGGGAGCTTGAGGGCAATCGTGCGCACGCTGCAATGTATATGATCCGACTTATTATGCAGCCGTGTGCTGTCCGCAAGTCACAGTGGCCTCTTGACGCTTTGTCAGTGAGGTGCAGACAGACTGCAGGCCGTTGGAATGCAGACTGCAGACTGCATTCTCATCAGCCAGGCATTCCGCCCACCTAGTTGATTGAGAGGGTGTGATGGGGCGAGCACACCGGCCAGAACGGAGTTCGCAGCGTGCATCCGCGAGGTCGCCTGAGGGGCCTGAGGGGCTCGTGCCATTTATTCGCGATGTCGCCCTTGCTGGGGCCAAACTTGCTCGCTGCTCCCGATCCAAGTACAGGACATGCACATGTGCATATGCGAGCCAAGGTTGGTTTCCATCACAGACTCGGAACATCTAGCCGCCTGGTCTGTGTTCCTATCTTGCACCGGCATATCTATTCAAAACCTTGGGTTGTTGCTGCCAGGTCTAGCACGATGTGAGACGTCCAAGATGAACGGAGAGGGGAGATGCACAGAGACGGTGGGAGAAACTCTCATTAACACTGTGTGCTGTCTTCCCGTCCAGGGTCCTGCGACCGGGCCCTGCCACTTTCCCCTGGATCGTTGCTGCAGGCCCTGGAGATGGAATCCACACTGGGCCTAGGCGTGGCAGCCAGGCAAGGGGCTCCATGTCGATTCTTTCCCAATCGCAGCTGCTTCAATTTTGCGCAATCAGGTACGTGCCCACGCTCTCCACTCGCACCTCGATGCAGTGCAGGACGGTACAGTGGGAAGTGCGAAGTGCGAATCCCCACCTGGCTTGAGGTGACCGACTGATCCACCCTCGACAAGAGAAAGACATCATCGGCCACGAGGTATCCAGACTCTCATAGTAGATACAGTAGCAACACAGCTGTCTTCACGCCCGGTTAGCGAGACTGAGTTGTGGACGATCTGCCGCCAGCACCTTGACTCCCGTTGGCAGGATCAACTCTAACTCTAATGGCACAGCAAGGGGCCCATCTGCATCGTACAGTAGCAGCAATCTTGACCTTCAACTTGTCCGTCAATCAATCACAGGTGATCGCTGTCTGTTGCCACCGCCGCCGATGTTATTATCACCACCACGGCAGCTAGCTCGACATCGCGTCCAGACACTATCGCAAAGGAGCCATTCAAGAGCGACAGTCGCCGAGCTGGATCACGTTGAAACACTCAACTAGTCGAAACATGTCCGAGCACTAATCCTCCGTTGATCCTGACACGCCACGAGCAAGCCGTAACGGCGGAGGCGTCCCCCAATGCCTCGTTAGTCTACCACACTCGGCTTCTGGCTGGCTCGCTGGCTGGTTGGCTAGCATGGAAGCAGGACAGGACTACTGAGGGCATGGGGAAGGTGGTCCAGAGCTGACTGTTCGTCTCATGGACTGCAGTGCGGCTTAAACCGACCCTCATCAATGCTGGCCTGGCCCACGTTGCTGACACTTGTTGAGTCGCACAGCTATCGTCTGGTCTCTTCCTTGCCGTCTCTCTGGAAGCACAAGCTCCATCGTCCGTGACGCTGCCGCTGGTCGGCAATTCATGGAAACAACGTGGCTGGCAAGCACAATCTGCCCTCGACTGCGTGGTCGAACATCCCCTCGCCTGGAGCGCCTTGGGCAACGTGACGCGTTTCGAGGCAGGGAAGCCCTGATGGTAGTACGGTGATTCCCTGCCCTCTCGAACCTCAGCCGCTCGTCCCAACTCACACGGGGCGATCTAGGTTCTTCGGACTCCTCACAGTGGCGATGCTCATGCACGGCAGCACGTCAGCACATCAGCACGTCTAACTGCTGCTGCTGCCTCCGATGGGAGAGGAGAAAAGGCGCTCGGGAGCCGCGATTGTCCACTTGCCCAAACGAGTATCTAGCGGCCGTGTTATCGCCGCTGTGCTGTCTCCACGGCGGCGTCATTCGCTGCTGCGCCTGCCGAGGCGTTGCGCTCTGACCTCCCGCCATGATCCAGCTGCAATCTGCTTCGGCCGGTGGTTGCTTTCGAGCAGTGATCAGTCGTGTGGCGGCGATGTTCGTAATCCGACCCATCCTGCGAGTGCACACATCCCCGACGATTGGCGGTGCTTTGCTTTTCGCGGCCGCTGAAGAATTGCGCTCATCTAACTCCTTTCTGCGTCGGCTTTCTTTTGCAAGGAGACCCCAGAACATCAAGCCAGTCCTTCCGCTCTGCTCCAGCCGCCCTTCGACCTCGGCTCGTGGCACCCCTTCTACAGTACACGCAAAACTAGCAAAGCCTAGAAGCAGATCCTCAATGGGCGTTCATGTTACGGCCCGGCTGGTCTTGAACACATCGCCAGTCGATCGTGTGGGGAGGCCTGAGTGCAGACGCGTCGATCAGGTTCGTCAGGAACCCCCGCACATCCATGCAGACAATGCTCAAAATAGCGATGCATTGACAAATCAATGTGATGGTCTGAAAGGAGTGAAAGGGTCAATTGCAAGAAACCAGTCCGAGCGCGAGGGTGTCATCGCCTCAAACTCGCTGAGATCAAGACATCGGATGAGGCAGGGAGATGCTGTCCCGCGGTCACAACATCGCTGTGCCGTGCAGCATCCTGAACTGCGGACCGCTCGGCCGGAGAATTGTCTGCAACAAATCAATCGAAGGGGCATCCAACAAGACGTTCGAGAAAAAAAAACAACCCGAGCCCCCGGCGCATTGCAGAGCATTCGCCGCGATGACTCGAAAAGGAGCTTCACCGTCACATATCACACATTGACTGTGACGGTAGTTCGTATCAGCAATCTATACCAAGCCTGCTATAGGTGTGTCCTGCCAGGTAAAACTGCCCAGACTTTCCACCGAGAAGTCCTCCGACTTTCTCCTGTTCACCGAAGCTCAAGTCGAATGCAGCTCGCTCACAACTGATATCAGGCCTGTGTCGGCCAGTCCAAGCTACAGGGCAGCCGCGGCTATGGGCTCTTATCATTTGCTCCCAGAGGGCCGGGATGGGGTTCGGGAGATTGGACTGAGGCCCTTCCGAATTTCCTCAAGAGATGTCTCACACATCATGCACTGTAGATCCACCACGAACCCACTGTGAGTTCGCTACCAGATCCGCCGGTTGCCAAAATTCAGATGGATTGCCACGGCACAGCAGCAGCCCTTTGCACGCGGGCGCCGGGCAGCCCGCGCTGCCGACTTGGAAAAGCAAGTCCCCGTCCCGACCGATCCTTCCGCAGTAGTAATGGAGATTTTGACAGCAGCATGCCGAGTGAAGGTTTGCGAATACCAAAGTCCAAGCTCCACTGCTGTCAAACAGGGCGGTCCCGCATGGCTTCAGTTGCTGGGGACTGCCTACCCGTCTGTCAACCAAGGCTGGCACTTCGGCGCACTGGCCCCTGAGGCAAGCAGCAACAGGATAGAAATGCCGCTCTCACCAAACCAGTGCTGAAAGCTTAAAGCCCCAGGGTGGCCTTTTCTCACGGTGCCACAGACCACGTTTTCTAGTCAAGCAAAGTCAATGGTATTCTCGTCATTCCTCATCATCGACTCACCTTTCCGGTCAAATAGCCGAGACCACGAAGGAATGGGCGTGGGTGCTCGTGCCCCTTCGCGTGCCACGGCTTCCATGTCACGGCTTGACACAGCACAGGACCCATAGTACAGAACGGTAGATATCCACCTTTAAATACCCGACGCAAGCAATCACCAGCAGGACTGCTCAACCCATCACCTTCGAGGTATCCATAGCAGCAAGGTTTACGCCTACTTGCGTTTCAAACAAACACAGTCGAGAGAGTCTTTATCCGACCTGTCGGCCATCCCTCCTCGAGAATCCGCGAGGCCATGCTCAAGTTGGGGAAAAGAGTCCTGACGGGGCGGCACAGCTTCTCGAAGGATCCCAGACATCAAACGATAGTCTAGGAAAACTCAACCCGATTCTACGGTTCCGCTTAGGCCTAGCCAGGTTTCTTGCCCCTCCAAGGTTTGCGCTATTGACGCTATCATCAAAGAGGGAGGGCCCTCGTTGCAGCATGCTTGTGTTTGCCGTTAGCCCTCTGCTTGGAAAGGAAAACGGCCAGGGCGAAACGGACCAAACGCTACGACCGACGAGCAAGGGGAGCCCGACACACAGACCCCCATCCATCACACAATACGCAGTCAGGAGGAGAAAGAAAAACGGACATGTTTCCCCAATCTGCCTCGACCATGCGACAGGCGGAAATTAGTCCCCTGCCCCCTGCCTGCTCGATCATCCCCTGCCCTCTCTTCCGGCAACTTTCCGATTAGCTTTCCATTCCTCAAAGGGGCAGTCCCCTACCACAGGATGCAGCGCTTTGGGGAAAACATGGTTGCTGATGACACGGTTGGCTGCTGAAGAAGTCTGTTCAGTCACGTGGCAATCGGTGCTGGCTGGCACGGGCCTTTTCACTAACACCTCGCGCAAAGGCCATGCCTGCCGGTCGGTCGTGACGCTCTCAGATATGCGTGCAGTATATCGAAAGGTCTTGAGGCGATTGACTCCTACCTCATGTCGTTCTTGCTAGCCAAAAACAGGTTCCCAATGACCCGAGATCCACGGCCGGGCCAAGCATGGTGCCCGGGAAATCGGTGGGGCTCTCCCACTATATTCCCCGTGCCCGAGAGCAACACGAGGGAGGCTTCCACTGGATCGAAGTCCTCGGCAGAACATTTAGTTCTGTCGAGTCGACCCGAGGCCTGACAAAATTTCTGCGGGCCGCACGCCGAGAGATGCCTGAATGGGGTCGCCGCGTGGTTCAGGACAATGGCGTAGACCCAAGTTATCTGTGGGATGCCTCCCACAGCCGCCACCCAAAGCCACCACCCCACACAGAGAAAGGGAAAAAGTCACTGCCGCGGGTGCCTAGTGATGGAGCCCCAGCAAGTCACCCAGCAGCCCTGAATTTTGGCGGCCCCGTTCCAATGGAGGCTGGAAGTCGTATATCTGAACCCAGGGGCACGCGATTAAGGTTGGTGGGACGGTCCTCGCCTCCACCTGTCAAGATTTGCTCAGCGCGCTCACACCGCAACCTGCCAGCTGCGGTCGGATGCGTGCCTGGGGGTTACCTCGTGGCTGTAGACCGTGGTTTTTTTTTTTTTTTTTTCGCAAGAGGGCGGAAGCGGGAAGCGGGCTTCGGGGCTGTCGGCCGAGGCACGACCTGCTCAGCCCTGAGGTGCGCGGACGATGGGGCCTTTATGTTCGATCAACGAGCAGTGTTCTGTTTGTTCGGATCAGAGCCTGTCTATGCAGTGGGCAAAAGGTGAGCACGTCAACCGCATGTCCACTCTGTCTTTTAGCGGTCCGTCCCGCTGGGCTGTTGTCGTGCATGTGTGTGATGGCTCACTTTCTTTTCGCGTGGGCGGGCGCCAGAAGGTCCCACTTTCGCCCACGGGTTCCTCTGTGGCATTGCGCGGTGAGGATAGTCGCCATACCGTGTGGGTGTTTACTAGGCACGTGCATTTATCCACTGGATGGTTGAACTCACGCATGCTCACGAAGCTCTGTCATTTTGGCGGCGAGCCGTAACTGCCTGGGCCGATTTGTGTGCGGTGGGCTTGTACCAGTGTACACCGATGTTTGCGGTTCATCGTCGCCTATGTGCTCTATAAGCTGTGGCTTTCCTCTGGAAGTGGACTCCGAGCCTGGCCCGACCCGGCGGCATCTTCTTATATATATGCTCCGGCATTGACTCCTGAAGTCAGGAAGATAAGGCACGCCCATTAACCGGACCAATTGTAGACCAAGCGGTTGAAAAGTTGACCGGCACGAGATCGTGAAGACGCTGCGAGAGACTCGAAGGGGCGTCGCTGGAGCGGATACCTAGGGAGTCATCCATCTCCGCTGTTCTGCAAATATTACCTCGCACGATCTCACGAATGCTCGCATACCGATGGACCAAGCAAACTCGAGCAGCTGTCTAGAGAGCGGGGGATGGCTTCATGTCGTGCTGCTGTGTCAAACTCGCGTGGTGGCCAAGCCCATATCTCAACCTGAATGGCTTATTCATCCAGCTACAGAATTCACTTCACTCCGTTCGGTTCAAGACCGAGATAATTGCCCTCTTCTGCGGGGTAAGATTGAAACTGGTTTCCCGTGCCAACCTACTTACTGGTGAGAGAGGCACGCGGAAGCCAACGGGCACAGCCATGCTCCGTCAACCGGCCTGTCGCTTACACTTTGTTTCAGACCCATACGGGGCAAGCACAAACCCATCAGACTCACTGGAACGTTGTAGCCCATGCGTATAGGCTCAAGAGGAGCATAGGAGGCACTGGGTTTTCTTCCGCCTCGTGGATGGGACCTGGCTGGCCGGACTACGAGCGCGCATCCCACAGGTCCAGATATTGACTGGTACCCGATTCTTCATGTTCGTCAACAGCTGCGAGATTCAGCAGACTGGAAGCAGGAGGGAGAAAGAACGCGAAACTGCCGTGTCGACTCGAGCCACTGCATCATTTTGGAGTTGAACAGATCTCAGGCGGCCCTGGATCTTGCCTGACAGCGGGTGGAAGGCCTCCTGGAAAGATATGTATATGTCAGGGCTCGGCAGTGCAGTGAGAAATAAAAATTGAGAACCCTTGAAGTGAAGATATTTATGTGGTGATTAAGGGAATTAAACAGGCGCATGCGTTGATGTTGAGGCTGGCAAGACTGGCAGGCAGGCATCTGTACAAGGAATCAAGAGCACATCAGATGCTGGATGTTGACACAAGCGTAGCTACTCTACGTATATGACACCGAAAGATTCAAGAAGAATGCTACGACCGCAGACAACACACACGTTAATCGTGTCCGGAAGGAAAAGAATTTTTTTTTTTGGGGGGGGGGGGGGGCTAGGTTTCTGAGACAGTAATTAAAATGCTGTTCCAGCCACCGTCCAATCATCTAGCCGGAGACAATTCCGCTGCTACCCTCCAGCTAAAGCAGTTCTATGCATAATAGGCTGAGAGGACAGGTAGAACAACCGAAACAGAAAGCCCTCGACCGTCTGTCTACTACTCATTGCATGTTCACCCCAACTTCCCACCCACCACCGCCGCCACCATCACCACCACCGTCATGATCCTCATCCTCAGACCAAAAGATTCTCTACCCATACGCGTGTGGAGAAAACACCTCCTCACGCACGCGAAGCACACACCGACACAAGGCAGAGCCAGCCCTCACATGCGGCCCCGAGCCTGAGGCCGGGTGAGCAGAGCCCAGGATCCAGCTCTTCAAGCAGCATAGGCGTTGCCGTCAATTCCCCTATGCCGCCCCCTCCCTCAACCCAGACCCACGAAATGAAACTCCGAGAAAACACATAGCGGGGGCGTTTTGGCTTCCGCTGATGGCCGAACCTCGGCTGGCACGACCCAACACCCATCATCAGGTTCCACGCCAGAATTGAGGCAATTTCCCTGTCCGCTATGAGACCATTGGCCTGTATGGATTGGCACTGTAAGATCACACCACGCCAATGACAAGAGGCGAACGTCATGGGCAACAGACACATCATCCTAGAAGGTCAGTTACTTCCTGTCATGGAATAGAGGGAGTGCAGAACAGATCATGTATAAGGATAAGAAGACTTGACCAGATCACGGGCCCTGGCGCGGCATGTTCACCAAATGAGAAATCTATTAGCTATTTTGTCCCTCTGAACACCGACAGAACTTCACTTCTCCATTACGACCGCTGACAACACCACCGGCAACAGTAGCAACAACAATAACAGCCTTAGTCGTCAATAAAGTCTTGGAGATGCGGACTGGATAATATCCAGCCTTGCTCAGGAGCACGATGACATTGAGGGAACCAGATTCCAGTCCATCCCGCAAAGGGCCATGTACAGACATGAAACGACAGTTGTGGTCTCGTGAGTAATAGAACAGTGAGAAATGTGAAGGAAAAAACGAGACAACACGATGGCGAGCGCATGAAACAGGGATATCTTGGTGCCTTCGCCCCAGCTCAACCAGACCCGAGCGGTCTGGTGGTGTCTTCTTCGGAGCTCGACGTCATCTTCAGCTTCGATGGTGTCTTCTTCTTCTTTGAAGTGGTCTTTTTCGCCGATGCGGTGGGGCGGCGTGGCCGCGTAGGTTCCACAGGGTCCCGGGGAGGGTGATTGTATGTACGATTTGGGTCGGTAACAGTTTCTCCGATGCTCACGAGCGGATAACGGCTGCTGGAGGCTGTGGAATCGGCCACAAACCCCTCCTAATTGTTGCTGACCTTGTTGTCCACAGCATTGTGGGCCTCCTCCTTCTTCGTGTGGAGGAAGTCACCAATGAATCTGACAGTCTCGCCGGTGATGACGAGGGCAGTGGCGATTGCAGCCTTGCCGGTAGAAATCAAAGCGAAGCCGGACTCATTGCCGCCGTTGGCTTTCTTGTACTCGCTGGAGTAGGTGCTCCAGACGTGGTCGCGGCCCTCGAGGCCCTTGTGGTAGGGGAACAGTACAATGCCCTTGGCATCGGTGTACAGCTCGTTGGTGGGCTTCTTGACGACAGGGAAACGCTCATCGACCTTGGTCAATGCCTTGTCGCCGAGGTCGTCTGCCTTCTTGACATAAGGCTGGACATATTGGTAGGGGCCGTTGAAGTAGGGTACAATGGGAGCGGCAAAGGTCTGGTAGGCCGAGTCGCCGAGCTGGATGGACTTTGCGCCGTAGGGGTTCGACTTGAACGTCTCGATGCCATCATGGACAATGTGGTAGTTGTACAGGTGCTTTGTTGAATTAGTTTTGGCTCCGAGTACGTGAGACTGGTGCAAGAAGGCAGGCTTTGTGCAGAGAGGGGTTCAGCGCAACCGGCTTGCGGAACTGGTTCCCGGAGCTGGTTTCCGCTACGGCCTCACCGTGGAGTGCAGTGGGCGCGGAAGAACAGAAGAGGGTGCTTACCTTCAGGAATGAAGACCGTGGTACATCACCGTTGACCTGAGGTGCCGACATTGTGGGACGTAAGCGTGACTGACGTGACGACAGTGGCGTGGGCTGGCTTGAGATGAGGTAGCAAGGGACGAGATCTGACTCGTATATGGAAGGTCGATTGAGATCTGACAAGCTGATGAGGGCGGCGTCTGCGTGTGGGTGTGCGTCTCAAAGCCACAGGGTGTGGTGTGAAGCTTGTTCTAATTTCTGACTCGTGATGCGATGATGAGGTGGAGAGGAAGTGGTGAAGGTAAAAGAGAGGGGGGGAAAAGGTTGAGGGCAAAGCGCGTGCGACTGCGTATAGCGTGTGGGCAAAGGGGTTGCGTTGGTATGTGAGACTGGGACCGGAACACGAAAGCAGGAAGGGGGGGGGGAAGAAAAAGGGAAGTCTTGGGAAGGAGGCGGGTGGTGGAATGGAAGCTAAAAAGAAGGAAGGCGTTTCTTCCTGCCCCCAGTGCTGCCAGAAGATTGTTGTGTGGTTATCGAGTGGACTGACGCCACGCGCGCGGTCGCAACATCAATGGGAGACTGGGAAAAAGGTGGGCAGTGGGGGGAGTGGGCCTTGCTGGCTGTCAGATAAGGAAAGCACGCAGCTGGCATGTGAGAGAGGGCAGGAGAGGTATTCGCCGGTACCTACCTACCCAAGTCTTATGTAACGGCGTACCTGCTTTGTACTCTTGGACACCACCGCCTGGGAAGGGAGGAGAAGGCAGGCAGCTGGAATGGGACAGAACCGGACAGAACGGAATGGGGGGAGAACCTTCTCTCCACTGGCGTCTCCGGCTGGCACCTGCCTACCTGCGCTGTCATCTACTCTTCTCGCTACTGCTGCAGCACTATTACCAGAAATGTCCGTCGGTCGAAAGCATCTGGACGTTGCCTGAGCCTCTATCACACCCACACATCCACACATCCACACATCCAGAGAGGTACATGAGCATACATCCTGAGCGCTTGGCGGGGCTTGCCGTTGCGCTGTGCAAAAGAAGCTGCCAGGCCGGGGCCCCCCTTGCCCTCAAGAACCCTGTTCTGATGCCTGTCCAAAGCATGTGAAAGGTGGCTCAAGCTGCTTCGAGCTTGCTCGCCTCCACCAGCAAAAGCAGCTCTCCTCCTCCTGCCTCTCACCAAATCCCCTCTTCAAACTGTCGGCGCCCAATCACGGTCCTGGTAACCTTCCTTGTGCTCGCATGGCATCGCCCTTCATCAAAATCTGCAGCTCTGATACGGGCGACAAACATGCTTCGGTAGCAATTGGCTTCAACAGATCCATACCATCATTCGAATTGGCTGCGCTGGTTCGCCCTTCCCTGCCTACATTTATTGCCTGGCATCCGTCTTCCTGACGCCGGGGAAGCCGTTTATATCCTCCTTGATCTCACCTCGAGCGTCTCTGTCCGTCGTACAGCAGCCTCCAATAGACGGGGCGACACCGCATGCTGTATCACCCAAACGCGGGAGCAATTGTTCCTCCTCTCCCTGCCTTGCCCCGCCGTGGCTGACGAGGTTGGGAGAATGGAGCATCAATCACCCGAGCGAGGAAGAAGACGACAAAAAGTCATCCAAAGTCTCTGACAAACTCAATCGGGCCACCCCACACTCAAGGACCAGGGAGCTCAACCTCGGAAGGTGACCCTGTATAACTCTGACGGCCGCAGTTGCTCACCTCCCCGGGTCCGAGATACCCGATGCTATCAACAGCATCACGACAGCCTCTAGTCCGGGCCAGGCTGGACCAGGCCGTCGGAAAGCACATGTCAAATAAATGAAGGTCGTCCTGTCACGACGGCTTCACCAACCCACACCACGCCAACATCACGCCACATGTTGCAGCCGAGAGACTCCTCAATGGCTACCCACCTCGCTCATTACGGGCTCCGACGGGGCAATTTCATGGGATGGCCAAAAGCGGCTTGATCCGCCCAAATTGCCTTATGACAGGGCTGTCAACTGGCAGTCCCATCTGCATGTGACACAGCACGAGGTGGCTGGCTGGCTGGCTCAACTGCCGCATTCTTTGGTGCCCGCACAATGACACAAGCATCGTGGAATGAACTGCTCGACATGCAGGCCATCCGACATCACATGGGCTCCTGATGACTTGCGTGCGCCCTGATATCACGCCTCAGGTTCCGCATAACGGGCCACGCCACTGATCAATGTAGGCTTGTGACATGGGTGCGCTGTCGACCTACTGTGCTGCCCCACAGTTCAACCCGAGCTGACGGAACAGGGGCACAAATTAGATTGCTTTGGTAGGCCTTTCACATGCTCGAGCGCCGCCCTTGGGCTTGACGCGCAGTGTTGTTTACGAGAGACAAGAAAGCCTCCCAACAATCACGTCTCTGGCCATCCATTGGGCTCAAACCAAGATGGTGACATCGCCGCCATCTCATGTCTTGATATAGTGGCCGTCATGCCCTCACACTCGCAGCTCCTCGGACCAACCACCTCTTCGATTCCTACCCTGTCCAGCCCAAAACAACGCCCAAACCACAGACAGAGGGCCGCTGTTGATGTGTTCGTAATCCGATGCGACATTGAAGCCCCTCTTCGTTGTTCTAGCTTCCCCGGCCCCAACCCGCACGACTACCTATCTTCATCCTTGGATTACCACTCGCATCCGTGTGGCAGATCCTTGATGCAGTCCGATGCGATCGGATTAGCAAAGGCTAGGTTTGAGCGACAAATTCCCCCATTCGTGCCACACCATTGCTCGCGACCGGCCCGGGCAGCTCAGCGGCCCTGTTCGAAGAGCCGCTTGTGCAGCATACGCCGCCAACAAATTGGCAATACAGGGGGTCCCACGCAAATCAGCACATTTGTTGGAGCACTGCTCCGTACAAAAAGAACCAAGGGTCCCGAAATTTGTCTCAACCTTGACGGAAGCACGGCTTTGATGCCCCTGTACCCTCCATCATCATCCTCGCGGGAGCTCTCGGCCCGGGGTTGACGCATGAAATGGCAAACGAGTCCCTCAACAAATCCAGACTGCAGAACAGCAGAATTTGCAATGAGCAACTCATTCTGATTCCCGGAGCTGATCGTCGATGAGGCCTCGGGACAGCGAGTCTTATCCGTTGAGGTAAAACCGCGCAGCAAAAAAAGCAAAGGAAAGCCCCGCCGACCACAGCTGAAGCGCCAGCAATGTGGCTAAAATCGCCGTTCTGAGGTGGCGGGGCACTTGGCTGTCAGTCTGCCAATTCGTCTCGAAATTTTCCACTCCTCAGATATCGTCATGGTTTGCATTTAGAGCAAGCGGCCGATTGGATTCAGACGCTCAGCACCCTAGGCAGCCGAGTTCTACCCTGTCTGTCCAAAGCTTCAGACGCATCAGCCATCGACCCATCTAAGTACCTGGAATCCCTGCGCCTGGAGCGGACATATGGGCAGCACGACACAACGTCGTGTGTGACGACATTTATTGCTCTGTATTGTTAGGCTGATGCGGACATGCGGCGCACCAGGCTTGTGAATAATGCATGGGAGAAGAAGTCATGCCGCATACGGTCCAACAGATTGGGTCCCAAACTTGCTATATCAGCCCCCCAGAGAAGACTCTGTGCTCTGTGCTGTATAGTCAACAAGCTACGGGACCCGGCAACATGCAGGCAGCCTCTTCTTCTCCTTCGTTGTGGCTTTTGTTCCACGTGTGGTGGCTTGGCTTCGTCGAGTGGCAGGGCCATGTGACGTTGAGCAGCATGCGCCTAGGACGCTGTCACCAGGACGGCGCATATCTTGTGCGCCCCCTGGCATGATGCGGGTACGATTCTCGTGGCCTTCACTGGACAGTGTTGGCTGTGGTCTCAGAACTTTTGAGCGCTTCAGAGAGTCGTGCACGCATTTAGCTGGGAATGTTCCCGGCCGTGGCTTTTCCCGTTCAAGCGAACGGGTACACGAGGAGAGCAGAACTGGCATTGCAGAGGTCGTGCGAGGCCGGCCTTTCGATTGCCGTTGAATAGCTGAGTGGCGAAGAAACGGAACTGGTCTTCTGCGGTGAGGGCAGCACACACCGAAATTTCTCGGTCTCAGTCGAAACACCCGCGCTCAATTCAACAGAACGAAGAATATAGTTTCGGCTCGGACTGTGATGATGCAGACCGGGATACCTGTCTTACTGGTTGGTGCTTATTGTATGCCGTCGTGATCTGCATGGCTTGTGATGATGCTTGGGATCTGCTCCAGTGAGCATCTTTCTGCTTATCCTCTGTGTATCCTGCTTGTGTGACGAAAGGGAGCGATGATCCGGGGACAAGCGGTCGAATTAGCGAGGAAATCGCGATGTCCTCATTCACGTGTCGGTGAGAGGCATATTATGAGGATTGCACTTTGGGTTTGTACAATGTGCCATTCGGGGAGAAAGAACCATCCTACGTGCAGAAATCATCGGGTCCCTACCCCGGGCCATTGCTACAGTCAACCCGGGGACTGCTGTGTGACCTACATGTGACGTCCATAGGCACATGCAACGGCGTTCTCAGCAACGTTGCTTGGAGTGTGCCGACCCAATTCATTGCCCGGCCTCAAGAGCAATGAAACGACATAATAGGTATAGAAATGTCGAACAGGTCCAGCTCACAAAATACAGTGCCGGCGCCGTTGGCGGCCGACACGGGGAATCCCTCTGGTTCCAGCCTGTCAGGCACGCCCTTTGGTCGGCTGCGTACCGAGTCCATTGATTCCGAGGTCCAATGCCTTGTAGGCTATTCTCAACCTACGCCGCAAAATATGACCCTGTGTTGTTTTCGAGGCCATTCTGAACAAGTTCTTTGGCCTGCCCGTAGAACTTAGGTACGGATTTCGAGGTCGCCGTCAGAGCAACTTTGGCTACCCCTTTCATGATTCTGCTCAGACTGAATGTTTTCAAATTCCATATAAAAGTGATAAAGACTGGAAGGCGGTATAGATGCTTGCCTCAAGGCTTATGATTGAGTTGATGAGAAGGAGTGAAGACGCCCGATTTGCATGTGTCAGGCACAGCACTCCAGCAGCTTATCGCTATCAACCGCACCTTATCGATAACACCCATAATTTATTTGACTTCCCCAGCAGGAAGTCCAATGGAGAACAAAAACTTGACATTCACATCACGGCATTGACATACTCTTTGGCATTGTTTTCTTCTGAAGTAATTACTTCATACAATTGGTTTCCTCTAATACTGAAAAGCAGTGATAAACACAAACCCCCAGCACACGAGGTGTATCACAACCCATGCGCCGGCCAAGATGGCTGACCCGCTGCTCAACACGCTGTGCAGCATCTGCCACATCAGCACGCCCAAGTACACCTGCCCGGGCTGCAACTCGCACACCTGCTCGCTGGCATGCAACAAGAAGCACAAATCATGGGCGAACTGCTCGGGCAAGCGCGACCCCACGGCCTACATGCCCGCCTCCAAGCTCAAGACCCCGGCCGGCGTCGACCACGACTACAACTTCCTGTCCTCGATCGAGCGCGAGCGCGAGCGCAACCAGCGCGAGATCGTCGACGAGCGGCAGCTCTTCTCGGAAAAGGAGCTGGGCCAGCTCGACGACCCCTACAGCTTCCGCAAGCAGTGGTTCGGCGAGAACGTCCGCTTCCATCCCGTCGGCGCCGCGCCTAGGCAGTTCGGCTCCGACGGCGAGGACAGCGACGGCGCGGACGGGGGCGGAAGTAGCAACAGGAAACACATACCCGCCAAGGCGAGCCAGCTGACGCGCACCCTCCGCCAGCGCCTCGCCCTCGAGAACGTGGAGGTGGTGCAGATGCCTGTCGGGATGACGAGGCAGAGGGAGAACACGACGAGCTGGAACAGGAAGTCGAGGAGGATCAACTGGTGCGTCGAGTGGATCGTGTACGGCGGCGGCGGGGAGTCGGGGGAGGAGCTCAAGAAACACACGAGGATACGACACAAGGCGCTCGAGACGACGCCGCTGTACAAGGCGCTGGGAAACTCGATGGCGTGGTACAAGAAGGGTCACCAAGCGGACGAGGACGCTTCGGACGACGAGGAAATCGAGATGGCCCGAGCCGGGCGGCACAAGAAGGTCCTCATCCGCGAGGTCAAGGAGGACAGACGACGGGGCGGTGGCGCCATGCAGGACTGCCACTCAGCGGCATGGCCCACGAGGGCGCAATATCCGACGCAGAACCCCTTCACGGGCGCCTGGGCAAGCGACGCGGCCGCGACCGCAACGTCGTGGCAGGCGGACGAGGAGGTAGACGCGCGCAGGCGTCACAGGTTCTACCTGCTGAGGCCGCTGACCGTCGCAGGCAAGCCGAGGGAGCTCATCCCCGTCGAGGCCACCGACGGCATGGGGGCCGCGCTGCGGGGGCGCACCGTCCTCGAGTTCCCTACCATCTATGTCCTTCCCCCGGAATCGGACCCGTCCTCGACAACGGCACAGGCACCGGAATCATCATCATCCCCACCGCTGCCCGAGGGCCACATCCTCGGCTCGACGGAGCGCCGCGCAAACAGCAAGCGACAATCGGCCGCGGCGAAGCGGAAGGCCGGCCCCAAGGACGACAACGCGCGCCAGCAGTCTCACAAGCGCCAGGCCGTCGGCGAGGCCGGAATCCCCGTGCGGCCATCGGCAGCAGGTGGTGGTGGTGCCCAGCGCGGTCGGGGCGGTGCTGCTGCTGCTGCGGCGCGCGGCCGAGGCAAGGGCCGCGGTGGCCGGGTACATTCTGCGAGGCAACAGCGGGGCGGCGACCAGGATGCCGAGGAGGGCGAGGTCAACAGCGACGGCGACGAGGTGTTGGCGCACCCTCGGGCCCCAACAAAGTCAGCTGCGGCAGTCCGCGCGGATACTAGTAGTAGCGACCCGGACAGCTCGAGCGACGAGGACGAAGACGTGGATGCACGAGACGGCTTCTGGGCATCTTCTCGGCCGCCCCAAAGGGGTGCGATAGCCGATGATGAAGACGATGGGGACGATGGCCCGCCTGAGGAGGAAGCCACATCTGCGCCGGCGCCGACGAACGGCAGCATCAAGAAGCCGGGGACGGGGCTGGTGGACTATGGGTCGGACAGCGAGGACGGGTCTGAGGATGACGACGACGGGGACGTCGGCCTCGCGGGGCTGCAGCCCGAGAACCCGGAGCTGGTGGCCGGGGCTATCCAGGAGATCGTCGGGATGCTGTCGTGAGGGTGGATGGATGGCGATATGTTCCAGTACCTGTACAGCGCAAGAGGGTATCACGAGAGGGAATCTTGCCAGTGTAGGGGTGGTCGCGGTGTGTGTGGGCCATCCAGCGGCTGCTGTGTCTAATACACACACCCTTCACAGTATATCAAATACATTCTACAGCCAATGGCTAATATTAATGCTCGTGCTGTCTCGCTGGTTAATCAACGCTCGGCAAACCTTCTGTTCCCTTCCCACAAAGAGCCTCTAACGAAGCAGCGATACCAGGTGTCAATCCTGGAACGCTTCCGTTTGTGGCGGCCGTCATCTTAAAAAATGTGACTGTGGCTTCCCATTCGACTCAAGCGCCTCGATTGGTTCGTATCCAGATGGGTTTCCCCGTCCAAACAAAGAGTTCCGTTGTTCCCATGATCAAGAACGACTCGTGGTCGTTAGGATATACAGTTGAAGGCCCAAGACGTACTCACTGCACTTTCCAGTCGAGCACCACCGCGACCAGCTCCGATCCGTATATATGATGAGAACAAGCACACGTCGCATGGAGCACATACACATATCACGGCGAAAGTATTCTCAACAAGGAGCAAGATATGAGGCCGGAACGGATATTGTCATTGAGATGACCCACCCCTTGAAGGTTGGAGTTCATCCTCCCCATGCTGTCCCAGACCACACAACAAAGGTGGCCCAGAGCAAACAGCCGAGACCACGGAAGAGTATCTAGCTTTGTCCAGCCTCAAAAAAAAAGAGAAAAAGTTCGCTCGAATAGCCCAACCCGAGCAGTTCTTTCTCAGCATTATCTTTTTTGAGTGATCATCATTCGATGAGATGTGGTTTGGTTTGAGTTTCCTGTCCACCGCTTTGCCTCGCTCCAGACATACCTTGATGGGCTCGTAGGTAACCGAGGACGAAACCACGAAGATCGAGATCCAACCTCACCCTTTACCATTTTTTTCCTTCTTTCATCCATCTCCTCTCTTCGAGAAAGACGCCGTCTGACCGTGGAACAGCCGCTTTTGCTTTCCTTCCCTTCCGTTCGCTCATTTCAATGCCAATGAAACACCTCCCCTTGCATGCTGTGTCAAATAAAAGCAAAAGTGAAATTTCCTTCCGTTCAGACGCCTAGTCAGCCCTTTGCCCCTGCCCTACGCCAGTGCCACTGCACGCTTCAGGATCTCGTCCTCGTCGGTATAAAACAGAGTCGCATGCTAAAGAAAAAGGAAGAGCCTCCGAGTCTGGTTGCCCCTTCGCCGCGCCTGCTTGAGCAGAAAGTGAGGTTCGTAGCAGGCGGCTGTGATTCGTCGTGGTGGTACAATGGTTCGAATGACCATGGGAGAAAGACATTTTAGTGCCGTGAAATGATGCAGACGGGACAAGGCCCGAGTCGTGTCAGACCGGAAAACGTATCGTCATTATGCTCTCCGCTGGGGAGGAGTCCTGCAGTGTGATGCAGTGAATTATTGGTGTCGAGAGAGGTGTTTCCTTACTGGGGAACGGTCTGCGCGTCGTTTCGGGGGCCTCGGTAGCCTCCACGGCCACGACCGCCGTAGCCGCGTCCGCGGCCTCCACGGCCGCGACCACGTCCCCGATACCCTCGATAGCCACCGTCAACACTACCTTGGCCAAAAGTCTCCATGTTGCGGTGCTGCTCCTCGGCACGCCATTCCCGACCACCGGGCCTCTGGCCGTTGTTCGCCTTGCGGTCCTTGGCTTCGCTAGAGATGTTGTCGAAGAAAGACTTCGCCTTGTCGTAGACTTCCTTGGGCTCGGCTGCAGCGCTGGCCTGGCCGTCGGCTGCAGTATCGACCGGGGTCTCGGTTATTGGCGAGCCCGCTATCCTCTCCTTGACAACATCCTCCTTGTTGAACTTTGCGTTCGCCGTCGCGAAATCGAAGTCGGAGTCTGGTACCTCGACCTTGGTGTGACGAGCTCCACCACGGCCACGGCCACGCCCGTTTTGGACGCCAGATCGTCCAGAGCTGACTCTCATCTCGTTGACCTTGTTGGTCAGGTTGTCCACACCGTTACCATTCGCTGGAAGAGCCGCTGGGCCAGCGGATCCACCTGGCTGCTCGAGCTTGGCCATAGCAACAGCTACCGCAGCCCTCGCTGCTTCCGTCGCGTCCCTAAGAGCGGCAGCCGAGGAGGCAGGGTTTGTGGACGTGTTGTTCACATTGGCACTGGCGGCGACCGTCGACTGCGTTGACCTAGCTGTCAAGGCAGCGGGAAGAGGCACCGCTGGGGTGATCTTGGTCAAGCCCTTGGGGCCAGTGGGAATCTGCTTGCCTGGGGCTGATGGGGCTCCAGGCTTCTGGTTTTCCAGCAAGGCAGCCGTGACCTTGACCTCCTCAGCGGACGGCTTAGACGCCACCGGAGGCGTGGGCGCTGGGGCTGCGGACGATGGGATTGGGACTCGAGACTCCGAGGGCATCTCAACAGGAGCTGGACCAGGACCCCTGGACAAGTCTGCGGCTCCACCAATGGGTGTTGGCTTGTTGTCCGCCTGAGATGACATGGCGTTGGGAGACATTCCTGGTGTCTGTCGCTGCTGCTGCTGCCCTTGCTGCTGCATGCCGGGAGGACCTGGCGGGCCACCAGGCGGGCCAGGGGGGAAGGGGTAGTTGTTCCAGGGGCCCGGCCCGTTGGGCGGGAAAGCCTGCCCAGGTGGGAACCATCCCTGAGGAGGGTATCCCATGCCAAATCCACCAGGTCCAGGAGGGCCAGGACCAGGTCGGCCCCAGCCTTGTGGAGGAGGGTAAGGAGGGAACATGTTGGGATTTTGGAATCCAGGTGCGCCAGGAGGGCCGGGAGGACCGTTGGGGCCAGGAGGTTGGTTGGCGCCAGGTGCCCGTCCTGGATGAGCGCGAGCCTAGGAGTCGAAGCATTAGCTTGGGGCTCCGCCGAGGTAGCGGTGGTAACAGTAGTGTGCGAGGACAGCTTGATCAGAAGGAAGGCAACGGAAATATCAACATGGGGTTGTTTGCGCAATTCAGACAAGAAATAAACTTTACATCCGAAATATTTCATCATGCTGAAGGGAGGATAGTCGATGCGACTGGGAAACGGGGCAGAAACTCACACCACCGACAATGGCTGGGTCGTTGGGCATAGGAGGCTGGTTCTCCTTGGGCGCAGCTGGACCCTCCTCAATGCGCAGATCCTTCACATCGCTACCTCGAAAGACGATGAAGTCGTAGACCTGGTCGGACGCGGAGACCTCCTCGGAGGGATCACCCTTCCGGCCCTCAGAGCCATGTGATCTGACGTTCTCTAGGGAGACGGTGGACTCGTTCGAGTTGATTTCGTAGAGGGTGCCGACATAGCTGTGGGGTATGTCAGTCAGCCGACACTGGAACTCAACGTGTCAACAGCGCAGGCTGCATAGGCAGGATCTCGTACCGAATGTCGCTTTTGGATATGAGGGAGATGCGAGCTCTGTAGCGACGATGGTTAGTGGCTGCAAGGCAGACAGGTCATGGCTCTCGCGATTGAGCTTGACACAGAGGCGGAGGCAGCAGAGGACACGAACCCAAGGAAGTCAGACATGGCGGCGGGGAGCCTGGACCTGGATCATCCAGATCGAGCAAAGTAGAATTGATTAATGCAGGAAAGTAAAGTTGAAAAGATTATCTTCATCAGCAAGTGCTTGAGGGGATCGCGGAGTGTAGACGAGGGGAAGAAGGAGAGTGTGATTGAGGCTGTTGCTGATGGGTTTCGTGGAGGAAGGTGGGAAGGATTAGGAGCGGACGAGTTTGGTGGGTGGCTGGCGGGACGTTGTGAAAATAGAGTCTTTCAGCAGGCCCAAGCGAGGAGAGGGACAGCTGGGAAGGAGCTTGACCTATAAGGCGCTAGTCCACATCTGGCTAGCACTGAAAGCCACAGCCACCAGCCACAGCAGGCTCTCCTTCAACAACATCTCCTTGAGCTTCAAGCTTCACTTCCCTTGTTGTTTGCTTTTCATTCTTCCACAAAAAAGCATATTACATACCACCATACCACCCAAGCTCTATACTTTATAATATGTAAGACACTGATGTGAAAATTCTGCCTTTTCTCGGAGAAAATGTGCTGATTTGGCGTTGATGTCAGCAATGCAAGGTAGTGGGGGTGCCAACATTGTCAGTGTTCATTTTGAAAAGCTCATTCACGCTGTCCAAGCTTAAATATCTTTCTGATTTTCCAAAATCCTCACGTACCCATAGTTCCTATCTCAGGGGAGATGGCGCTTGTACTCGAGAGAATGTCCCAGGATGAGCTCTGCCCTGAGATAGGGGCAGATGGGTAGATCAGAGATTTTGGGATGTCGCTTGACTGTTGGCTCCCGGTCTTAGGGAGCCTCTGGCCACAAAGTAAAGAGCATTGCCAGGAACCAAGGGAGCCCGGAATGTGAATTATACAGTAATAAATGTGAAATGCAGGTGCACACAGTGGATATCTAGGTGCAGGTGCAGGGGTCTAGATGGTCTGTGCTCCAACCTCTTACCTCCCCCTCCCCCAACAACCTCTCATAACTCAACTCCCTGATGCCACTTCTCAGGATGTCATGATCGCTTGCTACCGTCACAAACTAGACAGTGCATTTCATCTACACTGCCGGTCGAATTGTGGCCCATAGGCTCCAACCCTGCTTATTGCCTTGCCGGCGCTGGCCTGTGCTCAGGTTCAACACGTCCCTGATTCGGGCCCAGCACGATGCTGCTCACCCTCAAGCACCACGATGGACGTCACGTCCTAAGGCAGATATCCAACAGCCTCTACCCATTGAAAAGAAGCCCCAATCCGCGTTTCATTATACAAACGTCAATACCGATGACAGTCGTGCAGGCCCTGCTCAGGGAGTGTCAGGTGGGAGCTCCCAAACTCCCACAACCAACACAAGGGGCACATCCCAACGGCACCCGTGGTTTATCTGCAAAGAATGCGGTTCAAGCTTCCGAACCCAACAGGGTCTCCAAGATCACCATTTGGTCAACAAATCTCAGCAAAGCCTTTGGGGCGAAGCAGGAGGATATAAGCACAGGTCATCTGTTGCCGGAATGAAGGTTGGTAGCAACCTCACCAGAACCCCGGGGATTGTATCTCTCACTATATCCCTGCTATGGAATGTGTTGTACTCACTCACTCACTCGGGTGACGTTACAGGTCAACCCGCAGCTCTTAAAATACTAGGATCCTCGTGACCTGGAATTTACTGTCGGACTTGGTGAAAAGATCTTGGAAATATCCAGCCGGGAACTGGAACCTTGACCAGTTGCCGTCTCGCAGGACTCGGGATACCAGGTTGTCAGCACCTTCAATACCAAGCCCGGAGATGGGTCTCGCAGTTTTGTACCAGGTCAGTGACATGTCAACTGTTGGTCAAACCTAAGTCATCCGGCCTCTGCTCTCTCTGCAGCGTCAGAGTTGATTAGGTTTTCCTCACTGGTAGGTTCCCCTCCTTTTTGGAAGGATTCGAAACTACCCGTCCATCTCCCTAAAGAGGCTCTCGACAAGACCCAGCCTCAAGACCACCATTCAAAGGCATTCAGCATGCTTATGCTTACTGCACACACGACGTCGGCTGAGTTCCGGCACGATCAAGTCGACATCATCACCCATGCTTCGCTGCTTGGCATGCTTTTGAAATTCTCCTGGGGATCACGTATCCGTACTTTCCAGTTCTTCCTACAAATGATCCAACTCTACTGCCGCCCGGTCACACTGAACGTGAGACTCTGCGGTCCGCTGTCAGGAAGGGTTGTACCAAAATGCCACCGGGCCTCGAACACGGCACTCACTATGGTGGCGTGCAGTATAGCCTCGGGCATCTCAACTGCGTGGTTCAGGGCAGGGTCGATGCTCTGTGCAGTACATCTCCCGGAGAGCTCCAATCGTCCTCGTCAACGAGCCCGGTGGGGTCAGTGGTGGGGAAGGGATGTCATCCCCAGGGTGAGGCTGCTATGATACAGGTCCGCCGCAGTGGGCGCCCATCGAAGGGCCTCCCGATTGACAGTTTCTGGTTCAGTCGCACTCCGTTGCTCTTGAGAGCTCGCCTAGATCGTGAGGACATCATCAACAAAGTGACCAAAATTGACGCCTCCGCAGCATGCAGGGAATGGGAGAAAGATGAGAGGCATCAAGTTGCGCTTCGGAAGCTAGCCACGTTACTGTCCGATCTGAAGAGAGCTGTCAAGGTTGCCGCCCCCAACGGGCAAGCGTGCTTCGGCTTGATAGAACGAGAACGAGACCCCGAGCCGCCCACAATACAGGTGTTCCTTGGCGAGGACAAATCGGAGGTGGTACCGGAGGACATCAACAATCCATGGGTCGGAAAGACAAGTCGCGGGCCACACGAGGCATCGAACGGTGGAGGCCGCGACTCGGCCAGCGAAGCAAGACCACCTCAAGACAAAACGTGAATCAAAAGCCACAATCAGATGGCGCAATGATCCGTCTTGGTGGGAATCAGCAACGGCCTGAACTGTAACAGTCCCGATAACAGTCACCCAGACCCGCCCGCGACGAGCGACGTCGTGAAGGAGAGAAGACAACGAAAGGAACACCAAAAGAGAACCCTGAAGAACAGAAGAGACGTGTAGTGAACATGGGAAAGAAAAGAGAGAAGGCCAAAAAATGAGGAGGTGGCTGAAGACAACAGCCGCGACACCGACCACCACCACACACCAGAGGCGCCCCATCACTATCTTTGCGAGGACTTACACACATGCACGGTATTCACCCGCAGGTGGTACCGCATAGACTTACAGGATTTACTGCCTCTCGATTGGATCCCAGCCAGGCAACCTCTTGGTGTGCGTGATGGTTAGACGGTGCCGCAACTTTTTGTCTTTGAAGTCGGCCGCTTTGGCCATTGCGCCACCTCGTTTGTTGAAAAAGTGGTATCACAGGGTTTGAAGTGGTTGTCGGCGGCTAGTTTGGGGATGGGAGGGGTGGTGAGGTGGTGAGGGTGGTTGTGGTGTTGTTCGTGGATGGTGTGGTGGCCCAGGGGCTTGGGGGCTGGTAGTTGTTGATGCCAGAGGCGATATCACCAGAATTGGTCTGAACCCCCCCCCCCTCCTCCCCCCTGCTCCACCCTCGCACCTTCGACTCGACCCTACCCCACACCCATCACTGCAGGAAGACGAGACGATCTGCTTCAAAGGCGGCAGATCTTTCCTGTGGCAGGTGGCCGGGTTCAACTCGTTGGGTTTGACTTTTTGAGTTTGACTTTTTGGGTACAGAAGTCATGGGCAAGCCACGAAATGTCGTGATGGTGAGAAGGGGTGTTCCTACGACCTCGACTTTGACGAGGCTCAAACATTACGGGACTGGCGGCCGAGATGCCAATAGTCAGTCCATCGTGGCCTCCTGCGAGGCTGGTATCCTGGTTTCCCGATGCTGCTTAATATGCAGGGCGGCTCTATGTCCCCAGCGATGAATGGACAAGATATGCTCAGTGGCAAGCGTTCAAGTTGGAAGGGCAGTTCCCCAGAGAAGGGTCATTGGCCGTGCCAAGATCTGGGGAATGTGTACGGGCGAGGAATGGAAAAGGAGGGCGGACGCTAGAGCGAGGGCATTGAGTGCCAAGACCACGAGGCACAACGGCCAGCGCATTGGCCATGCTGTTACAGGACGGCCACGGGCGTGCATTGACCTACCGCAGGTAGGTACTTGGATAGGTAGCAAGTGGCCGCTGTCCAGGCAAGTTGTGCCACGGCGTCTTAGTTGTTAGCCAGGGGCAAAGACCCCAAGGTCTGGGCGGGATCGCTAGGTTGATCAGAGGGAACCCCAGATCTTCGCCCCCGGATGGTTCGCTGGGGCTTTGTTTGTCTGCTCTGTGTGCCTATTAGGCCCAAAAAGGAAGACACGTGTCTGTAAGCTCGGTGAGGCAGAGACACGAGTACGAGCACACACTCGTTCGCCCCTCAATGGTAAGGCATGGGGAATACGGCAAGTATGGTAGGGGGTGCCAAGCAAGCCGATTCATCCCACCACAAACCCGCCCCCGGAGGACGGCCCCATCTGTCTGTCCTCAGCCAGCCGGCGGTTGCTGCCCGTCCGCAAAACGGGAGCACGGGAACTTGCTTGCCCCCGTCCTGACTCGTCGGCCGTGTCTTGTCTGAACATGATTTTGTTTCAGGTCCTGGTTATAACAGATATGCCTGCTATTGGCTCTGTTGTTCACGTCTTTCTTTCCACCTCCTTCCAGAGCGTTGGCTCATGTGCACGGCGTGTCACTAACAATTGGCGGGGGACAATATGAGCGGCTGCCCAGCTATATGCCTATGTAGCACCGTAATATGGCGCACGTAATGGATCGGCGACCGTCGTTGAAGGAGGGGCAATGCTGTTTACGTGAGATGGGGTGAGATGAAATTTTTCCGCGGCGAATAAGGAGAACAAGGAAAGTCACGAAAATAAAGGGAGATAGACATCTTCTCGGCTCGAGACGGACGGGGCGTCGACAGTGTCCGGGATCCTGGCTGGAGGAGGGGAGGACCTTGCCAATCGGAGTCATTCAACCTGAGCCAGGTGTCAGAGCCGTGCAGGTCTCTGTCTTTCAATTTCGACAGCACCGAGCACACGCGATGGAGAGATAATCGACCAGACAGGTGGGAATGCAACCAGGGTCCAGATCTAAATTAGACCCAAGGTAGCACTGAGCTTACACTAGAACGAACAGGTGCAGCTAGACAGCCAGGAGCTAGCGGCGGTGTCTAGGACTGTAGACCTTGAGCTTGGGAGATGGTGCTCAAGCTCCTAGGTATGGCGTCGAAGGCCAGCTCACACCACAAGTGCGTGTGTATGCGTAAGTGTGTCTCAAGGGAGAGCAAGCAAGCAAGCAATGTCTGGGCCAATCTCGCCGTCCCCCGCCTTGAATCGTTCATTTGTGGGTAACGCCATTGACGCGCTGAGTAACGATTCTCCCCCGCGTGGTCCAAGCTGCTGCCTTGGCGGGTGCTTATGCCAAGGATTACGAGCCTTTTTTCTTTTCGCCTCATCAAATAAATGCGAGCCAGGCAGCCAGGCTGGCCTAAGGGGGAAGGGAGGGCAGACGGGCCTATATGCCATTTGTGCGCCAGTGAGGATTTCACCCCGTAAATGGCTGTACTATGTGGCAGCTGTCTCCGTTAGCCTGCCCACTGTCAGGCACTGCGTTAGCACTACCCTTTGGCGCCTCGGATCCTGGAAACCCTCCCGGGCATTAAAGGCAAGCGGCGGTGCCCGGTTTGATTGGGCTGATAAATTAAAATTATACCTGGAGCACTCCGAAGCTTGGGACCGGCTCATGCGAAACCTAATACAGTGGGTAAGCCCAATGCGCCCCTGGCCGGATCTTGGGGCCTGGGATTGCGATTAAAGATGCGATTCCGAGGGGCGACAGCTGAAAGTTTAAAGTCACACACAGAGACACGAACACGGCGGCGTTTTTCTTGTCTTACCTGGCCAGACATAATCACCCGACGAGCCCCGATTTAATCCCCTTGGTTGTTGGCCCCCGAGTCGATCGCTTCTTTCAGCTGAACCGGCACCTGTGTTCCAAAGTTGCTTTTTTTCTTTTTTTCCCCTCTCCCTCTTTTCCCACACCAAAACTTCCCCAGAGACCAAAACACTGTCTGTCTCTTCGGGGTGTGCCTCGAGATGTGACCAGCGGCCGACTTCCGTTTTCGTCGTCTAACTTGTCGTCGCGCATCGAGCCACAGCCATCCCTAGAGCCAAGTCTCTAGTCTTTTCTTACCTGTGCACTTGGCGCGCGGGCCACATCTTTTTTTTTTTTTTTTTTTTTTTTTTCTTGTCGCCCCCCGCCCTTCTATCTCTCAGCCTCCCTTTCTTGGTCGAAAGGGAGAGCCAGCCATGGCCGTGATAAACCAGTCGTGGATGCCGCAGAGGAGGTTGGGCGTGTGGGTCGTGGCACTCATTCTCATCGCGACGGCATACTACGCGATATGGACAGACACAATCTCGGTAGACCGGTTCCGCGCCCAGGGCCTGTCCTCGGCCTCCTCCTGCCAGTGCCCCGGGCTACGGCCGGAAGATGCGGCCGTGTTACAACAGGCGAGCAGCAACAACAGCAGCAGCAGCAGCAGCAGCAGCAGTACCGTCACCCACGTCACCCACGTCACTCGCACCCACGACGCCGCGAAGGCAGCCGCCACCAACGCAGACGAGTCGGACCTGAGGGCCGAGCTGCCCGACTACCCTCCCGATCCCGAGTCCGACCAACAACAACAGCAACCACCACGACCACCACCGCCCGCCCACGCCACCTCGGCAGCCGCCCCCGCAGGATCCAAGGCCCCGATCCCGTTCAGGCCGAACCGCGACCCGGAGTTCTTCACGGACCTGCCCAAGGAGTACGAGCTGACGACCGAGGACGACGACCTGTGCACGCTCTTCTACACGGACGACTACGTCTACGGCATCGCCAACAGCTCCACGCAGCTGTGCGGCGAGGGCTCCTCCGTGCACGGCTTCGAGGTGCCGACCAACCCGCACCACCACAAGCTCAACGGCGCCACGCCCGTGTACCTGATGCAGGGCGTGCGCTGGGACCCGGAGCGGCGGCGCTTCGACGCGCAGTGCGGCGAGGCCACCGCCGACAAGGCCCTCGTCTACGGGCAGCCCCTGCCCGGCCTCTCGTACGGCGCGCCCCGCTCGACCGCCTGCGACAGGCACACGCACGGCCGCCAGCTCGTCATCTACCCGGCCCTCAAGGAGACGTACGACAACGTGTGGCACAAGCTCATGGAGCTGTGGCAGAACAAGGTCTCGTACGACGCCGCGCGCATCGCCGTCGACCCGGCCACGGGCGAGCCCTTCCTCACCGAGGAGCAGGTCGCGGGCGCGCGCGTCGTGTTCCCGGACGACCACGAGGGGCCCTGGGACGACGCGTGGGAGATCCTGACCGGCAGGCCGCCCATCCGCTACAGCGAGCTCCCCGCCGAGGGGTGCTACGACGTCGTCGTCGGCACCGTCGGGTGGGGCAGCCCCTTCTGGACGGCGCTGCTCAGGACGACGTACGAGAATTGCCGGCGCGAGACGCTGCTCACCTCCTTCACGCGCTGGGTGCTGGGGTTCTACAACATCGACGAGCGGCCCTCGTCCGACGTGCGCGAGAAGCCCACCATCACGGTCGTGCAGCGCGGGTCGACGCGCAAGTTCAGGGACTTTGGCGTCCTGATGGAGAAGATGCACGCGCAGCACCCGGGCTACGCCATCAACGTCGTCGACCTCGCGCTCATGGGGAAGAAGGAGCAGATCGCGCTGCTGCAGTCGACGGACGTGCTGGTCGGGCACCACGGGGCCGGTATGAGTTATGTCATGTTCATGCGGCCCGACTCGGCCGTCGTCGAGATCCTGCCGCCCTTCTTCCTGTCGCGCGGGTTCCGGTGGGTCGCGCGGATGAGGGGGCTGGTGCACTTCATTGGCAAGGCTATGTGGAAGGAGGAGTACATGCAGGCCGTCGAGGGCATCCCTATACCCGAGGGGTGGAAGCCTACCGTCCAGGACGATGGTGATGCTAATGAGTGGCAGACCGAGGAGTGGATCTGGATCACGCACGAGGAGGTCCTCGGCCTGGTCGACGCGGCGGTGAAAAGCCAATTGCATGCTGTGGGAGATCACATGTAGGGATGCAATGTGGTCTTGGTTTCTTGTGTAGATAAAATCACGGTTAGAATTTTTGCATATACCCAGGTTACTCAATACCACCTTTCAGATTCTTGAACAAAACACGCCTGCCTTGTCAACCCGTGGTACACGGGCGGGAGCAATCTTGCTCACTGGTGGGGCAGTGGCACTTGGCGATTCTCATTTGATCCTACGGCAAGGGGAGGGTAGCGCTGTGAGAAGTATTTTATCGAGACCCAAGTAAATATCTGTAGAGCTAGGTAAGTAGCCGAGCGAAACGAAAAGCCGCGTGCCATGTGCACGCACTCAGAAGCGACTACACAGCGAACATTGGCCAAATTGTCAATGCCAATGCTGGATGTGACGTACTTGGTGTACGGACGTGTCAAGATTGAAGAGCCTCTACCGATCTAGTTTTAGCGGTGATGCACGACATCTGGATGCTACCCAGATACCTGGTCTATACCAAAGCCTAATAATAACCATGGAACATCGCAATCCTACATATCGTAAAATGAGACAGATCACATATACTACGACTGATCTCAAAAAGAAAAGCGTAACGATGCAACATTCCCATATCTGCCAGCGTACATGTTCATAAATGCTGTCGAGATATGCCCCCAAGTTGCTGCCATCACATGTGAACAAAAGGGGCCTGATAAGGCTCCCACCCCTTGGTTCAAAGTGGCATACATTCTGTCTCCGTAGTGCAGTGGCATTTGACTCTCGGTATAAGTAGCGTGCCGTGCTCCCAACGTGCGTATTTGCGTACCAAGACATGAAACAACTTTATTTTGGTGGGGAATTTGGTCGTTGAGTGTGGTATTACCTGCTCTGGTCTGGTTGACAATTCCCTCAGGATCCAGAGCAAGCAGTTTGTAACAACGCGTAGTAGACTTTCAGGATAGAAAAGAGAGCATTGAAGATATTGACCTTTGGCGGTATGGAGGATTTTCTGGCCAACTGTGGTCAGGGATCCATGTCCATTTCATATCCACACACCCTTTCTCGTTATCACTAGTTCATCACATGCTTCAACTCCATCCATCCTTGCACAATCCACCAGGACCGCTGGCTTAGATTCCGAAAGCGTTTCTCTGCTCTCAGGCACATAGCTGTTCTCTTCAGTCGTGACAATTTAAAGCCACATTCGCTTATCAATTTGGCCATTGGGCATCTGTGGGACAAAGAATCTCGTTTGCTGGGCTATTCCACCGTTTATTATAATCAAAATGACACAATTTATCCATGAACCCTATTTGCATTATTGCTGAATGCGGGACAAAGGACGAATGGTTCCCAATAAGGTGTTTTCTCAGTCTTACCCATGGTCACTGGTTGCTAAGGTCGGGTATGCTTCTCAGCATTTCCGTGTTCCTGGGAAAATATGTTGCAAGCAGGACCATGGAAGACGCCGATATTACTACATACCAAGACTTTCAAAAAGAATGAGCTGTAACTATAGTGTATAGGTGAATCAGCTAGGTATCATGACTGCCCAAAGCCTGTGAAGCCTCCTTGACAGCAATCTTGTGGTATTTGTCACTCATAGCTCTGTCTCTAGATGGACCAACAATGAGTCTATCAAATGACATTTTCATACTGCTCTCTTGATTCTCATCCCGTCAAAGAAATCAGGTTACTCGAACAACAACACAAGGCCAATGGCATATTCGGCCTTGCAGCATCGACGGTGCGACTCACCCAATGCCATGAATACCACGTTCCCTCATCATTATTCCTCACAAGTCAGTCAAACAGAACCACCTCTGGCCTTTTCAAAAACTATAATTTCCCGTTGAAATCGAGGTCAAGACCCTGACTTTTATCTCTAAACAGCACAGTCTCGACAGACACATCATCTCATTGTCCAAAAGCACGAGGCTCCAATACCAAAAGAAATCAGCAACCCTCCACAGAAGCTCCAACAACACAAGGAGAATCAGAGCACTGAAACAACAGTTTCCGACCACGGCACACCCCTCTACATCTACAAATTTTACCCAGAATCCACTTCCAGCAACCACAAAATGTCTGCCCCGCCTCCTCTGGGAAACGACCCCCAGAGGGATTGTAACGTCTGCCAGAAGAGGCCGTGCAGATGTGGCAGGTCCATGCCAAATCCCACACCTCGCCAGGGCCCGGGCCCAGGGCCGACGGAAATGGTGATCCGGGGACCTAGACCTGCCAACCCGCAGCCGCCACAGCCTCCGCGTCGTTAAGGGGCGGCCCCTAGGACCTGATCTAAGAAACTAGGTGATGTTCTGTTAATTCGAGCGGTCTGGATATCTTCTCAGGACCGGTGGGTCAAAGTCCTAAGCCAAGGGGAGAGCCTGGGACATCGGGGTTTGAGCTTTGGGGGGGGGGGCTAGGTGTGTGGCTCGTAGCGGAGTTCATGGCGACTTGCTGTCGAGCTTGGGACAATACTACTACCCTCTGACCTCTGCATGAACGTCTCATTGCCATAAATCATGGGTTCTGTGAAACTGTTTGTGATCAGCTGTTTCGTAAAAGTAGACTGTTGTGGTGATAAGTGAGAGAGGATTGAGTGATCTTGCACCGAAAGATTCTTGTTTCTGTGAATTATTTGCGACAGAAGTGTCTGAGATGGGTACATTCCAGATGCAATGTGACCTCGAGTAGAAATTTGACTGCCAATAACTGATACCAATAATAAGAAAGGTTTGTAACCAAATATTATTATATTGTTTGTTAGTTACCTAGTGTGGAAAATCACGAACATGACGGCACGAATTTGTGTCGACGGTGAGGTTCTTTGTACTTTCTACAACAGCATAATTGGCCCAGTATAATATATCAGTTCCAGATTGAATCTGTATCATCATAATTTCATCGATACAATCATATCAAAATCAGATGTATCTGCTGGAAAGGATATATATGTAACTGTACGCTAAGCTTGGCCGACCAGGCGGAAACCCTCTTTGGTGTCCTCAAGGCGAACCGTCGCTCTATCAGCAGCAGCCTTCATCTCCTCCAGGCTTACCACTGGCCCATCAGATTTTCTCGTTACTTGATCAAGGCCACTGAACAGCACTGCGAATATGGAGCTCTTCCAAACCCTGGCCTGCCTTGAACTTGTCCTGATGATGCTAAGGACCAGGAACAGAATTGTGAGGAGCAGCAGCCCAGCCGGGAGGGCAAGCCACCCCCAGTTCACGCCCACACAGGTCTGCATCCCCCAAACAGTCCCATTCGCCGGGCCCATGTTGACGCCGATCCCATTGCCCTGCCGCAAGCGTGCAGTGACTGAGCGCGTCATCCCATCCATGATGGCCTGAACCGTGTCCAGCGTGGGGGCACCGTTGTTCCAGAGGTTGACAGACCAGGGGTCCCCCTTTGCGTGTTCGATTGCCCAGTCGTAGGACAGGGTCCCAGTACCCAGAAGACCGGAGATAGCTTCGGACAGACCTTCCGCGATGTCAAGGTCAAGTGAGTATACGCAGTCGTGGGCCCACCACGTGATGTTGTAGGAGGGGTCGGTCATTTCTTCTGGAGTGTTGCCCGAGAGAATTGCTGACCCACAAGAATGAACACTGAAGTCAATGTCCACAGGGACGTTGTTCTCGTCGGAAGGGCCTGGATTGCCGGTACATTCGTGCCATTTGCCTTCCCTAATGGTCCTGTTGACGATTAGCCGGGCCTGGGGGTAATCCATGCGTTGACTGTCCAAAACTTGCTCAAATAACACCCCGTTCGTAATATTGGCGCTGTAGGTGTTCACGGCTGGATAGAACCCGCACTCGAAAGCGTGCGAGTCCTGCGGCTCGCCTCGATATCCCCAACGGCTGGACATCGTTAGGAATGCAACCTGTCTCAGAAAATGCGAGGGGCAGCTAGTGGATGCTCGGGACCCTGACTGCATCACATTGGATGAATAATTGTTCAACTGTAGCTTATAACTCGGCAGTATGGCATTGACCGTCGCCATCTTAGGGTTTGTCTCATGCCCAAAAACAGAGTCGGTGAAATTTCTTGTGCCCGTAGAGAAAGCAACATCTTTTCCAATGTCGGTACATCGGCTCTCCAGTGCGAGGGACATAAATGTCACCCCGTCGTCCGTCGAAGGGAAAGTGCAGTTGCCCGTCTTATATTCAAACTTAAGAGCTGCAGAAATGTTTGCAGGCGGGTCAATCAGTCCGACATATGTGGCCGACTGCATTTGCGGGTCCGATTGAGTTCCCCAGAAGTCAGCGGTGTAATTATTGGAGAAAGGCACCGTCGCACGTTCGCCGTCGACCACCGTTGGGCAGCTGTAGAATTGGACTACCTGTTGAGTGAAAGCGTCAACTGCCATTGCCACTACTGTGAGGATAGCACCAATGACTGCAAGGTTCTGGCTTTTCAGCAGAAATATCAGAAGCATAGAGCCCCATGGGCCTGAATATACGCATGTGAGTGGCACTCTCTCTGAAACAGGAATGATTGTAGAGAGTTCGTGGGTGATAGAAGAGAAGACATGATAACTTACCTCGGCTAGCCAAATCCCAATGCTCCATATGTCTAAGCGGCCTCGACTTCTGGTACCACAGCCACTTCAACTGGCCAATAGCTTCAGCGATCGGCATCATCAGACACGCCTTGAACACAGCGGTGAATACGGCGATGAGGGCGTTTATTGTAATTGCCGACGGCCACTTAGGTAGGGGATGGTCCCTGTGAAGGACCAGTGTGATCACAATGGCCACAAGAGCGAGTGCAGCGACTGTGATGCTCAATATCTCCCACAGCCATAGTCGATGGACGCACTTGTCGCTCTGAAAGGGAGGTTCATCGTCCTGGTGGTGCACGCCAAGATGTGGTTGCAGTTGGCGGTAGATCGGTGTATAGGCCGGGGCAGCCTCCCTTTGGTCTCCAGAATTCCTGTTGCAGTTTGTAGTAGAAGTCAGTGCTGATAAAAGCGACACAGACCCGTCATGTGAGTGGTTGGGAAGCTCCATATCTTCGGCCGAAATCCGCGACGGGAGAGCACTGAGGGATTGAGGCTCATCTGACTGTAGAAGACTGTTCTCGTCCATAGCGTCTTCCGGTATGCATGACTCGGAGCCTAAGAGGAGAACGAACGGAAGTTTCCAAGTTCTGAGTTGCAGCGGATTCACAGTCGATCTTTATATATCTACAATGGCACCGAGGCAGTCTGCAGGCTGTGCATTCAGCTATGAGCTTTATTGAGTACAGCGTCATGCTGTGACAGTGGTCCACTAGGCTAATTGGCTGTTCGATGGGGCTGGGAGAGTTGGGGGTGCAGTTGAGCCTTTGTCATCAGTTATCTGAGCACTTGAGTGGTGCCATGTGCTCCCTCCTTTTGTACAACGGACCTCCTTCATAAGGATTGCTTGGGGGCAGACGGGTGCATAGAAAAATGGTTGGGAATAGAGCTAATTGTATCGATCAAGCCGAAGCCTCATCAACAGTCCATCACTCTACAATTGATGAATGTTGGGGGCGACCTGCCGGGCAGCAAGGAGAGCAATGATCGCGGCCCCCACGCTAGACCCGTTCTTCGTGATCGACGCCGAGGGACAGACCCTAGGGCATATAATGAGTGAACGAGAGCGTTTCATGAAGATAAAGTCCACACCTACCTTCTCGCTGCCACTCGTGATTTGAGTGACATAGGTTGGGATCTGGCACATAGACGGGGTCGTCTGCTGCAAACCAAGCCCTGTCGAGTGTGATTCAGCCTCACTACCCCAAAGAGACACGTTCTGCGATCAACTTACTCAGCTCTCTAATAAATTCCGTAGCGCACCTTCTGATGTCCTCGTCCTTCGGGTCGAAGTTGTGCGCGATGTGTCTTGCGCGCTCGAGAAGTGTGGTTTTGGTGACTGCCATAGTGTCAAACGCTGCGTTTGGGATCGCGGTAGAATGTGGTCAGTTGATAGATGTATCTGGAGCGATTGTCTAGTATTCCATGTATCCTGGACTGATTGTAGCGAGACGTTTTATGGGTCCACCGCAGAAGAAATATGGTGACTTTGATGACAAGTCGCAAGGAAAGTAGTTCCTCTCGAGCTGTTGGTCACTTTGCGGCTGGGCAGAGGCACAGCTATTACAGATGCAATCCATTCATTTGAATCGCCGTTCCATGAAGGCCCAGGCGTGACATTTATTCAGCAAGTGCGGCTAGCCTCAGTACGCTGCGCCGCACGCAAGGACCACGTCGAAAGTGAAATCAACATCAAATCTCTTCGAGGCTAGTTGTCATACTTCTATCATGCATATTGCATCATGCTGTAGAAGGCCGCCGTGAGACCTTGACGGCGGAGGCAATGTTTGGGATACCCGGGGGGTTTCCTTGTGTCACTCGGTGACTAGAGATCAACATCGAAATTGCCTGCAAATGCCTACGACCTACATTGTCTCTTGTCCCATCAGGACAATAATTTGTCGTTCCAGCTCAGTAGAGGAACTCAAAGAATACAAATAGTCTATAATACAAATACACCGATATGGTGAATCAACCCGGGGCACGCACTCAAGTACTGCAAGAGATGACGAGCCGGTGATAAACCTCGCCTTTCTCGCCGGAGGAGCATTCGCCAGCCTCCGTAGCTGATTGTGCAGCATCTAGCAACCGGAGTCCCATGTGCCAGTGAATGGCTTCAATCGAATCGAAAGTCTAGAGCTTGTGAGGTCACCAAGTCTGAATCGGCTCCTACAGGTGGCATCCATTGGGGACCCATCACGTTGCAGGCGTCACGAGCCATTCGTCCCTAGTGTAGGCCATGAATATTGCCTGGTCTCATCCCAGAAATGCCTCACATCTATCGATGACTCGGGCGAAGTCGTGGTCAAGTGACAGCTCAAAGAAGGACGATTGGGACATCTTCCCTAAGGGCGCCTGCGGGCTGACGATGATGCGACGGTGATTCAGGTTCCGCTCAGCTCTGACGTCCTAGTTGACAGCTCTTCGTACGTCTCTGTGGCAAGTATGAAAAAGAAGAAGGCAAAATATCCCGCAGTCAAGCTCCACAATGAAGGGAATTTCCCTCAAGTATCCCAAGAACAGCTCGGCCCTGACTCGCATTGGTGCTTTCACGGAAAAGCAGTCTACGTGGAAGGCTTGAAGTGCGTAATAGAAACAACACTGTCATCTAGCAAACGGGACGGTATGACTTTCGCTCTAGAGATAGCCGTGCAAGCAGTCCACGTCAGGGATTAATGACTCGTCATAGGCCTCATGGAGAGTGGCAGGTACGTGGATCAGCGGTCCAGAACTCTCGACCTCCTGGACCTAAGCAGGCTGGATGTTACCACCGGTCTAGGTCCTGCGACGTCAACGCTCCGAGAATCAAAGGGATTGCCAAACACGCGAGGTATTGAATGGAGTGGCTCCAAGTCCGCGCATTCTTGAGTACCAGTTTTGGCCTTTCACCAAGGAGATAGTGCTTACAACATCGAGGTCATTTTCATGCCAGGGCCCCAGAGATAATCGCTACAGCAGGCAATTTACAGCTTCACAATGTGAGAACCGCAACACACACAGAGAGAACCTTAATGAGCCCCCACAAGTTCATATCGAAGGGAAGGACTGGGATAATCCCACTGTCATGAGAACGGCGACTTTGAGTAAACAGAGCCAGCCAAATTTTACGAAAATTGATGAGACCGCAATTTGACGATCTGAACTTGGGTGTCGGCCGGCAGTAGATGTTTCAAGGGCATCAGCTTGCAAGTCCTGTTTAGTGGGGCCAAAGGAATGGGCCGTCGCAATTTTGCCCGATGTGAGTTGGAAAATCCAGCTAGTTAGGCGTTGGTACCTTGCAAATCTGTTGGTAGACAGCCCGATCCTGATTTTGAGGGATGAGCAACAGCCTCGCTGAGCCCTTGAAAGCGCTAGTTCTAAGGATCAGCTCAAAGTCCGAGCGATATACCACTGCGCCTTGCTGATGCTCACCAACAGGGACCCACAGCTGAAATCCTCGCCCCGAGCGCTGGCTTGTCTATCCAACTTTCCTTTGTCGTGGGAACAAAGAACAAACCACCAAGGCGCACATACCGGGCGAAACAGAACCTCCATCAGGCAGCAAGATGCGAAGAGGACATCGTGGCTGTGGCAGAGGTTTATTTGCTTCCATCAGTAAGCCCTTGGAGGCTTGTACTTTCCAAACCGGTATAATCTAACGAAGATGTCGTCAAGTCCCCACGGGTGCGTAAACGTGCCGCTGTTGGTTGGCCGGACTGGGTAAACTAGTGAGCGATATAATTCCCGGCCATCTCGCTCTTTGAAGCTTGATACCTTTTCTGGGAGTGATAAGCGGCAAGCAGATCGGCATCATGGCTGTGTGTGTGTACCAGCAGACCAGATGTGGTTGCCTGGGGTGGGCCAGGGTGGATGGAAGGATTCTAGAAAAGTTCCACATGCGGCCTTAATGCATAATGGCAGTGCAGGCCGGTCGCGTGGCAAAGACCAGCTGGGGAAGGACTGACAAATTCAGGGACATGGTTTCGAAGGTTAGTCGACGGGGCAATAAGAGCCATTTCCTCTCTGTGGTGGTCATTCCACTGATTCTTGCAGGAAATGCTGGCAGGCAATTGTCGACAGCTCTTGGCGTGGGTTGGGGCAGTGAGGAAGTGAGGCAGTGCAGGGGTCACGCTGGCAGACTAAGAAGCGCGCCGTCCATGGATCGCGGAAGCGATCTGCTAACAAGTCGGGCGTAATTGTCATGGCGGAACGATTTGAACCGCTCTCGAGAAATACGCTGTGTCTCAATTGGCGAACAGGGTTGGGCGGGTCTCCAAGGAAGACAGCTTCCCCGGACCGGAACCTTCCACTGCATACACAGCACAGGCCTGCCGCGGTCTCCGTGCATGAGGCTAGCCCAGGCTGGAGTCTTCATTCGAAATGAGTACAGGTGGCTGGAAAGAATGATGCTCGCCTGCGGCTTGTCGGTCTGTCCTTCGGGCGAGGTGGAATCGCGGCAGTCGCCCGAATGAGTGTGCGAAAAGATATCGTGGAAGCTTGAATATTGCTCAGAACCCTGTCAACATCTGGACTGTTGTCTTGATCTCCAAATCTGCGGAGAAATATGCCCATCTCGATTGGTGGCAGCAGGCTGCGAATGTTTGAAGGGAACTACGAGTTCCGGGGGTGGCCCATGTAACAACTGTCAGAATGGTGCGTCGAAAAAAGCCAAGTCTTGACAGTCTTGGGTTTCATCATCGGTTGTTCATCACGTCCACCGGGCTCGGATCACTAGAGACGCGGTTCGAGGCGGATCTGTGATTCGAGCTGGTCAGGATGCCAGGATGCCACGGAACTCGGCACGCAGGGCGCTTTGAGGGAGGTCGGCCGTGTGAAGAGCCCTGGTGGCACACTACTGCAGTTTGGAGGTCCCGATTGGGGAGCTGTTAAGGGCCGAGGGGCGCGGCGCAAAAAAGTCATGACAGCACGACGAGGATTGGCAGGCGACGGCGACACAAGACTTGGAGGCACGCAGGACAGGAGAGGGGAAGCGAGGCTGAGGGTGTGTTTGCCGGCAGAGGCTAGAACGTCTGGTGACACCCTGTTGAACTCTGGTCGGACTGAACGCAACGTGCGACCCGTATTGAAGCTCAGACGCGGGCAGCTGGCTGAAACAACGACCGAGGTTGGGGACGCTGGGTGTTAGTGTTGGTGGATGAATAGTAGATGGGTAGATAGCGTTGAGCATATCCAGAGATGCACTCTGTCTCCCCCACAAATGACAGCGACGGCGACCACGATAGCAATGTGACGGTTGAGATGATGTGTTTCGGATGCGCAGTCTGAGTGTTTGAAGGAGTCCCGCAGTCGAGGGGTGGAAGGGGAGGTAGGAGGGGAGACCAACCAGCCGGTGATGTCACCCAAACCCCTGCCCCTGCTCCTTCCCCAGGGCATGGGCCCACCTTTCAACGAACTTTGGGAAGCTGCGGCTGGGCCCCGCATGGCCCGTTGTTAGGCACTCCACAGCCCGCGCTTGGCAGTTCCTAACACTGGGGAATGGGCCCACCCAAGCTCCAAGTACCCGAGTACCGCTCCTGTGCTGCACCACCATCCCCAGCACCCACCAATACTGTACCACTGCGGCAACAGGGTTGAGCTCGCTCAGAGCTTAGGTCCCTTGGGTCTTGGGTCTCACGGGTCACTTGCTCATCCATCTCCATTTCCAGCACGGCCAGAAACCGCCTGTCTGCCTCGCCGCACTCATTCCATCGATCCATCCTACCTGCTTACCTCTTTCCGACTACCGTAAGCTCACGGAAGGAACAGTACGGGGAGCTTCCGTCGCCTCTCGCCTTTGCTGCGTCTCCGCCCACACCAAGAGATTGCCCAAGTGTGCTGGCGTGCCACCTTCCTCTTCCTGGACCAGTGCTCGAAAGATAAATATTCCCTCACATCCTCTTTCTATCTTGCTTGCGACGCCCCCCTCACTACCGTCCGTCACTGAGATCGATCACCCCATCTCGTCCCGTCCAATTACCCACCCTCGCATCCACACCCACACCCAGACTACTGGAGAACCAGCTTCCAGGAGTCAATTACCCACACACTAGACAATTTGGTCTCCAGATAAATACCAGGGCCACCTCTTCCGAATGTAAGACACCCAGAAAAGTAAACCGTCAAACAGTCAGTTTGTTCCGTCGCCACACATCGCTGCCCACCCAACCTCCAGCGAGACTGACATGCGACTCGTTACTCGGCCAACCTCCAATACCAAATACTAACGACTCCCACCAGCTAGCACATTTTCTCAGTCGCCATCAACGACGACGTCGGACCAAGTCAGCATTGTCTACTGAATACCTTTTAAGGCTCCGGGAGCACCAAGCAGACACCATGAACGCCCCATCCACTCCGGGTTCGTCCAAGGCCGCCGACACCAATGGCGTGGGCGCTCAGGCCGGCTTCCGGCCCCAAGGGCCCATGGTCGTCCAGCCGCCCCGCCAGGAGGACCTGCAGAAGAGCTATGCCAGCATCGTCGGAACCGACGCCGATGCCAAAGGCTGGTATGGAAGCATGAGTAAGTCTAATACCTCCCGGTTTCACTCATCACCTCTATCGCAGCAGGTGCTGACACTGGTCTGTCCCTGATAGTCAACACCCTCGGCTCCTGCATGGGAACCCTGGGTGCGATCCCATGCTGCATCTGCTGCCCCAACCCGTATAAGAACGTCAGCCAGGGCAACGTCGGCCTGGTCACCAAGTTCGGCAAATTCTACAAGGCAGTCGACCCCGGCCTGGTTAAGATCAACCCCCTGTCCGAGCGCCTCATCCAGGTCGATGTCAAGATCCAGATCGTCGAGGTCCCCAAGCAAGTGTGCATGACCAAGGACAACGTCAACCTCCACCTTACCAGTGTCATCTATTACCACATCGTCAGCCCGCACAAGGCCGCCTTTGGCATCACCAACGTCCGCCAGGCCCTGATCGAGCGTACTCAGACCACCCTGCGCCACGTCGTCGGAGCCCGTGTTCTCCAGGATGTCATCGAGCGCCGCGAGGAGATCGCCCAGAGCATTGGCGAGATCATCGAGGACGTCGCGGCCGGCTGGGGTGTCCAGGTTGAGTCGATGCTCATCAAGGATATCGTCTTCAGCCAAGAGCTGCAGGAGTCGCTGTCTATGGCTGCTCAGAGCAAGCGTATCGGTGAAAGCAAGATCATCGCCGCCAAGGCTGAGGTTCGTCAACACCCCGCTTCTTTCTCTTACGAGGCTGTCGCCGTACATGCTGGTGTTGGGGAGAAATCCCTGCGAATTGTAACTAACATCTGTTTTTCTTTCCGAACAGGTCGAAAGCGCCAAGCTCATGCGTCAAGCCGCCGATATCTTGTCCTCTGCACCAGCCATGCAGATCCGCTACCTCGAAGCTATGCAAGCCATGGCCAAGTCGGCAAACTCCAAAGTTATCTTTTTGCCAGGGGCGCAGTCTTCTTCTGCAACGGCCGGGTTGAACGCCGCCATCACCGACCCGAAGAACTTCGAACAGGGCGAGGGTAGCGGCAGCGGGAAGAACACCTTCCAGGACTTTGGAGGTCAGGACCCTTCTTTTCAACAGGCCATGAACGCTCGTGTGATTGAGAACATTTGAGTTCTAGCCATGCTAACTTAACGCCTGTCGAGTCTGAAGGCTGGTCTACTTGAGTCTACATAGCTCATGAGTGTACGATATAATCCGTCGAGATTGAATGGGAGGAAGGGATGACACGCAACGTTTGAGGGGGACACTCAAGGAGATTGCCAAACTCGGATACCCTGTTGAACGATGATACCGCGGGGGATGGAGAACGGCTGTGCTTTTTGACATAGGATACCCCTTTTGGTCTTTTTCTAGGTTTTGCTTTGGGTGTTTGATACCTCTAGGTCTAATGATACCAGGACATTCGTTAATGAATACTATTCTCTAATTCGTTTGGAGTTTATCTCGCCTGTTGGGACGGGGTAGTTACTGGTAGTCATGCCACTCTTCTCACATATTATGTTATCCGTGTGAGAGATCCATGTTCCCAGTCGAATTCCTCACTGGTACTTGGCACGCGTCGTAATATAACAAGGCACAGCTGCCATCGAACTCGGGAGACGGACGAGCCGCTGACAACGGCAACACCCTTGTCCTTCTGCTTCGCTTGGGTCCTTTTCAGCCAGTACTCGCAGGTACAATCATTCGTTTATTGTGACACGGCCAGTGAGGATGGCTCTCAATCGCTCTAAGTCGCCGTGTGAGATGGCAAACCAACGCTCTCCTCGAAACGATCATACCATGCTCAAGTCCCGCTAATTAAGGAACGACGAGGAAATCTTTCCAAGCTGAGAATTCTTGCTGAGGAGTCAATCAAACTACACCCTTTTGCACTAGCAGCTGTTAATTGCTCGGTCTGTCGTCAGCAAGTTCCAGCGTAAAGAGGTGACAATCTAATGGAAATTCTAAATCTGCTTTGCACGGCCTTCATGATCAGTCTCGTCGCCAGCGTCCTACTCCTCAGAACTAGTTCTCAGTTTCGCCGCGTCTGCCATGGGATCATACTTTCAGCCGTTGCTCCTTCGTGGTCCTCGGCGCGAGGGTTCCCCCTTTGTCTACCAAAAAAGCGATAGACTTCCCCGTGTCCTACCAATGCTGCTGCATGCAAAGCAATGCGCCCCTGACAATCAGATGCGTCAATGGAAGCGCCAGATTCGACCAAGACGTGCATAGTAATGAGGAAGCCCCATCCGCTGGCGATTATCAAAGGCGTCCATTGCAATTCCGGAGTCCTAATATGGGTTTATATTACTAGTATGGATCATTTATATGGAGCTGAGGTTCTTGAAATCGATATGTAGGTTCTTAAGCTCGCAACGCCAGGTACTACTCGGGAGATCGATGAATCGATCGATATTAGCAAACTTTTCAAACGCTCGATCTGCCCCACAAGCAACTCCATGATAGACACTTGATACGCAACACCACCAAGTTCCGCGCAGGTATTGGATTCATAGGTTGGCCCGGACCCTGCATGTGGCTGAGGCTTCACTGAGGATGTGAATGTCCGATTTTTACCTAAGTACCGACAATTATCTGAGTGGGACCCCTGGTACTCGATTGATTGGTAATGCGGCAGTACTACCACTAAATACGATTCATCCCCAACAGCTACGCCGTGGACACAACCGCTTCTCGTCTCCTTTGTGATTCGGGCAAATCCATGTCCGCGACATATGGAACGTCATGGCTTGGTGTCTCCCCTACCGGAGGATTTGTGGATGCCAGACTTTGTCGGTCAGACTTTGCCGGGCGTTTGTGATGCCATGTATCCTCGCTCTTTTGAGCAACAGCCATTGCAGAAGTGAGAAAGGAGTAGAATAGTGCGGCAGGGCGGCAGTTTTGGATGTGTTATCCACAAAACGAAACCACACTGCTGCGGATATGATAGTGAGAACTAGGCATCCGAGAGCCCATCGCAAAAACCCCCAGTATGAGAACCCCATGGTTACAAGAAGACCCCAGCCCTGACTCCCAAAGGTCCTCGCCAAACCCGGTGGTTGCTGCTTCATCGGCAATTTGCTGACGATCAGATCCCGATCTTCGTCGTAATCGATGTTAGGGTATTTAAGCCCGTACACGATTTCTTCGCTGAGTATTCTCATCCGATCTTCGATAGGATCTATGATATTGTGTCGCCATCCGTCTCCTTGAGGAGGGAGATCCCAGTCCTTCACGGGCGTAACATGGTCCTTCTGTCTTCTCATTTCAAACTGTTTCGCGCCAGTCAGCCAGTGTGTAAATAGAGGGTAACAAGGAAGAGAGAGTCTACCTCAACGAAGATTATCCTGGAGCACCTCTTCCAAGAGAGAAATCTACGCAGCAGACCTATTAGGTGATTCCCTGACACTTGACAAATGGCCTGTCCCAGTGCTCTGAAAAACTGTTTATCGTCCAGGGTCTCGTCCCCATCTAGGTGGGGAATAATTCGGAGAATGGTTTCCAAAGGCTCAGTATACATTCTGTTGATACAACAGTGAATTTCCCATATCCTCTCTTGCTGTCTTCCTGGAACTTCCAGAGGAGGTTTACGACTGAATAATGAGAGCAGTGATCCGAAGTAAGATCTCCCTTTGGTCGAGTTGGATGAGTTTTGTCTCTCATTCGGATCTGTGCCCGATTCACTTGTTGGAGCATTACCTGGAAGATCACTAGGATACCTTCTCAGACGACTACGACGGCCATCGCCTCGTACGGTACTCTCCACCGCGGGCCTATCTGCGCTTTCGCGGCTAGAGCTAGGTAACCCCGGCGTTGCCATGTCCCCCAGTATAGGGGCACATGTGTTTCTGTACCCCTCGATGCGGTCTTTGGCAAGGACCAATGTAAAGTCTTTGCGACTCCACTGCCGCGAAGTAAATATTGTTGTCGATCAATGTAGTGAGCTTAGGTATTTCAACTTACTCGCCAAGAGACCACACCCTCTTCAGAAGAGCAGACCGGCGGCATCTGCGGGAGCGGATCCCAGTCAATGGGCTCCCGGAACCACTCTTGAAATCGATACCGGGTTTGGTCAAAGTAGCTCAGACTTGCAACCTCATTTCCATCAGTAAAACGAATGAGTCGCATCCCGTCATCATAGGCAATGCCCGAAAATGGTATCTTTTGTCGTATCGTCAGCCGAGTAAAGGGTGCTCAAAGTAGCCACTGCACGTGTGACAAATCTCCTTCATGCATGAGAAAGTCTCACCTTTGCCAAGCTTGAGAACACCTCACTTGCACTTGGCCGTTCGATGGATTTCGCCAGCATCTTCTTAAGGATCGGGTTCAGCTGGCTCGCCCGTAATCCTGCGACTGCACTAGCGGGTATGTTGTCCATCCACTCAAGCACTTCAGACTTTACCTTCTCGCCATCGTCGACCATGGTGTCGTTAAAGCAGTCCGAGCGAATCTTGCCCTCTGTTGTGGTGATATGATTTCGAAAATCCACAATGCCGCGAGAGCCGGAGGTCAGAAATGCGGTCATCTCGGTGAACACACAGCCGAGCTTCCAGATATCGTTTGATAGCAGTTCTTTAGCGGAAGGGATCCCTTTACTGTCCCCCTTGGGCATTTCAGGGGAGTCATAGGTCTGGGCGGACTGGGCTGCCAGCGTCCCATGTTCCCAGGATATGGCCTTCGTCAAGTCCACCGCGAGACCGAAATCTGTTATCTTCAGGATCAGTTCTCCAGGCACCTTTGACAGATACATCAGAATGTTAGATGGTTTGATGTCCCTGTGTGCCGTATTCGTTGAGTCATGAAGGTAAGCCACCGCACTCGTCAGAGGTGCGTATTGATGCCAGAGAGATCCACGAGCTTGTAGAACAGACTGGTCTGCATCGTAGTCGCCCCGAAATAGACGTTTGAGGTTGCCCAAAGCAAGGGGAAACGCGAAGTTGAAGTACTGCAGTCCGTTCTCCTCGTACTGGAAGACAGATAGCGTCTCCACGATATTTGGGTGATCCAGCTTGTTGGCCCGCCAGAGGGCCTTGTATTCCGAGACGAACACGTCCAAGGATGTCGACTCTTTGAGACGCTTGATGGCAAGCTTGCAGGAGTGTAAGAAATGGAATCACAGACTGCCATAAGCTTTGGGAACAATGCCACCCACCTTGTGAACCGCGTCGCCCTTGTAACCTTGTTGTGGATCGCTCTCGGAATCCACGGTTGCTGAGACTTCAAAGACTGATGCAGTCTCACCAACATCAACCTGGAGCGAACAGAGGCCTTTTAATTGCTTGCCTTTCGACTCCATCGATAACTCAGGCTCGTATACGAAGCGAAAATTAATGTCCAAACCCATGCTTTTGGGGGTTGTGAAACCATTGGCAGCAGTTGCCGCAGGTATTTCCTGCAAAATAGAGTCGTGTTCATGTTGAACGGATGTATGCGCTCCAGGTTCGTCAATTTGTTTGCTGAGGGATAATCCTGACTCCGTGTTCTTCGAAGTTGACACTGACAGTGGGTTTTGGTCCGATTCCACGCCATTCGGTTTCTTGGAAAGATCTGTAGGCGCCGACCTTTCCGCAATATCTCTGATTCTTTTGTTCTCCTCGCGAAAGGAGTAGTAGTGCTTGCTCTTGTTCGCGAGCAGCATCAGCTGCTCAGAGCTGAGCTCATAGTCGGTATATATCAGGTGCTCGTCTCCGACCTGTACTCGATTGCCTTTAGAACTAGCTTGGGCAGAAGTGACGAGAGAAAAGCAAGCATCGGCGGCGATACAATACGGGAAGTTCAAGCTGCCATGATAGTTCACATACCATGTCCAAGTGAGACCAGTCTGTCTCGCCCAGCATCCTATTCAAACTTTCTGACAATTTGTCCGCGTCGATGTATGCTTTCTCTAAAGCGTAGTGATTCTTGAAATATGGCATACGGTGGAAGCCGGAATCTGTTTAGAATGTGTTGGTACTTTCATTTTCCGTGGGACGAGTAAAAGACGGAAGGTTTCCCAGGGCAAAAAGACGTGAGCTTGCGAAATGGAACAGGTGAATGATGGATGAGAAGTGTGTTATCCAGCTTACTTACTGTGCTGCGGTGACGTAGCACTGCTAAAGTCCTCGACCATCTTATGGACTTTTCGCTCGAGCAGGTACGCCTTGGATGCTACCATGATGCGGCCTATGCTTTCCACGTCATGCTCATCTAGAGCGGCTTTTTCAAGACCGCTGTTGACATTGAAGCGGAAGTACCGACCACCAACGCCAAGGCTTGCACTATCCCTGAAGAACTGCTTATCCGTGTCCTCAGTTTCGGTAGAGATGGTCTTGAGGGTTTCAACCACCTCTTTGATATTGCTGTCGAACCCATCGAGGTTTGGGGCACCGGTTCCAATGCTAAGTAGGCACTGAATTCTCGATGGCGCGTCTCTCCAGATAGCCTTGGCTTCTTCCAATACGGCGTTCACTGGATTGCTGCACCCAGTGGCTCCATCGGCATATTCCTGCAAGCCAATCTTGATCGGGTCAACCAGTGTGGCTGCTGCCGATGTGGCTCGTGCAGCCTCCCATATCTTGCATTTTGACGTTGAAAATGAGCTGACTGAGACATCGGTGTCATAGGAACGCAGTCGGATGTGGCTGTTCGCCGACTTCGTGAACAGCCACTTCGTGTAAGCACACACAAAACTATTCAGATTGTGTCTGTCAGCAGGAGGCAAGATACTATGTCTTCACCTCCAATAGGGTCATGTCCGCTAGGGTCGTACTCACACTTTGCAACTTGAAGTGCTAGAAGATTCAAAGAGCAAGGCCTCCTTGTCCATTCCACTCTCAATTGCTGCATGCTTGAAACCAAGTTCAAGCTTTTCTGCGTTATAACGGGCGCGAACTGGCCAGAGATTACTGATTTTGCCGAATTTGTCCCAAATGGGTCTTTTTTGTGTGAACATTTCGGGAGCAAGTGTCAAGTATTTTTTGATGCAAGTGTCAACGTCCATCTTCATCCGCCCTAGCATCAACGCGATGAGCCTGGTACGGCAGTGGAGTTAGTATTTCATTGAAATCACAGTCAGGACAAATCAGAGTTGAGAGCCTCACCCGCCAGTGCTGGTTCCTCCAATCAAGTGAAAATAGTCGCATGGCTTTGGTGGATTTTCGGCATCAATTTTCTTCATGAGGCTTCTGAGAATGATGAGTGATGACAAACCGCGAGTTCCTCCACCGTCTGTGATGAATGTCAGCGGTTATGTTGCGTTGCTTAGCCCCACAAAGAACACACACCGAGAGATAGAAGTCGCAATGAACCGGTATCGTTTTCTAATGAGTCTGAGTGAGGCATTTTAACTTCTTTTAGCGAAACACTAGCAGTGGTCGCAAATGTAGAGGGCAGGAAGAAGATGGTGGCTCTGCGAACGTCGTGGTGATGGGAATGTGCAAATAAAGAAGGGTATTCCTCATGCGCCTCGGGTGAGGCCGATATCAAGAAATGCTTATATAAATGCCAGTCAGCTCGAATACTCTGCAGTTAAGCGTTTTGAATGAGGCCAAGTCCCTATTTTCGTGGTTTGTCTTCATTGTTTCAAACGAAAGCCTTTTCGGTGACGTTCATGCAAGATAGTGAATGAAGATGGCATGCACAATGATTAAACATGGAGAGAAATATAGAAGTGACTAAACCTGGGTGTATCACATGCTGCAAGCCTCTCTTCATTACTAAAAATCTACTTGGCTCAGCTCTTAACTCGAGTAGGAACGATCAGCCGTGTTGCGGCACAAGACAGCCTATTGCGCCAAAACACCAACAAAAGAAAGAGGTTGTAATGCCTAGAGATGCCAGAACTACTTCAGGCAGAGCCCAGTGCGGGGTACTACATCGCTCACTCAACCACTGCCTATGCGTCCGAGACATGGGCGGCTTAGTAGTGGCAGACAGCGGAATGTCATGGCCCTCGGGGCCAGAGCTGAAGCCCTTTGTCCGTCCCACGTGCAATGTAGCAGGCATCGCGGTGCGATTTGGGTGTCAGCTGTCTTACGTGTAGTACTCTGAGTGGTTAGCAATTAGCGAAAATGCAGGCACGCACGTTTTAGGGACCAGCTTGGCTTGAGCAAAAACAAACGGATTGGCATCACTATAGCCATTACCTTTTCGAGATCACAGTCTCAGCCCGCTGATTGCACAGACCTCCAGAAGTCGGGGTCCATGGGTTGGTTCTTTACTTCTTGAATCTGGCCTGTAGGTGTCATACTCAGGTGTAAGCGGGTACACCAGAGGTCCTCCCCTTTATCAATGTATTATGGTTTTCAGTTGGGATGCTCTACGAGCATGCGTAAGTTCCTTGCCTCATATGCCCAGGCTCACCTTTCCTATCCTCAGGTTGAGACTAAAGGGCTTTCATGGAGGAAATTAGGCACTCGTCTGTGGTGCTTGATAGTCGGGTGTGTTGGGCCACCCGCATCAACATTCAAAGCTGGACGGCGAGCAAGTTACAGGAGTAGTCTGACACGGTGGAAGAGGCTGCTCAGTACATACCTTCCTTGACCTCGATGTTCCTTGTACATTATGTGCGTATTGGTAAACAACTGTGCTTCAGCACATCGTATCTACAATGCTCGGAAAATAACCAATCCCATGCAAAATGATACTCGTTTCCCAGCCCATCCATGCCCATAACGCCAACCCAATGCAAAAAAAAAAAAAAAAAAAAAAAAAAAAAAAAATCATACAAGCTGTGGCTCCTCGCCATCCAGACCAAGACCACTGTCATCACTCCGTCCACGAGCAGTCTTGTCCATCCCATCAACACCCGCCCCGACAACACCAACACCAACATCAACCCCTTCCTCCTCCTTCGCAACCCCCTCCTCCCCAAGGAACCCCTCCCCAACCTTCAGCGCAGCAACCATCTGCGCCCGCATAGCCCTAACCGCATCCCGCGCCGCACCCTTCTCCCTCGCCGCGCCCTCCCGCAGCCTCGCGACAGTAGCCCGCGCCTCGGCCAGCGCCCCCCTCAAGGTCTCGACCTCGCCCTCGCGGCCCCGCAGCGCGTCCTCCCGCTCGGAAAGCCTCGTGCCGAGGGCTGCCAGCTTCGCCACCGCCTCGGCGAGCCGCGCCTCGGCCTCGGCCGCGGCGGCGCCTTGTTGCAGGGCGGCGTCGCGTGCGTCGTCCAGGTCTGCCTGCTGCGACGCGGAGGTGGCCTGGAGGTCTGCGACTGCGTCGCGGAGGGAGGCTATCGTCTGGCCCAGGTGTGCGACGTCCGCCTCTAGGCTCGCGGCGCGGGCGTCCTTTTCTTTGGCCTGTGCTGTGGCGGCTGCGAGCTGCTCGTCCTTTGCCTCCAGCGCTGCGTCGCGGTCTGATAGATCGGCCGTGCGCCGCTTGAGCGTGGTGTCCAGCTCGCGCAGGCGGTCTGCGGCCAGGGCGAGGGTCGGCGCCGCGGCGGGCGGTAGGGGGGTGTTCGGGTCAAGGTCGCCCAGGGCCTGACGGACGCTGTGGAGGGCCGAGGCGAGCCCGGCTGTGGCTTCTCCTTTGTTATCGGTGGTGGAGGGGCCATCTGTGGGCGATCCCATGAGCAAAGAAGACAGCTCGGCGAGGCGGTTGGTCTTCTCGGCCAGGTCCTGCAGGACTATGTCGAGTTGGAGCTCGACGTCTTGGTCCACGACGGTGTCGTCCTGGGCTGAAGAAGGGGAGGAGGGCAGCTTGTGCTGTGATAGCTTCTCCCCCATGCGGGCCTGAAGCGAGTCACGCTCCGAGAGAGTGTCGTTGAGGCTCGAGACCTCGGCGCGCAAGGTGTTCAGTTCGTCGCGGAGGGCGTACATGCCCGGATCAGGAGTGCAAACCTGCAAGGCAGCATCCGTAGAGACAGCCGCGGCCTGCACACCAGCGTCGCAGGCCGAGTGGGTGCTCATCTCCGCCGCCGAACTGCTACCGCTCGAGTGGATCTGCCGGACGGGCGACGAGGGCAGCTTGGCTGGGCTGGTGCTGGGCGGCGTGAGCGTCGGTCCGTGGAGGTGAAGCGCGGCAGGCCTCTTGCCCTTGAACTGCTGCTGCTGCCGGTGATGGCGATGCTGCTCAGGGGTACCACCGCTCTCCAGCTCGGCGACAGAGCTCTCACCGAATTCATCTTCAAAGTCCCCTTCGGCGTCACTACCGCCATCGGACATCCCGCCCATCATGCCCCAATCATCATCATCACCCCTCACAACAGGCGGCGACGACGACAGCGGTACATCATGATCATCACCCCGTCGCCGGCCCATGACCTGCTCCCTGAGGCGGGAAAGTTCCCTCTCCAGGTCCTGCACGCGGCTAGCTTCCTCCTCACCCTCTCCGTCGCGGTGGTGAGAATGGTCACCGTTGCCGTCAAACAACGCCGTCAGCTCCCTCAGGCGCTCAATCTCCGCGTCCCGGGACCTAAGCTCGTCCCGCGCGCGCCTCAGCTCCGCGAGCGTCCTCTCCCTGCGGGCGCGCTTCTCGCCGTACGCCTCGTTCATCTCCGCGCTCAGCCCGTTGCGCCGGATCCGCCGCTTGATGTGGTCGTCCAGGATCTGCGTGCGGATCGGGAGGATGTGCACTACGGAGGATGCGCTGTTGTTCTCGTTGTCGTTGCTGCCTGTCTGGCGGCGGGTCCTCTTGATGGCCGGCTTTTTGCTTGGGGAGGTGACGGAGGGGCGTCTCTTCCTCTTGCCCACCCCGGACGATGACCGCCGCGAGGAGGAGATGGGGATGTCAAAGTCTAGTGCGGTGATGCTGTCGTCCGCGTCGTCGACGAGCGTGATCGAGTCATCTGAGGCATCGTCCGCCCCAGCAGCAGTAACACTCGCGGATTCCGGGACGCCGGCCTTGCTCCTGCTCATCGCCCTGCCCGCCGTCTTGGCCGTTGCACTTGTGGTAGCTGGCTTCCGGACGACACTGGCCCGCGAGGGCTTCCGCTGTGACGCCGGGGCGGGAGTCCTCGGTGTCTCACTGACTCCGTGCTGCACTCTTCTTCGAGGCGTGCGCCTCAGCGCCAGAGGCAGGTCTGCTGCCATGCTAGCTTCCTCGTGGTACAAGAGAATTACAAAGCGCAAAAAGACATGAAAGACAGCGCAAGTCGGACGCTCGCTTAACGAAAAAAAAAACAGATGCAGGCTACTAAAAGACAGGAGGGAAAACAAGAAGCAGCAAAGTCCAGGCCTGAGGTTTAAAGTGAGTGACGGTCGGTGAGTTGGCATGCCTAAGGGGCTGCTGGCTCGGTGGCATCTTTTGTTGGAACCGTTGGCCCGCACGCCCGCCATTTTGGGATCCGCCGGGGCCCACACCGCTGTGGAGTCGTGAAGAACACGTCGACTTGCTGCAGCCCAGACGCGTCTGGCTCGTGTCGTGGCTGGGGGAGCTGGCTGGGCTTTCTCCTTCCGTGGGATTTGGACAGGGCTCAAGGCCGCAGTGTGGCCCTTGCCCACCCTGCGGACACTATCCTGCCAGTCATTTTTCTCACCTATGACGGTTACTGCCGCCGGTGCTGCCTGGAAGTTTTGGCTTGGGGAGGTTTGTTCGGGCCAACTTCATTGCATCTAAGTATGTACGATGACGCATTGTCAGGAACAGAAACGTCACCTAACCATTCACATTTACGGGAACACAGACAATTCCAGACAAGGACAAGGCAACAATCAGCTTTGCCTGGCAGACAGCCAAGGCATGATCATATATTCGTCAGGTTCAACCGCCTGTCTCTTGCAGCACGGCCGAGGGGTTCCTAGAGAGCCAGCTGCTTCGCTGGCGTCGTCTTCTAGGCCCACTTCCCCATCATCCTGCGTGCCCCCTCCACCCAGACGGGGCCGCCCAGCTCCGCCCATTTCTCGAAACAGAAAATGAAAACAAGGGGGTATATGAATGAATCACGCCGCTCTGCCTCCGCAACCTCACAACCCATCATCATGCCGGAGGGGTGAAAAAGGAAAAAGGAAAAACAAAGAACTCAGGCTTGATCCATGCCAGACCTCTGTAAAGGACAGAAACAATTATGCATCTTGAAACACCGCCGCGTCCCTCCCCCGGCCTCGGCCTCATGGTGCTGGGAGAGGCAGGGCTCTCCCGTTGAAACCAGATCGATGCACCAAAATGGACGCTAGGACGCCTGCTGTTTGCTCATAGATTTTCCGCCGTCCCAACAGGCGACTCTATTCGTCAATCCAAGAAATATTAGATCGTCGCGATCAAGGACACAGGTAAAGAAGAAACCAATGCTGGCTTTGCTCGCTGCTCTTCCGCGGCCACTGCTGCTGCTGCTGCTGGTGCAAATCGGTGGCGTAACGCGGGAGGCGTGACTTAGGAAATTAGGAATTACCCGATGCTCCGAGTGTTCATCTAAATGGGTATATAATAGTTCGCAATAGGAAAAGGCCAAGAACGGCCGGTGTGAAGAGGGGAAAGTTGTTCATGTAGAGACAACTGTAAGTACGGGTCCGTCTCGGGGTGCGTGTCAGGCCGTGATCTAATGTGGGGGTGCGTCTTTTCGTGCCGTCAAAAGCAACATGTGCGGTCGTTGGTTGAAAGAGAATATACAGGGGTATCGTGTTAATATCATTCCATTCACTTCAGTGAAGAAAGCATCCGGTCTCGATAGTTCAGTCGCGGAGCGTGTTGGTTGTCGGTCTGCTCATCATTGCAGCTGCTGCGAGTGTCGTCGGATCTCATCGTCAGACAAAGCACTCATCCAAAGACAGCGTTCGGTGATGCCTTCGATCGGTTGGAAGGCGTATGTGGTGCTTGCCTCTAGCAGTCTAAGCAGGGTTTTGACCACGCCAGCAGCTATCCGGCAACGTTCGAAATTGACAAGGGGTGCCGTTGTTGGACTGCTGGCGATTTCGCTTGGCCGTTGTGCGTTGAAGATGAGATCGTGGGTATAGATGCCCACGAAGGGAATGCATCCCATGTCATGAGTGGTCAGACCTCCCCCTTCCATCTCTGAGCGTAGAGCGTAGAAGTTGCGGGTCGGCGAGATTAGGGCCTCAAGCTCGCGCAAGGTGTGCATGTCGTGGGCCGGCACCATCCTCCATGTCTGAGACAGGCGCTCGACTTCGCCGCTTGTGAGCGCAATGGTGATTTGGCTCATTGTGGCGAAGTTGCGGTAGCGCCTGCAGTGTGCAGCAATGTGGATGTACTTGATGATGCACCGAGCTCGCTCCTCCATATTTTGAGTCAGGACGATTTCAGAAACGGCCCATTTGACGACAATGTTGAAGCGGGCAATCACCACTTCGACACCTCGGGCATCTGCGTCCCGCAGGAACTGGACCCATGATCGACAGTCGTTGTTCTCGGCATTCTTCCAACGCATTTCAATAAGCTCCTTCCAGTCGATCTCATTAAGAGCGTCCTTCTCAATGAGCGTGAACTGCTGGGCAAGTATTTCCGAGTCGAAAGCCAGAATGAAAGGAAGGTGCGCAGAGAAGTCACGGGTCTTCTCTCGTTCTGTCACGGTGGCTGCGTTGCGCGGTGCCTCGTTGGCACTGATTGGACCGGGCGTCGTCTTCATAGGCTGCGCTGCCTGTTCGAAGGTCGGCGTGTAGTCAGGCGTGGGAGGCAATGGTTTGCGTCCTTTGTCTTGACCCCAAATCTGAGCACTGTGTAGCTCTGGAACATCTGCAGTCTCGGGTGACACCTCGAAAGTCTGACCAGAGGCCGACGTCGGTGAAGCTACACTCACTGTGTGCTTCGTTTGCGCCCCAAAAGTCTTGTACGATTTTGCCGTGTGGTTTGTTTGGATCTTGGTGAGGGTAGCGCCACGCCGTAGAGAGGGGAAGGCGTCCAATTCCTCGTCGTCTTCCGCCGGGTTGTCCGACAGCTCTGAGGACAGTTCATCATCAGTGCTGTCCATGTCCAGGAAAGATTGGGACGAGTCTCTCGTCTTATCACGTTGCTGGGGCGCCGGCATGGTGTCTCCCGGCTTGATCTTCTCAATGCTCTCAGACTTCTTGACGAATTCATATGAGCGATCTTTGTCGCCTCCGTCCCGTTCGTCGGCGGATGTGCCATCTTCGGGATCTTGAAGAATGGACTGATTTGTCCACTCCGCTCGGCTCCTCTGACCATCGTCGACCGCCTCACGCTGTAACAGAGGGATTGACAGATATGAGCCATATGAACCGTCCGACAGGAACGAGGCAACCTCATCGCGCAGGGACCGGCCCTTTTCAGGAACGCGCAGAGATGTCGAGTCCGAGGCATCCGCAGAGCTCTCGGCAGGTGGCGCCGGGGCCATGACACCTTCTTCTCCAATGTGCTCCTGGCGATGTTTCCGTTTCTCTGCCTTGGAATCGGGCCCATCTTCTGGTGGGGGAGATTTGCGACTGATGTTCTCCATGTTGAGCATGGAAGTGTTCGTCGCATCGAGAGACAGCTTGAACGGTCTCCTCTCATACCTTCCCTCAAGCTTCAGCAGTGCCGACTCAACCCCACCATCATCTTCGTCGTCTGGGATATTTGCGAGTTTCTGTGCCTCGGCCTCGAATGAAGGTCGCATTATGGGCCTAGAGGAAGATGTGCTGAGCAGGGAGATCCTTCGCTTCGGTTTCTCTGCAATGACGCCGAGAGAGAAGGCTTCCACTCGATTCCGAGAGTAGTCACTGTTGACAACGTCCACTACTCCCGTCGAGCCCCGCCCCACAGCTGGGCTTTGAATGAACGAGGTTCGCAGGGAGTCCGTGTAAGTTGTAAGAGACCCCAAAGAGCGCGACTTACGCAACACATGTTGGTCCAAGTCTCCAACGCGGTTGACCGCTCTAAGGTCTCCGCCTGGGCGTCTTCGGAGGACTCTCAACGGCGGTGGCACGGATGATTGCTCTATCGACGCTCTGTCAGAGTAGGTGGTCGCGTCGAAGCTGCGGACAGTTGAGCGAAGACCCATTCCACTTTGAAATGATGCGTATTTTCTGAGCCCCATCGTGCCGTTTGAGCGCAGCGAGCGACTCGAGCGGTGGCGCCCATGCCCATAGACCCCACTCAATGGCGGGCGACTCAATGACTGCCGCAGAAATTCGGACGAGGAAAGCCTGGCGTCTAGCGATGGGCGGACCATGTCTTCAGATGGCCGGTGAGCCTGTCCACCAGCGAGCGAGTCCAGGTCCGGGACGAAAGGAGGCAAAGCATCTGATGACTTGACTGAGCGGAGGACGTGCTGACCTAGCAAGTATGAAGATCTCCTTGGCGTGTCTGTTATCCGACCAGGAGGTGTGCTAGGGGGTGTCGGATCTGCTCCTTGTGGCATGAAAGAGTCCGCGAAATCTTCTACCGATTGAGTGAAAGCAGGAAGAGCGCCGGTCATTGCGGGAAACTCGTTGGGAACCCGCAGTGTATCGTCGATGATGAGGATGGACTTGCTTCCAGTGGTCACACCCCCGTCGCTGAAGGGACGCGTGCCGTCCTGTGGATCGACCTGTCGCAGAGTTTCCATGTGTGGTACCGGGTATCCTCCGTCTTCCCCAGGTCCCCTGACTGTCGTCGGAGTGGATGGTATGGAGCCCTGGACACCCTGCAAAGCAGCTTCCGCTGCCGCGTCTTCCCTTATCACCTTCTTGAAATCCTCCACGATTTCCGCACCAAGTAGATCGATTCGGACGACTGGGCGCATACTACTCGTTCTCGGCCGGGCCTGAGGCACTATCGCAGTCCCGGGCAATCTGTTTGTCGTGACACCCCGGGGTCCTATGGGCGCAATGTTGAAATTTCCTTGTGTGGGCGACACATCCTGTCCTCGGGTACTCAGCGCGCGGCGGACCCCGCAGATAAGTTTTCGCATCCCCTGTCCAGACATTGCAGATGCCGCGGCCCTGTCTACTTCAGTATCATCCGGGTATGGTTGAAACACAGTCGTCTGTCGGCTTGCACCGTTCGTTGAGGTCGGTGAGACAATCTCGACAAATGCTTGGCCTGGAGGCATGACGTTGCCTCTCACGAGACTGCCGGCGTAGGGAAGCGAAAGCAGAGTTTCCGTATTCTGCTGGAGAAGCTGCTCGAGTGTTGTGTTGTTGTGTTCCCTCAGCGAGTCGGAAAGACTTCCGTTACGCTTGTGTGCTTGTTGGGGGCGCAATCGCTTTCCCATCAGGGCACGGGGTGTCGTGGCGATAGGCTCCATGTTGTAGACGGAGCTCGGGTCCACCGGATGTGCACCCAAAGGATGGTTCGAACCAGGACTCGAGGACTTCATAGTTCGGGTCGGGAACGAACACGAGACGATGTCCCCGCTCGAGATGCTTGTCGGGGAGACTTGCACCTCCTCAGCCGTGTTCCTGTCGTGAATCTGATTCTCGGGTGTCGCAGGTCTCTGGCCTTGTCCATAGTCATTGTCGTCGCCACCGGCCCTGGCGACATCGCGATAAAAGCTTGTCTCTGAATCCGGTGGATTGCTCGTCAACGGTGCAAGAATGTTATCCAGCGTTGGCGGGCCGTTGTCCAGGTATCTCTGCCAAAATTCGGGGTCCAGGCTGGGATTTCGATGACCAGGTATGCCGCCTGGGGCAATAGGGGCCTCAGGTGGCAACGAAGCTTCGGACTCAGGTCCGTCCCAAAATTGAGCACAAACACGTCTCCAACACTTCTTGAGCTCGGCCAGAATCTTAAGCTGCACCCTGCGCCCTTTCGAGTCTTGCGATACGTCATTCGTCAGGCTGTTCAGCAGCCTGCAGAAATTTGTGCGCATATCGTACTCACAGACGAAGTCGTCCACGAAGTAGTTCAAAATCCAGTGCCGGAGCGCCACGAAAGTTCGAACGCGAACAACCACTCCCACTTCACCATCCCTGATTAAAGCCCATCGCATCCGTGAGAAGAGCATTTTAAGCAGATCCATGGGCGACAAATACGCGCGAAAGGTGAGAAAAAAGTCGGACAAGAGCTCGTAGTCGAGAAACGTGGGTGAAGTAATCTCCGCTACGAGGCGGGGTGGGGTTGCCGCGGTCACGGCTCCGGTCAAAGATGAGGAGTACCTGACAATGGTAGGATCATCGCAGGCCGGCTTGAAGGTCAGAGAGTCGAACATTGCAGGCTCGATCGTAACCTGTTGTGACATGTACTTTGCCCGAGAGACATCATGAGGAGAAAGACCAGAGCCGAGCCAAGCAGGTCTTTGTGAAATTGACAGGTGAGGCGGTGCTGCAGCAACGGACCCGGGCCTCCTAGAAGCCATTGACGAGGCAAAGCGCGGTGTCATGCCACCTGAGCGGTTCATCATAGACTGGTTACTCGACCGGATATCTTCAGTCGGAGCGTAACTAGAACCTCGGATGAAGGGCGTTCCTTTGACTGAAAACCGTGGGGTGCCTAGTTTCCAAGAGGGAATGGAAATTTCAAGGAACGGCGAGGTAGCGGCCTCCAAATCTTCCAGTGTCTTGGGCCTCTGTTCCTCGCCCGGCTGCGTAACGACGATCTTGAAAGCCCCTGGATCAGATTCACGAGCCACGGACGACCTCGATTCATGGATGGTCGAGTCAGACTGAGTACGTCGGTGCGTGCCCAGACTTGCTTTCCTATCGTCCAAGTAAGAGCGCAGCAGCACGGTCGTCGGCGTTGAAGGGACAAGGCTTGGTGTCCACTGGGATCCCTGGAGTTGACTGATGTCGACCGCAGTGTCCCGCTTCGGATTCTCGCTCGGCATTGAACCTAGGCCGGCAGTTTGTGGAGGAGTCATCGGAAAGACAAACTGAGGCTGTGGGTGCCTCTGGTGTGCTGGACGGACCGTGGGCCTAGACAAAAGTAGCCGAGGTCAGCGATTGCACTATGATGGAGTTTTATATTTTCCTCGGCCGGGTATATGGCTAGCCGACAGAGCCAGCAACCGACGTATGCTTTGGGGGACGTACCTTAGGTATATGCGACCATTGTTGCCGACGTTTGCCACGGTGAATTGCCTCCCTTCGCGCCCAGCCGACCCGCCGTCGGGCGTGATGTCCCATTTGTCGTGGTCTGAGTTCTTCCTTGGCCGCCGCGACGCCGCCTTCTCCTCCTGGCTCTTCCGCTCCGTCACTGGCAATAGCGGGTTCACCTTCTGGGTGGCCATGGTGCGAGTCCGGGGCTTGTTCGCGGCGACGGTCGGTGCGCTCGGATCGGGAGCCCGCCTGGGCGGTATAGGCCGCCTAGCTTTGGTAGCATCTCGGGGTGCTGGTCGCAGGAAGACGGGAGCCCTTGCGACATCCTTCTTTTGGTACGAGTTTTGCGGAGGGCGTCTTGCTTGCTGTCGTGGGCTGGATTTGTTGTTGGCGGGGGGCATTATACGGGGCCCTTGGAGTGGAAGCAGCGGAGGATCGCGGTCAGGTTCCATCTCTTGGCTCGTCATCGCCTTGGTGGGCAGACGAACGTCTGCGGGTGCTCACTGCAGCCACGGTTAGAAACAGGCATTTGAGACTTGGAGTGGTCCGAGCGGATTGTTGACAGCTGTTGGGGAGAATAGTGATAAGAGGCGCAGCGTGAGGAGAGAGGCAAGGGGATGCAAATCTAATGGTGGCGTGCCAAGAAGCGTGCGATCCTGGGAGTTGGTTGTTGTGTTGATTGGTTACGTCGGGGTAAGCAGAATCGGAGGCCGTCACACAGAGGCAACAAGCGAGGCGTGACTGGCATCCCGACAGCAGGCCGTGGCAAGCAGCCAGACAGGAGACGGCAATCCGATGGGGCTTGTTGAATCGTTGAGTCGTAGAGTGTGGGCAGTGCTGAAATAAAAAAAGGCAGTCGAGATGGGACGAGACGTCACTTACAGGAACCGGACTCTTGCGCAACGCCATAACATCCGCACACGTTAGAGACCGACGCCAGACGCGAACACAAATACACAGGTTGAGCCAATTCAGCTCCGGCTGGCCTGGCAAGCCCCAGGACAACTTCCGAGAACCAGTCGTAACAACTTGGAAAACCGGCCCCCTCGAAGATGCTGATTCCCAGCGCAACGCGACCAAAGCCTTGGTGGGTTTGCTTCGGCCGAGTGCCGCAGAGCCTGGCGTTGGCTGGTCGATCAAGGACCGGAGAGACACGATACCGAAATGCGCGACTCGTAGAAAGCTCTGTTGAATGCGAATGGAAGTTGGAAGGGCGAAGAGAGAACGTAAGTCGAATAACAGACCGGGCTGGTCACGTCAAGTGGAGACGAAGTCGCGGTGGTGGTGATGTTCCAAGGAAAGGAGGGTCAGAAGTATCAGAGCCGGAGTCGAAGTGGTAAGGAAGAGAAGCGTGGGAGACGATGCATGGCAGGATAAGGTAATGCAAGCCAATGCAGGCTTCGACCTTGACTACCTATTTCAGAATGGAAGGTAACCAAATTGGCAGGGCAATGCAAGGTAAGGCGAGGCAAGGCAACGGTTCATGGGGAGGAGATTGTGAGATTGAGGTGGTCCGTGGCCCGTGGGCTCCCGTGGGATGGACGCGGTAGGAACCCGGGTAGAGGTACGAGGGTACGAAGGTACGCTATGAGGGAGCGAAACGAAACGGTGCGATGAATCGTGGGCAAGGAAAGCGTGCCGCTGGCGCATACTGTGCTAATCACTGCGCCGTGGTGCGCAGTGCTGCACGGATAGATACCGTGCAGGGTTGGTCGGGGCCCCCTCTTTTCCCTTCTCTCCTCCCTCTGTCGCCCGTTCTATGACTCTGGTGTCCTGTTACCTATTCTTCCCCAGCGCTATGCCTCGGCCTTAGCAATGTCTCTGGAACTGACGCTGGGGCATATGCACTCCACAGTGTCGTGTCATCCCGCAGCACGCGTTTTCGGTCGCCTCGTTCTGGTGAGGACTGGTCCGATTTGGATTTTGAGGCGGTTTAAATGAATTGATGTCTGAGGATGCACGCTGTTCCGGTCTGATAAGCACAGTAGCAGTACAGTAATCACAATTTGGGCCTGACTGACTGTGTGGATGTACCTAGGCAGTCCACTGCTGCCCCTTGCCTCGCATGAAAGTCTGGCTGTCATCCGGATCATGCCAGGCGATGCCACGGCTAGCAAAAGGCAGACCCCAGGATCGATTGAGTGCTGGACAGCTCTGGACAGCTCTGGGACCTGTCAGGCTGCCACACCCACACATGGAGATAAAAATCCCTGGCCGGGGCCCCATTGTCGAGATTTCAGGCAGGACGAGGGCCCATTCGACGCTGCGACGGGCCCTCAGTGGAAGAGAGACAAGATGCCTCGGGAAGGGGAGACGGACCCATGCGCACGGGCGAACCCAATTTAGAGCCTGCAGGATGCAGATATAGTGCGTGGAGAAGTACCTCGATACCTTCTGCGCGCATAGTCCACGTATAGCACGGCACGGTAGGCTGGTACGAACCACCTCCACTGCCACCTCCGCTCAGCTCCTTCAGCTCACCAGCACCACGCACCAGCACCAGCGATCGGTTGCTGACCAAGTTGTCCCCATAGTCTGGGCCACAGTTTAAGCCGTCCCAGCCCAGCCAGCGCGCCTTGCCCGTTCTGTCCCAAACGGTTCGATTTGGTTCTGGGCTCGTGGCTTCCAAAATAGTGCGCAACGGCAGCGGCAACATCAACGTCGTCATCATCATGACTTCAACTCATCAATCACACTCGACCCGAACACAACGTGCTGACAAGGTGACGCCCTGTTTCAGTCCAATCCTGTCTCCAGTGATGCCCGTTTTAGCTTCCTGGATCTGGAGATCCTGCATATCCCGGATACCTTAAAAGCAAACAAACAGGCCTTGTCGAGTGCCCTCTCGAACAGCCTCATCACCTACTGGTGCCAAGGCGCATATGCCCCGACCGGGCCCAGGCCAGAACTGACCATCCCGTCCAAACTCAGCACCCGCCCTCAAAGTCTCCCCACCTCCCATACCACCGCGGACGCCGGCCAACCTTCTCAAGCTATGACTTCGTCCCATGTTTATGAGATGCATGGCCCACTCACACGCTCGGTGGGGCACGTCATAGCATCTCCCCTCTCCCCCTTCCCATTCAAGTTCCTGCTCCATTGAGCCAGACGGCCAAGGCAGGCAGACAGACAGACCCTGAGCTCGAGCTCTGGCCACCGCGCTCGCACCCGCGCCTGCGCATACGCCTACGCCATGGGCGACCAGGCGATGAAACTGGCTCCGTCGAGTCCCCGGTGGGTTCTCCTCGCTTGATCTGCTTCGTTGCCGGATACAGCCTCGCCTGCAATTTACCCCCCTGGCCTGTCAACGATGGATCAGCGCGAGATTGGCACTGGTGCTGCTTGGAAACTCGATTGCCGAAAGCAGTAGACCTGCACTAGACCCCATGGTCTGCCACTCTACACACTACTGTGTACAGTATATTGCAAGCCCACCTCCTGCCACGAACCTGGCACTTCCCAGACTACCCTGCAGGCATTCGAGCTCTTCAGATGCCGCCAGCAGCTGCGATAGCATAGCTCTCCATATCACTGGGAGCTCCAATCCTCGCGGGGAGGGCTCATGGCCAAGCCGCCTGCCCTGCACTATACTACCATCCAAGGTCCAATTGGGAGTGACATCTGCGACCGCACCACATGGAGGCCTTCAATTGCCCAATCACTGCCACCGACCGAGCTCCCGAGTGGGCAACAGCTGCATGCACGTTGCATGCAGCTAGCATCACAGCAGGGCCGTTCGAGTGCGGCACAGTACTGAATGTAAACTACTTGCCCATGCGCCTCACTTCCCTCACATGGCGCTCGCTCTTGTCGCGGTAAGAAAGGAAAAGAAAAAAACCACCTCTTTGGGATCACAAGTCCCACAACCCATCTCGGCAGTTGCCATCCGTTTCCACCAGCACACACGTCCATCGTCCAACATTCTGAACTTCTGCCAGACCGGAGATCACCGTCATCAGAGCTCTCGCTCACTTCCGCCGACCGCCAATCTCCCCTGGCCACACGTGGCTACGGGGTCACCACGAGGGGTCGTTCCGATCAGGAAGTTTGTACGGTCGATCATTCATCGCGATCCTCAACTGCCAGGCGCTGTTTGGTGCCTTGTCCGCCATGCCCCTCGTCCGCCCATGTATCTGATACAGGTGCTGGCTAGCCGTGGCCCTGGACGTCTGTATTCCAGGCTTGGGTACCCGGTACATGCTACCACTTGAAACCTTCACGGCAGCACAGAGCTATGGCTTCTGCAGGAGCTCTCCAGTATATGTGTCAGTGCCATGAAGTTTCTACGATGCTTCGCTGCAGCGGTTCATCCTCATTGGGTTTTGCAGCGGAGTCGAGCAACAGCTTGCCCTTTCACCTCTCCCAGCAGCGCCACTCATGGAGGCCCCTGCGAGACTTTGAACATGTGAGAGGCTCTCGAGGCTTGCCTTTCTAGATTTGTTGCGCTGATATTCGAGCGCTGGATGCACCCTAGCTTGCACTGCATCTGTCTGAGGGGGTCACAACCGTGGCTACTGAACCCTCGGCCATCGACCATGTTTGTGGGCTTGGTTGACAATTCCAGCAAGCAGAGGCGCTGCCCACAAGAGAGGAGGGCCGGACACTGTGTGGCCTGTGACCGATAACGCAATGGCATCCACACCTGGGAGATGGGCTAGAGTTTAAAGTACTCCGTACCCTCCCGTATCCACGTTTCTTCATGGATCAAGCACCCTTGGCATCGCATTCGCTTCGAGTCAAGTTGGCGGGCGGCACGACCGCAACGGCCACAAATGCCAACGCGTCGGCTCCATCAATGATGGTCGGACCCTTTCTCTTCGAGAGAGGCGGAAAAGGGTTCAGCACACGTCGGAGGGTTCGACGTCGCAAGCGAGCCGCGGCGTATTTGCCCAGCAGTAAGTGTCACCGGTAGACAGACCACCTGTAGCCCGTCCACCTGCCACTTAATCATGTCAGCGAGATTATAGACAAGGGTTAGGTGAGTCTGTGGAGCCGAGGCCCCCAGGCCACCAGGGCCCTGGCGAACTCTCTCTGTCTCTTCCACTTTCCCCCGTCGGGAAAATTGGATCGATCACATCCAGTTGCGGACCCATTGTCATTGCGGACGGTGTTCCATTCGCAGACGGATGGAAGAAAGGGAAGAAGGCCTGACAGCCACAATGGGCACACCGATCTGCTGGATGAGATATAAGGCCGCAAGATCATCAGCTCGCAGCAGCGTGCATCCCGGCAAGCGACGGCCGGTGCAAGCGTGGTTTACAGGTGCTCGAAGTTGACCTGGTGGGCGGGGAGCAACTGCCGGGCGAGCCGCAGGCCCCCGATCTGCAAGCCCGACTAGACCGCGTGCTTAGACTGAAAACAATCCAGACCACAGTCCGCGCCGTCTACCGCCCGTCAGCGTCCGTTCTCCCCCACCAACGGGTGCTGCGCGGAAAACCAGCAAACACAACACCGCCGCCGGCCGGTGGCTTGAACGGCTCGGCTTCTAGTCCTTGTTCTGGATGTTCATCGTTAGGCTCCCAGGTGCTCGGAGAAACAGGGCAGCAAGCGGTAGCCTTTTTCTTCGCCCAACAGCGCTGGAATCCGCGCCAGGTCTAGCGCCTAAGCTACTGTGTAGTATGTACACGCTGCCGGGCTCGACTCATGGCACCCTTGTGGCCCGGCCAATGACCGCAACCTGCCCATCACCCCTCGTCCCAACGTCCTCGCATATGTGTGTGCATGTACAACTTCTATGTGGCTGATGCGCCGGGCGGGCTGGCAGAAAGGGTCCTGCTCATGATCATCATCAGCACGCACGCACGCAGGAGCCCACCCAGCCGTCCACACCATGAATGGGGGGATGGATGGATAGGAAAATAACGGAAAAGCGAGCAAAAGAAAGTTGAGAGCCCTGTGTGGTCCCCTGTGGTCGATCAGCCTGGGGGCTGCTGCATGTTCTTTAGGGTTTAAGCTTCCATGCGGGCCCCCCATGGATCGAGCCAGTGAAAGACCCGTGTCTATCTCCCTCTCCGTGTAGATCACTTGTCTCGGTCTGCCCTGTGGGAGGAGGAGTGATCGCCGCCGGTGAATTTTTTGTCCCCTTTTGGCCGTGCATGCAGTGGTGTCTTGATCACGGGGAATTTATTATATCGTAGGTATGGTTGGTAAGTATAGATGGCATCCAAGTAGGTGCCCTTTGCTTCTTGCTGTGTCTCTCCCGAGTGGGGGGTGGGGTGTGGGGTTTCTGAGCTGTGTGCATACAAAACGGGCTGTCGACGGGGTCTATGTTCGTCCTGGCTGCTTACACAGAGCGGACAGGCAATTTTTTGTTTGCGATTGTCAAGAAATCCTCGTATAGCGCGGGTCGTGAGTATCCAAGTGTAATTCCGTAGAAATTAGATGGCCGTTGAACGTATGATGCGTGCTACGTTGCCATGTGACACAAGTGAGCTAGAAGCAAGTGTACCGCACAATTTATCGACAGATGCCAAGGGACTCAGAGGCACTTTGAATATTCTGGGCCTGATGCCCTTTGATTTGTTCTCTTTTTGACACGAGGTGCAAAATTGTGGTGGTTCTTAGGTTGCAGTCCTGGTAATGCGATGTTGGAATGAGTGTACGTACTAGTGTCAAGATATCCATGATATGTGCTTAGACTAGCATTGGGCATCCAATACATATCGACGACAAATCCACAGCACAAGGGATTCGATGTACATGAGAAACTCCAGATTAAATGACCAGAGTGTGCAGACATGTCTCTCAATAACCTAGGCCCACCCTCGCTCGACCGGCAAGTACGAGTACGAGCACGAGCCTAACCCAGCCTCATGCCTCAGAGACATACGATATACCTATCACGCCTGGGTTTTGTCAATGAACTCCCCAATCCTAGCAGCAACCCTCGCCGCACTATCCTCCCACTTCAGGGAATCCCCAGCAAGCAGCGTGTCGTGCGGCGCGTCCACCTCGATGTGAACCTCGACCTCGTTGACGCCGCCGCCCTCGTAGCCCACCATCTCGCGCGCCCACGCCGCCCCGTCCGTCGACAGGATCTCGGCCCCGCCCACGCTCACCAGCACCGGCGCCCGCGCCCTGAAAGGGTGGCCCAGCGCCTGGATGTACGGGTTATCCCTCGTGGCCTCGACGTCCCCTTCCGGCGCGTACGTCCTCACGCCCCACTGCATGAACGACGCCGGGAGGATGTCCGAGCCGTAGTGCGCCATCTCCTCCACGGACGGCTCGCCCACCGGCCGCCGCGGGAAACACGCCGCGGGCGCGACCCACGGCGCGATCAGGACGACCCGCCCGGGCGGCGGCACCCCGAGCTCCCCGCCGTGCTCGCTCAGGTACCGCAGCAGCGCGACGGCGATGTTCCCGCCTGCGCTGTCGCCCGAGAGCGTCACGGCTTGCGGAGGGAGGCCAAGCCCGCGCACGAGATACAGGTACGCCGTCAGCGCGCTCCTGCAGCGCGCGGGGAAGGGGTTGCGCCCGCCGTGGCCCGAGAGGCGGTACCGCGGCGAGAAGACGGCGTCGGCGCCCGCGTGGGCGAGGAGGGTGGCGCTGAGAAGAAGCCCGACGCCGGGGTGAGCGGGTGGTCGCGCACGAAGGCGCCGCCGTGGATGTGCATTACCACCTTCTTCAGGCTGCTTGCTGCCGCGCCTAGGGACGGCGGTGGAGGGCCCGGCCGCCAGATGCCGCCCACGGGTTCCGGGGTCACGGAGGGGTCTGAGGAGAGGGGCCCCGTGTACAGGTGCGCGTCGAACGGCTGGACGACCACGAAGCGGTCGCCCTCGCCGCGGGGAGGCGTGAGGGACTGGTGTCTCTGCCTCGCCGAGGCCGATGACCGAGTCCTTGTGCAGTGAGGCGCGGAGGAAGCGCGCCACCACGGTCTGGAGACATGACCACTGTCTGTTGGGCCGCAGTGACGGGACGAGGCCAATGACGATCCAGACGGGGAGGCGTGCTATTATAGATGCCGCCGCAGCGAGCTGGTAGAGGAGGCGGAAGGGCTGGTAGGACACCAGAGGGTACTTGCTTATGTTTGCCATTCTGATACTGTTTTTTTTTTTTTGGAGGCGCGCTCGGAAATAGAGGTGAATGATGACCGGGACTTGACTCGAGCGCCAGTAGAGGTGAGAAAATAGAACCTTGCGATGAATCTCTATGCACCGGGCTGGAAAAGAAGTCGAAGAGTGCTGGGTCGCAAGATTGAGAACAGCTTTTGCGGGCTATTATACCTAGGTCCAAAAGCCCACAAAAGGATGAATCGCCAACCGAACTTGGGATCTGGAAAGGGCCACTTCTCCAAACGACGAGATCCACATCTCTTAGTTGGCTGTCCGTGACCCACCTTGTGTGTAGATCTATCCGGGGATAGATGGGAATTTGCCGTGGCTGCAGACAGAAATATTTACGGTCGTTGGTATGACTTCTCTCACCGAGAAAACCATAGGGTTTGCATTTGCTTACTGTAAGAATTCAGGACCATAATTCATATATATTAGCTATTCAAAGAAGGGGAATTTGACCCATATATATAGGCGAACATTCGGCTAAGGTTCGGTCTCCCAATTCTCACTTAAATAGCTAGCAAAATAGAGTCCTCGTGCTGATTAATAGTTTGTGGCTTAGAGGTGACTAAGTAACGGCGTATAGGCCGCGTATAGACTAATACATTTACCGTCTGTTTTAGACTCACGCTCTCTTTTGGCGAGATGGTGTTGGGACATTGCCGAGAAATGCAATTTGGATTTGACCGGGCATACCCCACAGATCGAAACTCTATCCCACGTGTAATCTTCACGTTTTATGCTCGAGACTCTCGGTATTAGTGATCAGTGATCAGTGATCCGTTAATGCTTCAAGGCATCCAATCAATCTCGACCTGCACTAGTCCCATTCGTTTCTGTAGTTCCACCAATACCCAAGGTTCTCGAGCGAATGGAATACACCTAGAGCAGTACTTATGGCAAGAATACCCAGTGTTGCGGCAGTGGCTACTGGGGTTAGGATTGTCGTGACTTGACAACTCAGAGTACCAATACCTTGTTGCCGAACTACGTGGCCGAGAAGGTCACGTCCATTGAGAGTCGTAGCGTGGATGTCTTCAATGATATGGTACTACTAGGTATACTTAAAGAAGCTTTTGATGCTAAGTCCATGTCAGATGTACGTTGCAGGACATGAGTTCGAGTGTAGATCCTATGACCTTTACAAACAACTGCCTCTCCAAATCGATTGATACGTCGCATGTTTTGACCGAGGAGTGTATGTTATCAATCTATTTTAAAATGTTGCTAGACTCTACACATAATATTAAGCAATGTACGACTAGGTAGTATGATTCTTGATCCAACAAAGGCGTAATCAACGCCGCAAACATCTTCACCACTTACACATCTCGCTCCAGCCACGGCGCCTTCTTCACAAGTCCCAGCCTCATCAACTCGAAATTATCCACATAAGGTCGCTCATGGCTCGGGTCAAGGGCATCCCGCTCGACACCCGCCCCATTTCCCATCACGATCTGGTTCGGCGCAGGTTCCCCCTCGTCCCCAAACGGGTTCGGCCCATCGCCATACAGGAAGCTGCCCACGGCCTCGCGGTCGGCCCACACAGCCCGCCCACACCGCGGCACGATCAGCGCGTGCCCAACGACCACATCCGGCCTACAAGCCGCCTCCCGCTCCCGCCAGTCAAGTGTATCACGCATCTCCCCCAGCAAACCACGCCAGTCGCCGCCGTTATCGACAAAGTGCAAGAAGCTCAGCCCCACCGACCGCAGCGAGCCAGGCAACGCCCTCAGCAGCGATATCACATCCTCCTGCGTGACGAGGAAGCCAGAGAGTCCAAAGTGCCGGAGCCGCGTCCACGACTCCACGGGCCATAAAATCCCCAGCGGCACGTGGTGCTCGGCATTCCCCCCGCTGCCTCGCACCAGCGCGCGCGCGTCCGGGTCCGGCACCACGTTCGTCCGCAGGCTGAAGTGCCGCAGGTCCGGGGCTCCCTCCAGCGCGGCGCGCAGGTGGCCCCCGCGCAGGGCGGGCCAGCCCAGGTGCTCCTGGCCGCCGACGGCGAGCGCGAGGCCCAGGCGGGCGAAGCCGGGCCGGCGCAGGAGGGCGCAGAGGTTGGTGTACTCGGCGCTTGCTTGTGCTGCTGGGTGCTCGAAGATGCGGCAGTTCAGGCCTGTGTCGAGGTGGTGCGCGTCGAGGACGAACTCGGTGACGCTGTGCTCCGTCTGGGGCTCGGCCAGCACGCGGAGGGCGAGGCGGACGCCACGCCACTGGTCTTTGTATGCCTCACCCTCGCCATCTCCGGGCCAGGGCCGCATGCTGTGCGGAGGGCAGCCATCCGGGGCGGTGGGCCAACCGCGGGGGATGGGATAATTGAAGCCGTTGGGGAGAGTGCGGATCGTCGGGGTCTCGTAGAGCGGGCTGAACAGCCAACCGTGGGCGGCCGGCGTGATGGTGACGCGCTCGAGCGAAGGGAACTGCTGCAGGGCATAGCGGAAGGCGGCCTCATCGGCTCCAGATGAGAGGACGGCGTCTTGCTGCTGGAGCAGCTCCCGGTAGTGTGCCCAGCAGGCGGCTGCTGGTAGGCGTGTGTTCAGCTGCTCAGCCTGGGCGGCATGCTCGGGGCGGTCAGCGTCTAGGCCTTTGCGGCTGTTGAGGTCGTCTATGTTCCCGTTACATGCGTCGACGAACCATTTTGGGACCTCACTGTCGTTGTTGTCGTGTGTCTCAGAGTTGTTGTCCTTGACATTTTCATCGTGTGCCTGAGCTAGATGTGGAAAGTTGCTGAGGCGCGCGTCGTCCCATATCAGCTCGGTAACACCGGAACGAAATGCGTCGCTGTCAGCAATGGCGCGGAGGACTTGTACGTCGCGGTGGTGGGCGGAAATGAAAACGCGATGTAGGCGTAGGCGCGCGATATCGTGGAAGAAAGTGCATGTCAACCGGAGGCTCTTAATGTCCCGGTTGGTTAAATGAGAAATTATCGGGTCGTGAAGCGCGGCGGGCAGGCGGAGGAGACGGGACGGACCATGGCGTGTCTCTGTTATCCGCGTTGCCTCTGCCTCTCCCTTGAAAGGAGCACCTTCATCGTCCTGGACGTCGTTGAGGATAGCACTGAGATCCATGATTTACGTACGAAGACCGTGACGCCGTCGATTGAAGAGGAGGAAGGGACCGTTGACTCCAATAAACTTTCACTGAGATTTAATTCGCAAGTCAGTGCCGTCAACGCGAAACAAGACCCCGAGGTGAGGTAGTAAGACAAGCAAGGGAATCAATCCAAGGCGTCGGATCGACATTTCGCGGTAAGATTGCTGACATAATGTTAAATCAGACATCAAGCGCTGATACTCGCCCATTAGCTGGCATTGTCTTTTCTGATGAAACTAGGGACAGGGTTATCCTGCTATAGTCGTATGGATGTATATAAGTGAAGACATGGTATGGGTCGTTTTTGCAGGGTAGCTCGCTGGATGCATCTTCATTCGCTGATTTCTGATTATTGCTTGGGTCATTTGGCCTAGCACGAGGAGACAAGTTGATCCGTTTACATGGCCCAAATCCAAGCACTCATTGACCTCCTTTGGGAAGACCAGGTATGGCCTGGTTCCCTCTGCTTGTCTTCCTGATCATATGGAACACAACTCCAGTTCGGGGGCAGGGGAAGCTAGTGTGACGGCGTCAGGATGAAATGAACAGGTGCGTGTTATATTTTACCCCAGTACATCGCACAAAAGTCATCATGAACATCAAACAGGACTTGCTGTCTGTCCATCCAATGAAAAGAACGCATGATGGTTCCCAACCGGTCTCAACTGATAAAGTCGTCAAACCCATGTGGGAATTTCTGTATAAGCTCCCGCATCTTATCTTTCGCTCTGATACAAATTTTGATTAACATCTTGGCATGTAGATGCACATGCGTTTGGTCTCATGCTTACGTGTCCAGGAGCTTGTGCCATTCCGGGCATATTGCAGCTACCACAACGTCGTTTCGACTTGTACTGTGAGCATCATCACCCGAAATAGGCCGTGGAACGGACTCACATCCCGTATAGATAGTGTCGGTCATAGAAGTCTTCTTGCGGCTCAGAGACTCCAACTTCAGTCTTGTAAAGCTCGACCACATCCATCTGGAGATCGTATCGAGGCTCTCCTATGGCTTGAAGGTCGACTGTAGTGTTGTGTCAAGACCAGTCAGCTACAATGCCTATTCGGACCTTGAGGCGGAACTACCTTCCGCATGTCCGTAGAAAGCACATGAATCAAACAGAATCGTTTGTCCTGTATCCACGTCCATCTGCAAAATGCCATCCCACAGATCGCCATGGCAAAGTGAGGGTTTGATGCTGCGCCCACCCGTCTGCAAAGGACGGAGCAGACTAGCCACCACCTTTCGTATGAATTCTTCGGTCAACTTGTGCAGATCGTCGTCTTTACCGTGGACTTTCTGGGCATAGGCGACATCGCGGCGAAATTGACGGCCCCAGAACTCTTCCCAGCTATCCGTCCACTCGTTTCCCATCACAGGCGGACCCCAATATGTTCTGCAGTGGAAGCCGAATTTGCCAGTCGGCGAAACAGATGTCTGATGCAGCCTTTTGATGACGGCTAAGAACTCAGGCAAAGGAGGTACTTCGGGCTCCAAATTACGGAAGCGGGTCAAATAGAATGACTTGGTCTTACTCTCCTCGAAGTATCCCCAGGCAATCGGGGCGACGGCATTGTTTGGGATGATAGCCGAAAGGGCTTGCTGGGACTCATACTCAGCTCTTGCCATATCGGTCCGTTCAGCCCGTTCGATGAGCTGCGTATTAAATTATCAGCACACAATCATACCAAATGCGCAAAGAACTCAGACTTGCCTTGAGAAAGTATTGTTCCTTCTGGCCATTTACAATCAAGTCGACACGCAGCCCTTTTGACCACTACCCGTGTGTATTGGGCGTTAGTCACTAGGGTGGACGTATTCTTTGGTGGTCAAATGTAATTCTACATACCCTGGTTTTCCCATGAGGTACAACGGATAATACCTCGTGCCCTGCAGGGAAGGCTAATTGAGGAAGGAGTCGGATAAGCTGGGATTGAATGGTGTCGGCGCGCTGCCAAGGCATGGGTTTACTTACCGTCCACAACGGCCGCATCAAGTGCCTGGCAGTTCATCTATGGCCGCGACGAAGTCCAATTAACAACTGCTTTTGGGGGTGTGGATTGAGAAACTCGGTGATGGTGAGATGAGTCTTTCCTGGGAGGTCCTCTTGCACACATCATGGCAAGCACAGTTGGGACAATCCGCGGACTGACGCCCGGAGGGAGGCTGATGATTAGCTGACGTTCCATCAGAAAACGCATGTTGGTTCTGCCACTTGGAGTGCCAGATTGCAATGCTGGAGATGTGTGTGACGTCAGTTACTAACGGACGATTCACTCTGGCAGAGAGCACTTGTGTATATACACACTATGTTTGTAGTAACACCTACTGAATGTATGTTTGCCCCTACTGAAGCTACCCTTTTCAGCCAGCTTTTATTCCACCTTCAAAGGTTAATTGAAGATGTATACTTAGATAAACCCTTTTTGGGGTGGTGGGCATTACGGCAGACGAGATCATTTGCTTCGTGTTGCTCGTGGTGTGGCCCCAATGAGAGAGCCCCCAAGCATCATCAGTCTTCAGAGCATTGGCTCGGAGGAGAACACCCAGGATGGGATGCACAACATGTAATAGTTCTTCTGAACGGGGCAATGCCTTCAAAAACGGCCCCACTGCTACAAGGTCATCAGCAGGCTACATGCGCCTCAGATCTGCTGCTGCGGCGCTACGGGCAGCCAAGTTCAACTTTCATAGGACCAGATAACAGTACCAAGGTTATGTTTGTTTATAAAGAAGCCTAATAAAATGTAGTGCGGGGTGCGTATCTCTTATATCCTTAGAACCTCTTAATCAGCCTAGTTTCCAACCTTGCCCTTCGGAATACGCGCAGGTGGCGCATGCCACACCACCATGGGAGAAAAGCCATCTGCACAGCGCATTCGTCCAGGCGAAGCAACTAGTGCTTGCACTTTGAAATTTGCGCAAGTTGCAAGAGACTTTAATCAATGTGTGGCTTATACGTGACACAAATACCGCCTTCCAGCTGTTGCCCCCCCCCCCTCTCTGTTTCCTTATGTTGGTCAGACTGCCTCTTTCCCTCGAAATCAAACCCGGATCCTGATACCAAGTTGTAGGACACAAACCATCCTCGTCGCTTTGTTCCCAGATGCACAACCTATGGTACAGGACTGAAGCTTCAACTCACAACGCAATGCAATCATCTATCGCCCATGCACGACTAAGACACGAGCCTAGCAGAGAGGATTACGGCCTCGTCTCGTCTTCTCCCGAGCTCGCCCGGGATGTAAACTTTTGCAATGATCGACAAGTCCTTGCCCCAACAGGATCACCCATCCGCGAGTCCATTGACTGGAAATGACTTCAGCGGAGAAGAACCACAGACTAGCCCTGGGGTAGAAGGGATAAGGCCCCTGTCAGTGGACTCCCTGCAAATCGCATTCTCAGATGCAACTAGGTCAGGTAGTACGGTTCATTACCACGAAGGATCAGGAGAAGCTTACCCGCCTACTTTCACACGCTATAGCAAACGGTAAGACGTTGGCTTCGGACAGCACTTTGGCGAATGTTTTGGAAGTAAGATATTCGGGTGGTGTCCAACGGATTGCCGCAGGCGAGCTTCGAGATAGAAATTAAAGTGAGTTGTATATGGTTCTGAACAGAGAATTGCACATCATATTCGGTCCCTGGAGTGCACTCTTATATAGTTGTGGTAGCTTTCACGGAAGCTTTGACTGGCCCCTTTGCCTCTAACGTTGAAGGCGAAAGTTCGCGAACGTCGCCTTTGGCGTCATCATCGTTCTGCGAACCTGCTATCTCGCGGACCCGTGTCCTTCAGAATGTCGAGATGATGACGCCATGTGCAAGACAACATCTCGAGATCTCGAGTCAAGACCCAGTTTTCTTGTGGGGGTGCTCCTTGAACCTCGCGCAGCTGGGACGGGCGAGCTGGGAGTTGGAAGAGCTGCCCGACACTCGGAAGTGGTACCTTGCGCGGCCGCGTTGGCGGGGAATCAGAACATGTTTCCTATTTCGTCCTTCGCCCTACACTGACCTGCGGGTATCTCGCGATGGCCCCCAGTTCGCTGCTCGGATAATTTGTGGGAGCAGCGAAGACAGGAAAGCTTGTTTTCCTACGAACGGCTGGTTCAAGTGGGACGTTGAGTCGCCCCCTGGGGTAGGTATGGAACAGCTGCCGACGCGAAGCAGGTCTAAGTGGGAGTCTCGACTCTCAGCTTGCCTGATGTTCGACAGTCTCGCTGACATCAAGGGGTGCGTCTTCTGGTCACGCAGCAATTGTGGTCTGAGCAGCTGTGTACTATCCGGTCCGACCTCAACACCTCCGAACCGACTGACTATACTGTAGCCGCTTGACTGAGGATGAGCCAAAGGATGACAGTACACGATAACTATGCATTGAATAGTAATACTGCATTCATTCGAAAGGTAAGCGTTCAATGAATATGTAAAGCCACTGTCGTCGTTTCTTCAGCTGGACTAGATGCTGGGAAATATCACACGCTAGCGCCTCGGATAATAGCGCCCGCAGGGCTTCCATTAGAGGAATTGGCGTGAAGTCTCCCAATTAGATGTCCCAGGGTCCATGCTAAGCTTTTCCGATCACTGAAGTTCTCGGATCGAACCGTAGAGTAGAGGTCCGGGGGTTGCCCAGTTGTCAGGCTTGACCGGATAAGGCACCTGTGGGCCCTCGCAACATTGAGTCCAGCATCCGAGACTTTCTGACATTGGCACCCGACAAATACTACACCACTGCGACAGTTTGCCAGTATCAAGTTCTACTTACAATGACTTGGAGCAGGCCGGAAGGCACTCAAATCAACCGGCTATTCCACATAGGACACAATACTGCTTAGCTTGCAGCTCTGGACACCCATCGGATCGCGAACAATTGAAGCGGACCACAACCACAATTGAGCCTCATGCACGGCTGTGGTCCGTTCTGAGCGGGAGATGTATTTCTTCTTTTCGCATATTTCTCTGCTTTCTCCTACATATGGCGCGCGATCTGGGGAATTCCCCTTATTCGCGAGATGCCGAGCTTTCCAAGGCCCGTCGTTCTCGTCGGATGAAGTTCGCAAGCGCAGGAACTCTGCATCCGGTCCGCTGCTGACGACCTCACCAGTATGTCCCGAGATATCGATCGGTACAATTACATACGACCGGGGAGTTTTTTTGGCTTATCAGGAAAACTTCATCTTTAATCTTTACACGCGGCTGTACTTCAATTCCTTAGTCACTATCTTGGAAATTGTGAAATTCTTCATTTTTGATTCTGCGTCAACTCAAGCGGCGTGACGGTTGAATTGATATTGATGCAGTCGGTGTAAACCTGAGAGAGACTGATCCCCTTATTCGAATCACAACTGAATCCGAACCTAGTGTTGGTTATGAGCCTGTTCTCATAATGTACCTAGGTAGTGTTGCGAGCATCTTTACGCGGAGCCGGAAAGACCACCATTCACCGTACCAGGCAGGCTGCGGTCTTGATTGAGTGGATAAGCCACACGCCAGCTTCCTGCGCGTCCAGATGCTTGCCCATTGTCCCTGCCTAGAGGGAACCCTTTGCTATTGCTTACGTGTGATAATGATGAGGTACTGGCATACCCTCAATGTAGTCTAGTTCGACTTGACGCTCAATCGGCCAACAGTACCCCTGCTCAGAACCCCATCTGGCCGCCTTCGCCATGGCCTTCCTAAGGATGTCAAAGGACCCGGGTGTCTCCATCCACACCTGGTACTGTCGAACAGCAACCACCCCGGCCATTTTCTCCACGTCCCAGCCCTCTTTGGTGCTAAACTGGCCGAACTTGCCGGGAGCCGCAGACCTATCCGTGTCCAGCATCTGCAGCCAGATATGCTTGTTGCTGCGGGCAGTGTCGTACACGCACTTTGTGACCACCCATTGCATCTCCCGTATCTTGCTTCGCCTCCATGAGGCGTACGACGTGGCCTTGCTGAGATCGAAGCCGAAGAGGTTCTCGAGGAAGACGCTGCCCAGGTGCTCGCACACGAGATCGATGATTTCTTGTGGGAGAGCTCTCCCACGTTCATTTGTGCCGCGTTGGCCAAAAGCGACGTTCAAGTTCATTATATCCTGGACGTGTCGCAGCGCCCTGATTGCCATCAAGGTGAGGATAACTTGATGGCCCAGGCTGGCGTTCAAATGGATTTCCCTAAAGCTTCGGCGCGCCTCGGCGAGTCTAACCGCCGGGACCTGGTCATTTGGTCTGCGGACTCTGTGTTTCGTTTTCCCGTAGATAAACCTGTACGCTGCCTCGTATTGGCCCTGTCGGACATCTATGACAGGGATGAGGTCGGCGACGGTCGCGTGCAGGCGTTCCGAGGCTTTCTCAGCACTGTGGTTTCTGTTCCTGCTCTGTGTCCTGACCCGGGCCTTTGTTGTGTAATCTGACCAGATGACGCTGTGCTAACTCCGTGGCTGCGATGTTAGGGAATAGATGAAGCATGATATCCATCCTGAATAACGTGAGACGATCTTGCTTATGTCCGCGTGTGGGCGGAATTAACCAAGCAATCCCCCCAATGTAGCGGCATGTCTCGGTGTGTCTTTCGAAATCAGAGGTCTGGTCTAGAACTCAATCATGTCAGCCTTGGAACAAAAATGGGAACTGAATGCTTGAATGCTGAGAAAAAAAAGTTAATGAAAAGTATCAAATATATACTTACGTTCGTCATTGCAGTAGTATGTGACCATGCAATTCTTGCACAATTTGAGGTTCTCCCGGCTGGAGCAAACCTCACATTCTCGCGGACGGAGGACAAAATATGGGTATTCAGCCAGTGCGGCTCTGGTGAACCTGGGGGTGGCCATGATAGCTCGTTGGTGAAACCGTGTATCAGATTTGGTGAACAGATTCGACAAGTATATGTAGGTGTATTCGACTGCGAGAACATGCAAGTTATGAGAGACGACCTGGGGTCGAGAAGATTTATTTCAATGAAACAAATTTCTGACAATCGATTCGATTTGCATTCCATGAAATGTGTAGTGTGAAGCCGCTTGTAGCACCACAGAGGCCTAAGAAGCTAAGTATCTTAAGGCAAGTCTAGTTCGGCACCGGTGTACACCCCTGACAGTCATTGGGGCTTCGTGTTACCTGCTGGTAGAGAACTGTGCGCCTCTAGCGTTGATATTTAGTGTACTCCTCTGGCTTTCAAAAACAACCGCCAGGTGCTAAATCAACACCATGATGGAATACGAAAACGAAGTAAAACAGTCCTTGGCCAGATTATAACGGGAGAAGCCTTGGTTAAGTTTTGTCTGTGACTGCGGTCGTAAATAGACGTCTTATAGCCTCGAAACTGAATCAAACGGATCGACTAATTTATTATGCTGATCTATGTACAGAAAATATTTCTTTAATCGACTGATCTTGGATGTTAGAAGATCATTAGAAGTATCGAGGAGTTATTTCGTACAGGAGGACATGTCCTCTTCAAATTAGTTTGAATACAGGTCAAAATACTTAATCTGCGTCATTTTATCCATTTTGTATTTTTCTCATCAGCCCAGCCTACAAAAAGACTGCCCCGTACCCATCCCCATTTCCACGCAGGACGTCAGCCCTCTGAGCCTGGACAAGAGGGAAGTCGCCCGACATAGCCGACGCCTCCACCTCCATCGACGGCAACGGCGTGTCCTTCCACTTCTGCTGGATCCTCCTCGCGGTCCGCAGGAACCGTGCCTTCAGGCCGTCATAACCATCCACGACCAGCTTACCGCCCTGCTTGACGACCTTCCCGCCGGCCAGGACAGTATCGATATCGCCCACGCTGGCGTGCAGGATCACGGCGGCGACGGGGTCCGCCCAGCCCAGCAGCGCGGGCGAGTCGCCGTCCCAGAAGACGAGGTCGGCTTTCGCGCCCTCCTCGATCACGCCGAGGTCCTCCCGCCGCAGCGCGAGGCCGCCGTTGCGCGTCGCGAGGAGGAAGGCCTGGTTGACGCTCTGCGGGTTGGTGGCGGGCAGCATCCAGCGCTCGATGACGTCGGCGTAGACGTGGTAGCGCGCCTGCTGCAGCCACATGCGCGCCTGCGTCAGGATGTCGGTGGAGAAGGTGAAGTGGGTGTCGACGCCGAGGGCGGCCTGGTCCTGGATGAAGTAGTTCTTGGGGTGCGTGTGGCCGTAGTGCATCTCCGACTCGGGCGTGATGGAAATGTACTGGTTGGTGGAGCGGAGGAGAGCGGCCCCTGTGGCCGTGAGGAATGAGGCGTGTGAGAGGACGACGGCCCGGGAGCCGTTCAAGTACCCGAGGCTGTGCAGGTCCTCGGGGGAGTTGGTTATTTGCCATGGACCTTGGAGGGAGTGCGAGGTGACCAGGGGAATGTCGAACTCGTCGGCTAGGGACATGATCGACTTGATTTCCTCCACGTTGCCGTCAGGTCCGAAGGAATCGTACGCAATGCCCACAGTGGTGGAAGTGTTGGCAAAGTCAGCCCTGGTGGCGATGTCTTTGAAGTTGACGAGTTGCTCGGTCGTGGTGTAATTCGTCACGTTGTGGAACGTGTAGCACCAGAAAACTCGTGCCCCCGAGTCGATACTTGCTTGCAAGCCAGCCTCTGCCGTCTCGTCCGACCATGTATGATGTGCGTGGTCGAGGGTAGTCGTTACTCCTGCTGCCTGGGCTTCGTACAGGCCGATCAACTGCGAGATGTACACATCGTCTGGTGTCCAAGATCCGGCTGCTGCGAACTCGCCATACCGGGAAAAGTACTCGACAAGGCTTGAGTTGGAGCCGATTGTTCTGAAAGCTGTCTGCCAGCCGTGCCGATGCGTGTCGATAAAGCCAGGGGTAACAATCTTGCCGGTGATGTTGACTATTTGCGAGTCTGTAGAGATGTTTGATGGAACAGACTCTGAGATTTCAGTGATAGTGTCACCGGTCACTGTGATGGACCCATCCCTGATTACTCGAAGTCCCTCGGTCGCTCGATCGAAAGCAACAATCGTTCCACCTTGGTAGTGAGTGGTGGCCGCTTCAACAACGGCCGGGAGAAAAGGAACAACCAAACTGAGGAGCCCGTGCATTTTGTCTTGTGGTCACAAAAGAGGCAAGAGATGGGATAAAGCGGGATAGCCTCACCACTCTGCAATCGGAGGCAGAATCCATCATGACATTATATAGTACCTACATTTGCTTATTTCGGAATCGCCGGCTGAATCGTGGAGCTAGGAACAAGAAAAAGAAGCTATAAGCCAAGGTGGTGTCCTGATCCACAGCCCACGGATTTAGGACCCGGCCATGGCTCAATAGCGGAATTCCAAGGCTATAGCACGGAAGACTGCAGAACAAAATCAAAAGTTAGTTATCCCGAAGAGATCAATAGGAAAAGCTAAAAGGCTTGTAATTGATTTTCTGTATTGGCTGAATTGGCATGTTGAAGCCACATGCGATCACTCTCTCTTGACTAAGGCGTAGTTCGAGCTTAATATTTTGCAGTTCTGAGAAGTAGATGGCCCAGGGGAACTGCGGCCGATCTCTAAATCCGTGGCTGATCCGCTTCTTGCTATTGCTAAGCACTCTCGGCCCATGACCGTCTTTTTACCGTGCGACTTCGTAAAGATCGCACGAGTGTATTTGTCACAAAAACTGGGTCGGGTCCCAATAAGCCAAGACGCCTTGGCTCGCAAGAACCGGAATTATGAGGGCGTGGGCAAGAATCTTCTGGATCTCCAGGGCTCTCACCTCAGATGACCATCATCGAAGAGGCAAATGGCCAATACTTGCTTCGCCCTCGGATCCACGTTGCTCGCATCCGCTCTAGCAGCGGGTAAGCAGCGCCTCCGAGGGAACAAGTCTATCGCGATATGCATGACGACGAGGACAGCATTTGCATAGCGATTTTTTTTTTTTTGGGTCCAAGGATATACCAACTAGAGGCAGTGGCATTTAAGGGGGAAAATTTTGATTGAAAACGACAAATCCGTTACCTCAATGCTGTGCTATATGTCCCGTCCATTTTTGGGGCTCAAATAAGCTTTCTCCGATTTGCACAACGTACATGGGTTCAAGTGTAGTGCCCCTGGCAAGCGGCTGCTGACTAAAGACGAACACACCCCTGAGACGATCCCTTATAAGATCTTCCAGTAACACCTCATCCCGCAATAATTACCGCCGGTAAACTCCGGCGCAAGCCAAATACGGAAGGTCTGGGGGCGTATGCCGACGCCAAGAGGGCCAGGAGACAACAACAGCACACCATAAGCTACGCAGTGGAAACTGTCCAGTTGGGCTTGTGCTGATGTGTCTGGCAAATTCTGGGATGGTTGCTGATACCATTCAAAGTTCCTGACGTGCACTGAATGATGGCCAGCATTTTTTTTTTTTTGGTGGCTTCAAGGTCACGACTGGCTCGCCGGAGACTGCACACCGGAAATAAATCAGTTAGTCCCGCTTCAGCCTCATAGAGACACTCAGGGGTGCCTTGTTGACGCCATAGGAAAATCACGATATCGCAACACTTGAGCGAGAAATTTGGATTTCATTTGGAAGGAAAGATTGCCAGCGGACAGCCCAACTCCTTTCTTTCGTAGCCAACTACTCTGCACCTAATCAAAAGAAAATAGAGACAAATTGCGTCGCAGGACTGCATCCCGCCACCTGTCCCGGCTGCCACCGCTCAAAACACGAGCACCTTTCCACAGAAAAAAATGATTTCCTCACTCGCAGTCCGCTCTGGCGACTATGCTCACCTCGTTGGGAGGGATCTCAATGTTGCACTTCCCGTTCTTGCAGACTCCAGTGTCGAGAATGTTGCCGGTACCACCCTCACAGGTCTGCCCGTCGGTGCTGGCACCTGAAGCAGCAGCGGCTTTGTTCACTCTTAGTCCGCGACGTTTTAAAAGAGGGTTGCAATGGGAGACGGGCTCACCGTTCGAGTTGCCATTGCCGTTGGCGTTGTCGTTGTTCGCAGCAGCATTGCTGCCACCACCACCGCCGCGTGGCATTGCAAGGGCATGTCCGGCCAGCGTGGCGGTGAGGAACCAAGTGAAGGTGGAGAACTGCATTTTGGCATACGTTGATGTTTGTTGAAAGGAAAATTGCGCCGGGCAACGAGTGTTTCTTGATTAACAAAAGGAGTTGGAATGAAGAGAATGTTTTGAGCCGCTGGTTTAGAACACAACATAACTAACTTCACCATAAGGTTGACAGCCAACTTTGTAGAAAATCCATGAAGCAGTTCAGCGACTCCCGAATAGCCCGCTTATTGTAACATTGAGTCCTGACTCTGTGGTAGAGTGCTGAGACTTGTTCGATGGGTGAAACGTCTTGGCCCCGCCTTACCGCCGAATTCTACTGAGTTGGCATACACGTGGGAAGTCGCCCCTTAAAATTTACCTAATCCTATCGTCGAACAGACCTTCAGCATGACCTCAATCGGCTGATCCAGCCCTGGCAGACAGTTCGAGACAGCTTGGTTTGCCTCATATTCGACCTGCCATCCCACTTTCAAGCATTGGATGGAGGTTCAGGAGTACCCCAAAAGAGTTGAATGTAATAATCCCTGCCAGTGGACCACTACTAGGGTTGTTGACATACAAGCCCCCTGAAACTGATCCGTACAACGATTTCACGAGACACCCGTAAAGTTGCAAGGCGAGGAAAATACCCATGGCAGGAAGCCACGGTTGAGAAGAACGGCTGTGCGGTGAGAGTTGACAATAAGAGAGCATCCAGAAAAAGACTAGGCTCGAGCTTGATTCCTATGGCTCTCTGCGAGGGCCTCATATGCGACTACAACTCAATCTTAAAGTGTAAATGACATCCAAAAGGGGATGACCTTGTGAGAACACCCAGGGGACGACGCCCACGCGAGGCTAGCTATGTTCGAACCCGGTCGGCCTTGTACGCAAGGGATTGGACGTGAGGGCACAGGCGGCTGATCTTTTTGCTGGACCGACAATCAAAATGAGCGGCGCAAGGCAGCAGAGGTCACAAAGCCGAATGTCAGGGAAAAAGTTTGAGGACAAAGAGGAGTAGATATGGGCCGAAACGCCAGAACTGAAAAGGCAGACCGCAAAGGCTAATATTGCCCATGCATGCTGGGAAATAGGGGTCGAAATCAGCAGGAGCGAACACAATGAAGCCAGCCCTAATCGTCTCGAAACACATCTCAGCCTCTCCAGAAACATGACACCTCATCCCGGAACGGTATGAATAAGTGAAGGATATGGTCAGGTAAATTGTGTGGGGATACCCAGGTCTACAAATACACCTGTTCTCCTCTTCCTCAGAGCCTGGTTTCCGGGGGAAGCCAGCAGCGCCATGCCTATAGTGGCCCTGTTGTAGTCTGTGCTCTATCCCATCTAGCATCTATACAAGAAACCCATATAGACCACTGCCTTGCCTCAGTCGGCTGAGGACGGCCGAGTTTTGGACCGAGTGTTGGAACTTTCAATCTGCCAGCATCATTGCCCAGCCTACCTAGGCATCATCCCAACCCCCGCTCAGAACCCCCTCGACATCAGCACCTGCATCTCCTCGGCGAACCAGCTGGCCTTGGTGTCCTCGTCGAGTGCCTTGGCGCTCTCGGCGACCTTGAGGATGTTCTTGATGCCGACGCCGACCTGGTTGGAGCCCTGCGTGGCCTCGGCGACGAGGTTCATGGCCTCGTTCAAGGAGCCGCCGTCGCGGAAGATCTGCTGCTCGCGCAGCACCTGCTCCAGCTCGTTGAGCCCGCCCAGGCTGGGCACGGCGATCTCCTTGTCGAAGACCGTGTCCGTGAAGTCGAGCTGCTGCAGCACGCCGCGCCGAGACGTGGTGCCCATGACCAGAAGGCGGTGGTTCTGTTGATATACGAGTCAGTCTGGGTCCAGCGTTGGCGCGAAAGGGTGGGAGGGGGGGGGGGGAGACAGAATAATCATTGCATGTAGGAATTGTCCATAGATAGGAGATTGAATACCTTTGGCGGGACTGTGCGGAGGAGTGCCCTGAGGGTCTGAAGGACGAGGTTTGACATGCGCGGACCGACAGGGTTCCACTCGATAAGGCCTTCGATGTCGTCCACGATCAAGATGCTCAAGGGCGATTTAAACGCGTCCGTGAAGTATTTGTGGATTTGGTCACTCTTGGCGTTCTCGCTTCGGTAACTGACAAGCAGCTCAGGGGAGATGACCTTGATAAAGGGGAAGTCGGACATCTGCGCGATGCTTGCAGCAAGCGATGTCTTTCCGCTCCCGCTCGGGCCGTGGAACAGCAGGGAGACGTTTGGCGACTTGGTGGCGTTGCTCCGGAGGCCGTCCACATAGATCAAACAGGACTGGATGATCCTTTCGATGTTGGGCGAGAATCTTATGATGCCATAGATCATGGACTTGGTGAGCTCGTCCTCAGATACACCGAATGCTGGCGTGACTTCAGAGAGGGCGCCTATGAAATCCTGCTGTGTGATGACGAGATCTGCCGCATCGCTTGAGATACCGGCCATGGTGCCTGCTTTTGTGTGTCTGCTGAAGGCGAATGATGCCGCGCTTTTGCACAGACCGTTGATCTCGGCACCGGAGAAGTTCTTGGTCAGACCGGCGAGCTCTATCAAATCCACGTCTGCTGCGAGCCTCCCGTTTTCCTTCATCTTTCTGGTGTGGATTGCCAGAATCTGTTGTCGACCTTTCTCGTCGGGGAGGCTGATCTCGACTTGCACCTCGAGACGACCAGGTCGCAGAAGCGCGTCATCGATCATGTCCTTCCTGTTTGTCATGCCGATGAGCAGGATATTGTTCAGCTGGTCTACACCATCCAGCTTGCTGAGCAACTGGTTCACCACGCTGTCGCCAACGCCCGTGCCGCCACCAGCGCCCGAGCCTCGTTGTTTGCAAACAGCATCCAGCTCGTCGAAAATAATGACGTGGAGCTCGCTGTCATCGCCCTTTTCCTTGTATTCCTTTTCCGCGTCTGCGAACAGCTTCCTGATGTTCTCCTCGGACTGGCCGACAAACTTGTTCAAGACCTCAGGGCCGTTGATGACCTTAGGCTCCTTAGCTTGTAGCATCTTTCCAATCTGGCGCGCAATCAAGGTCTTGCCCGTCCCTGGGGGACCGTAGAGAAGGATTCCCTTGACGTGCAGTAGGCCTAGCTGGTCAATCACAGATGGTGGGAATATTCGGGAGGCAAAAGCTCGGCGAAAGACAGTGGCGAATTCATCATCCAGACCGCCGATACCCAAGCTCGCAAAATTGAAATCAGGTCGCACAACGGCATTCGCACCACGTCTCGGCGCGCCTGTTATATTGATGGGGATCATTTTGTCTGTGGCAGGCGCTCCCTTTTGCAAGAAGACATGGGTAGATTCACCAAGGAGACCTCTTGTGAGAGGGTTTTCATCGGTGGGGGCCAAGAGATCATTTGCCTGGCCTGCCTTGCGGGAGTTGTCAACGGGCTTGTCGACCAAGGTAACTCCCTTTACAACGGCCCGCAAGGGAACCTGATCGTTAACAATACGGAAGATCAGTTGCTGACCAGGGGCGAGGATTTGGCCCTGAAATTTGCTGATGAAGAGAGCCTGGAGGTCTTCATGTCTGAATGGGGTCGCGGGCATACTCTTGATGGAGGCGAACGTGATCGTAACATCCACTGAGCCCAGGTACCCCTTTGGACCAAGCTCGATAGGATCGAATGTCTCTGCCTCCACTCTGTCGTTGAGTGCCACCCCCAAGGTGTTGCGGTGGGGTTCGCCGAACCAGATGCCGCCCGGTTCGACGAGGGGGAACGGCCTGACCGTGATGACATACTCACGACCCCGGTTATTTACCTTGAGATAGGCGGTCTCGCCGTCGCCCAGGCCCCAATCTTGGGCGTTGACAGCAGCTATGTTGCTTTTGTGGTAACCCTCAAGATACTTGTTCTCGATTGCCTTCTGGTCATTGACGGTCAAAGCGAGTTTGTTACGCCGTCCACTTGGGTACTGGTTGCCGGTGGGCTGGGGGCGAGGCGGGGCCTGAGCATAAGGATCCTGGCCTGACGATCGCATTGGGCGTGGTTGGGGGTGTGGTTGAGGTGCTCTTCCATATCCATAACGGGGGTCCTTCTCTGGAAGGCCACCGCCGGGGGGAAGTCTGCTCATTGTAGATGTAGGCGTGTATGCCGGAATTGTTGGGTGGGTGGGTGACTGATGTGATCCAAGAGAGGGTCAGCGTCATCCCCAAAACAGCCTGAGTGCAAAAGGGGGTTACTGACATTCAGGGCACCTCGAAGAGAAATCGCACGGTCTAGCCTATGCTGGTCGGTGAGAGGTGCCGGAGAGGAGCGCAAAAGGGAAGAGAGTCCGTTCTTGGAAGCGCTTGAAGTTGTCAAATCGATCGAAAGGAGGGACAACGAGTGTGGTCTCGGTTGCGCCGGGTGCTGCTGACGAACAGGAACCTCAACGGCAGCTACCGTATTGACTGAGAGGAGAGGTGTTCAAAGGGGTGGTGAGAGAAGCCTAGTAGTGAGGCTCGCGGCAGAGTGAGTGGGACAGTTCGCCTTTAAGTCCGGAGCACGTATGCATGCGCCTATGTGCATGTGAAGCTGGTGGCGTTTCAAACGTGTCCAGCTGAAGAGGCCAACACGCAGGCGCAGCAGCCCTATTGGGGGTCCAGCTGCCCCCACCAACACCTGCGCTTGCCGACTGCTGCTAGTCGACGGGTATGACGTTCCTGGGGTAGGAGCACTCGGGGTAATCTACAGGTAGATAAGTACCTCCCGCGAGTGCCTCTTACCGAGATACTTATGCTCGAGAAAGAATACAGGGAATATGACCGGAGTGGATTGGCCAGAAATGAAATATCAAATCGTGAACAATATTTAACACAGTATTCCACGGATCGATATAGAAAATCCACGTAAAGAAACAGCTTTTGAGGGAGAAGAGGCCATCTAAACGTCCTCAGATACGTACCTTACTATCGTGTCAGACCATCTCCTTCCTGGTATCCTGTGCCTGATTACGCGACCGTGATCCTAGCCTGCACTTAATTCATCGAGACTGTTGTCCAACCATCAACCTCCTCCCCAACCATCTAGAGCAACACTGTCCAACCAAGCGGCAACAGCTTGGAAACACCAGCAGCCATGCCTCTGTAAGCACCTCTTCCCCTTTCCCCAAACCGACTCCCAAATGACTGACATCCGCCCCTCCGCAGCCACCTGCTAGGCAAGAAGTCCTGGAACGTCTACAATGCCGACAACGTCGCCCGCGTCCAGCGCGACGAGGCCGCCGCCGCCGCCGAGGAGCACGCAGCGGAGCAGCGCATGCAGGATGCCGACGCCGCCCGCCGCCTGGCCATCCTGCGCGGCGAGACGCCCCCGCCTCTTCCGGAGCCCGAGCAGCCCGCCGACCCGTCCGACAAGAAACACACGCGCCGCGACCGCGATGGCACTTCCGGCGGAGGGAGGAAGCGCAAGCGCGCCGGCGAGGACGACACCGAGTTCGAGATGAGGGTTGCGCGCGAGCGGGCGGAAGAAGGGGCCAGGGTCGCGGGGGGGCTCGCTGGGCCGAGCGGGCCCAAGAGGCAGAAGCAGCAGGAGAGGGAGGAGGTGAACATCGTGGACAGCAGGGGCCACATCGACCTGGTCGGGCCGGTGCCCAAGGACGTTGGCGGCGGCGGCGGAGATGACAGGAAGGAGACCCGTCATGAACGGATTGAGAGGAAGGCGCGCGAGAATGGGGAGAAGCTCGAGAGGATGTGGCGCAACGGGGATTTTGCCAGCCAGCCGTGGCACGAGGAGGCACAGCGCAGGCGACCTATTATGAACGCGTGGTTCCTCGACGCTTGTCGTGCTGCTGTTGCGGCCACAGATGCAGACAGCCCGAAGGCGGAAAGGGAGGCTGTAAGGGAAGCTCTGAGGGACGCTGAAAGGATGTTGGAGGCCCCTACCACGGACGTCTGGGGCAGGGATGACCCCAAGAGGAGGGAAAGGGAGACGGTGAGGCTGGACGCTAACGACCCGCTCGCCGCGATGAAGTCGGGTGCCAAAAAGGTGCGGGACGTCTTGAGGGAGAGGAGAATGGAGGCCGAGGAGCGGTGGCGCGAGCTCGAGCAGCTTCGGCAGGAGGAACAGAGGCGGGAGAAGCGGAGGAAGAGGGAGCATGAACACGCAGACGAGGATGAGAACGAAGACAGGCCGCTGCGAGAATCGCACCGCTCAGGACGATCTGAGCGAAGACACCATGGGGAGGAACGACACGAGGGTCGGCGCGTTCATGTTCATCGAGAGGAGCGTCGAAGGCACAGGGAGGCTGAGCGTGCCCGAGACCGGGGAAGCGACAGACATGATGGACGGGGAAGGGAGAGATCCCGTGAAAGGGGGACGTCCTCGCGATCCCATCGAGACCAGGACAAGGACGACCGCCATGACCGCCGTGGCAAGGACCACGAACGCCGCGACAAGCACCATGAACGTCGCGACAGGGAGGCTCAGAGGGCGTAATGATTTTATAATTCGATTGATACGAGATACCCAGCACAAGAACAGCTTATATGTACCAACAGTAGTATGATTATTCATGAATGCGTCAAAAGACTATGAGGCTCCAAGTTCTCTGACCGCGACTCCCGTCTTGGGTTTTCGATTCAACAACGCAGGCACATTATAACAGACGCGAAAGGTATTACTCTGACCCGCAGCTCAAAGGCGGGACACCCATCTACATTCCAGATGAGACCAAGACACGCACCACCCAAGAGCAACGCCAACCTATCCTTCCAACCAAGGCAGGCGGACCTCAACCTCCCTCATATCCGCCTCAACCATCTGCACAAGCGGCGCGGCGCCCAGCCCCTTGAGCGCAGCAAGTATCTCACCCGCGAGCGCGGGGCTCATGCCCCCCTTGCGGTCACTGTACAGGTCGATGCCCTCCTTGGTGAACAGCGTAGGCGCGAACCAAGTGACAGCCCACCTCTCCCTTTCCCCCTCGCCCTCGGCGGCGTCCCGCTCCCCCCACCCGAGGACCTCCCAGTGGCTCGTGACGAACCCGAGCAGCCCCTTGCCGCGCCAGTCCCAGCTGCCCGTGCTCCCGGCAGACGCCGCGGTGTCGACGCCCGAGACGGTCTTGACGCCGCCCTTGCCGGACGTCTTCTCGTACTGCACCAGGTCGTCGACGCGCGGGCGGGCGCTGTCGCCGGTGCCGCCGGTGGGCGGGAGCGGGGTGTAGGTTATGCGGACGTTGCGGGCTGTGCGCCACATCGTGAGGGTGGAGTGGGTTACTGTCCAGGTGCGGTGGAGCCATTCTAGGGGTGGGGTTGAGGGGGCGGAGGACGATGAAGATGATCCTGAAGCATATTTGGAGGGGATGCGCAGCGTGATGGCTTGAGGGTTGTCGTTGGCTGTCGACATGTTGGCTTGGTTGCTGCTGGTGTCTTTTGAATCGTCTCCTCTTGAGCCAAGCTGGGTTTTGACAAATGCAAATTACGTGCCGTACGGTTTGATGTGGAATCCTAGAAGGGCTCGAAGCTGAAGACTGGCGAAAGAGGAATGTGTACGCAGTCTCCGTACTGATGGTCTTCGGGTCTCAGTTTTCTGATGGAGTGAGATTGAAGGTAGCTCAACGGAGTATTTAGATGCCAGGGATGCGGATGAGAAACACTGCAGGTGTGTATCCTCCAGTTCAAGGGGCGACGAGTTATGAAGACGGTGAGGTCGAAGTTAAGTATGAAGCTCTCGAGCTTGAACCTAGTGCAGAGCCGCTGTGCCTGAGACGCTCAGGGTTCTCCAGGATGTTTCAGCCATGATGTCAGAGGTTTGTATCTACGTATCTAAAGGTACATAACGTCGAACTTCAATCAGGACAACTATTGGTCTGTTCCACGATCCAGAGATCCTTGGGTTGGCCTTATTTAATATGTTTTCTGCGACTTGTACTCTATTTGACTCCACCCATCTGCTGTGTAAGCCCTCTAGAAGCAGGGTGGCTTACAGCAATGGCCCCTGGAGCTCGAGCTGGAGCTCCAATGCTGGACTCCACATCCGCCCCCAACAGGGGAGGCTTCCGACACCCAGCAGGGGGGTCCTGGAAGCTAGCCCGATCCATTTGGGCCTCTCGTAGGGCTGGGCATGGAATTTCACCTAACTACCTTTTTCCACACGTCGACATTGCAGACTGCCTCCACTTTCAGCCTCCATCGCGAGCCCTTGCTCAAGCCGGACTGTGCCCATGGTCACTTCTCATCGCTCAATCCGGTCCGTGTTCCACAACAACACGCAACAGCCCAACTCCCACACGCCGTTTCTGTCTGAGAACACCCGTTCCAATTGAGCTAGAGCCCCAGGACAGCAAACAAACAAACTCTCTCTCCCACATCCTTCTGCCCCAGTAACAACACACCACCGGCCACCACAACCATGGCCGACATCAACTCAGACGACGACCCGGACTCGGCAGCAATGGCAGAGGCCATGGGCTTCACCGGATTCGGCATGCAGCGCGCCACCAGGAAGCGCAAGCTCACCCCGCCCGCCCAGACGGGCGCGAACAACGCGCCCCTCGGCAAGCGCCGGCCGCTCAACCTGCCGCAGCCCGTCGTGTCTGGCGGAGGAGGCAACGCCGAGGAGATTGACCTGGATGATGACAACGACGACGATGACGGAGTGGGGGCTCAGGGCGACGGTGGCGAGGCGGGGGAGGACGTCCAGGCCCAGGCCGGACTCAACGCCCTCAGTTTCACCGACGCGCCGCCTGCGACGGGTCGCCACCAGCTTCCCCCGAAGCCGCAGCAGCAGAACCACCACCACGCAGGCAAGGCGGCGCGACACCCCGGCGGCAGGGCCGGCGGCGGGCCAGGGCAGGTGCCATGGTGGGAACGGGCGTGGGATCCGCGGCTCGTGGGCAGGATGATCGAGAACCCGTGGGAGCGGCTGGAGAGGCAGCGTGGGCTCGGGGCCCGGGGCACTTGGCCGACAGCGAGGGTCTCACGCGCGGGTGGTGATGGTGATGATGCGGCTGCGGCGCCTGCTGGGGTTGGAGGTGGACCGTCTGGGATTGGTGGTGCTATGGGCTCGCTTGGGGGGAGTGAGCAGGCTGCCCAGGCGACGGTGTCATGAGGTTCATTCCGTTGGTGACAGGGCACGGAGGTACCAGCCCATTGAGAGGCCGTCGTCATCGTCGCCGTTCATTCCTTCCCGCCGCCTTTTGGCTCAGGTTGATGGCAGGGTACAGCATGCATCATGGAACAAGAGGGCCACTGCTCCATGTTGTGTCCCGGTGGGTAGAGGCGGGTTTGGAGAATGGCAAGGCGGGATAGAGGGACAAGATATGGCAGCACCATACGACACCCTGACGACCGGCATCATGCACGTCAACCTTCCCGACCGTTCACTGACACGGCCTCGTTTTTTTCCGGCCATCATGAGTCCAAAAAAAAAAAAAAAGGGGAATATACACAGCAACACCGCCTTGCCTCCTATCCTTATTTATAGCCGGGAACTTTCCTGGCTAGGATTCATACCAACCCATGCCATATCATGCCACACCATATCATATCCAAATGGATATCAGGCCCCCGAGGCCCTGGACGAGAGAAAAGACAAATGTCACGTGACATATGAACAGGGGAAGCCTGACAGATGGCAGGGGGTAGGAGGAGAGGGGGAAAGGAAGAACGAAAGCAACCCACCAGCCCCATCATCACATGATGAAGAGCCCACATGGCCCAGCACACACAGTGTGCCATCGTCAACCATGGCTCACACGAGAGCCCCCATCCCTGCGAAAAGCACACTGTACGGCCGGGCTACGTCAGCCGCACATGGGAAAAAGTGGTGGGGAGGCAGGTCACCCGCGGGGTGCAAGGGAGGGACGGGAGGGTGGAGCACGGGGTTCACCATCGCGGCTCACAATCAAGGAGGGATTGAGGGAGGGAGAAGAGTGGAAGGGGGGGTGTTCGTGACATCCCCCCTCTCTCTTGCCCCCTCCCTGGCAACAGTCATATCGTTCCTATTCTGGTATTTTGCCTATGAACACGAACAAGGAAAATCATAAATCCATGAGTCCACCACCCCCCAGAACGCCCCTTTTCGGAAGACAAACATAATATCGGATCCAATGAGATGAGTGAACCCCCAATGCCTCCCTCCCCTCCCCCTCCCTGCCATGGGCACCCCCCAATCCGTGCCGCGGCTTTTCGCCAAAACCTTCCTTCTCCCCTGCCTGCCTGCCCGCCCGTCTCTCTCTCTTCCCTCCCGCGTGCGTCCCCCGGTACATTCAAGGACCGCAGCGAGTACAGTGACCTACCAACCAGCGGCCCTGCCGGAGGAGGGAGGGGGGACGTGTGTGGCTAACTAGAAACCCCCCCTTCCTAAAGTAGCAGTACCCTACAGCCCCGAAGGGGACAAGTGTGCGCGTGAAAACGTGACCCCAGGAACCAAAGAGGTCTACAGCATCCTGATCCATCCATACAGCCCTCCCACAGCGCATCCCTGTCCCGCCCGTCCCTGTCCGTCTGCCCAAGCACGCACACACCCCTCCCCCCCCAATCCAACCTGTCCCCGGCTCCCTGCCACCCTGTCTCGGCTCGGGCCTTAGAGCCAGGATGTTATGTGGGTGCGTGTGGGTGCAAGGGAGGGGCGTGGATCCGGGGGGGTACTAGGTGGTAGTGGTGGGACGGGTGGTCCCTTCTTCCCATCACTTTCGCACGCGAACCACTGCGCCTGATTTGCCGCCGGGCCCCCCAGCCAGAGACAGACGAGGAGATTCCTGCAGCCTCCACCACCCCCCTCCCCTGCACACTCTGTCTCTCTCGTTCCTGCAGATGGGCGCACGACATGAATTTTCAGCCCGTCCTGTCCCGCTGGAATGTACCTGTACCTGTGACCCCCTCTTCCCTGTCCCCGTACCCCATGGGGCAGCTGGCCGCAGCGCATCCGTCCAATCATGGCCCTGGTGAACAGAGCCCCGGGTCGAGCGGGCGGGCGCTCCCGCTTCCAACGTCACCTCGTCTCGTCATCTTCTGACAGCAACATGAGCTGGAAAAAGACAGGAAAAGCAGTGAGTACCACCTGAAATACTCGGCTCCTCCCAACTCCGATAAACGCCGCCCAATGTAGTCATGAGCATCGTAAGTGGAAAACGGTGACACACACAAACAAATAGAAAGGAAAGAAAATTCCCGATCCAGCCAGCTGGGCTGATGCCGCGTCGCGCAAACGCAACCCGGGCCCACGTGCGCCTTGCCGCCCAACGTCACCTCGCTTGCCTCGCTCTGCATCTCCCCACCCTCCCATTCGAGCCACAAGACCCCTGGCCATTCCTGCTGCAAGCGGAGGGCCTGGGGGGTGGGGGAGGGGGGCGTGTGCCCAGAGATGTGCGTAGGGACCGGGCTGCGCGCGTGTGATATGCAGCCCTACAGGGCTTGCTCACCACCACCACCACCACCGCGCTGTTGCCGTCGCCTGCCGTGTGATGCAGATCCAGATCCAGATCTCGTTCGTGCCCAAACCTTTTAGGTGTGTGTGAAATTTGCTGCTGCTGCTGCTGCTGCCGCTCATCTTTTTGCGTGTGTAAAGATTCGCGTGTCCGTGCGTGCGTGTCTCTGTGTGTGCGTGCGTGAGATTTCCCCGTCGGTCGTGTTTTGCAAATCCACGTGGGAGAGACGATCCGACAGGGGTGCTCTCACTTCGGCGTGTTTCTGGTGGTTTTGGTGCTAAAGTCCGTGGGTAAGGTGAGTTCTTGTTCTCGCCCCTTCCACACCACACACCAACCCCGGTAACTTTTTGCTTTTCCCCCTGGTCCCTCGCCAAACGGACGAGCGAACAGATTGGACGGATGATCGCTCTCGAGTCGTCATAGAGCGTGAGTTGTTTTTTTGTGTTTCCCCCCTTTTTGTGTGCTTTTCTTTTTTTCTTTTTGAGCCTCACCGGAACTCAGAAAAAAGAAAGTGAAATGAAATGAACCTGACGCCCCTTGACCGAAGCACGATCGCCCGCCTACTCGCCCGCCCGATTAACTCGCCCGGACCTGCAATGACAATGAAATGCGATCCAAAGGCCAGGGCGAGAAATTGAGCTGGATGGCAGTGTGGATCTAGTACTCGGGGGAAGGGTGCCTTGCGCGCGCCTTGCTGTACTCCTTGGAGTGCTTCTTTGACGCCTTCGTCTTGAGCGACCTGCAAGATATTTAGAATTAGTACATGCTGCCCCAATCTGTAAGAACGTGCAAATAGAGGCAACTACGCGCGCCCAGAGATAATTCTGGCCCTCTGTCGCACTGCTCGGCTGGCTGCTCTCTCCTCTCGCCGCTAAACAGGCGGCAATGCCTCCTCCTCTCCCCAGCACCGCGGGCCTCCATTGAGAGGGGCTGAAACTTACGAGACTTTCTTCTGCGTCCATTCCAGGTTCTGGCGCACCTCACGCGCGTCATCCATGCCCTCGGCGAATCGCGCCCGCGACCTCGCAAGACGCGCCTGCGCCTGCTTCTGCAGGTCCAGTAGCTGGCGGTGCTTGTCGTTGAGGCGACCGGAACTGTGTGAACGTCAGCATCTGTCTTTTTTGCTCTCCCTCTCGCGATTATTCGGATGTACCGCGCGAGCAAACTGCGCCTACGCAGGTTGAGACTTTCCCGAGCGTTCTCGCCAGGGCTAAGCAAGTCTGCTCGCTCGGAAAATCGCGTCCACCCGGTTCCTTGAACCTGAGTATCTCGTCTCCCCGCTTCACCGCGGAAATTTGCGACCTCATTTCCGTAGCAATAGCATCCAGGGGGTCTGCAAAGAGAACACGGCGGAAAGAAAAAACTCACGTCTGCGCCTGTGTGGCCATGGCCTTGTCCAGACCGAGGGGGTCAAAGGATTGTGCGAGGTGCTCGTGCATGTACTCGTTGAAGTCGACGCCGCTAGCGGAGCGCTCCGAGTCGTACTCGCCGTGGGTGCTGCCGGCGTAGCTGGTGGTGGCCGAGTAGCCCGGGGTGCTGTACGATGGTACACCTGATCCGGAGCTCACCGAGGGGTCGGCCTCGGGAGGTGAGACGGAGTACGTGCTGTCCGGGTGGTGGTGGTAGTAGCCCTGGTACTGGCCCTTGTGGGGTACGGGCATGGGCATGGTGCCCGAGTAGTACTGTGTTGGCGAGTAGGACGACATTGTGGCTGACTGGGAGGGTGGGTGTTTGTGATGGGTGGGAATAGTGGTAGTGTGGGTGGACAGGTGGTCAGGCTGAAAAGTGAGACGGCCTGGTGTGGGGGGGAATCAAGTAGTGAGCCGTGCGGCAGAGGGGATTCTCTCTTGGGAGCAGAGGATGATGATGCTTGTGGAAGGAGGTGGGCCTCTGGGGAGGTGTCTGATGGAGGGACTTGGTGTTGGTGTAAGATGTTGAAGAGGTGCTTGGGCTCTCTTGGAGGGCAGGACTTGTTCTGCTGGGTTCTCTGACGATGGTGTTTGAGAAGACTGAAGGAGGAAGAAAAAAGAAGAAGAAGATCGAGCTCTTCCTCGAACAAGAAGGGCCTTTTTATACCTTTTCGACGGCATCCCCCTGTCAGCCAGAAGGCCCCAGAGTCCCGTGATCTAGAGGGATAAGACATGTTAACTCTATTCGTCGAGCATGGACGGGACACCCCGCTCGAGGGCAGACGGGATAGCATGACGATGGAGACGACGATGGCCAGTATCCCTGCCTCGGTGTTTGATGGCCTCCCTACCCGCACTCCCGCCCGCGCAGGGTAAGAGCCAACGGGAACGAGGGGGGGCATGGCCGTTGGGGGTAATCCCTGGAGCATGTTGACGAGAAGGGAAGGCTTCGGATTGGCCTGCAGGGCGGTGGCCCTTGGGACTGCTCGGGGGATGGGAGATATGGAAGCACCGCGTGCATGTGCCGAGAGAGGCAAATATCACGGGCCTTGTATTGGTGGGATGTGGGATGTGGCCCGGCGGCGGTGGTGGAGGGGACAGGGCAGGGCAAGGGCATGGCATGGCATGGCCGCGGGAGAAAGGATCGACCTGGTCCTAGCACGACGTACTATGGCCCACGGTGAGGTGAGCAGGACGTAAGGGGATGGAGTAGCATGGGGGCAAAATGGCAAAAGACGGAGCCAGATCCGGAGCTCTCAGAGGCAGGACTC